GGGTTTCTTCAGCTTGAGCAGGAAAAGCGTACGCAGCCCATTTACTATACTCCTTGGTATTCTTCAGGTTCTTGTCGATCAGGATCATCCGCTCGGGTATTGGATCTTGCCAAGAAGGCTCGTTGTTCGTATCTGCCGCGGCAGCATCTACGTGGGTTGCTTCCAACACCTCTAGATCCCTTTCAAGGAGAGTGATTTGATCTCAGAGATAGAGTAACAGTCTAGCATTTAGGTTGCCATACCGGTGAAAGACCATGAAGTCATTGTCAGATGTCAGTAATACTGAATACCCTCGGTACCCGATATCTTTCCAGTATTTTGGGAAGATCCACTGCGGAAGATGTTCGTTACGATGGTCCTACAGGTTATATCGGGATTGGCGGTATCTCCACGGTGTCCATGAGCCTATACCTTTGCGGCTCAAAGGTCCACTACCGGCAGTAATGGAAGCTGTAACTTGGGCACATCAATCTGTCAGAAGCTGACAGTGGGTCAATCTTGGGTTTCGAACCCGGAGCGATGCACCTCTTCGGCTCGAACCATCACTTCTCGACCAAGACTGAGAGACACCTTTGAAGAGTGAGCAGCATTAGCTGTACTACTCTGCAACTTGTGGTTCTTACTGGAGACATGGAGCTTGCAGCAAACGGAGTCCTGTTATGCGGCAAAGGACATTAGCATTACTTGCATGTACGGATTGTTGAGGCTCTACGTGCTGGTCTAGGTATTTGCTAGCCTAGACACCACAGAATCTTCCTGCATTCGGCTGTCGACATTGAGCAAGGAGCATGATGGAGAGAATTAGGAAGAGTATCGGACAGTAAAAAGATCGGCCACGTGTGTTCGTACCAAAGTCCTGTGTGTGGGGCCACATGTTGAAGGCGCACCAGCCCCCTCACCCAAAACGCGACCAGTCTTACCGACTCCACCGTGCACGCAATCCTGCTTGATAGTCATAGCGACATTCGCGCCGCCAGTGCAGCGCGATGCATTTATCTACAGTTCATTCCTGTATGCAGGTGCAGGGAATTGCACCCATCATCCACGCCGCAGCGTTGCAGAGCTGTGCGTCCAGAAGCACCCGAGGGCAAAGAAAGCAAAGACTCCGGCTGTCATTGAACCAGCAAAAGAACCCCCGTGGCACTTCTGGACTGCATATATCACAAAATTTGAAGTCCGTTTGCCTCACCCCGTCGCAGGGACTTCTCGAATCATAAAAGGCTGCTTGTGCAGGCCACCACCATAAGGGCTGAGGTCAATGTCCATCACTTCAATGTCCTTGAACCCATGCTTCTTGTAGAAACCATGACCTACGATGCTAGACTCCAGGTAGATCGGCAAACCCAACTCGTCCGCCTTCTGCTTCCCCCAGTCAATCAGGGCGCTGCCTGCTCCATAACCCTGGAACTCTGGGTCTGTGTGCAGCATATGAAGATCTGACTCGCGTCAGTAAATCACTCGTCACTCATGTCAACATAAAGGCTTGCAGCATACAAATATGCGGTCTATCCCCCATGGTCTCCTTCTTCCTCTCCTCTATGGCTCCGAAGAACGCTATACATGCCTCCGGATTAGTGCCAGACCCAAACTCCATCTTCTTGCTCGGTATGTTGGTTTCCTTAGGCGTCTTGTAGATGTGCCATTTCGAAGACGCGATCATGCGGCCTGATGCTTTGTCGATGGCTTGCATGTAGATCGCTGTGGAGTCATCTTCTCGCATCTGTATCAACCGATCGACACGCTTTTGCTGTGAGTCCGGGGGAAATGGGCCGGGGAAGAGGATGGGGTTTAGGTCGGAGTCCGCGTAGGCGGCTGCTTCAATTATGCAGGCTCGGTGGAGCTCATTGTCGGACACATCGCGTACTACGATCGACATGTTGATACTGGGAACTCGCTACTTGAAGGGTTTGAGATTGTAACGTAGAGTTGTAAAAGAACAAAAGTAGATGCCTGTGGATGTCGGTGTGACTAAGCAGGCTAGCTTGGTGTGGATTGAGCCGCGCTCAAACATCGCCCTTCCGCCCTTGTCATCACTTTCCTCATCCGTCCCATCTCATGCAGCATAATCGACATCCGTTAGAATCTCATCGCCGACCATCGAAAACAAGAAAAATATCGTTGTTGTCGTTGTTGTTGTTGTTGTTGTTGTTGCTGTCCTGAAGACTCCGTGCGCCATGCTTTGAATCACAGGTGTCAATCTCCTAGCTCTGCGTCGAGCTTGTGCTGGTCGAGCTTGTCGTTGACGACGACTTCCTCCTCACATCGTCTTCCGTTAGGATCTGTGTGCTGTCAATACTACTTCTCCAGTATTTCCGGATGCTGTAGATGCTTCCATACTTGTTTCGCGCGAGCCACGATGCCTTCAGCAGCGAGAACAGCGTACGTCTTGCCATGCGGAAGGCTCTGATACGCCATATTCTGGTCCGCCCAACTTCGTCTCCGTCTCACTCGCTTGTTCTCTGAGACGCTCAGATGCTACTCGTTATTAGCGATGCCCTGGATCTGGACATTGAAGGGGCCTACCAGCTTGTATTCATCCATCACGCTAAATCGATTCGGCAGCGATCTACTTGGATCGCTTATGGATGCCATATCAGTCTGCAAGAATCTAAGAGTAGAGAGAGGATATACAAAGAGGAGAATCTGCGCTGTGAAGTGGATACTAGGAGATTGCAGCAAAGATAGGGGTCAGACGGCTGGCGTGTCCTTTGCCAAACCTTCCGTGGTACGCAGCAAACCCCGCACAAGTGAACACAGCAGCTTCGGAGCAGATGAGCACCAAGGGTGGATGCCAACAGCAAGGTGCGAACTTTTCAGGTAACGCAAAATTAGCACTTAGTGATCCCTGCGCAGATCCCGCTGCGTTCCGATGTCATTGCTGTTCTTGTCTAGGTCCTCCTGTTCAGGTTTGCTTTGAGTTTATGTCCATAACATGATGTGGATGCGTCCCAGTCGACTTGGCGACGATTCTTTTATATCCAAACACATTCCCATGTCATGTCACATATCAGAGTTGTACTGCTAAAGAACTACATATACCAGCGTTGTACGACTTAGCAAATAAAAGAGATCGAAGCTATTTGAAGGCATGATGCGATGTAACGCGTGGATATATGCCAGCACTTGGCTAATCAAGAAGTTCACCCCCGTAGCTCTTTCGTAATTTGATGATGACACCTAACCAATTCCAATCCAAATGATCAAGATTTTTCGAGTATTTGCCTTGACCGTGCATGATTCCAGGATTTTTGTGCACAATCACACCGGGACCTACGTCTATCATCATGCACCGACGGTACATCAACTTCGACCCGCGTGGGACTGCTCATCAGAATTTTGATAATAGGCATGAAGACGTTGAAAGCTCGTGATCAAGCTTTTAGGGACGTAACTCTTCTCTGTATCTGATGGCTTCAAGAATGGGTACTGTGATCTGAGAGAGTGTGTGCCTCGTTGCGTTTGGACGTTCATTGCCCTCCCGGTACCTGGATAACTTTATGAGCATCTTTTAGTCCCCAGTTTCCATCTCTGGCAGTCAATCGAGTGCCTCTTGTCGTCCTCAAAAGGTTCCATTATCGTCCTTGCAAGCACGGCTTCCTATACGTAGAAGCCAACATCCAATTGATGAAATTGTTCGTTGTCACGTTTATGCAGATGGACGCCGAGAAAAAGCTAAGCATACCTAACAGTGTTGACCTACCTATTCTGCAATCGTGGAAAAGCGGTGAAGCCCTCTAGTCGTTGTATATAGCATGCGAGAGGATGGTGACCGTCACGGTCAGTAGCACCTTACGCGTCTTCCTGGCCGGTAGATCCTTGCTCTTTCCACGCTCCAGTCGTCTTAGGGACGACTGAGTGCACTTCTCAGCTGATTGGCACATTGACAATCGTTTCGAATACTCTTAGCTGGTTGGCACATCGATAGTCAGCTTAGGTCATCAGTCTTAGTCGGCACATTGACGACTATACTGCTCAAGGCACAGGTCCACCGCATATCGAAGTCAATGGAGATGTTGAACTTCTTAGCATGGATACTTTGAGCGTTTGCACGCCGCGTACTAAGGAGCAGTATGCGCATGTCGTGTTCCTCCACTATCTTGATCCAGTGCGATGACGTGTTGTTAGGCTCAAGCCAGCCTAAATCTCAGGAATTGTAGAAGTTGGGCAAGTTCGTGGGAGCAGTGACGCTTGTGACATGTCCACCCACCTCGTCCCGCTCTTGCATATCCGACCGCCGGTGAGCGACTTTCCATTATGTTTCCGCCCTTCCGGCTTTCGGCCTTATGAGCTGCTGCATGGCAATTTAGACACTCGAGTTTTACTGAATGCCCTCTCTTGTTGTCGTCACCAGAGACCCCTGTGAGCGTCTTTGCAAGCACACGTCCTAATTTGTAGAAGCTAGAACCTAGTCAAATGGATGAATCGGCCGCCAAATCTTCATCTGAAGCTCTTCTGGATTTGCTGTGACTGCAGATCATATGCGTCTTGCTCGATGCGTGATGTGAAACTCGCTCCTTGAGGGCGACTCAAGTGTCCGACCGGATCGTTCGCACCTTCACCTTCGTGGTTTCGCCATCTGAGCTCTTGCCCCCATACTCTCAGAACTATCGTCTCATCTGAATTTGGGTTCGTATTCAGGTTCAGGCTAAACCGCAGGAATACCAAAATCATCCGTCATCTCCAAGACACTCAAATTCGGGGCTGGAGGCGGTGATTCGACTTTGCTCAGCCAGTCCTGTGTAAGGCGGGATTGCTCTTGTATGCACAAGGAGCTGGGCTCGACTGGCCCGCCTGCGTAGTTTAAGCTGATACCTGCATCCCAAAGCCTATTGGGCAATGCAACCTCCCCTTCTATTGCCCAGACCGCAGGCCTTGTTCTCGTCTCGACTCCGATCGCGACCTCGTCGCGGTAGCGTCTCATCTTGTCAGTCCCTCAAGACATCATTGCCCTGCATGAACTAGTCCTCGCAGCTGGCGTTCGACTTCCTTTTCATCACCCGCACCATCAGGACAGGACAGCAGGCTGCGAAGAGCTGAGCAGATGCCCTCGTCCTTTTTCCAAGCACACCTGGTCTGCAGGCACACTCCTTCACCTCAATTGATGACCACATGCGTGTCTCGACTGCGGCGGATTGCAGGTGGTATATGGTGCAGGCTCGAAGTTGATTCCGAGGATCTGTTCGTGCGTCAAGAGCAAGGCAATGCTGAAAGTGCCAGCAGGGGGTATTGCGGTACATCTGTAACATCTTCGGTCTACTTGCTGGGATGCAGAGTAAAAGGACGTGGAGGGCTCGGCAGATGGGTCGTACGCTTTGAGCGGTTTGATGGATGCGAGCAGTTTGATGGATGCGAGCAGTTTGATGGATGCGAGCAGTTTGATGGATGCGAGCAGTTGTGTCCTACCGAAGGACTGGCGCTGTGGAAAGGTAAGACCATTAGGGTCGTTGTGCCTGGATGATGTTATGATCGCAAGCTCTGTTCTGGGTCTGCCACGGCCTGCACTCAGTTCCGCACCAAGTACACTCGACAATCGTGGGATAAGGAAGCCGAGCTTACCATCGATTATGCCTCCTCTATCTTCTCTTTTTGAACGACGTAGGAGATCTATGGGTATGAACGGAGCACCCTGCTCTAGATGTCTACATGTACGCCTCCTGAGGTCCAAACATGCCGCCAAATGCATCAAAACATTTCACTGTGACGTTGCAATCACTGGTCTTCCATCAAGAACTCGATGACAGCCTTGATGAACTCCTCAGGCCTCTCGCTAATGACCCAGTGTCCACAGTCTACGTCCACCAGCTCGAAGCGTGGGAAGAAGCGGCCGATGATGGGCAGCGTCTCATCGCTGACGTAGTGGCTCTTGGTGCCTCGAATAAACAGCGCGCGTTTGCTGAAGCTGTGCTCGTCTGGGTTCGTGAAGGGGAAGTCCGCCATTTTGTCGAGCGACCTGGCCAAAATGTTGACGGGTATCCTCCACTGCATGTGCTCTCCAGGCGCCAGACGCACCAAGTTCGACAATAGGAATTGCCTGACTGGCAGGTCCTTGGCATATGGTTGCATGACCTCATCCGCAGATTTCTGGCTCGTGGGCTTGACCTCCTCCACCTTCTTCATGCCTTCTGCGTATATCGGAAAATCAGACGAGAGGGCGGCGTCGACGGGCGAGTTGTCGACAGAGATGATGTTGGCGCAGCAGGACGGGTCACGCAGGGCCATTGCCATGACAGTCTTGGCGCCCATGGAGTGGCCGATAAGGGTCGAGTTCTTTAGGTTGTGCTTCTTGAGGAAGGCCTCAACATCTTCGGCGAGTGCGTTGTAGTTGTGGACCTTATCGTGGGGCGAGTCGCCGTGGTTTCGTGTATCGATAGCATAGACGGGGCGGGAGAGCTCGCGCGCAAAGACGCTGGATTGTCAGCCAGAAGTCACTGAAACTGCGCTATGAGAGACGTACTTGCTGACGCCCTGATTGTTCCTTTTGCTGCCGAACAGGCCGTGAATGATCACAATGGGGTCACCGTTGGCTTTCCCATTGTTATCGTGAAGCTTGTATGCAAGATCAACGGCCCTTAGGCTCGCAGACGCGTGGAACGAACGCGCCCATGACGGCGATGGAGTCGCGTTGCCGAGCTGTATCCGGATCGCCGGGTTTGTGAGCCCGAGTAGCTTGCTGGGCGGCCGTATGCTGCGGAGTGTCGAATGCATCGTGTGTTTGATGAGGCTGTTCCGCGATCGCGGAACCGAACTTTTCTGGAAGCGAACGTCATCGCGCTAGTGATCTAGCACGCGTGAAGGACCTACAATCTTGACCTGAATGTCGAGCCTCGTGCTGTATCGAACCCTCGATTCACAGTGAACACGTGTTCGTCATGCGACGCCTATCTTATGAGACCGTGCAATGCCCTCCTCAGATCCATACTATAACGAATAATATCCTCAAGAGCTCGAGGGCTTGCATATTTTTATGATCTGAGGAGAAAACCATGTAGATACGGCTCAGGTAGGGAGAGTCCAGGCATCATGACACTCCATGCAGGACTTTGAGTAATAAGGGAGCCCACGAGACCGCACGTGAAGACGGGACGCGCTCGCGTTCGAGGCGCGCCACTGACGCACCGTCCATCACCAACCTCGTCGCAGTCGACATTCCCTACTCTACAACGATACGTGACAGAACCCAATCAGTCAAACTTGTCGAGCGTTTCGAATCGCGGTCTACAAACATGGGAACTGGAAGAATGGCGCCTGCCGTCCCTCGGGCAGCGCGCAACACTCGATCATCTACCCGTTTGCAAACCCAGAAATCATATCAAAATGAATACACATCGAAAGCAAAACACACCGGAAGGGTCCAAAAGAAGCATCTAGATCCCGCGAACAACGCACATAAAACGAACAAGACAGCCACATCTGCACCCAAAGCATCTGCCACCAAATCAGCAGCTCCAGACAAGCTCGACGCCATCTCCGCAAGATCATCCTCCACGACCACTTTCTCTATCGACTCCGACCTCCTCAGCAAGTCCATCGTCTGCTACCGATACATCCCCACCGCCCAAAAGGAGGTTGCTAAGAATACAGCGCACTTCATCTTCACCCACGGCGCAGGCGGCACTCTCTCCGCGCCCGCAGTCGTCAATTTTTGCACCGGCTTTGCTTCCACCTCCTCAACGCCTCTCCTTGCTTTTCAAGGCTCTTCAAATCTCGGTGCACGGGTCAAGGGTTTCCACGCCTGTCACGGCCATCTGGGCAGCGGAGCGAAGGATCTAGTATTTGGAGGGCGAAGTATGGGCGCGCGAGCTGCTGTGATGGCTGCAACTGAGCTTATAGCTGATAGGAAATGGGACGAGAACGGGAAGATGAGGCTGCTGCTTGTGAGCTATCCGCTGCAGGGGCCGAAGGATGTCCGAGACCAGATATTGCTCGATCTGCCGGAGGACACCGATGTCTTATTCGTTGTGGGCGACAGGGACGCGATGTGTCCACTTGATTTGCTGGAGGAAGTCAGGAGGAAGATGGTGGCTAAGTCGAGATTGGTCGTGGTGAGGTCCGCGGATCATGGGATGAAAATTAAACCAGCAAGTCGTACGAAGGAAGTGGGTGAAGAGACGGGCATGGCGGCGGCGAGGTGGTTAAGCGGGGAGATAGAAAGCGGGGGTGAGACACTGTATGTGGACGACGAAGATGAAGAGTAGTCGACCATGGAACGATGCAAAGACATTGAGGCCCTGCTGAATGCCTGTCCTGGTATCATGCCGCTGGTAAATATGGACCCAGCAATCTATGCTGCTGATACTCTGCTCCTGTTCAATCCTCTCTCGCGATCACGACACCTTCGTCCCACTCTGGGTCCTCATCGATGACCCCAGCGAACTCGTCTGACATCAAAAGCTCATCATTGGCGGTCAGCACACCCTTAATGTCGGTCGAGGCGATCTCCTCGTATGCTGTAGTGATGCCCGTGATGCGGCATAGACGCGCAACAGACGCCATCATGACCAAGCCAAACATGGCGAATGGTCCCACAGCAATTAGCTGAGAGAATTGGCTGCCAGGTCTTAGCCTCGCTGCGTGAACCGATATTGAAGAAAAAGTCTTACCAGTACCAGACGTGCACACACTTCTCGTCCCAGTACTTGAGCCTGGTTTCGATCTTGGTAGGGCGCTCGGATTTCTTGCCAGTGTCCATTTCGGAGAGGAGGAGGGCAAGCTGCTTTCGAAAGGCGTGGAGGCTCTTCCACCAATGGCTGCGGCGGTGCTGGTTTCGGTTGCGGGCGAAGAGGTTGTTGAGGAGCTCGTAGATGTCAACCAGCATTTCCCTATCATGCTTTGAGGCATTGAGAAGGGTGTCTGCGGAGATTGTAGCCATTTTGGCGGTTTGGCGGGAGGTAACTGGGGCCATTGTGAAAATTGTAGATGTTGAAGGTCTTTATGGCAGTCGAGATCAGAGATTATGAAGTGCTAGAGATCTCCAGAGCTCGCAACTAGGCTAAGGATGCAAGCTTGCGAATTCCTGATGTCCTGCGGGCTGCCGGGCGCGGATGCGGAAACCTTGCCTGGGCGCAGGCTTGGAGGTATGGAAACCGGGTGGAAACGCAGTTTGCCGTTACAGGGGAGGTCGCTCCGATCGTGATGATGATACAGTGGAGGTGAGGAGTACCCGCATGCTTTAGTTGGCGGTGAGGCAGAAAGTATAGATGGCGCAGGTAGAACGAAGGTGAAGAAGGAAAACGCGCTTGACGTGTGTATGTAGGTACTGAATCGAGAACGCGATTGCGTAGTCGAGCCCGGCACCATCAGCGTAACGGTATGCTCAGGCAGACATTGCTACTCGACACATGATGTAGCCAGATCTGGACCTGCAGGAGTCTGCAGTGAATAAATGGTAGACGGGAGAGGCCAGTCTTATCAGTTTCAGAAGTCTCCGGTCAAATTTTGTAAGCGGTGAAGACTTTGCTAGCACAGGGTCGTCCGCAATGCATTACAAACCTCGCGACACCTAGCGAGATAGCAAATGTGACATCTCTGTCGTACTCTAATGTGAGATGCAAGCAGAGTGTAGCACAGATCCGGGGATGGGGCATATTATAGGGTCTCCCGGAGTAGTCGGGATGCGGAGAGGGGGCGCTCGACAACAGTCTTGTACGGCACCCGCATCAGCGGTAGACCTGAGCCGTAATCCTGAGGATGTGACTATCTAGACCCGGCGAGTGTGATTGATGCGAGCCTGATATGAGGGTGGTACAGGCGTAGATGCTCAAAGCAAGCCGCTCCGGGGTTGATGCTGATGCTACATCAAGGTTTCCTACCAAGATGCATGTGGACGTGATCCGCCTCCCTGCGCACGATGCCCATATACTGAGCTTGAGACACTCGCGAGGAGCCTGTCCCTGTTGGAGATAGTGAGATCGTTCCCCAGTGAACTCGCCAGAGGGGCGGAGGTGGTCAGCCTTGCATTCGGGGCTTGGGCACATGGTTCCGCTCCGCAGCTTCCCCGGCGCGCCGTTGAAGCTGTGCGCGTGGGGTAGCTCCTTCCACCACTGCACGCTCCCTCCTTCCCCCCATCAAATCCAGCCCTTTTTCATGCAGCCCGACCGAAGAGGAAGCTATGACCATGAGGATAGAGCACCATTATCCACCCGGATGACCGAGCTGTCTCTGCTCTCGAAAGCCTGACCCCTTACCCTCAACCTCTACCCCATCCTGCCAATGCAACGTGGCGTGCGCTATCGTCGTATAACCGCAGCCCGTCGAGATCTTCAGCTGAAGCGCGAATGAGCTGGAGATCTTGGGAGACGCATCGCCGCGACACCCAATCCTCGACCTTTCACGCGCGTACAGCCATGAAGCTGAGCAGGGTGCCACCGGCACTACCCTCAAGCTGTCGAATACGTGTCGTACATCTTCGAGAGATCTGAGAAGCTGGGACGATGTTTCTTGGAGCGACCTAAGAGACGGCGACCGCATCTTGAGAAGACGACTCGCACTTTGGCATCCACACCGTAACTTAATCTGACAGCGAGCTGCGTACATTCAACGTCAGACTCGTGTTGAAGACGACATGCGTCTGGGATCCCTCTAAGGGCGTGCGGAATTTCGCAAGCTGAGGGCAGAAGCAGACGGGCGTGCGGATTTGCCTGTGCGTACACTTTCCAAGTGCCAGTAATCCTGCCCGAGTGCGTGAAGGTAGGTGGTGTACACCTGGCACAATGCGTGAGCCCGAAATGCACAGAGGCTTCAACGTTACGGACCTGGAATGATCTGCCGACTACAGTCGTTACACGACAGCGGACTGCACCCCTTCTGGTAATTTGCTTGCACTCAGCCTTCACACCATGACCATGACTTGCTCTGGAAGCGAGCTCCACATCAAGACATGGAGCTCATATTGGAGATGAAACGGGGCTGGGTCTCTTCTTTATGACTTGTGGACCTGGCCGTTCCGAAACAGATAAGCGTAGGCAAGAGCAAGGAGTCATCTGTGCATATACCCGTCCACGAGCAATGAAGCTGTCGACACCAACGTTCAAAAAAAGGAGTATGTAGTAGCTTCGGACACCGTCTGACTTCTTCCGGCATCATGCACGTTGCCGGAGTGTATGGTGGCCCCTCCGCTCAACAATGACGCTGGTCGTGGAATGATTTAACGACTACAGTCGTTGCACGGCAGCGAGTCGCAATCCTTGTGGTATCTCCGACGAGTACAACATTGCTCACGGTCGAGCTCGGAAGGGCTTTACTTATTTGTGGCTGGGAACAGCAGACAGCAGGATGCCGAAACATGATGCCGCCTAGCATGTTGATGGCTTCGATTGCGCTACTGGCGTGTACCACACTCGTGTGCCGCTCATCGATGCCTACGTTGCCACATCCAGCCGAACGTATCGCAAGAGATGGATCTTTGGCGGAGCCTGCCTGAAGGTAGCTTCAGCGGGTCCAAGGTCGATCTCCCCGAAGGGCCCGAAGGATGCTTGTCGACCGCAAAAGCTCGAAGCCGTTATCGCTCGTCTCCCTCTCTTGCTCTCGTTCTCAGTACCGCCTTGTTTCCTGAGAAGTCGTCAGTCAGGCTCATCTTGATCAAAAGCATGGAACGAGCGGAGTCTTCTGGCCTCCCAAGCTCGCACTAAGACTGTGAGGCTTGCCGTTGGGCTACCTTGAAGGGCTTCAGCAGCATATCGACTCGTAGGGGATCATTTCGGATGTCTTCGATGCTCGCAAGAGCAGGCTTGTAGCGGACAATGGGCCTTGCGGCCGGGGTGCGGGGTCCTTCAGGTGCTGTCCGCAAGACCAAACATTCTAGCAAACAAGACCCCATGGCCTATGTACTGTTGAGCGCTCATTGTCTATCACACGATCCCTGTCCCAATCGGCTTCGCTGCCCTCACATGTACCGAACCATGGGTTTGACGGCGAGGTAGGCCTGCGCCCAGGCAAAACACCACTTGCTGACCAGCTCTTCGGCCGAGAGCTCGACAAGGATGCACCTCAGGCCAGTCCAGGTGTCCCCGTATCTCTGCTGGTGGATCTGGTTGGCAGGCTCGCGCTTGTGTAGCCTGCCCAGTTGCTCGAGGCACTCGCGGATGTGGTCTTCTCGCATCTGGCAGCGGTGGAGCTCTCTGCGGTAGACCCAGTCAGCGAGGGCCATCATGGGGACGTCGTGGAAAGGCATGGTCCTTGAGAAGTGCTTCGAGAAGAAGATTATGTGCTTGGAGAGCTGTTTGAGAGTATTGTTCGGTGCGGTGTTGGTGTTGTGAGGAGTTCGTCGGAGTCAAGTTGGGAGCTGCTCCACCACCATACACACGGCGGGCTTCACGAAGGCGTCCGTGCGCTCACCTCCTGTGCTGCAGCATAGTCCCAAGAGCACTAAAAGAGCCGGGAGATGGTACAGCTGTCACGGATTGGAAGACCCTCAGCTGCGCATGGATATCTCATCCCACCTTCACAGTCCCTGTTGCAAGCCACAGCACACTGCAGAGGTGCCTCTCCTGCTGCACAAATTCTGGTGGTGGATCCGAGCACCGGCAGAGCTGCTGCGAGCGCATCAGCAAGCCCTGTGAAGGCTATATAGAAGTCGAATGTCCAGACAGATGAGCCAGACCTTGAACGAGTCACCTGCATGAACATCTGAGATCGCGGGCCCAGGCTGGAGGACTACATCAGCTGCGGAGAGCCTGCTATGAGACTTTTGGGACATGTACATTCGCACGAGCGCTACAAAGGCTTGCATCAACTCCGTGATGTCTACAAGCAGACGAGCAGGAGCATACACATCACGACAAGATCCATATCTCGGACATTTGATAGGGGACGTAATATCATAGTCACAAGGTGTTTGCTCCTGCAAGATGTGTTCGCTGTTTGTTCGTATCCTGCAGCCAACACCAAAGCATTACGGTGATCGTGCACACATGCCAATGGAGGCGGACAGTGCCGTATCTTCTCAGCTCAAACCAAAGAGCTGCACTGAAGACTGAAGAGTCGACATCATGGCTGGTATGAAGATACAAGTCATCATGCAAACAAGAGGAGACATGAGGCTAAGCAAAGCTTTTATTCTATGGAGACGAAGTCTGAGCTACATGATCTGGCACAGAGATTGTATCCATACCCACCATCATACCGAAATCCAGATCGGATTCGAGTTCATCAAAAAGCCACCAACGCCAGTGTTGTGCTATGCTATACCATACTCATACCTGAAGAAGGCGTATCGAAACGTCTTGATCTGACAACCATGTGGAAACAGATCGGAACAATGACGGAGACAGTGGAGGCCTGTCGCAAGCTACAGATTCCTAGACGAAGTTGCCGTTGGCCTGCTCATGACGGTCGGAGCGAGCGAATGAAGGGCTACCGTTGACGCGGGCGCGGCGAGTAGGAGTGGTGACGGTGGTGCCGATGTGATCGCGCTTGTAAGGAGTGTTGATGACAGGAGCGCCGATGACACCGGGGTGGTTGACAGCGCCGGAGTTGGGAGAAGACTGGTGTTCAGCGAAGCACTGGGCGACGTGGGTCAAGGGGATGTAGTTGAAGGGGATGTATCCAACTTGACCCTGACCGTAGTTGTAAGAGTACCAGACCTCGACATCGCGCTTCTGCACGTCGCTGAGGCCTTGAAGTGGAACCGGAGCAGCGCGCTGGCGAGCGAAGTTCATGGCGGCCTGCATCATGTCGCGAGGAGTGCCCCGATCGTATGCGCTAGCACGGTTGCGGTGCTCGGAGACGGCAGAGAGACCATGAGGAGGGTAGAGACCAACGCTACGGGCGCTGTCCATGGAACGCTGAAGCTTAGACAGGTTGTCAGGACGAGGGAAGGGCTGTTCGGTGCCGGTGGAGCGAAGCTTGTCAGAGATATCGGCGTCGAGGTAAGGGAGGAAGAGGCGCGGTCGACAGAACGGAGTCTCCTGCATGACGGAAGAGTTGCGGAACTTCTGCACCAAAGCTTCGCGGCCTTGGATGGTGGCGTAGGAGACCTCGGCGGCCTTGGAAGAGCGGTAGGCAACCCAGCAGCGACGCTCGATGCGGTCGATGAGGGCAATCATGCCACCGACGTCGGCAAAGTTAATGAAGGCATAGCCAACGTTGCAGCCAGACTTGAAGTCGATGCGGAGGTAGAGGAAGTCGTAGGTGCCAAAGCAGACCTCGTCCAGGATGGTCTTGAGTGACATCTGTGGTAATGGTCAGCGAGGTCTTGACGAACCAGGAAGAGACGACTTACCCAGTCCATCTTGTTGGGGATGTTGCGCAGCATGATAGTGGTGCGGACATCGCTGCCATCGAGGATGCGCTCGCGGCGGACACGGTTATGCTGATCAGCCGGATGACGCTGGTAGGGGACGTTGGAGATCGAAGTAGGACGGTAACCAACGAAGCGACCCTGGTCATCGACACGAGGCTTGGTGCGGTGGGGTGAGTTTATGGCTCGCTCGCCAGACCAAGGGGCAGTCTCGGCGATAGCCCAGCGGAAGGTCTTCTGTGAAGGTATCAGTATACTTGCTCGATGTCAGTCAAAGGAAGGAAGACTTACCGAGTTGTTGACACCCCAGACAGAGTCAAGAGTCAAGCTCTGGACAGCACGAGTGGCAGCATCGACTGAGTGGAATTCGATACGGAAGACGAGAGTCATCTTGGTGTCGTGGGTCTCGACGTGGACGCAGTTGCGGACGGTACCGAAGACGCCTGCGGTAATCTCGATAGCCTGAGAGACTTCGGCAAGGTCGGCGTCGGTGAAGTCGAAGGCGGCATGGTCAGGGTAGGGTTGAATAGTGACGGGTACCTTGATCTGACCTTCGAACTCGTTGAGCTGGGCTGTATCCTGCGACTTGGCGAGCGCAAACTCGTAGCCGGTGATCCAGTCGACGACGTAGCCGTGCTCAGAGAGGATGTCCTTGGCTTCAGCGGCCTCGCGAAGGTCGTCGTAGCGGAGGTGAACACCACGAGTGTAGACCGGCACACAGCTTGAGAAGCACTGGTACTGGGTCAAGGTCAGTACATGTTGATGTGACTGGAGCGCGTGTGACTTACTAGCTTCATCTGATGCTGAACGCTGAAGAGCTCGTGTTCAGAGTCGACGCCGGCATGGGTGCCATCTGGAAGCTGAGCGACGAACTGGAAGCGAGAGATGAATGACTTGTCATCCTCGGAGACCTCGTTGGCGAAGAGACCCTGGTAGTAAGGGGCAGGGAATGGGAGGCCGCCCTTGTACTTGGGAGAGGCAGCACCTGTGTTGTGAAGGGAAATCTTGCCGTTGTCGGTGACAGTGACCTGGCTGGGGATGTTGCGGCGATGGAAGCCGTTCGAGCGAGAGTAGCGAGTCAGGTCAGGTGAGTACAAGGTAGGGTCAGTGCCAGCATAGGGGCTGGAAGCTGGGCCAACGCCGGTGGAGGACTGGGGTGAGTGGTGAGACATGATGAACAAATGCTGATCAAGGGAAGTACTGATGTACAGAAACGATGGAACGATGAATGGGTAGTGACCAAAGAGGTATGGTCAAGGTCAAGGTGTCAGAAAGAGAAGATCGAATGACCAAAGTGCCGAGTGGGTGATTCAAAGAGAAGGAAAGGACGAGGCAGGAGAGGTTTATGAACTGCCCCCATCTTGGCGCCCACGAGGCGCTATACCTTGCCGGACATGCAGACGGCGATTCTGCCATTTGTCTGTGCATTCATCGTTCGAAGATGGAGGAAAGAACTCATCGTGAGCGCCCTCGATGGCCGGCCGGGGTGTCTCCAGGGAACGATGCCTCATCCCCAGGCGTTCAGGTCTGAAGAACGGCTACAGTCGCAGCTGCGAGGCCTACACCAATCGAAAGCCCTCGTCGAGCTCTACCACCTCTCAAATCGCCAGCGATCAATCAATGAAGTGGTGGAGGGTGCACTCAAACTGCAAGCTGCTTTAAGACTTGGTGTTCCTCAACACCACGACTGTTGGACGAGTGGGGCCACGATAGTTTGACGCCCGACCCTGGTCACCGCCCGCTCGAGCAAGAAGGAGCAGCTACAAGGCCAGCCGAACAAGGGTACAGCAAAGAGAAGGCATACCTCATGGTGAGATTCCACGATCGAAGAGGAGATTACGATGCTCCAGTGAGCTTGCAGGGTATTGAAAGCAGTGCAGCGGGGGCGAAAACGAAGCAGTACTTGGCCCAGGACTGTTGTATGATTCTCAAGGTCCGGGGCTTCAAGAGCTCACTTTATGAAGGCTTGACGGCTCAGAGGTACAGCCAGGGCCACAAGTATCTGCGTGCTCGAGATTCTCTAGGCCGTTGCTTCTCCAACACTGTCAAGGTCGGGGCGCAGGCTCCTTACACTGTTCCTGGGGACTGTTGAGAGAACCTTTGACCGGTAACTAGAGGAGGCTGCGTTCCATACTCTCCGCACGCGCAAGGCTGCGGGTTGGCATCAAAGCAACAGTGAGGTCGAGCAGCAGCGGCTTACGGCAACAGAAGAGATCACGGCGAGGCACAGCGTTGATCAAGTAGGACCTTTGCACGACTACAGAGCTTACGATGCCCTGGAATGTTTGCTGATGAGCTGGGGCAGCTGAATGCATCTTACGGTACACACGTTCAATTTGCGTGCTTTGAGAGCCTTCTGAGTACACGGGACCTGACAGCTGCCAGTAGCCGAATGCCGCGGAGTCACAAGCCTGTGACCCGCTTAGACACACCACGATGGGCTGCTGAACAGCGTCTTCATTCAAAAGTGCATCCATGCTCAGTTCTGATTGCTAGGAATTAACTCGTAAAGCTGACGAGCGGGCAAGCAATGTCGCTAGCAAGTTCAAGCACAACGCTGAAGGGCGGCATGTGAACGTTCAAGGAGGCGGGTAACGGTTCTGGGGTCGACCTAAAAGAAAGAAGACAGTCAGAACTCCATGGGATGTGTGCGACCCATATTAGGGGTTAAGAGATGCTAAGCTACACTGCTATTGCAGCATGGGTATTGTAAAACAGACTACCATATCGCCCTCGCTCTCACGACACCTAATTTTTGCCCAGCCCTTCCACGTTGCCTTCAAACATCCACCTATCATCCTCTATACTCGCAATCTTCTTCGCCAGACTTGACTTGAGGGCAGCCTTGACCTCTGCCTCGACAGCCTCTTTGTCCCAGTGTGCATTCTTCTGCCCATACAGCTCAATCATCTGATTCTCATGCGCTGTTCGTTGTCAGCACTATGCCCAACACCAAAAGTCAAGACTTTGAGTAAAGATGTCATACCAGTCTCCTCATCACTCTCCCTCCCATCGCTCAGCCCCAGCGCCATGTGCTTGTAGACTGTTTGCGGCGCAAACAATGCGTAGTCGCCGTCCGCATTCCGCTCGACCATCTCGCCCTCCATAGGTTGCTGGAATATCATGGCTGTGTCTGGACGGACCGCGGTTGGGTTTTGTCTTCGTGTGCCCTGGAATAGGTTGCGACGGGCGCCTGGAGGTGGTCGAACGGCGCGTGTGTGGTCCATTGTTGGATGGCGAATGAATCTGGAGATAGGCTGGTTCAATTGCTAGTATGGTCAGGCAAATATAATCTGAACGTGATTTGAGGCTTGCCAGTCGATAAGTCGTCTGCTCGTTGAGATGATGCAACACAATGACGTTTGGCGTGCCGCCGGAGGTCTTGCGGGGAAGTGGAGCTTGTTGCGCTTCAGCTTTCTTGTCGACGTGCGCAGCATCATACCAACATAAGCTCATAAACTTATGTACGCGTCTCCATACGCGTCGAAGTCGCTGATCGAAAAGCTACGAGCTCGAGAAGATTCTGGACCACGACCGATCACACCCCGAAAGGCAGCTGTAATTGTACAGCAAGCCATTGCGCAATAATCCATACACAATTACAACATGACGGACCAGGCACCAGACCCGAAATCTTTAAAGACACATCAGAAGCTGGACTTCCGTCCCTCGGAAGACAAACCAGAATCACCTCCACGCAAGCGACCGCGAACGAAGGCTCCGCCCAAGATGGCAGCACCGAACGTAGATACCGTAGGCTTCGCACCACAACCCACGCCTCAGCCTGCAGCTGAAGCCGTACTAAATTCTGCACCGAGAAAACCCTCCGAAACACACCGCTTCCCTATACAGCCCCTCAATCGCTTTCAAGGCGCCTCGGCAAGCATCAAGCGCCCGCGCGAAGTCGCCCATTTCTCCTACGACGACAACCACGAATACCGAGATGATGATTCCAGCATCAACTACTATGTCCCACCGCCAATGGGTACAGATATGAAGGAGGGTTTCGACACGTTCAAGCATTATGAGGAGAAGGAAGACCCCCACCTTGACAGCCTGCTCAAGGCCTTGATATACAAGGAGGGCAATGACGCGTCTGCAGCAAAGATCAAGGCTGACTTTGTGACGTGGCGGGGCATGATGACAAAAGTGAGTTGAACCTATCTAAGCGTCAGGACACAAGGTGAGCTCTCTTGTCTCACCCGGTCCAAACGATGTCACCCACTAACACGATCCAGATTATGACGGCTCCCTACGACAACTTCGCAGAATTCAGCATGTTCGCAACCCTGCACGACGGCACAATCTACATCGAAGAAGACTTCCCCTCACGCGCCGCCGCCCGCGCCGCCGAGTCCTCACGTCCGCCTCCACGACACCAGCATCCCGATCAGCAATCCCAAGCCATGATGGCCTACTGGGGCTACAAATTCGAAACACTCTCGCTGATCCCTACACCTCCCTCAACAACGCCGCCAGACCAAATTCGTATACACCAACAATCCATAACCTCAAATCATGCACAATACTGCTCGATCGTCCACACCTCTTTCGGTACGCACAGGCTCCTTCTCGGCGGTGAAGTCGATGGGCTACTCTCACCCAAGCCCTCAAACCCCAGCGACTCCATACCGTGGGTGGAGCTCAAGACCGCCGAAGAACTCCCGCCCCGAGAGCGGCAGCAGCACCGCGACGTCTTGAAATTCGAGCGCAAGCTGCTCAAGTTCTGGGCCCAGAGTTTCTTGCTCGGCGTCCCAAAGATTTGTGTCGGGTTTCGTAGTAAAGCGGGGATTTTGAGGGGACTGCAGATGTTTAATACGCATGAGCTGCCGGGAATGGTACGCAGGGGGACGGGTTGTTGGGATGGGAATGTGTGTATCAACTTTGCGGTGGGGTTTTTAGAGTGGTTGCAGGGTGTGGTCAAGGGGGGTGGAGTGTATAGTGTAGTGCTAAGGAAGAAAGGCGGGGTCGTTGAGGCGAGAAAGGTGAGCGAAGGAACGGGGGGGATTGTGAGTTCAGAGTTTTTGGCGTGGAGAAGAAGCGGAGAGCAGAAAGAACAAGGTCTAGAGACGAGAGTGCCCACAGAAGTGAGGCACAAAGATGAGCAAAAGTCCGAGACGACCGCTTAAACAGACACAGTAACAAGATACCCACAACACCATCCCCAGTTCCTCAGCGTCATCACTTCTAATTCCTCCCCAGCCCGAACCGACTTCCCAATGTCCCAAACCGCTCACTCGGCGCACTCTTCGTCGGGCTCTGTGCCGCAACCTGCGCACCCTCCTGGCACTTCTCCAGCAGAATCGCGCCCTTGAGCTGATCTACCTTGCCATACTTCTTATTCCGCTGGCTAATATCGTAGAACTCAAGGCTATCATCTGTACCCATGAGCGTGACCGTTTGCGTCAGTTCATCCAGATTCTCCATCAGAATGGGGTTGCCAAGGCTCTCGACGAACTGCACGAGGTACCTGGTATCTAAGGAGAGACTCGCGACGGCCGTGGGAGTGATGCGCTTCACGCCCTCGTCGAGGGTGAGTGCGAGGATAGCGGTCGAGGCGTGGGACAGTGCGTCGAAGTATATAAACTCCTTGACGTCGGTAGGCAGCGCGAGCAACACTGAATTCATGATGTTGCTCAGGTACCGCGTGAGTTCGAGCATGTACTCGCTGGGCTCGGCCGCGGGCTTGGTCGCCATCCAATCATACTCCGCGGTCTCGATGAGGTCGTCGATCTTGGAGTTTACCAGCTCGAAGATGCGGTCGCTGGCCTGGCGTTTTGCGTTCTTGAACTTCTCGGTCGCGGAGAGCACAATGGGCGTTGTCGATGAGGGCGAGCTACGCGCCTGGAAGAGCAGATCTTGGAGCTCGACGCACGCGGTTTCAAAGTGCTCGAGGTTGGTTAGGATCTGCACGATCTGGCCGGGGTACTGCGAGGAGAGGCGGTCGATAAGGGATTGGCAAACTTTCTGACAGAGTAGCTCGTCAAGCGAGGTGCGAAGGGTTTCGTCGATGACAGTCGATTTCTGGAAGTAGTCGTCCGAAAAGAGGTAGATCTGGTTGAGGAAGTTGCGGATGTCGATGCAACAGAGTGGGTACATCTGAGAGAAGGGTAGAACGCAGGGGAAAGTGAGCTCCTCGCGGCTCTTGTCTGGAGTGTACCAGCTAACGGAAACGACCTTATCATACTCTTCGTAGCTGGCGATGGGCATCGGCATGTAGTCGTCAGTTTGGACGATCTCTAGGAAGTCGTCACTGAAGCGCTGCTTGAGGAGCTCAGAGTACTTCGAGAACAGTGTCAAGAGTAGATCATTCATAGCTGCGACGGAGTAGCCAATTTTCTGTGAGATGTCAGTGGGGAAAAGGAAAGATGGAACGGACACGCCTTACCTCCATCGTCAGCATGAGCAATGCAATTCGACCCTTTATCTTCAGTAGCAGCTCATCGCTCTCGACTGTGGGAAGCGATTCAGAGATGAGCTTGATAGTGCTTTGACACATCGAGTCCCAAAGTTCGTCAACCTGCTCATGTCAGCTCTTGAACGAGGCAGCGAGGTGTGACACTCACATCAGCCTGCTGACGTAGATTCGTCGTCTTCGCCATTGTTGCTTTCTCGATGATCGCAAACCCTGCGATACTTTCCAGAAGACTGCTGAGGTCATCACACTCATCTTGTAACAGGTTGAGTTTGCTGGGTAGGATCAAATCCTTTTGGGTCCGCCTGTCCGCAGCGTACTCGGCCTTGAATTGGTCAGTCTTGCCCAGGGTCTCATTGATATGGATTGCGAGGAAAAGCGGCGAGAAGTCAGTCTCATTGCCTGCTTCTTCGTTGTTCAAGATGTCGAACTCGTCCGTTTCATCGGCGACAAGCTCGATTGATGAATTGAGCTTGAACCGTCCAAACCGCGAGTCAACTTCAGCGCGATCAGCATTTCGCTTTCTCCGTTCGTCGGTGTAGTAGAATGATACTTCGCCAAGGAACTGTGACGACTCTCTGATTCGGTAGAGCCAGGTGCTCAAATCCGTCTTGACCGCTTCTCGAATTTGGTCTTGAGTCTGCGGCACGGACTTCTCGATCAAATTTGCAATCTTGAACCGGCTGATCTCCTTGAGGTGAATTGTCTGCAGCTCGTCCAGCGCACGAAGAGCCGCATAATAATTCTTCTCTCGCAACATGTCTTGAACCTGGTTCGCTATCCTCAGAACGTTCAGGCACGCGTTCAGCGCTTGTGTAGCTTCATTAATATTCTGGCGCACGCCGCGAGAGTCTACCAGCGCTTTCTTCTGGGTCGCCAGTTTCTCGATGCTTTCCTGGATGGATTCATTCAATTGCAGGATCTCTCCACTCATTTGCACAGTCTGGTCTCGAATACGGAGCATAGAATCAACCGAGCTGACAAAGTCTTGATGATTGGCGTTACATATGCGCTCAATCTCAGACTCTCGGTCATTCGAGAATTGATCGAATGCGAGCTGTAGCTGATTGGAATAGCGCGCATCTTTCATGATAGGGATCAGCTGATCGATGTAGTCCGAGCTTACGGATGACTGGGAAATCTTTCGCATGTCAGTATTAAGTGGATCTCGTTGTAACATGCGCGTGTTATTACTTGTTTGATTGCTATTCGCAGGTCATCGCCTGTGTCTATTGCGGACGGCATGATGACAGCTGTCTCAAGCGCTTGGGGCGCTCCAATTTGAAGAGCAGTCCGCAATCAGTTTCTCAGCGTGCAAAACCCCTTCGACGCGTTGGGAAACCTTGGTCGACACGTTGCAGTTGTGCTTCGTTGTGTGTAGTTGATGATGCCTGGGTAGGCACGTTCCCGCGATGCGCCAGGTACGGGTTCATGGACCTAATGCAAATACGGTTAAGACGCGTGGATTCGCTCTTGCCGCATCACGTGTTCGTAGGGCTGAGGTCCCACCTTGCTTGTCCGATGATTGCTCCGAACTTCGGTCGCCTTGCGGTGGTTACGTATGACGAGTACCCCGCGGCGTACTTACGGAGTGAAAACGAATTTATCGATAGCTCTCCCGAATGCTTTATCTTCAACCACAATCTTGATCTCGAGAAATTTCAACAGATCAGACAACATGGAGGCAATCATCAGTGAGTATTTCGAGCTTGCCAATTGAGCATATCTGATTGTTGCAGACAAGTTCGAGACCGTTCTCGGTGGGGTCAACTCTACCGGAAAGTGAGTGCAGTTGAGACGTACAATGAGAATTGAGCTGACATCTTTCCAGGTCGGTTCTGCTGCTCGGTGCTGGCTTCGTCACCCGCCCAACTGCTGAGATCCTTGGCAAGTCTGGTGTCAAGGTCGTCGTAGCCTGCAGGACGCTCGAGAAGGCACAGGCTCTTGCCAAGGGCATCCCCAACGCAGTCGCCATCAGCGTATGCAAACTTCTTGGACTACAACGCGGTGCAAAAACTAATCTCACTAGCTCGACGTCAACGATGCTGAGGCCCTCGACGCTGAGGTCGCCAAGGTCGACGTCGTCATCTCCCTGATCCCTTACACATTTCATGCGACCGTCATCAAGTCGGCCATCCGCAAGAAGAAGGATGTTGTCACAACCTCATATGTCTCGCCTGCCATGATGGAGCTCGATGCCGAGGCCAAGGCCGCCGGCATCACCGTCATGAACGAGATCGGTCTTGACCCCGGAATCGACCACCTATCGGCCGTCATCACCATCGACGATGTCCACAAGGAGGGAGGCAAGATCCTGTCCTTCAAGTCATACTGCGGTGGTCTCCCCGCGCCCGAGTCCTCGGACAACCCTCTTGGATACAAGTTTTCGTGGAGCTCCCGCGGTGTCCTGCTGGCGCTGAGGAACGCTGCCAAGTACTGGCAAGACGGCCAGGTCAAGGAGGTTGAGGGACCTGAGCTTATGGCCGAGGCCAAGCCCTACTTCATCTATCCCGGCTACGCTTTCGTTGCCTACCCCAACCGTGACTCCACTCCCTACAAGGAGCGCTACAACATTCCCGAGGCCCAGACCATTGTTCGTGGTACTCTCCGCTACCAGGGTTTCCCCGAGTACATCAAGACCCTCGTCGACATTGGCTTCCTTGTTGAGGACGAGAAGGACTTCCTCAAGGAGGGAGAGCAGCGCCCATGGAAAGACGCCACAGCCAAGATCGTCGGTTCGTCGAGCGACAAGAAGGAGGACATCGTCTGGGCCATTAGCTCGCGCCACAAGTTTCCCTCAACCGAGGAGAAGGAGCGCATCATCGCTGGTCTTGAGTGGATCGGTCTTTTCTCTGACGAGAAGATCATCCCCCGCGGCAACCCGCTCGACACTCTCTGCGCTACCCTCGAGAAGAAGATGCAGTACGAGAAGGACGAGCGCGACTTCGTCATGCTCCAGCACAAGTTCGAGATCGAGAACAAGGACGGCAGCAAGGTCATCCGCACATCTACCCTTGCTGACTACGGTGACCCTAAGGGCTACTCTTCCATGGCTAAGCTGGTCGGTGTTCCCTGTGCGGTCGCTGTTCAGCAGGTTCTTGACGGCACCATCAAGGAGAAGGGTATCCTTGCGCCCATGGATCCTGCTATTTGCAGGCCACTCATGAAGGTTTTGGAGGACAAGTACAACATCCGCTTCAGGGAGAAGACTGTTGCCGCATAGACCGATGTTACGCTAGGACGTGTTTGGAACCATAGATTGAGGATTCCAAGGGTGTTCGTAGTAGTGTAGACAAATGCAACTCATATTCACATCCAATTGATGTTCTCTCGACGATGTGATGCAAATTTTTGAACATTGGTATGTAACTGTCACGTCACGCCTATCCACACGCACAGCTTACGCCCCCTGACCACCTAGTCCAACCCTCCAGTTGGTGGGAGCGTCTTGCTCCCACTCGCCGGCTTCTTCGCGCCCCCACCCATTCCCCCTCCAAACATACTCCCTAGCATGTCAAACATGGGGTTTCCCTGCTTCGGTATTCTGATCCCAAAGTACATCTCACCAATCTGATCCAGCGCTTCGTCCCAATTTACATCCTTCAAATGCGCCGCATAATGGCTCTTCAGCTGCCGGAACAAGCTCGGATCGCCACGCTCCACGCTCAGCAACAGCAGCCCCAGGAAGTTCAACAACGGCATGGAAGGGTACACGCGTAGGTCTGAGGCTGAGGTCGAGACTGGCTGGGTTTGCAGCCCGGGCTTCGAGGATAGCCGGCTGGTGAAGAGTAGGAAGAATTTGTTCGCTGCACGCAAGTTGCCTGCGAGCAAGTAGGGAAGGACACCGCGCGCGGTGTAGAGTGGGGCGGTATGTGAGTCGTCAGCCATGTACCAGGCGTATTCGAGGTTGGCGAGGGTTTCCGGGGAATCTTTTGTGCCGAGGATGAGGTGGCGTTCAGCGTCATAGGGCTCGAGATCTGTATCTTATATCAGTTTTTTTGCAACATTATCTGATCCATGCATGTGAGGAACGTACCTTCAGCATATGCGCTGCCTGCGACGTGATGGATTTCCGGGTCGCCGGCGGGATGATCACCATACTTTGCGCTCCAGCCGACCATCTCAGCGACAAACTTCTTCTTCGTAGGTTCATTTGCCGGGAAGGCGCGGAGAAGGGTGATTAGCTTGCCTTTGCTGCTTGCATCGGGCTTGGTCTCGCTTTTGTTGAAGACATCGAGCAGGAAGATGCAGAGGTCGCCGCCGGAGCCGCCTTGGCCTGCCTGCAGGAGCGATTGTGCGCCGCGAAAGAGGATATCGGTCGCGGAAGCCCAGTCTTGGGCTTTGGTGTAGCGGGATGCGATTACGCGGAGCTGTTGATGGGCTTCATAGTATTGTCCTTCTGCGATTCTGTCTGGATTAGTGGGGTAGAGAGGTTGCTGGGGCGGATTCACCACCTCTCCTTCTGTCGCTGTATTGTCTTCTCGATTTTGGCAGACATGACGTCTTAAAGTTCGAGAGGGTGATGTGGTGTGTTGAAGGCACACCGTGGGCTCCAGGCGCAATGACGCAGGTTAGCTCACCCCGCTAAAACATCCAAGTGCAGTAGCCGCGACATTATTCGCACCTGCCATCCACGACCCACCACCAACACCTCTCGAAGGACGCAAGGTCTCTTGCACACTAACCTTGCTATTACCCCAGAACTGACAGAAAGATGCTTCTGAGTATCTTGAAGCAACAAAAAGGCAGTGCGAACCCAACGGCAAGCCAGTAGCGACGCACCAGGAGCAACACCATCCCTTTATCGACCAACAACAATCTTTCTGCAGTCCACACAAGGAGCGAAAAGAGACCCGCTGCATCGAACGGGAATCGAACCCGTGCCTGAAGCAAGTCCTTCCATTGGTGAGATGGGAAGCTTCAATTCTACCCCTAAACTATCGATGCGTGTTATCAGATGGAGAGCGATCGAGGTGCATGAAGTATAACTTGAGCGATCATCTGAGCTTCTTCTGGACGGTGAACATTACCAGATAGCTGCAGGACAACGAGCAAGTGTACACTGTGTAAGCTGACATGAGGCAAGAAGCGGGGCAAATGAAAGTGTATACCCCTCATCTATGTGAATATAGCCGGATGACTGCCTGAGGCTTAAATGTAACATAGCACGAGCACTTCGACGCTGTACCAGTGACACTCAATTCTCCAAGGTTTAGTTGCTATCGGCATCTAGGCTTTCCAAGGCGTTATCACGCCGTCCTTTATCATGTCCAGATAACTCCAGTAATCACGTTTGCCACCTTCTCCAGCAACTTTGGCATCGCTGTCCACTCTTCCAGACCAGTAGATACTGCCTTGTGTGTACTTGCTGAACGCCGCTCTTCCAGCATCAAACACCTCCTTGCGTTTAGACAGCTGGTTATTGAGCTCCATCTCAATCGACCACTCTCCAATGACGACAGGAAACTTCTTCGTCTTGTTTGCTGTCTTAGCATCCTGCTCGATGACAGGAAGGACTGTCTCGGGACTGCACTGGCGATGAGCAAAGAAGTAATTATGTGTGTCAATGACGATGTTCGCTGACTCCGGGAGCCGGGATGACCAGTATTCTTCTCTTTTGAACGAATCCTGGAACATGATCGGAATGCTCTTGTTGACAGCTTCGGTGCGCTGAATGACTCCCAGGATATATTTCAGCAGCCAGTCTGCTGCTTTGTCGGAGAGCGCTAAGGGAGTGCCGAATTTCTGCATTTCTTTGCTGTCCACAGCCTCGTTGACTGGCGCAAGGGTGTAAGACTCAGGATGCCCAGACTTGTTCTGGATGTAATTCAACACCGCATCCACTGCTTCATACGACATCTCAAGATTCTTTTCGTTGTAGAACCAGTCGCCATGCCCATGCGCTTCGCCAATGTCGAGCCAGTTGATGCCGCCTGGTAGGCCATGCAGATCGAGCACAATATGCATCCCGTACTTTTCAATCGCATATGTAGCTAGCTCCTTCATGATCTCGACCTGAGGTCCGTGGTAGTGCGGCGAGCCGGGAACCTTGATCCATGCAGCGTAGACAAAGGGTATGCGGAGGACGTTCACACCGTGAGCTGCGAATGTATCGACGTCCGCGTTGGTGAACCATGTCTTGTAGTGGCTATCGAGGTCCGCGCCGGCTGCGCCGAACTTCTCACACGCTGTCCACTCGTCAGGAGAGTTGCCGTGTTGCTCGAACCACTTGGGCATCATGAAGTGTTCCAGGCAGAACCAGCTCCCGAGATTAACTCCATTCGCCTTGAACTTGCGCCAATCGACGTATTGCGGGGCTGGTGGGGTAGTCATGGTGGTGGGGGTAGCTGAAGGTCAGCAGAGTCGATTAGTATGAGGTTGAGTTCGGCGGAAATCGTGGGTAGCGGGATGTATATGTAGGTTTCGCTCCCCACTTGCATTGACTTCAGTCGTTTCGCATAGGTGTCCTTAGGGGCCGGTGACGAGTTGAGGCTGAACTATGTACGACGCATGCTATGCGCTAAGCCTCGCAGACGCCTCCACTCAGCCCCCGCAATCCGAGATCCTTCTCTATCCCCATCAACATCTGGGTCCGAGCCGTCGCAACATCTTTGGGACCAGGTCGTACCGTTGTACGATTCTGGGGAAGAAGAAATAAGCGCGACTACGGCAAATAGGATGAGCAATGCGCCAAGCCTCCCAGACGCCTCCACTCAGCCCCCGCAATACGAGATCCTTCTCTATCCCCATCAACATCTGGGTCCGAGCCGTCGCAACATCTTTGGGACCAGGTCGTACCGTTGTACGATTCTGGGGAAGAAGAAATTAGCGCGACTACGACGAATAGGATGACGCATGGTCCAATGCTGTTGCATAGACAAGTGCGGCAGGCCTACCGCGAGGCTCTTGCGTAACGAAATAGGCAGCCCTTCCGAATTTCTGTCAGCCGTAGTGGATTTTGCATGTGACAGTGCTTGAGTCTGTCTGTCCTACCATCTTGCACATTTCTGCTGTTCAGTAGCCGACAAACCTTCCAAACTTAGAATCAGTCTCCGCTATCTTTATCGTGACTGTCGTTGATAACGTACGGCCGAGCACATGCACAACATTAAAGTCCGCGAAACATCAGCCACCAGAAAGCCAGAAGTGTTAAGAAGTACCGATGTCGTCTCAACGACATGACAGCTGGAGCCATGGCCGCTCAGGGCCCCCTTGCATCGAGGCAGCGCGTGTCTGTTAGATTTAAAGGTATCTACAAGAGGGAATACCTCACATTCTGGAGCGAGCTAAGCATACTGGAGATCAGCCTGCCGACCTCCTCAGAGTGGACTACGAGACGCATTGCGGGCCTAAACATAAGAGACTCGACAAAGTCGCATCCGGAGCAGCTTCTCCGAAAAACATTTAACATCAACCAGCCAATTACGTCAGCTCTCCTCCGCTGGCTTTTCCCTGGTGAACTCCATCGAAGCTGTACAGGTATGCAAAAAGCGGGCCACTTCGAGTGCTCAGATGCAAAGCAATAGGTCGTACTGAAATGTGCTGGAGTACGAGAGGTATTTTTATATCGATCCTCACGGACTGCCCTCAGCGAGACGAGCGTCTTGGCTGGACTGGCGACTCAGTACTGTTCGCTCCAACAGCCGTTTACATCTATCAATGCAACAGGATCCTAGAGGAATGGCCCATCGCTCCAGCAACCTATCAGAAGAGGCGAGACGGACTACTGCCAATGACCTGCCGGGGGTGAATGGTCTGCCGGGACTGAATGGTCTGCCGGGACTGGGAGCTGGATGTTTGAGGCGCAGTATGTTAGAATGTACACGTGACTGGTCAAGGCCATTTCGCCGCTGCTTTCTGCACCTGAAGATTCACAAGGCGCGCTTGCAGAGCATGATAGACATGGCACCTGATTACATTGGCACTGTGTGCATGTTGAGCGGTCAATGAGCAGATGTTCCAGAGTCCAAACGAAGGTCATTCAGATAGCGTTTACACTGCTCACTCCGCCATTCTTACTAACTCTCTCACAACCTCAAACATCTATGTACAAGAAGTTTCAACAACCAGTCTACTCTAGAAAGACGGCTTAGCGTTCTGGAGCAGCTGCACAAAGTACTCCTGGTTCCACTGTCCCGCCTCAGGGCTGGGCTTGAACGCATCATCGAGTCCACAGAACGAGTCGTAACGCACGGCAGAGGCATCGCTGGTACCATCACTCTCACCACCTGGCTTGACCCAGACAAATGAGTCAACAAGGCTCGAGCCAGTGCTGGTCGTGGGACGTACACCGAAGCCGGCGCCCTTGACGTTACACCAGTCACCCCACGCGTTGCGCAGACCCTGGACACCGTTTCGGCCGGTGTCGACAATAGCTTGGGAGGGCATGCCCGCAGCTGACAGGTAAGGAGCGAAAAGCTCGACGTAGGCCTTCTCGTTCTGCGCCTTGTTATATTGGCCGTCTCCAGTGGAGAACTCGCCGGGTGTGAGGTCCCAGGCATTCCAGCCAGCGACATTGGTCGAGATACCGCGGAGCGCCGCAGGCTTGCCGGCAGCGATGTAAGCGTCGGCAAGGACTTGGGCACCAGGCTCTGCGAACGATTAGTGTGGTAGACAAGTTTGGAGAGCAACACATACGGAGGTTGTTAGGCCAACCCAGCCAGCCACCGTGGCCAGCGTCGAGGTACATGGCTACGTTGGGCAGGTTGAGCGATTTGAGTGCGTATGCAACACCATCACGGTAGCCGGTGGCGGCAGCCTGGCATGCAGCCACATCGCTGTTGGTGACAAGGTTGGGAAGGGAATCGGGCTCAATGACCAGGGAGATGGCGACGTTGGGATACTTCTTGAAGATAGCAACGATGGCTATTGTGGTCAGCAGTGTAGGAATATTATCATTTTGGGCACGTACGGTCAATATACTGTGTCTTGTAGACATCAAGTTGACCAACGGCCAGTTCACCGTTGGAAGCTTTAGCAGCACAGTCACGGCCAGGGAGGTTGTAGATGACGAGAGCGGCAATCTGGCTGCAGCCAACATTCTTGATGGCATCTTCAACGGAGGCAATCTTGGCACGGGTGTCGCTGGGCAGGTCAGTCACAGCTTCCCGCGACGAGCAAATTACTTACATCCAGAGGTATGTTCCCACTGAGGCAACCTGGGTAGCCTTGGCTTTCAATGCGCTGTCGGTGATCGAGGCAGCAGCGGAAAGGACCTCAGACGAGTAGAAGCTGTTGGCATAGACCGATCGTCCAGCGAAGGGATTGCCAGAGAGGGTGACAGCAGTCGCACAAGAACTAGCAGCCTGACGGGCAGTGATGGGGCCCTGTTCGGTGGCTGTAGGCGCAGCGAAGGCGCAGCTAATGGCAGATGCCAGCAGGGCAGTAAGCGTGAACTGCATGTTGGCGGAAAGAGCGAAGGACTACGGATATGGTTGCTGGTGATCTCGAGCGCTGGGCAGTCTTTTATATCCATTGTGACATGCTGTCGACTTGTAGAAGCGGGTATCTGAGGCGATAGAACGCAGCTCATCAGGAAGCAGGCCCGAAGCCCGCCGGTACGTGATGTTCGAGGTCTGTGCCACTCGAAAGATGAAACGTAGATGAACGCTTGCTGCAGGTGACATGTGCTCGTACTATCGCAGGATCATCGGTCATCTGGTATAAGGTCATTGACATGTAAGAGGCCTCATCTCACAGTGGCGGAAGTTCGGACCTGCCTCTCATGCCTGTCAATCTGGGAGCCGGGGCGGTCCTTGTAGGTTGCTGGCGTTATGCCCTGCATTCTGGCTGACTGCTCTGAGTACACTGTCCACAAAATTGCTGCCTCGACCTAGAAGCATTGTTCGCAAGTCCAGAAGACTCCAAATATTTCGTCGTACTGCTTCTCGTTCGGAGCCTTGGAGTGCGCACCATCACTGGCTTGATGACATATGAGCCTTAATTGAGCCGCGGTGAGGCTGCAAGTGTTTCCTACACTGAGGTAGTTTCCCCGCAATCATGGCCATTGGAAAGGCCATGGGGTCCCGCAGAGTCGCCCACCCTTCGCAGATGAGCCGTTATGATCTTCGACGCTGACTGGTTGCGCTGCGTGAGCCGGTTTGATGTTTGTTAGTGGGTTAATCTGAAGTAATATGGAGAGCGCGCTAGCGGCTTGTGATTGCCCGGAACAAGCACGGGGGAAAGTGCCTTGATGTACTCAAGCCTCGCCCACAACCTTGTAAGCCTCCATGTCTAGTAATTCGTCAGGTCATGCAGAGCTTGAATGTACCTTAAATGGCATCCGTCGCTTTGTCAGCGGATCTACGATGTGGGATGAACAAGTCAATTCAACAGCCTGCCAACTTGGATCAGGCATAATGCTACAGCCTAACTGCGCCGCGAGATTTTGTAGTCACGGCGTTCGTAACATGTATCACCAGTTCCGTAGAACGATGTAATGATGCACACTCCCAATAACGCCAGAGATGCTCAAATGCTAAAATATCCAACCTTCACACATTGCTTGGCCCAGGCTTACCATGCCCGGGGTCGAGAAGCAAATGCGGTTTCAAGAACCCATCATCAATCTGCTTGAATGCGCTTGCCGGGTCATGGCTGATATCGTTGAACAGCTGCTTTACTGCACCCGTCGCTGTGGCCACTCTGCTCGACCCCTCTGTTGGCCCAGTCTCAGCCATCCTATGACCTGAGGTCGGGTAAAGAGGGTCGATTGTTGTGTCAAGTGGGGAGGATTGTCGGTTTGGCGACCTGCGCACGCTTGGCGGCAAATCAAGGTCTGCATCGTCCTCGTCTGCGGAGTTACTGTCGCCAGGGCTGAGAAGGCCTCGGTCGGCACCATCTGCAGAGCGTTGTTTGCTAGAGTTGCGTCGCATTGGTTGTCCGTTCGGTCGCGTAGGTGGGCTGTTGCGGTTCAGGGAGCCGCTCGAGTATGCGCCATTCACGTTGGTCAGCCCGAAGCCGTTCTGGCTAGATTTAGGCGTGTGCCCTATACCTGAGCCCGCGTTGCGCTGGAACGTGCCGCCATTGACCACTTCGATGTCGAACTCGTCATCAGAGTCAATCTCTTCCACCACTCCAGTGCGAATACCCATGATCTCCAACATACGTGCCGTGGTACCACCGAAGATAATGACAGTCAACACAACCACCACAAGCACCGTAGCACGGAGGGTATCGCCATTGTTGCCTGTCAGACCTGCTGCAAGAGCAACACCGACTGCACCACGTAGTCCTGCCCAGTAGATCATGGCCTGGTGGGCGTACGGAATTTCCTCTTCGGTCGTTTCGACACCACGGCGTCGCTGGCGGTATCTCGAGACAGCGTTGATAGCTTTCGAAAGGGGGAAGACGGCTGCCCAGCGAGCAGCGCAGATGCCGAAGACGGTGATGAGGATGAAGAGAGGCTTGAAGTCAAGCTGCTTGTCTGTGAAAAGCGAGAGTCCGAGGTAGATGAAGATGAAATTCTCCGACAGTTGCGAGGTGACCTGGAAGACAAACTTCGTCGACAACTGAGTGCGCCTAGACATGTTGTGGTACGCATAATGCTTGAGGCAGATGCCGCAGAAGAGCAAAGATACAATGCCTGGTAATGTAAGCGGAGGTCAAGTTGCATGAATTCAAGCGACTTACCGGACATGTGAATAGCGTTGGAGAAGAAGTATGTGAGATAGGCGACCAGGATGATGAGACATGTTTCTGTCTTGGGATAGCGTCTGACATATGTAAACTTGAGTGTCAACGATGCGACGATTCCGACCATGACACCAATGAACAGACTTCCAAAGAAGACGCCGAAGAAGATGCCAAAAGCTTCGAACAAGCTTGTGATGCCAAGTGTCTCAGCGCCGTCCTTATACTTTTGTGCGGTCTCGAAAAGGACGATAGCAACGGCGTCGTTGAGGATAGATTCGCCAAAGATGAGGGTATACAGCTTCGGTTCGACTTTGTAGGTGTCAAAGATGGCGAGAATCGTAACGGGGTCGGTGGCTGAGAGCGTAGCGCCAACTGACATGGCTTCGACAAAGTTGATTTTGAAGCCATCGAGAGGGATACGGGTCCAAAGGAACAGGATGAGCCCGAGCGAGACGGCGGATATGAATGTGCCAGCGAAAGCAAAGGTAAGGATACTCCCAATGTGTCGGAAGAAGTTGCCCTGGACAGTATCAGTGACAGGTGTTGAGGCAACAGAGAGGGCGGCGCACTTGATGCAGTTCGTAGCCAGCTGAGAGAATGATCGGTGGCAGTAGGAGGTTGAAGAACATCTGGTAGTCGAAGCTGACTGCGTCCAAGACCGAACCCACTGCAGTCAGTCGCAGCACGAGGCCAACGACCATACCTGATGGGTATTAGTGAGGCTCTAGCACGGAGGATTACGATTACGAGGTGGGCTGCAGGCACGGCAGGCAACACTCGACGTACCGGCGAAGATGGACAGGACAGTCTCGTGAACTGCCTGGATTTTGCGCGTCTGCATAATGTAGCTTGTGAAGAGCGCGATGATGAGCAGCACGATCAATATCGAAAGCGCCCATGATGTGAAGATCTCCTTCTGGCCTGCCTCTGGGGCTTCTTCTGTATCGGCGCATCAGCATCAGACGGTGGTGGGCGTGCGCACGGCGGAGAGAACTGACCATCTGGGTCTGCATCGACAGCATCTCGCTCTGCAGGTCAAGTCAGCGAACAGTACTAGAAACAACGCCGTGTAGGCTGCTCGCCGCATACTCAGCAATTGGCGCATTACGGCCCATGCGACGGTCGACACCATGGTGACTTCAAGGCCCGAGTCGCGTTGTCATCAGCAGCGGGAGCCGGGAAACGCGTGCAGAGGATGTGCAGGATGTGCAGGGTGTGCCGTGGTGGTGCGAAGGATAGGTGGCTTCGATGTCTTGATGCTCGGTGTCACCAAGGGCGGCGGAGCGACTGATCAACGATTGTCTGAGGCACCACGTTGCGCGAGTCACGGCAGCTTCGATAGCAGCGGCTTCCCCGGAGTCAGCGCACGCGCGCAGGCGGTCTGGTCAAGATATACGCGTCTGCGACAGGAGGCGTGCAGTGAACGACGTCTAGCTACGAACTGGAGGAGCTCCTGACCTGCGCATCCGCCGACAGCTGCTTGCTTGGCCCGCATGTTGGTGGTTTCGCACCAGCCCAGCGCGGCCTAGTATCCCGCAGCCTCACGTACGTCACTCGCAGAACACAGAACTCCAGGCCGTCTCCACGGAACCGCGTGCCCTGCTTGAACCTCTTAGCTGCACCTGATCCTCACCGCCCTTCTGGCCCATAACAACCTGCGTCCCCGTGAAAGCTCTCCTCGTTGTCCTGCACCGCTCGCTGCATTGCTTCTTCGCTCATCCGCTTCTGCGCTTCTGGCGCGGGCAAACAGGTGTTTGACGGTTGACACCGAACTTGAAGTACGTGCGCCAACCGGACCCTGACCTCAACGGGACAACAAGTGCAAGTGGCTATTTCCCAGTGACTTCATAGGGCAGAATCTGCTCGCACCTAACTCTGTAGTGCATTTACCTACCCTTGAACCTTCCTCGCGTCTGTTTGTTCTCTGCACATCTCGAAAGAGGCAGCGATATCGCCTTCGACCGCTGCGTCTATCTGCATTGCCGGCGCAGACTGCATCTCGAGTGCAGTCCTCCCCACGACCGCCAGCATGCCGTCCTCTTCACGCCGCCGCGACAACGACGACACCATTTCCGAGGCGAGTTCCATCTCCTCGAGACGCTCCGTGCCAAACCCTCCACCAATCGACACCAGGCTGTCTGAGTCTGGCCGTCCTCGCCCCAAGTTTGTCTCATTTGGTCGCGACTCCGAGCTGGTGCCTTCTCCTAACCGCCAAACCGGCTTCACCGAGTCCTCGCCTCTCATCAATCCCGTCGATCGCGCCCGTGAGACCGACCGTCTCCTCAAAGAACCCATCCCGCCAAGCTTCGGTCAGGAGGATGACGACTATTTCCCTGAGTTCGAGGAGACGAAGAGCAGCTTCTTCCTCTTCCTCTTGACTCTTGGTGGTCTTGGCCTCCAGATTGGCTGGTCTGTCGAGACTTCCAATGGCTCGGTATGCACTCTCCCCTCATGCTCATGTTCAGTCAGCTAATCGAAATGCGCAGCCCTATTTGTTGTCCCTCGGCCTCAGCAAGTCCATGCTTGCTCTCGTCTGGATCGCCGGTCCTCTCTCCGGTGTCCTTGTGCAGCCCTATGTTGGTTTGAAAAGCGACAACTGTAGGAGTACCTGGGGCAAGAGACGTCCTTTCATCTACGGAGGCGCTATCGCAACTATTGCTTCTCTCATGCTGCTAGGATGGGCGCGCGAGGTCGTCGGCGGCATTGGCAAACTGTTCGGCGCTGACGGCGAGAACTACTACGTTGTCAACAGCACCATGGTGTTCGCCGTCCTGCTGGTCTACGTTCTTGACTTTGCCATCAACGTCATCCAAGCCGCTATTCGCGCCTACATCGTAGACGTTGCGCCCACTCACCAGCAGGAATCAGCCAACGCGTGGCTTATGCGGTCCGCTGGCGTTGGAAACATTGCTGGTTATTTGGCCGGATACATCAATCTCCCTCTCTATCTTCCATTCCTCGGCGACACACAGTTCAAGGTGCTCTGCGCCATTGCTTCGATCATCATGGCCCTTACCGTTGGTGTTAGCTGCACCGCCGGCGAACGAGACCCTACCCGTGACCCGCCTCCGGCGGAGCAGAAGGAGGGCGTCATTGCGTTCTTCCAGGGCCTGTCCAAATCTGTCAAGAGACTCCCTGACCAGATCAAGCGTGTCTGCGAGGTCCAGTTCTTCGCTTGGATCGGATGGTTCCCCTTCCTCTTCTACATCACTACCTACGTTGGTGAGATCTACGCCGATCCATTCTTCGAGGCGAATCCGCACATGTCTGAGGCAGAGATTGATCAGGTCTGGGAAGACGCTACCAGAATTGGCACTCGTGCCCTTTTGGTGTTTGCCGTCACCACCTTCTTGTGCTCTGTCATCTTCCCCTTCATCATCCCACCTTCCTTCCAGGCTCCTGAGCCCGAGCCCGAGCCACCAACACCTGGCACACCTATTAGACCTACCACACCCCTAACTCCTGCTACTCCTCACTCCATGGGTGGCACTGGTTACTTTACCATTAGGAAGAAGCGTACAGAGCCAGCCAAGACGAGGATAGAGAAGTTCTCCGCCGCTCTCGATAAGCTCCAGATCAAGTCGCTTACCCTTCGCCGCTCCTGGTTCATCTCGCACATCCTGTTCGCCGTCCTCATGGGCTTGACCTTCGTGATCAAGTCGACCATAGGCGCGACTATCCTCGTTGGCGCTATCGGTGTTCCATGGTGTCTGACTGGTTGGGCACCTTTCTCCATCATCGCGTCCGAAATTTCCAAACGCGATGCCATCCGCCGTGGAGCCATCAAGCCCGCGAACGAGGAGGAACAAGCTGTCGCCGAGGGTGCTGATGCCGGAGATGCGGACTCTGCTGGAGTGGTCCTTGGTATCCACAATGTCGCCATCGCCGCTCCCCAGGTTATTGCCACACTCGTCAGCTCCATCATCTTTAGAGCTCTCCAGAAGCCTCGCGGTGTTGCTGGTGACGACAGTGTAGCTTGGGTTCTGCGCTTTGGTGGTATTTGTGCCATCATTGCTGCCTGGCTCACTCTCCGAATTCACGAAGAAAAGGACCGGGATATGGAGGATGATGTGGATGAGGTCGAGAGGCCGACCAGGAGGAGGCGTCTGTCTGAGTTGTCCAACATGACCTCAGTCTTGGAGGGACAGTCTGGGCGTTGATTTGGTGTCGATGTGAGCAGAGTACTGTTTATTTACTGTATCATTGCGTTCCGTACGTGAAGAGGTTTTCGCGCGGCCCGGTGCCCGGGTCGGTTCATCAAAAGCGCTTCAATCCCACGCATCACGGCGAGCGACGGAGTTACTTGACTGCATTTCGATTTCGAGAGTTTGGACACGCGTATCAAACAACGTATTACTCACTGAGTCTCTTCCAGATGCATCGAAAGGGTAGGGTCTAATTTACGATACTTTACGCATTCAACACACCATGTTCGCCTAACCAAGTATGTGGCCATTTCAAAATACACCGAAATGCACCAGCTGAACTGATGATACGCGTTTCACGAAGCTCCTCCTGGATCAGGAGCCGTGGGGTTGTTAAAGTGCGGTCAGTCCAGCCCGCGTAGCGCCTCAGTTAGCGCCCGGCAAGGTTGCCTTCGTGCTGCACCCCAACATTGCGTGCTCATCCTTCATACTTCCTCCTCGACCACAAAGGAAACATAGGTAGGTTTGAAACGACATGCTGCTCTACTCGAGCAAGAAAGAGATGTAACTGCATACCTACAGGAGGACAATGTTTATCAATATCGTTATTGACCACCATCGCCCAGCCTGGAACGGCTCGACCCATCGTGGCTCCACTCTGTAAACGGCCTCAAACGCGCATCAGTAAACGACCTGCAGCCAGTGGACGCATCGTCTCCACTTGCAATGTGCTCCGAAGTCCCGCCACAAATCAGACTCAGCCACGCATGCGCGATCCGGCCACACCGTGGCGCCTTGCATGGCTGTGCCCACTTGGCGGCCATTGGGTTGATGGGATAAGGGTGTGACCTCAGGGTCCAGTAGCCCGTGATTTGCATCTGCTGCGTTTCGAGAAGCTGCTATGGAATCTCACGATCTCCAAGCCGGACTTGCGGCACTGAGCAATGAAGATAGCCAACGATAGCCGTTCAAGACGCTCAGCCACAGGCTTCGATTCCGGGTCCTGGAGTTTGCTCACCGAGCATGTGCAGCTGCCAACGGCACAGTGGAGCTGACGAGCGATTTCGTGATGCTGTTTGTGGGAAGGCGTAACATATGATGCCCCACTTCTCTCTTACCTCGCGGTTGCCTCGACGTAGAACCCCGCATAAAGTTCGCAGTTCCCCTCTACTTCAAACCTTGTCTCTTCAACTACTCTCTCCTTCAACTTCAATTCCGCGTCTCTTCTCACTCAAAACTTTCCAAAAGCTTCTCAATTCACAATGTCTTTCCACTACTCCGCTGAGGATATCCGCGTCGACGACGGCCACATCCTGCGTGCCCGTCTTCAGCGTGCCGATGGCGAGTGGAACGACTCTGAGATCGACCTCAATCAGCACGTCGGCAACGATAACGGTGAGGCTGCTCCTCCAAGATGATATACTGATACTGACGAAGCCGAAGGCCACTTCTACTGGGATGGCGAGAACTTCTCCGGTTCCGCTGAGAACATCCACTTCACCATCGAGGGTGACGGTTCCGTCCCTGTCCTTCGTGCGTCCCTTTGCGACCAGGAGGGCAACTACCATGAGCGTGACCTCAACCTGTCCGAGCGCGTCTCCAACAACGATGGCGACTTCAGCTACAGTGAGTGACGCATCGCCTTTCTGGCTTAGCCTTGCTGATCCCCCGTACAGACTAAGCGTCGTTGCCTGTCACGATGACCACGATGGATACGATGGATGAACGACATTAGTGGTAGGAACCGGTACCTACACTCACATCGAACACCACAACGATGAATGAAACAAAGTAAACTTCAAGTGCCTCTCTTTTCTCAGCCCACGTATCGTCCTGTCTTTGTATCGTCCACTCTCGCTGCCAGAGTCATCTCACACCTCTTCGTCCGTGTCATCAAGCTTCAATAATTGATCAGCTCCATGTCGTTCCTGCAGTATTTATCTCTTTCTGCACCTTGACCACTGCTTTGTAGTGGTGGCCACATTGTAAATGTGCCTTCGACTCGGTTCTTATTCGGCAATACAATTGTCTTTTGTTTGCAGTAACACAAAATGTACCTGGCGCTCGCTGCGATCGCTCTCTCAGGTATGCCATATAACTACGCCCACCTCTTCAGATGCTGATCTTCCATCAAGTAGACGTGTCAGCAAAGTGCAGTAACGTGGGTGAACTTGCACTAAGTGTCCGCACTACAGACTCAAATATATTCCAGATGGAAAAGTAACCGCAGAAACGCTACCTGGGCTGCGGAAAAATCTGCTCCAACGTACAAAAACTACAAGCGGAATGCCCACAAGAAATACAGCTCGGATTCCAGCCCGCAAGTGGGCCAGAGCCACATTCCGAGCAAATCCAGATAAATGCCTCGCTCTTCGGATTTGTAGCCTGATGTGGTGGTGGACTCCTAACACTCACTCTAGGCTCATCAGTGAGGGTTACGGAAACGTTAGGCGTTCTCTCCAGGCCACTTTCAGTTGGCCCTAAGGACGTGCGTGATGAGATGGTCGCATCAGAGCCCACATGTAGGTTGAAGCTTTTCGACTGTACCAAATGCGTTGCTTCACGAGTATTTCGCGGCAATGTAACCGAAGTCGCATTCAGGGCCTGTTTTGCGTCGTTCATGATATCCAGTATCGGTATCATGTACACATCGCCATAGCAGTCATCTGCAACAACGATACCATGCACATACACTATGCGGCATCTGAAGTCTTCTCCGGCGTCGTTGGTGTCGTTGACAAAGTCTTCCGATACAACCCATGTACCAGAGCTACCTTCAGGTAGCTCATAGTCTGTGTGATTCGTCAACAGGTGTCAAAGAACAAGTAAGGTATCATAACTTACTATCGATGCCAGAGAAAGTTATTGGGTGTACGTTGATAAATACATCTCCAAGGGGGAGTATCGCACGCGCAGGTAGATTTGAGATAGTGGCCACTACGTGTGAAAGCAGGTCAGGACGAAATTTCACAGAGCCCTTGCAGTGACCCAAGATGAATTTCTCGTCCGTTGGGTCGCTGGAGACCAAATCTGAGACCGTGGTTTCATTCGAGAAGTGTATCAGTGCCCAGTCTAGATTTCGTGCCGAAGCAGAAAAGGAGACTTCGGCGATACGTCCCAGTGTCTGTGGTCTGCCCCAATCTTCCAAAACGGGTGTCGAGATGAATTGTTCGAAGTCGACGTCCAGCGGAGAAGAACCAGTCCTATTTCCGCAATGTAGTAGGTGCCCGACCGTCAGTCCGACTACGGATTCCATGCCTTCTGTATCCGTGACGACCAGCACACCTCCCATGCTTGCATGTAGTTCATTCGATGTTTGCGTGAGCACGACCGAACCTGACCAAGGTGATCGGTGTTGCAGATCTGTCGTCGCGAACGCAACTTCCACTTCGTTCCACAACCCGCTCTTGAACCGCAATGAACGACCGACATACGCCACTTCAACACCTTCCCCAGCGCAAGCGCTCCGTGCTAAATCTCCTTGAAAGAACGATTCGACGTTCATGACTGCAGATGTCGGGCAGAGGACTACGACCCACGGTTTGGCGGAAGCCTCATCTGGCCCAAGTATACGGATCCTGTACATCAAAGGTCTGAATTCCTCAGATTTCGTCGATAAGTGAGCGAGGAGAGGACCATGTAAATCATCCAAAAGGGCGTTAAGCCTCTGTAGAAGTTCAGGTTCGACATCTTTGTTGAATATTAGGAGATTATTGATGCGAGTGCGATCGTTCTCGCAAGATTTATGGAGTTTGCTACCACATTGCGGGCATTTGGGTCTGCCTGGCCTCAGGTGGGTGAACATCGAAGACGTCAATATGTCATTCATGCCGAATGGTTATGAAATCGCACCGGAAAGCCAATATATTCTGTTCCACCGGTCAAGGCCAGGCTGGCGCCGCAGCTTCGAGGGCTGTAAGGCTGAAGAACTTGCGTAGCGCCTGCGTTGATAGGTGTTGGCGCTATACCTACGAAGTAGTTGCAGCAGTTCAATTGAACCAATAGCAGCTTGCCACACCTGACCCCAATGCTGACCCCATGCTCAGCCTCTCCTGGCTGGTGACTGAAGAGGCGCCTGAATGCGCAGAGAAAGCATTAAATTCCCTTCCCCACTTCTTCATGTCAACCTATGACGCGAACATGTCTTTTGCTCCTCTCGAAATCGTCACCGACACTGACTTGCAGAATCTCGGTAGATGCGTATGGAATTGGCGCCTGTGCGGCAACTGCGATGGTAAATCGACTTGCAAAGCACCGGTATGTCCCTGGATGCACAAAGATCGCGTCCAATCAGCCTTGTCGCGATATGAACGTCTTTGTTCATGCTACGTACCATTCTCCGCAGCACGACAGGGTTTGGAAAATCACCAGGATCTACTCGATATCATGAATCAAATTAAAAACAATCCGGATGAGTCGAAGGAGCACTTAATGAAACAGCACTTTGCCGATGTTAATTCCGTTCCAGTCTCAGACCAGGAGAAGGCATACAATTTGGGCCTGAGTGTGCTGTTGTCCCTGAATTGTGGCGTACCAAACGACTGCACAGATAACCTGGAGGACAGCGCCGATGCGATTCCGTGGTTGACCGGGCAGTCAGTCAAGGCATTTATTGATGAAGCCTTTGGGACAAAAGCGATGGTGGACGTCGAATCGGTGCTCACGTCAGACTTCACCGCGAAACGTTTGACGAGCAAGGCTGGATTGCGCTTCCAAGCAACGGACGACCTTCGCAGCCACCTGAAACTGGATCTAAGAACGCGGAGGGTCTATGTGTATGACAGCACAACAGTTTTGGAAGAGATGCTTGTAGCAACGAAGCAAAGCTCTCAGGACAGCACGCTTCCTCGGGCATTAGTATTGGAGGTTCTTTACACGATCTACAAGGTTCTGTTCCCTCCGGGCCGTGAGTCGGAAGTTTTCGCGTCTTATCTGACGAACAAGCGTGGCTTCGAGAAGAATTTCTTGCGCTACAAGATGCGTTCGTTCGGGCGATACGACGACCCCGAGATCGATTACTCCTACTTTGGCGAGCGGTTGAGGGAGCTGCAAAACGAGCTAAAAGATCCAAGTCCACGCAACTGGTTCGAGCGACTGTTCGAGGGAGGAACGAAGAGTGCTGAACGGAATATGTTGATGGCAACGACGATTGGTGTGTTCATCGCAGTCACGATCGGCCTATTCGGATTGGTGCTGGCTGGGTTCCAAGCTTGGGTGGGGTACCAGCAGTGGAAGCACCCGGTCAAAGATTCGTAAAGTTGAGGGGGCGCGGCCGTAAGAGGGAACAGCCTACTCGCGGCCGCAACAAACAACATTCAGCGCACAAAGGCGCAGGGTATCTAGCTAATTCGTGCAAGACAAATAACGTGTATCGTCAAACCCACCTCTTTCTCAGCCACGCTCGATGTCCGTACTACGTCTCATCCTAAATCCTGTACTAATCCTCTCCACCGGACTCGGCCTAACCTCCGCACTCAACCTTCCACCAACGGTAGTCATCCCATTCCCACACGTGGTAACATGAACTGCATCCTTACCCACCGTACTGCGACTTGCAGCCGTTCGTAACGTCGTTCTATTACCATACTCATACCCATTTCCCAAATAACTCCCAATACTACGCCTGCCATTAGCCTGCACCATACTACTCCGTCCAGCACTAAGCGCTTGCTGAAGCGCGTGCATGTCAACGGCGTACTCAATGTCTATCTTCTCGTCGCTAATGACTGCCATGCTGCGCCTATCTAACTCAGCCGTGTTACCCTTGCGATCACGCCATCGGCGTCGCACTTCGCGGAAAAAGTCGCCGATCGCATCGAACGAGAGCGCGATGGCAATGAAAGGGATCGAGATGGCAAGGCCGATACCGAACATAAATTTGAAGACATAGGACATGGGGAGGCTGGGTTCGTCGCCGCCGGGCTTGTGAGGAAACTCCTCAATGTTGATCGTGAAGAGGGCGGCGATGAAGCTTAGCGGCAAGAAGATGATAGTCACGATTGTGAACACCATAATTGTCTGGCTCTGGCGCGCGGTTCCGGCGGCTTGGTCGCGGGCAAAACGTGCTTCGAAGGCGTTGGCGTGCTTTTGCTTGAGGTCGAGGAGATCTGTGATGGATTTGTAGATACGTTCTGCTTGCTTGTCCATTCGTTCAAGATCTTTCAAGTGAGTGTCGATCGTCTTGAGTTGGTCCTTAAAGTGCCGCTTCAGGTCGTACTGGGCCTTGCGCTCTTCCCTGTAAATATCAATGATGGCAACTTCAAGATCTGGAACCACTGAGCGCTGGTCCTCGAGGACCTTGGCGATCATGTTGAGCTCGTCGCGAATATCCTTGGTCTCTGCCAGAAGATCGGTCTCCGCGCCTATGTCAAGGAGTTTGTCGACGAAGAGAGGAGCATGCGCTAGCGAGCTATCGTCATCGTACACGAAGTGCTCGTCTTTGATGGGTGGATCAGCGAGTGCATGCGTGTGAGAATGATGCGGCATATGGCGGCGATTCTGATGCTCTCGGTGCCTGCCTTCTGCTTCGAGATGCCGCGAGAATCGGTTTGGCCGTCTATGATGTTGCAACCAGGCTGATGCCTGAGCGGAAGCAGTGTTGAACTCTTTGAAGAGCATCGTTTCCATCTCTGTGGCATCGCCAATACTGCTCTCGAACATGTCCAGGAACTGATACTCTTCGTCACCTACGCGATGCCTATCGAAGACGCCACTGCAGCGCTCAGTGATGATCGTAGCTAGATCGTAGACATTGCGTACAGGCTCTTGCGTCTTGCTGTTGAGCCTTTCGATGATACCATCAAGGACGTTCAGAGGATCGTTGCGGGGCTGCTGCCACCGCTGGGGAAAGGCGGTGACGATCAAATCTTTGCCCAGCACCCACATCCACAGCTGGTCGACCATGAAGATCTTGGGATCTACATGAGTGCTGTGTGATGACTTGCGCTGGTATCTGTACACCACCTGATCTCTATCTCGTGACCGAGTATCGATGTTATGATAGAAGAACTGATCCAGAGTTCGGCGGACGTGAAGCGAGACCTGAGAAGACGTCAGATGCGCACGTAGCAGCATCTCGTCGTACGTCGACGCTTTTGCTTGCGGCGCGATGTGAATCTTTTGCCAATTGCGCTCCTTCAGCGACTGCGCTCGTGCGATAGCTTCTTGCATTTCCTGTCTCCTCTGATCTGTCTCAAAGTGCAGGTACGGCATGAAAGTAAAGATGTTGGCTTTTGCAACAGCTGCAGGGTCTTTCCTCCCAGGGCTGCCTGGTGAGCGAAGGCGCCCACTGTCTGTCATCGGCATGCTGACCTTTGTTCTAGATTGATAATCATACTGCTTCGTTAGTGTCTCTGTGCCTCCGGATCGTCCACCAGCCGGCTTGGAGCCTCTCCACTTTTGCAGCTTGTTTGTCTTCTCCTTGTGCTTGCCCTTACCTTCTTTTCCAACGGGAGTACCTGACCCGTTAGTCCAATCAGTCTGATCAGTGCTGAAGGTACCCGTTCGTACTGGTTGTCGCGGCAACGGAGATAACGGCGATTCTTGCGCGCCGGCTATTGAATCGATGCTTAGACCGAGGCCATTGTTGACAACGATCTGCGGCGGCCCGTGTTCGGCACTGTCAGATAGATCGGACTCATCGTGGTGCTTTGGGGCCCGTGGTGTGCTTTGACAAAGTGGCCGCATGAAGTGCGAGTGCACTTGCTGGCCGCGGTGTTGGTGCGTAAAGGACCTTTCCAGTGCCCTGAAGCCTTCATGGTCGTTCGCGCCCTCTTCGATGAACGCTTTGGTTAGCAGCGCTTCAACCCAAGCCATGTTATTTGCAGGAAGGTGGATCCACCGAAAACTTGTAGCCTTGGACTCGGCTGGTAATATTGCAACGGCTGGTTTCCGCGGGTTGATAGCATCTCGGCCGTACAGGACCTCATAGACTGTTCGCCTTGTGACTTTGTTGTCGTTGTGGAAGTTGCCGAAGTCGACAATCGTAGCATCGAATCCATTGCAAGCTCCCAAAGCATCTTCACTGAGGGCTTCCACGTTGTTTGAAGGAGCTAACAGGTACACGATGTCCCGTCTCTTGTTCTGCGCAGCGCGGAGGAATGGTGTAATACCGAAAGAATCCCTTGCAGTACGCTTGATGTCCTTTCGTTCCAAGAGGCATTCGACTACATCGAGGTGTCCAGACTGCGCAGCAATATGCAACGGTGTCATACCGTTCAGTAGGCGGGCATTGACATGTGCTCCGGCACCTAGAAGCGCCCGGATCACTCTCACCGTTCCTTGTTCGCATGCATTGTGTAACGGTGTCCAGCTCCCGTCGCTCTTTGCCATGACATCTGCGCCGTGTGCAAGCAGCGTCTCGACGATGTCATCTCGCCCGTGCGCGATTGCGAGGTGGATAGGCGCCTTGCCTCTTCCCTCTACTGCGTTCACATTGGATCTTGGTAGCTTCGGCCGTTCCAGTAACATCTCGCAAAGTTCACGCTTGCCCGTGCTTGCAGCCCAATGGAGGGGAGTTCTCTTGCTCTCATCTTGCCCACGCGGCCCATCGAGGGCAATGTCCCGGCGCAGCAGTAGCTCAACAACATTTGAGCCCCAGTTACAGTCCTTGTCCGCCGCCAGATTGTGTAAAATGTGTCGCCCATTGTGGTCCTTCTTGTTCACATCTGCACCGCTTTTCAGCAGCACGTCCATGACGTGAAAGTAGTTCTTCCATGCAGCAGTCATAAGCGCAGTGCGGCCTTGCTTATCTTGTGCGTCCACATTTCCACCGAACCTGAGAAGCAGCTGAAGCACCTTGGGGTTGTTCCTCTCAACTGCCTTCAATACAGGTGAGACTCTGCCTCCCGGTGTCCCGTCAGGCTTTGCTCCACTTTCTAGCAGGTATTCGGTGATCTCGACGTCCATTCGTTCGACGGCGCGCATAAGGCCAATGCGCAGTAGGTGCTCGGTAGGTTGCGCCTTGGCTTTGGCCTCTTCGATGATCGCAATGACGTCTATGTGTCGCTTCTTCTCAATCGCGTTGAGGAGGAGTGGCTCGATACGAGTCGCACCGCCGCCATCACTGGAGCGTGAGGGCGAGCGGCCCATGTTTGCTAAGAGGAAGTGGCTCCGAAGCTGAAGCCGGGCGCGTTACGGTGCGTTTCTCGATCTGTAGTGAGACGGGACGGTCCCTCAGCGGCGACGTATGGTATCGCCCATATTGCGCGAGGGCTTCGCAGTGTCAAGGTTCCTCTCTCTTCAGTTATGTACGGAATGCGATCAGACATGAACATTGTTGCACAGGCGCCAGTAAGCGCACGCGGAAGATCCAAGGGCCCTCCGTCGTGCAGCATCACGTGTGTGTAATGATCTGTGATCAGTGGCTGGGCTTTGACAGGGATGCACAGAGATAGCCCTTCGGCTGTCCGCGAAGATCAATCTTTAGGTGCATTACATACATTGGTGTCCAGTCTAACATCACAAAGCTGAATTGACGGGAGGGTCCAATACGAAGTACTGCCTCGGCGCCAGCACACCAAGGCAAGGATGACGTAGAATCAACGCGACCGTTCCCCCAAAGCACGCGGCAATTGGCGGTCCATCCAACCAACACACTTCAAGTCTCAGCTGCACCTTTGACGTGTCGGACGGCAGTTGTTCAATACATTGCGGGGAACCGCAAGCCTCATGCTATAAACAGCCATGAGAGCCGAGGACTATAAAGTGCCGATGCCGCCTTCCGAGGAGGCAGCCATGTCGACATCTTCAACACCCCATAGACGGATTTGGAGGAGTTCAACACTCTTTCATCGCATTCTGGTTGTACTGTGTATTGCTGCGCTCTACATGATCAATTCGACATCGCGGAAAATGTCCTATGCGGACGCTGATCTGTCACAGTATACCGAATCGATATTCATTCCATACATCTACAAGTTCAGCCCGAAACATGTACCACAAATCCAGACGACAATCAAGGATGCGGATATTGAGATGCCCGTGGACACCGGAAGTACCATGACGCTGATCGGTGCGCCCATTCTCTCCAGTGTCGACAGAAGCATAGGAACGCCAGCGCATCACTTCTTCACTAGCAGCAAGATCTTGTACGTGGGTCGTCTTGTGGAGCTTCCGATCACGTTCCACGGAGAGGCTGGCTCGCAAGCTATCGCGAAGGTGCCGATCCTCGTAGTCGACAAAAGCTGGACATGTCCGTGGTATGATCCGAGCACGCCAGCAGGTCGGTTTGAGTGCCCTCGTGGGCCCAATGGAGAGGAGGCTCTTGTACGCGACACGTCAAAGATAACATACATGGGTGTTGGCTTCGGTAGAAATGGGCCAAAAGACGGTATGCCGTATGCTTCACCGAGGGTGAATGCATTCTTGAACATTCAGTCGATCAACGGGCGAATGATACCGCCCAATTTTATGCGACTGGGCTATGCGATCTCAACGCAGGGTGTGCATCTTGGCTTGACGCAAGCGGTCGTGAAAGGGTTTCAATTCACAGGCCTCGAGCCTGGGTTGACACACGACGAGGACCCAAGAGACTGGGCCATGGCTAAGATGTGCTTCAGCATCGATGGCAGAGGGAGGCATTGTGGTCCTGGGCTTGTCGATACAGGCATCTCCCAAATGTACATTCGAGCCGAGGAAGGCTTCACAATACCGAATGTGACGATTCGAAACCCGAATCTCAATGGCAGAGCGAAGATGGTGAAACGAGTCAAGCCTGGCACGAGGCTGTCCATTGGCTTCCCCTCGTTAGAGGACTCTGCGATGTCGTACTCCTTCGCGGTTGGTGATGGCTCGCAGGTAGAGCCCACGTACGTCTTTCCAGAAACGTCTTTGCGACCACCGTACGTTAACACCGGGAGGAACTTCCTCTGGGGCTGCTCGATAGCCTTCGACGCAGCCGATGGGCGGTTTGGCTTCCGGCCTGTAGATGGCACATCCAGTGCTCATCTGTAATGTAGTAACCAGTTCCAGCCTGGACCATGTGTTTAACTTCTTCCTCTTTGCTTTGGAGGATTCAAATCCAATCCCTCCACGCTTATCCCAAGTCCATTCCCTTTACCCAGTCGGTCTAGTCATTTGACAGTCAGACTGCGCATGGGGCTTTTCGATCCCTCCCTCAATACTCTGTACTCCTCAACTGCCTTCACAATGACCATGTGCGCCTGCTCGCCGTTTAGGCCGACGACGACAATGGCACCGACACAGCCTTCTACGCCCTTCACAAGGGCAGGGTATCCACCTCCTTCAATCGTGTACTTCGCCCACTCATCACCACTCATGGCATGATGCTCAGCAAAGCGCTTATAATCCCCATCGAACTGACAGCTCATGTGCCATGTCGAGTGTCCCCAGCGCAGCACCGTATTGCGCTTTCTCTGCACCCAGGTCTCATGATCCGGCATCATGCCCGGCAAACTCGGCGAGTGGAACAGCGTCTGGTTCGCAAAAGAAATGTGTATGAGCGCTGAGATATCCGCGGACCTCAACGTGTTGCGCAGGATATTGCCGATGACCCACGCATGCTCGCACGTGAAATGCGCAAATGTGAAGCTCTTCTCCTCACGCGCCAGTTCAGTCACATTTCGCGTGGGCTTTGGCAGGGATTCGAGCATCGTGAGGGTATTGAGCGAGGCGTGCGGTTGGTAGGGCGGGGCGTGGACGGAGGTGCCAATATGGAGCAAGGAAATGGGATATAGATTCATGAACGAGAGCCAGGGGCGCTTCAGGGAAAATGTTGACAGGAGTTTGACATTGCGGCACGGGCGGGCGTCCAAGAAGGCGCGCACGCCGCTGGCCGTAGCGTCGAATCGTGCATGCTGGAGATGACGGCGGAGCGGCGGCTGGTCCCGTATGCTAATGAGACATTCGCGAGTGGGGCACTTGGAGCATGGCGCTTGGGTCGTTTCGGGGTTGGTCTGTTTCAGGGTCCGTCTTTCCGTGCTAGAGTTTCGGTTCCGTACAAGGACTTGTTGCATCTATATTGCAGGTCGCTCTATGAATCCATCATATACATCTCGAGATACTAGCGTCTTGTCAATATCTCAACTCCTTTGTAATCCTTTGCCTCCCCGCCAATCTCCTTGACTAATCACTCGGTCAACTCGCGGAAGGCATACCAGTCATCCTCCTACCCCATCGATTGTCTCCAATTCTGAACGTGATCACCTTACCAGTGTTGTGCGTGCTACTGACTTCTCCCAGCACGAAATGGACGCCCCTGTTGCCACGCTCGAGCAGAATGTTGTGAGGGCTCAAATTATCATGCACAAGACTGATGCGATGGAGATACTGGATAGTTGCAGCAACAGCCTTGAGACATAACCTTCTGTCCACGGGTCACGAGTTCGTCGACCGTGCAGTCGCACTTCTTGAACACGAGGCCTGGTATACTCTTTTCTGCAAGTGGTACATGAAACCTGGCCCTTCCGTGGTCGAGCTCGAGCTCGTCACTCACCTCGACGCCCAGATACTGAATGATGTTTAGGTGGTCAAAGCTCAGTCGGTCGCAAATACTTGCCTCGTGAGTCGTAAGGAGACTGGAAGTTATGCCCTAGATCGCAGACGTCCCATTTACGTCCACAAGTTCGAGGATTTGGGTTCGATTGACGCACACGTCCACTTTGGTGTCCTTGTGATACAGTGCGAACCGACCTCTGAAGCCGTGGTAGATATGCCTCAAATTGACGCTGTCAATGTGCTTCTCGTCCGGACGATTTGCTTGTACTTCACAACACAAAGTGTCGAATTCTTGTGACAGGGAGCAACGATTGTGCTGCCGCTGTTGGTCTCGTCAACGCGCCAATCTATGACCTGCATGCCTGGAATGGAAGGCGCTTCGGGCAACCCGAACCCTGGGTGATGGACTATCTTATTAAGCATCTGTGAGTCAAGAGGTACGCTGCGAGGGTGAGATTTAGTTGCACAGATTTGTTAGAGAGCAGAAATATTTGGACTTTGGCTTCGAAGCGACTTGCCGTAAAGGTGAGCCGATCTGGGCTACTTCCAGCCGATAGATCATTCACAACGTAGGCTCTTCGACTCCAAGACGCATTGTGAGCTGCGTGGGCATGCATCGAGTGTAGCCAGCTCTGCTTTGTCAGTGACTTCTTTGTTTGTCTCATGTCCGATAGCCTGTTTTCGAGACTATGCAGATCCCCGAACCCTGCTATACCAATGTGACGCTGGTTTGATGAACATGTTGGTAACACTTACTCCCCGAGCTCGTTGCAGAATATGCCTTCGCCGCTAGATGTCGGTCTAATCTCAGAGCGGAAAGGTGCGCACCACCTCCTCGCCGAAAGTATCGTCACCGCGTCGACGAACACGCTCCTCACTAAGTTGATGCATGACGACTTATTCGTGGACCTGATCCGAGGACTGGCAGTAGTCGCTGATCAACACCAGTGAACGTGCATGGATTGGCTTCACCACATCGTCGAAATGCTTCTATCTTCTGCCAATGCGACATTAGTCCGTTGCCATGAGCGCCATCAGCTCCCTCGCCGACGCACGCTTGCCAACGGAACCCTATCAGTATGAGGAGCTTCCCCCAGACGCATTTCGGTACCTCGCTCTCTTGCCTGGAGTCGACAGCGACCCACTCAGATGTAGCCTCCACACTTCGCGCATCGATGGGGCTCGTTACGAATCTGTATCGTATGTTTGGGGCACCGACGATCGAAATCATCGCATTGTTTGCGATGGCAGAGTATTGAAAATTACTCCGAATCTTCACAGAGTGCTCCAACGAGTGAGACTTCCGGATGCCCCGAGGACCCTTTGGGCAGACTCCATCTGCATCAATCAGGAAGACCTGCTGGAAAAGAGCGACCAAGTAACTCTTATGGGCCGTATCTATCGCAATGCAGAGCGTGTTCTTCTTTGCATGGGATCCTCCGGGGAAGAGCATGGGCCTGCTGTAGCCGCATTACTTGAGGATGTTTGCGGCAAGATTGATTCTATCCTTCAAACAATCCGTGGGAGAGTTGACGAGCTGGAATCTGCTGGTAAATGGGAGCCTCAGTGGAGTCCTCGGGACTGGTTCCCATATGTGGACGCAGATGAGCCTGTCCTGAGCGACGCCCGATGGGTATCCGTGAATGTATTGGTGGAGCAAGATTGGTTCTCACGAGGCTGGGTCGTCCGAGAAGCTGGGCTCGCAAGTCAGGGTATAGTCATATGGGGGAAGATATAGTTCGCTTGGCACGACCTTATGCGAGTACTCGTTTGGAGACACCGGCGAGCCGTGAAGACTATCAGCATGCCAGCTGAGGACCGCTTCAGATCTCACTTGGAGGCTTATGAAGCTCAGCATCAGGACATCGTCTGCACGTTCTACCAGGAGGGTTCCTGGAAACCCTGTTCCCTCCTGGATTACATCCATTTCGCGAGAGCCCTACAGCTGAAGGATCCACGCGATAGGATATACGCTTTTCTTGATCTTGCGAACGACTCCACGCGTCAACTGAGTATCTTACCAAACTACAACGACACTCCATTGAACGTCTACCGCGACTTCGCAACAGACTACGTATTGGCAATGGGTGCTGTCGACTTACTTCACTACGTCAAGCATGATGAAGCGTCACTTAAATCGATCTCCATGACCTGGGCACCGGACTGGAGCATAAGAGAGGACAATTTTATCAGTTTCGTGTCGACGAGCGACAACTATCCGCCGCTGAGGTCGCGCGAAGGACATGTTTCCACGCCGAAGCTGCTTGGTGGCACGACTCTCCAAGTTGAAGGCGCCGTCGTTGGCTCTGTGCTTTTTGCTTCTCGCGTCCTGCAGGGCAGTGCGACAACATCAGCCGTGTTGTTCGAACTATGGACCTCAGTACGGCAGTCAAGACCTGAAACGCATTACTACTCGTCAGATCTACTCGAAGCGTTCTTCGACGCATTGTCAATGGCGAACTTCTATGGCGACATGGATGAGTGGATGCACGCGCGGAGGACTTACATCACAGCATTCGAGCGGCTCTCCATGGAGCTATACGATTCCGGCGCTATCAGCTGGGATGCCGAAGAAGTAGACATGCTCGAATCCAGCAACGTCCACAAATTTCTCTCGTCGACGACCGCTGGCAAGAGATTCATCGTTACAGAGCGGGGATGCTTTGGCCTCGCGCCCCACGTTGCCCAGATAGGAGATTCATGTGCAATTATTTTCGGATGCTCCTCGCCTTGTCTACTGCGCAGCGCTAGCAGTGGTGGTCGTTATATCTACCTAGGCCCTGGCTTTATCCTGGGCAAGAAGATGCTTGAGCTTGACGGATATGGTACAGGGTTCTATAGCTGTCTTGGCGTCGAAGAGAGCAAAGACTGGGTAGAGTGGGATGTTCAAGAGCAGTGCATCCTCCTGTCTTGATGCAGCTGAGTTTCAAGGAAGGACCAGAGAAATTCATGGCGAGCAAGCGCAACTCACGATCTAAGAGGCTTCACTTGCGCAGCTTCATTCAAGATCTATTCGGCAAAAGACAGTGCTGAAGCTGCCACCCTCCTAGCATAGACCACATCATGGCGCAATGTTCTAGCAGGGCAAAGGAAGGCTCGATAGCAACATCTACCCTGAGGTGCTGTTGTCTTATGTCATCCGTTCCGCACAAACCCCACAGTCCTCTCTCCCTACATGGGCACCTCATTGGGACTCCAATGCTCTGGGCGATTTGGACTCAATATTCACTCAAAATGGTATTCGAGACGGTCCAACATGTAGATATGGAGGGGATCACCCACCACATCTTCCATAGCGACGCTCCAAACAATCCCCGGCGCACAAAGACATCCGCTCCTTTAGAACCCTCTATGTAACCAGCTCCGAGGTATTCACTCACATCCCCATGCCGCGTTAAACGAGAAGAAACACACGCTTACATCTTGCATCTTGCCGCCGGCATCCCCCCCACCCCCGATGACGTCCCATTCCTTGCCGTCACCAGCAAACCCAGCAGGACATCACATACACGTGGCTATCGCACCGAGATCTGAAAACGCACGCGCAAAGCGAGACAGCATCGCAGTCACGAAATGAAATGCGATTCACAGCCCCATAAACCGTTGTGTTATCTCGTACCCTCATTCTACCGCGCCAGACCGAGCCAAAACTACGCGATCATCTTCTTATCGCCGCTTTTCCTGCGGGGTTTCTTGTCCGCGCCGTTGGACTTGGGACTTTTGACCGCCGCATTCGCCTTGGGGGACGCGACGTCGGCCTTCTTTGCCTTCTTATCGGGCTTGGCGGGCGAGACTTGGGTGACGGCGACGGCGCTGTCGGTCTTCGCCTTCTTGCCCTTCTTGCTGACCTTGACTTCAGCGATGACCTCAGCCACGGCTTTTGCCTTGGGCTCTGCCTTGCTCTTCGCCTCGATCTTGGCCTCCTTGCCAACTACCTCCTTGCCACCGCCCTTCTTCTCCTTCCCATTCTTCTCCGTCGCCTTGCTCGGGTCCGCCTTTGGATCCCTGCCCTTGCGGCGCGCGTCCCTCGCCTGACCGCGCTCGATATACGCCTTATCCTCCTCGTCGTCGAAGCCGCCGAAGTCGTCTGCTGCGGCCTCGTCTTCGGTCAGGATGGGCGTCTTGTCGACGTACTCGTCCTGGCCGGTCGGTACGGAAGAGGGCTGGCCGTTGGCAGCGCGGGAGGCGCCGACGGCGTTGGGCGGCGTGGGGCCGATTTTCTTGAATTTGGACACGAAGAAGCCGTCGACGTTGTAGGTGTGCGGGTAGTATCTCCTCGTCATCTGTGTGGGTGTTAGCAAGAGAGAAGAAGATCTGGGGGTCGGGGGATAGAGATGTACCTTCATGGAGGGGTGGAAGATCTTGCCGCCGATCTTGGTGAAGCCTTCTTTACCGAATGTCAAGCCTGTCTCGACGAGCTTAACGTTCGGGCGCTTATTCAGCGCGTACTGGACGACTTGCTCGTTTTCCTCTACGGTAACGGAACATGTCGAGTACACGATGTAGCCGCCGGTCTTGCTGTGGTGGTCGACCGAGTCGATGGCGGCCAGGAGTAGCTGCTTCTGCAGATGGGGGAGCTTCATGAAGTCGGCCTCGGTCTTGTTGGTCTTGACACTGGCGTCCTTTGCGATGACACCGGTGCCGGAGCAGGGCGCGTCGAGCAAGACGCGGTCAAACCCGCCCATGACCTTGGGGAACTCGAGCGCGGAGTAGTTGCACACGATGGCGTTTCGCACACCCAGACGGTGGATGTTACCAATCAGACCCTTGGAACGCTCTTTGCTGGCATCGTTGGCGAAGATGCAGCCCGTGTTCTTCATCAGGGCGGCCAAATGCGTCGTCTTACCACCGGGAGCAGCAGCCATATCGAGCACGCGCTCGTTCTCCTGGGGTGCAAGGGCCATGACAGGAAGGAACGAAGAGGCAGCTTGCAGAATGTAGTGACCAGCCAAGTACTCGGGTGTTGCACCGAGCGGGACGTGGGCGTCGAAGATCTGCAGACCGACCTTGGACCACTTGCCGACGGGCTCGAGCTGCACGCCGCGGTTGATGAGCGACTGCGCGAGCTCACGACGATGTGTGCGGAGGGTGTTGGTGCGGATGACGATCGGTCGGGGTGTCTCGTTGGCCTCGAAGAACGCGAAGGCCTCGCGGGCAGGGAACAGACCGAGGAGCTTGTCTGCGAGGAATTCAGAGTAGCCGTAGTACGAGCAGATGTCCTTCAGCAGCTGCGCGCGGTACTCGGCCCTGTCGCGGCCGGGCTCAGCCAGGTTCTTGAAGTCGTCCAGCACGCGGATGGTGTCGTTGAGTCGCGTTCGGAGAAGCTGGATGTCCTGTGTGACGAGGTTCGAGATCTTGCGACCTTGCTCGTCCTCATCGTCGTCCAGCACCTTCGGCCTGTCCCCTGGCGCGATGTTGGTCTGCATGTTGCCCTCCTCGAGCTCAGCCTGCGCCTCGGCCTCCTCAATGGCCCTCTGCATGTCCAGCTTCCGCGACAGACCCTCGATGTTGGCCGCCGTGAGCTGCTCTTGCACGTCTTCGTCGTCGTCGTCGTCCGACCACATGGCCTTCTTGCCGGTCTCTACGTCCGAGTCGAAGTCGTCGTCGTCGTCGTCGATTTCGCTGTCGTCTTCCGAGGCGCTGCCGAGCGCATCCAGGCCAGAGACCTTGACGGCACCACCAGCGTCTTCCATCACATCATCGTCGGAGAGGTCCGAGAACTCTTCCTCGTCGTCGGATGCCGGAGGCGGCGCAGTCTTCTTGGTCGGCTTAGCACGGTGTGCAGGCTTCGTAGCGCTCTTCTTAGCCGCCGCGCCATTTGTAGCTGCAGCTTTCTTTGATGCCGGCGCAGCCTTCGCCTTCGCCTTGGCCTTTGCGTCTGTTCTTCTCCGCTTCTGCTCCTTCGGCGCGGGCGCCTCGTAGTCCTTCCTCTTGCGTGTGACGAGCGATTCGTCGAGGGGCTCGGGCATGCCCTGCTTGTTCTTGCCTCTCATTCCACCCATATTTGCGCTTGTGTATGTGAGGAGCTGGGCGGATCGGAAATGGTGTTTCGCGACCGACCTATGGGCGTCGAACTGGTCGAACTTTTCGAACTTTTTACGAAATCTAGCGCCGATTCTGCCACCGCCTTGCCTGCTGCGGCCCCGCCAGACGGAGACGATGTCATTCGCCGACCAGGCCGTCGACACCACATTGCGCAGAGCATTCGACCTCGCACAGCGCAGTATTTGCGACCTTTCTGATTACGTGCAATCGACCAGTCAGCCACTCCAACCCGCCACAATGTCCGAGCTCGCCTTCTGCAAAACATTCCTCGGCGCAATCGACTCGCGCCCCATCAAGCTCTCCTCCGACTACGTCTCGGACGCGCGCACCTACCCAGCAACCGGCGTCGTACGTCCCCCACCACTCCGACGAGAATCCACCAAGCTAACCTGCCCAGCCTATCCTCCCCCGCCTGCCCACCGGACACCCGCAGCGCCCCGCCCCAAGAGCGTCCCAAGATGCCGCCTCCTCGACAGCAAGCATAACGCTCAAGCCCATGAAGCCCAGCACGCCCACGCTCCCGCTCCCCGGCACCGACGCAAGCAAGACCTCCGTGTACGATCTCAAGTCGCACTACGCAAGCGCGACCGGCATCCCCGCCTCCAAGATCAAGATCCTGTACAAGAAGAAGCCCGTCGCCGACTCCAAGCTCGTGTCTGAGATCGTCGGGGCAGATGCAGGCACAGATCTTGAGTTTGGTGTCATGATTATGGGCGGTGCGACTGCGGTGACGCCGGCGGAGTCGCCTGCTGCGACTCCCGCGGCTGCGGCTCCGAGTGAGAGTGACAAGGGCCTGGCGGGCGCAGATGCGGCTGCGGATACAGCTGCGAGTGGAGGTGCGACGGTGGTGGGACCGAGTGGGAAGGACGTCGTGGCTACAGAGGCCTTCTGGGGGGACCTGAATAACTTTATGCTGCAGAGGATAAAAGATGAGAACGAGAGCGAAAGGCTGGTGGGCGTGTTCAGGAAGGCGTGGGAGAGTGACCGGTAGGTCTGCGTCACGATAGGACTGGATTCATAAGAGCAATGCGCAGCATGCTACACCGCATCAGGTCAGCGAGTGGAATTAATAGGATCATTCATCTGTGATATCTCGCCAGTCTGTTGCTCCAGACTCATCAAGCCTGCACACTAGAGCCGGCACGGTACACCGGCACTCGTCCACCACGCCACCTAGGACCAGCAGTCGCTATGCCATTTCATCTGGACCAAAACGCAAACTCGGTTCATTTCGTCATAGTCATTGCCAAAACACAATTCACCCTAATGCTTGCTTTTGCGTGCGCGAAATCGACAGAACAGCAGCCACTCGCTTATCGGCCTCTGGACACGCGAGACTTGATGTTATCGAACTCGATGTCGTCGGCGTCGTTGGCCTGGATGTCGGCGGCGAGTCCGTTGAGGGCGCGCTTGATGGCTTCCTTGGAGGAGCTGTACATCATGCGGGGCTGCCCGGTGTCAGTACACTTGCCTCTAAGAAGAGAGGCCCTGAGACTCACGTATTGCGGCGCATCATCGGGAGTCCATGAGATGAAGGTGATCTTGGAGCGTGTGCCCTCGCCGTTCTCGAGCTCGTACTCGACGTCGAAGACAGCGTAACGGCCGCCAATGCCCTCCTTGCCCTTGCGGTCCTTGCTCTTGGCGTTCAGAAGCTTCTCGCGGAAGACCGACCAGTCAGCCTCCTTGGATGTCTCCTCAACAACAATCTCCTTCCAGTCGTCGCTGATCTTGTAGATGATCCACTTGGTGTCCTTGCCGAGCTTGAGCTCGTTGAAGGCGCTGATGCACTCGGGCGCGACGGAAACACTGGAAAGGTGGCGTTAGCGGGGAAACCACGGAAGCGACAACGTGGGTGAGGCGGTGAAGGCAGGCATGTGCGCGGAGAACCTGAAGGGCGCCGCGACAGCTGTCAGGGATCGAGGTGCATGAGCAGTCGTACGTACCCGGACTGAGCCTGTTCGCAGTATGTTAGCGCTGGCTATCGTGCTTCAGGTTATATGTAGCCTTACCATGATGTGTTGTGCGTGGTGGGGGGAGTGGAGAGATAGCGAAGCACAAGTGCTTTATGTTCTGTGCTGCCTTGTCAGCGACTCGTCATCAGCTGCGCATGTCGGGCGCGACCCAGGCGATCGAACAGATGCCTAAAGCTCGAGGGCTGCTTACGTCAATGGGAGAGGATGAAGGAGGTGCGAAAGTGAGAGGACTGCGGGAGACACGGCCTGACAGTCGAGTTGTGGGTGGGGCCACGCTTGATCATGGCGGGGCAGGAGCGCTCCCACGGCAGGTTGGGACGCCATAGCAACCGGAGCTGACATCGTCTTTGCGAGGGTCGCAACATTGAATCATCAGTGCTGCTCCATTCTCCAGGAGGCGTGCAGTGTTCCTGAGACATCATCAAGGATCCAATATATTACTTCAGTGGTCGCATGGAGGGGCTGGCCTGGTCGCGATCTCTGCACGTCAGGTTAGGCTGGGTATGAATAGGCTGACATTTATGCTACATGTGCAAGATAGCAGTACAAACGGGGAGACAGTGTAACAGTGAACATAGTCGGAACATGAGTTGTGAGCGACGGAGTGCAAGCGGCGTTCACTCAGATACGTGCAGCATCAGACCGTTTACAATTGAGGCTGACTTGTTCCGAATCTGCTATTAACGCTTCCGAAGCACATCAGGGAGACACTGTAACCATTACAAAGATTTGTAAGATTATGTTTGAACTAGCTTACAATTTCTTGGTCACTTTTACATCTGGTCCTTCCCAGGATTCCTTCTAGATACACATGATATCGTACAACTATCCCAAACAAATGCTGCGCTTTTCCTACAAGTGATTATGAAGACAGCGAGAGAATCAGAGCGGAGACCATCCCAATGTCGTGTACATGAACCGTCGCTGGGAAAGACCCGAGTACTAAACAGGGAGAAACGGTATACATGTACAGTACACTATAGCTACAGATGATCAACTGATCTTTCCCCCAACCATTACGCCAGGCGCAGCCATGCGAAGTCATGCTCAGGAGCGTAGATCGTACAGAGATTACAGGTATCAAGTAAATAAAGCATCGGAAAGAAGAGAATCAGGTACCTGAGGCCTTTTTACATCATTCCGCCCATTCCGCCCATCCCTGCCATGGGGTTGCCAGCAGGCATTGGCGATTTCGACTCGGCTTCAACGATAGCGACCTCGGTTGTACCAAGGAGCGAGGCAACACCAGAGGCATCGACCAGGGCAGTACGGACGACCTTGAAGGGGTCAAGGATACCGGCCTCGATCATGTTGACGTACTCGCCATTGGCGGAGTTGAAGCCCTTGTTGAAGTCGCTGCCGAACTCGTCAGTGAGCTTGCCAACAACAACGGAGCCCTCGGCACCGGCGTTCTCGACGATCTTGCGGGCAGGGTGGGTAATGGCGTTCTTGACGATGGTGATACCGAGCTGCTGGTCGAAGTTGGCGGCCTTCACGTTGGCAAGGGCGTTGACGGAGGCCTTGAGGAGACCAGTTCCACCACCGGGGAGAATACCCTCCTCGACGGCAGCACGGGTGGCGTTCAAAGCATCGACGATGCGGTCCTTCTTCTCACCGACTTCAACCTCAGAGGCACCACCGACCTTAATGACGGCAACACCACCAGAGAGCTTGGCAAGACGCTCCTGGAGCTTCTCCTTCTCGTACTCAGAGGTGGAGGGGTCGGCCATAACGCCGCGGATCTGCTCGCAGCGCTGAGCGACAGCGTCCTTGCTGCCAGCGCCGTTCAAGAAGATGGTGTCCTCCTTTGTGACGGTAACAGCTCCGGTAGAACCGAACATGTCTGCGGTAGCTTTCTCAAGCTTGATCTCCAGGTCGTCGTTGAAGACGGTAGCATTGGTCAGGACAGCGAGATCACCAAGGATAGACTTGCGGTTGTCACCGAAGCCTGGGGCCTTGACAGCGGCGACCTGCAGCTGGCCACGGAGCTTGTTGAGAATGCAGACAGCGAGAGCCTCGCCGTCAATGTCCTCAGCGATGATAAGAAGAGGGCGGCGCTGCTGCTGGGAAGCCTCGAGAGCGGGGATGATGTCCTGAACAGCGGAGATCTTCCTCTCAGAAAGAAGAACGAGAGGGTTCTCGAACTCGACCTTGGAGCTCTTGGCATCGGTGATGAAGTAGGGGGAGATGTAACCACGGTCGAACTTCATTCCCTCGGTGACCTCAAGCTCGTCCTCGGTGGTCTTGCCCTCCTTGACGGTGATGACACCCTCCTTGCCGACCTTCTCCATGGCGTTGGAGAGGAGCTTGCCAATGTGTGTGTCGCCGTTGGCAGAGATGGTGGCGACCTGGGAGATCTCCTCGCTGGTGGTGATCTCCTTCTTATTCGCGCGCAGATATTCGACGACGGCCTCAACAGCAGCCTGGGTTCCGCGCCTCAGATCCATGGGGTTGCATCCGGCGGCGACGTTTTTGACCGTCTCGGAGAAGATGGCGCGAGCGAGCACGGTGGCGGTTGTGGTACCGTCACCAGCAACCTCGTTGGTCTTGGAGGCGACATCCTGGAGGAGACGAGCACCGAGGTTTTCAAACTTGTCCTCGAGGGTGATGGCTTTGGAGACGGTTACACCATCTAATGTCTGTCAGTCGCTGGTATGTGAGCTTCATGATGATGGCCACGTACCCTTTGTGATTTTGGGGGAGCCGTAGCTGGACTCGATGAGGACGTTGCGACCCTTGGGACCGAGTGTTGTGGAGACAGCGCGGGCGATTGTGTCGACACCCTTGAGCAGGGAAGCGCGTGCTTCGACGCCGAACTTGAGCTCCTGTCATCACTATTAGCTTCTGGAGCTTCATTGACGTCGTTTGCGACAGCTGCAATGGCGTACCTTGTGAGCAAACCTCTGTTGCTGGAGGTTGAAACTCCTGGCGCTCGACTTCAGAGCGGAAGTCCGCGCGCGGGCTGTGAAAGCTCTCTGCATTGTGAAAGAATTGGATGTGTGTGCGGGAGGTCAATCTCACGTCTTGCTCCTAGACTCCGGCCTAATGCAAGATGACGAGGAAGAGATGAGGATGCGAAAGAGGTGAGGAGGTTTGTGGAGTTGATAGCTGAAGTTCGTCGATGCTCTTAGAAATTTGCTGGAAACATCGAGAAGCGGTTAGATCAGAACACGATCCCTGCGCGCGTATATACCACCTCGGTTGTCCGTCCGGCATCACTTCCGACTGCACCCTTCATCACCTTTGCATGGTACAGTACTGACTATGGGGACCGAGTTAAGGCATTGCTGCGTAGAACTAAGCGGTTCTAGATAGTTGGTGGAAGCTTGGGTGCTGGCTGATGGCCGGTGAGGCAGTCCTGAACTTCACATCTCGCCTCAGTCACATTTGTAGAGGTCCCAGGGAACGACTGCCTCTAAGAGTCCAGTAGTGATTGTGCATTGAAGATTCTACACAGGAATAATACATGCTTCGCCTTCCAGCTGCAGCAAACACGAAGAATAGTCTTATCTTCCATGCATTCCACGTCTACACAGAACAGGTTTGCCCCTTCCCTGGTCTACATTGTTTCAAATCAGTTATCAATCAGCTTCATTTGAATTTCGTTCTGCATTCATTGGATCCGTCACCGCTGAATCACTCTGAGTATGATTTTACTGTGTACATTTAAACCACCGCAAAGTATTAAATGGTAAGGAGTGGGTTCCATGCGCTTACGCCGTCAAGATCAATCCTATCTCAACCCAATTCTGTCCTTGGAAAAACAGAGGCTCCGTGTTTCTACGAAACACACCGTCGCGTATATTGCTTAGAGCATCCCAAGTGCAAATCCAAGAGCACCAAGACCCATACCAACCGCAGCAGTGATGGCCGGAGCAGCAGCCTGAGAAACCTGTGAAGGTGCAGCGGTGGAAGTCACCATACTGGTGCCAGAAGTCCTAGTGACAACGACGCTGCTGCCAGTGGTGGCGGCAGAGGCGGCAGAAGAGGCAATGGAGGAGACGACCGAGCTGGCGCTGGCAGAGTTGAAGGAACTATGAACGCTGAAGTTGCAGCGGGTCAAGACCTCACGGACATCGTTATCGTTCACGTTGTCATCATCATCGGTGTCGGTGTCGTACTGGGCGACGCAGGCCTCGCAATTGGGGATCAAGGTGTTGGCGTTGGCTGCATTGCAGATGCACTGGAGCTCGGCGTTGTCGTTGTCTGTTTGATTTGTCAGTGACGTCTCTCAGATGAGACGATCTGATGCGTACCATGCTGATTGTCACAGTCACGTGCGATAGTCACAACCTGAGCGCAGACTTGGGTGCACTGTTGAGGGATATCGTCCTGGCTGATGTCCTGAGCCGCGACAATGGCGGTCAAGGTAGCGGCAATGGCGAGCTTCTGGAAGAGCATTGTGATGAGATTGTGGAACTGGGTGACGGGTTTGAGTGATGTAGTACTTGTGTTGTTGGGTCGATGTGAGTTGTTTGGTCGCACTTAAACCCGTCGACACAGCTGCTCTATATACTCAGATCCAAGCCCATGATCAACACAAGATTCCAACACCTCGCCAAGTGCATCAAGAGCAGACCCCGTTGAGAATCTTGCTGCGGTGATGCTCAGGCATAGTCGGCCAGGTTGGGGCTGCTTGGACACGAAGGGAAATGACGGTGCCAAGTCACTGGAACGAGTGACATTTATTATGGCCGTTCATGGCTTTTGTGCTAGAAACACGTCTCTGCATACGCATCTCGACGACCAAGCCCTGCAGAGTCCAAGCAATGCAATTTGTTTCAAGACACGCTGGACGAGTCCTGGCAGCCGGGACTGTGACACTGCAGAAGCATTCCAAGGTTGGGTACCGCTTGCCGAGAGAGCCGAGCCGCTAGGCAAGGCTGTCTTCGTAGATCTCGTGCGGCTGTGTCGACTCTAAGCGTCTGGAAATCTGGGATCGTCTACTAGCGTCGTGTTTGGCGTGGATGATGGGGGGGCAGTGGCTGGTTGGAAGGGGACGCGCAAGCTCTTGCTGGGCAGCGAAATGGTCTTGGATGTCTCGCAAAACCTCACGAAGACGTGGCTACGATCCACTGATCACGTAACCCGCTTCTGTGCGGGCCTCGTGGCATGTAATAATAGCATCGAGGACGGGACAGACCGTTGGCACCAAGGACGACCTTTGGCATAGGAGAACAATCTTCGTGATGGCTTTCGTGCGTGTACGACAGCATCTGTGAGCCCAGGAGCATCAGGAGGAGCATCTCTAGCCGTAGGAACGCGTTGCACGCATGCACTCAAGTCGTCTTTACTCGAAATTCCAATGAGACATGTGTATCCCCTGCTCTTTTTTGTTTTCTCAACCTTTGAAGACTTCGAGGTATGAATGCCGATTTGAGGTTGTTTGGAGAGAACGTGGGAGTCGAGATGCAACGTGGTTGTCGGAATCCCAAAGGCCCGAAATCTGCGTCTTCAGCGCGTTACTTTCTCGATCAGGGCGTCATCTCATCGCGTGCACGTTTCTGACCTAGTCTCGGGTGAAGGGCCTTCCATCTTGATTCGTGCTGTTCTGTACCTGGATGAGTAACGCGTGACCTTCCTGTGAATCTGCTGGCCTCTCTATCTGGCCCGTTCTGCAAACCTGCTACACCGTTGTCTTGGTAGGCTCTACCTTCCGATCGCGCACTCCCTCGATCAATTGAGCACGATACTGCGATTCGGCTGTAAGATGCGGTTGTTAACGTTAGCCGGGCGTTGCCAACCTTGTCACTCAAGGATCGTTGATGTTATTCCTGAGTACACCCTCACCAACCGAAAGCCTCTCGTCGATCATGCTCGGTAGCACTATCCGGACCGGCAGCCCTACGACCTCAACTTTCAAACTACTAACACCACACGTGCTGCAGCGATTGAAATGTGGTGTCGCCAGATTTGGTCGATTTTCGTTTGAATCTCGATCTGAAAGCGTGGGCTTCAAGCACTAACCAATCCTGAATGGATACAGTTGTCACGAGTTGCGATCATACCAGTTTTCGTCGGTTTTCGGCGAGCGTAGAAGTCTAGACCCTTCCCCCAATCCTTCGAGCAACCTTTTGGCGCAAGGCACGCGGGTTGTTCGAATCGCTTTGATCTCGGCAGCCCACATGACGTCAGTGCCCTAATCCGCGATGCGCTCGCAGCATCTGTCGATCGTCCATAGCCTTCTCACTCTATCGTTGCTGCAAAGCAACAATGGGAACGTTTATTCCATTTGATGTCAACTCAAGGTCCCTAGACAATGTTGACTGGTACATCATGCGCTCCGCTCTACTCTCCCGGCTAACGCGCAACAGGTCCAAGACCGCCATCGGACCGCGGGACTCGTGGTCTCCCGCGCTCAAATGTCTCGTCAACTCCTGCGTCCTGCCGATGACCCACTGCTGCGCCATCTTCTGGGGCAGTGAGCTTACAGTCATCGCAAATTCGACATGGGGCAAAGCGCGCGGGAATCTGGACGGGCAGGGCACCAGCGCATTACGAACCTACAAAGCAGAGGCACTTAGCACTTTGCAGCGAGTACTGCGCGGCAGAACCGTCAAGGTAGGTAAGAACCACGCCCTGCCTTTCCGGTCGAGTCAATCCTCTCATCACATGTATACAGATGCCAGATTCTTCCTACAAAATATCAGCGGTGAGGATGAAGAGTCGCAAATCCTCCTCAGCACCCTTCTTGATGCCGACGGAAACCGGCAGGGGGTGCTGGCGCAGCTCATGCAAAACAACACAGTAGAGAAGTACACCGCACTGGAGGGCCTAAGCAAACTGGCCCACCGAAATCCAGCGAAGACCGACAAGAGATACGGCAGCGACAAGCCTGACGGACAGCCCAACGATGGACAGAAAGATGCTATGCAAACACAGCTATTCCAACGATTTGCCGAGCTACTTCCCAACGGTCTTGCGATTCTTGACAAAGAGCTTGAAGCCATCTTTGTCAACGATGGATTCTTCCGACTCACGACGAATAAGATGGCGAACGAGTTCCGCGCATGGCCTGAAAGCATCCATCCCGACGACTATGACAGAGTGATGACCGCTTATCGCAAAGCATTCTCACTTCGAGAAGACCTCAGGATCGAATTCCGATGCACGAGCGAAGCCACCGGTGAAGCGGGGGAATGGAGGTTGTTCTTGTTCAGACCTCTCAGCGAGGATCCCGAGGCTGGGTTCATATGTGCGGTAGTCGATATCACCGAGATCAAGCAAGCTGAATTAGCTCAAGAGAAGGCTGCAACTGAAGCCCAGGACAGGAAGGAGCAACAAGAACGCTTCATCGACATGGTCTCCCACGAGATTCGTAACCCGCTCAGTGCTGTCATGCATTTGGCTGAAGAAGTCAAGGAAGTCATTCGCGAGATTGGCACAACCCACGAGGACATAAAAGAGCAGGTTTCTGATATCATGGACGCTGCCGACACGATCTTACTCTGCGTCTCACACCAGAATACCCTTGTCGATGACATTCTTTCCTTCTCGAAGCTGGACTCGATGATGCTGTCTCTGGTCCCACGCGTGGTGCGACCCAAGTGGGAATTCTCACAATCCCTCAAAGTTTTTCAATCCGAGTTCAGAGCCAAAAGCATCAAATTCCACTATGCCATGGATATCTCATACGACGATCAGTCAGTCGATCATGTCATTGCAGATCTCAACAGAATGAAGCAAGGTAAAAGACTCTACTGTCTTGAGGAAATATACTGACTCGACTAGTACTAGTCAATCTTATAACAAATGCAGTCAAGTTCACATCGAGAAAGACAGGTGAACGGAAGATCACTGTCTCTATGGGAGCCTCGATAGATCGTCCCACGTCGTATCCTCCCAACGTAATATACTTCGGCCAGGATAAAGAAACATTCCACATCGACTCTACCAGGTCTTCTGAGTGGGGGGATGGCGACGCGTTCTATCTTATGGTGGCTGTTAAGGACTCAGGTATCGGTATCAGTAAGGAAGACCAAGCCAAGTTGTTTGAACGCTTCAGGCAAGCAACCCCAAAAACACAGGAGAAGTATGGCGGGTCTGGATTGGGTCTTTTCATCTCGCGCAAACGTAAGTACAAGTTTCGCTATTGCAGCCTCGACTAATTCCAGATTTTAGTATGTCAATTGCATGGAGGAGATATCGGTGTCAGCTCGAAGGAGGGAGATGGGTCTACCTTTGGCTTCTTCTTCAAGGTTCGACGGTCCGACGGGGCCAGCAATGAAGACGGACGGCCGCCATTTGGATCTCGTTCAAACTCCGAAGCCCCTGCGACTCCGGACCAACGATCTCAAACACCTCGACCCGGCTATAGCCGCGCAAATTCCAATCTTCAAGATATCAAGGAGAGGACGAACGAACGAGGCAGGAAAGAGATCAAGATGGAAGCTAAAGAAAACGATTCAGCGAGCAAAGCTAAGAAAGACGAAAGCAAAAACGAGCACAAACGCTCGGGCCTTGACGAGCAATTGACAAGTCATGCAGATGACATCGAATCACTGAACAACCCTCCCACGGAGTACTTCCCAGAAGCGCACCCCGAGTCCAACGAGGACAGTCGTTACAAAGAGACCAAGACCATTGCCCACCAAATTAACCCTCCTGTAGAAGGCCATGATGATGCTATACCTTACTCCGAGTCCGGGGAAAGCGTGCGCCAGGGAGCGGCAGCTGACAAAGCACACAAGGCACACAGTGCTCAACAAAAGGACGACAAGCGTACCCTTCTCCTTGTCGAGGACAACCTCATCAACCAAAAGGTACTTCGTCGGCAACTGCAAAGCCGGGGGTTTGAAGTCTTCGTTGCGAACAATGGTCAGGAAGCCATCGATGCAGTAGCCAAACGTGGTCAAACAGCTGCCGAAGACCTCAACAACCGGAATTACTTCGATTGCATTCTTATGGATCAAGAGATGCCTATCAAGGATGGCAACCAGGCCACATCCGAGATCAGACAGCTTCAGAACGAGGGCAAGGCTGGATTTAGCAAGATTCTGGGTGTCAGTGCGAACGTCCGCGAAGCGCAACGTGACAGTATGCGGGAAGCAGGCATGGATGACCTCATCAGCAAGCCCTTCAAGGTGGACGCTCTGGTCGACAAGATCGATGAACTTACCATCAGTAGCAAAGACGTCAATGGCGAAGGCGGAAAACTTTCCAACGAAGCTAAGCGAACCCCGAGTGGCGAGCAATTGAAGAACGGCGAGCCATTGGTGAAAGGTGAGAAAGAGACGAAAGAGAAGAAGCGAGAGCAAACCAGCGGCAGAATGATTGATGGCGAGAAGAAGGAAGAGATGTTTGGCAAGAAGCAGGGGGAGAATGTAGGAAAGGAGCAAGACGGGGCACGCGAACAGAAGGGACTAGTAGGCGAACCCAAGGCGTGGGGGAATGCGAAGTACGACCAGGCCAACTCGATTTCGAAACCAGAGGCAAAGCATAGCAAAAACAGTCAGAGCAAAGAGAAGTCTGGGACCAACCAGCGGAGTCCTCAGATATCGGATGCGATGGAGGAGAAGACGAGGAAGGGACTTGAGCAGAAGGGGTAGCGCATTATATTCTTGTTGCTTGCTAGGGATTGCATCGCATGGTGTTCAGAGCTTTACGGCACCAAAATCAAGGGTGGCGGAATTGCGCTTGTGGGCTGGATGTTACGACGGATCATGATGGTACAGCTTGATTTCCCCTGATTCAATATCAGAGTATGGTCCGAATCTTTAAACTCGCTCGTTCGATTTGGCGACTGGCAGAAAACCTCATCCGCCGTTGCGTTGGCTGACCTCCGTGTAGTCTCTCCCACTGGATGCACGCAGTTCCCAACATTTGGGAAAAGTCAACTCGGTCGTGGATATTGTAGTGCCGAGGCATCTGTCGAAAAGTTACTGATCCGACTGCTCACCTCTGACCTCTGCACCTGCTATGTGAGATTAGAAAGAAGATGCGCTCGAGTAATACTTTCTAGATAAGGTACACCACGACGATACACGAGTCATGCAGCATCCATCCCACTTCACCCCACTTCTCCGCCCGCATCAAACATCATGACACCCCCGCATGCATGGTGATGGATCGAAGTAACTTTTCCACGCCTGCTACTCGGTTCTTTGTCTTCGTCTTTGTCTTGTGCCCAGATTGACTCTTCACACCTTTTATACGCTCACACTTCAACAATGGCAAGTGAATTCCAGGATAAGGTCGTCCTTATAACCGGAGGAGCAAGTGGTATAGGGTACGTCACAGTCCACCTTCCTCCCCCGTGGCCATCCATCCTCACTCCGTGACCACGACAGGCGCGCAACAGCCCTCAAACTCTCTTCGCTCGGCGCCAAACTCTCTATCTGCGACCTCAACGAGTCCTCCCTCTCAAGTCTCACCCCCGAGACAGAAACGCAAACCTACACACAAGCCGTCGACGTCGGCAACACACAACAAGTTAACGACTTCGTCTCCAACACTGTAGAACAGCTGGGCAAGATCGATTATGTCTTCAACTGCGCCGGCGTAAACCCCACCTCGATCCCGCTCGAAGACACACCCGATGCATACTGGGACAGGCTGGTCAACACAAACCTCAAGGGCGTCTTCCTCGTGACACGGGCTTGCCTGCCCCATCTCTCGCGCGGCAGCGCAATAGTGAACGTGAGCAGCATAAGCGGGCTGCGCGGCTGCGCGCAGCAGAGCGTCTACTGCACGACCAAATTCGGGCTCATCGGCATGTCCAAGAGTCTCGCGCTCGAGCTCGGGCCCAGGGGTATACGCGTCAACTGCGTGGCGCCGGGGTACATTGACACGCCGACGAACGCGGGGATCGTCAAGGGCGGAGAGGCGGTGGAGCGGATGCGGACGGGGAATGCGCTTGAGCGGCTCGGTACGCCGGAGGAGGTGGCGGATGTTGTTGCGTTCTTGATGGGCGAGGGGGCGCGGTACATGAATGGGAGTGTGGTGGAAATTGACGGGGGGCTGAAGATGAGTAGTACGACTAGTAAGTCTGGATTGAGATGATCGCTGACCATGTGTAGACGAAGAGAGCTGACGGGCGTAGGAAAATGATGTACTGGCCCTGAGCATTGGCCTGTGGATGGTAGAGGGAAGTACAGGCGGAGTGGATGAGATATGGTGGTTCTGCGCAGATAGATATCAGAAGACCCCTCATGACCATGATGGTTCTCTTGCTTGCGTGTGCAGTGATTACCCAATTGTGTAGTGCATGCGAAAAGACGTTCTGAGCAGTTGTGTGATGCAAGAGAACGATCGTTATTAGATATAGTTGCAGCATCAGATCTGCTGCTACATGGACAGATAATCGTATCTCTGTCGTGCTCGACTCGCTCGCCGAAAGAAGCCATGACCTCATTTCAAACGCCAATCCACTCTAAAGATGCCATATATTGTTGTCAAATGCTGCTGCTACAGCCGTACGTGAACAGAGCTCGGATCAAACGACCCTAAACATCGCCAATCGAGACCGCCGAAAGAATGCTGGACTCAATCCAACAGTATCGCAAATGCGAAAAAGCTATGCCGAAAGCTGCATGCGCTTCGTATAATCGTACATTGCAACAGGAGTGCGACTTTCATGCCTTGAGGCTGTCGCGCATGCTCTGGCTGCTGGAGCTGACGGGCACGTTGGAAACGGGGAGTACGGACTTGGCCTTGGCCGCGGCGTTCTGGCGCACCTTGGCGAGAGCGTAGACAATACCGCTGACGAAACCGAAGAAGATGGCGGAAACACTACCGAATGTGACGGGCGCATCGAAGAAGATCAATCCGCTGAGCGCGATAGGCAGCTTGTTTAGAGCGCCGACCATCGAGTAGGTTGTGGAGGTTGTGACACGGACGGCCCAGGCGGAAGTGTACGAGATGAAGACGGAGGAGAGACCGGACAGGACCATCATGAAGATGACTGCGTTGCGCTGATCCGCGGGGAAGTTCTTCTGAATGTTCGCGGGGGACCAGTCTTCGACGACGATGGAGGCGACCAGGAGGATGGGGATGGTGAGGAGGTTGTTGTAGTACATAGCTAGTGATTGTTAGCTTATTCAAGCAGAATCCTTGTGATCGAACTTACTGTCGAAGTCCTTGAAGTTGGTGAGCTTGATGCGCTTCCTCATGGCAAGGACGAATGTGGCACTGCAGATGCAGTTGAACATCATCCACAGGTAGCCGGCGTGCAGAGTAGAGACAGCATCTGTCGCCGCCTCTGTCGCATGACCCACGCTGGTGAGCGCATGCTGAATGTCGGCCCAAGCTGCAATGAGGGAGCTGAAAACCATCAACCCGAAAGAGAACAGAGCCATGGGTGTAACGGAGCCACCAAACCAGAGCACCTCACCATAGGCGATCAGGATGATGGTCAGGTTCTTGAAGATAGTGTAGACGGGAATCGAGAGGAACTTAAGCGCCCAGGTACTTGTGTAGATCATGCCGATGAGGAGGAGAGAAATGGGGAACCCTGCTCGTATTAGCTCGAGTGTACAGGAGACAATGCTTCCACGTACACTTCTTTGCCTCGTCCGAGTTGAAGTCGCGGTATGTGATGACTCCAGACGCCTTGCACACGGAGATAGCGACAACACAGACAACCGACTGTACGCAGAGCAGGAAGAAGTTGAGGTTGAAGTCGCGTCCAGACAAGACATATTTATTCGTCACCGTCATAAGGATCGAGGAGCCGCAGTAAGAGAGGATGGCAATGACGGGGTTTTCTGTGATGGAGCCGCTGCTGCTCTTCGAGGACCGGCTCACCGGTGACGGCGCACGGGAGCCCTTTGCTGAGCTCATGCCGTAGTCGTCGCTCTTCTTATCGTCGGCCATGGCGAGGGAGTGCGTCGAAGGAAGATGCGCGCAGCGTTTCGTAAGGAGCGGACTGTGCGGAGAGGATGGGCGCGTGGTCTCTGCGCAAAAGGCGGGCAATGATGTTGAGAAAAGGACAGAAATGAGACGTTTGGGGAAAAGAGGAGATGTTAGATGGTGATGCGCGTCCTTGCGGTAGATGTGGGTCCGGCCTAACGCCCCTGGCTTAAATTAGAGTACACCAGCACCACTCGTAACTGGCCGTCAGCAGACCTGCATAACGGCTAACAGCCTCCTATTCCGCTAGAAAGCAGACTCTGTCATCAAGCCTTCTGCATTCCACAGTTAGTAACATCTACTCTGCTATCTCATCGAAAGAAAAGGAGTCTGAAGCAGTTGAATCTGTCTACACGTGATTTGCGCTAGTTCTGGCGTTGAAGTCAGGGTCTGACAACTCTACAACTCCCCTCACTTCGCTTGTGATATCAAGGAAGCAGTTTACACCATGTCCCAACTAGATTCGAAAGTCGCCTCGGTCATCGACCGCGCCGCCAAGAATGATGAATCCGACGAGGACGACCTCATCGCTCAGCTTGAAGATGATTCAGAGTTAGATGCTTTCCGCGCACAACGAATACAACAACTACACGACGAATTCGACAGGGCTCGGCGATTGAAGGCCAGCGAGCATGGGACCTACTCTGAAGTCAAGGACGAGAAGGCGCTGATGGACATCACCACAAGTACGAAAAACTGCATCGTGCACTTTTTCAAGCCGGACTTCAACCGCTGCCGCATCATGGACACACATTTTGAGGTGGGATTTGTCTCTTCGGATGCATGATGAAGGCAGGCTGATAATCTGCAGTCACTCGCACCGTCTCACTATGAGGCACGAATCTTGAAGATCAATGTCGACAATTGTCCCTTCTTGGTCACGAGGTTAGGAGTACAGGTGCTTCCGTGTGTCATTTCGTTTATCGACGGTGTTGGCGCCGACCGCATTGTCGGCTTTGAAGGACTGGGACGCAACTCAGACAACTTCACTGTCAGAGATCTTGAGGCGCGACTTATCCGAGCTGGCGTGTTCACGAGAAATAAGGTCACCAAGGAAGACGAAGAGGAGCGCAAGCAAAGGAGCAAGATGGCAGTCAAGTACGACGACGAGAACGACGACGACTGGGACTGAAGGGTTAGCAAACCACTGCAGAGAAACAGCTTGCACGTTTTGATGTGTCAAGCTGCTAAGTCGATGCTGCTACCAGTGTGCTTGCTCGCATACGGCGATCGAAGCAAATACCTGTCCTCGAGGCGGACTTGACCCGAGAGCCTGATTGCTCAAACTTCGCACGAGTCATACGTTCAAGCACCAACGATACCCAGTCCGATACGAGACATTGCCCTCCTTTTTGTGCCCACGAGTACTCTTAGACTTGGTATGCGAGCACAAACAACGCAGTTCTTTGAAACGATGTCATGAAGACCGTGCTGAAGATCACATTATTGATCCTCAAGCAGAGTTGTTCAATGCAAAGCATACCCTCGACTACAACCTTCCCCGACTCGTCATATAATGTTTGATATTCGTCTTGATCCGCACTTGCTACTTTTTGAGGACGTGCAGAGGCGGCAGGCAACTGCAGGGGAAGCTCTTGCCGAGGCGTGAGAAAGCGCCCACGCCGATTGGCCAGACACCACCACCATGGTGCGTCATCGGCATCGCGCAATTCTCAAATACTTTTGGGTGTTGCGACAGCTGAGCCCAACACATAACCGCAAACAACCATTCTCGATCACAAGTCCCAGACAAAGCACGTAACGCATTCTAACTTTTTCCAAAAACACAAACCGAGATGAGAGCTTACTGGTTCGACAATGTCGAGGTACCTCGACCCCACACTCACCATAGCTCACATGATTAACCTGCCAGGGCGACCAACGCCTGCCCCACGACTCCGGGCGCAATGTCGAGCCATCTTATCTTGCCAATTTGGGCGTAATTTACAGACACGTCACTTCCGACGACGAGGTCAACGCACTAGCAAAAGAGCGCAGCTACAAGAACCGCGATGAAATCACCGTATCGCCCGAGAAAATGGGCGATATCTATGAAGAGAAAGTGAAGAGCTTTTTCCACGAGCACTTGCACGAGGACGAAGAGATCAGGTACATCATCGATGGCGCGGGGTTCTTTGATGTGAGGAGTGAGGGCGATGACTGGGTCCGGATTTGGCTAGAGCAGGGTGATTTGATTGTGCTGCCGGCAGGGATTTATCATCGGTTTACCACTGATGAAAAGAACGTAAGTGCTTGTTTCATGTCGTTGGAGTGTTGTCATGTCGATAAGATGCGGTTGGGATGGGCTGGCTGACGAGATACAGTACATCAAGGCCATGCGCCTGTTCAAGGAGGAGCCCAAGTGGACTCCGCTGAACCGGAGCGCGGAGACAGACGAGAACCACTACCGCAAGGAGTACCTCACTAAGAGGCAAGGTCTCGCTGCATAAGTCCTTCAATCGGCATGAACACGCGATCATGAGTACACGAACGACAATCAAAGTAGGCTTCCGTCAACCCTGAGTTTTGAGCAGCGTTTTCTCCGCCCGTCTCATTCTCGTATCAATCACGTTAGCAAACGTTTCTCGACCCAACATTCCCTACGGGGTGGCCTGCATTAAGTCACACAGTCATCGGCAGATAGCAAACAGCCATGCAGCACGGGTTTGCGGGAGTCGGTTTGCGCAACACCGCTTGTCGAAGATTCCGCGTGTAACATAAGCACTATTCAAGACTGACGTTCACCCTCCAACAGCATCCCACCAGCCCAATCTTTCCTAGCACACAGCCACCTCGACAGCCATGTTCGGCCCACCATGGGGCCGCAATCCTCGCGATGCTTTCAACCCATCAGACTTCGACTACCTCAATCCCCGCCCTCGAGATCGGCACTCTCGCTCTGGACGCCACTCCCCACCACCACGCTCATTCCCCGTTCCAATGCCTACCCCAACCTCCTTCACATCGTGCCCCAACCCTCACCCCCGCAGCCCCAGATCATCCAAGCCTTCAAGGCACCCAGTACCTTTCTCCGACTTCGCATCGCGTACGAGCTCAGACTCCACCTCCTCGGACTGGGACTGGGACGAGACGTACACGCTAGACACCTCGGAGTTCGCCCGCATCCCAGGCCTCTCCTCGCGCAATCGGCATCCGCCTGCTCCCGAGTTCGAGAGCGTCGCGGTGACCTTGCCGCGCCCCATGGCGCAGGAGCTGAGACAAAGCAGCGACCGAGTCCTGTTTCTGCCGCCGCTGGTGCATCTGCGCATCCGCCTCTCGCTGCCCCAGCGCGGTTGCGAGGACCTTGGCGTCTCGGTGCCTGGCTGCATGGGGTTCGAGGACATGACGAAGCAAATCGTGCAATGCCACGCCGGGCCGCGGATGCGCTACTCGGCGCTCGTAGAGCAGCGTGGGTGCATGGTGGAGCCGCCGCGGGAGGCTGCGTTGGAGGATCTAGCGCACAGGGGCGAGGTGTACAGGAATGGACGGCGGGAGATGGCGGTCGAGATTACTGTCGCTGACGACGGTGGGGATTGGAGGGATGTGCGGACGCCGTTTGGAGGGAGAGGACCGAGAGGGGGGGACGCGGAGGTGGAGACTGTCAGGAAGAGGGAGGTTAGTCGGACCAGGTATGCGCGTGCGCGTGCGTGAGCGGGCTGTGCGAGATGAAGGAGCTGCGAAGTGGTTGTGCGGAATGCGGATAGATGTACTGGACATAGATGAGCAAGGCGATGCTGCTGACAGCGAGTAGGTGTTGAGAACCGTCTTCACATTGTGCGCGGATATGTAAGTAGATGAGGCGCATGTTGCGTGCCGGTCGTCGGATGATCTTCTATAGCACAAGCGCACAGACAAGCAGTTTGGACTGCTGACGTCGGGAAAAAACAATCGAATGTTGCTACATATCGTAAAAACCGAGTATCCTGACCGAACACCTAACCACGCGCCTGACGCGCGAGCCCTATCTCAACATTCCGTAGCTGAACAAGTGGGGCAATTCAAGGCTTTTCGGCCTTTGCCAAACGTTGTCTCCTCGAAACGATAGAAGTATCAAACAACAGCACAAAAGAAAAACTCTGTAGTCGCAGTTCCGTCCAATCCACTTCAGCTCTCGTGGCTGATGCCTAGCCGGATGCTTCGTTGCCTAAATGGTCTTGAAGCCCTTCGTCTAGGCTGCGTCCGCAGGCTTGCCCCCCTTTTTCTTCTGCTCAACCTTCAGGAGCAGCGCGCGGTTGATATGTGGCAAGACACCTCCGAAGGCGATTGTTGCGCGGATAAGCGTGTCGAGCTCCTCGTCACCGCGGATGGCGAGCTGAAGATGGCGCGGCGTGATGCGCTTGACCTTGAGATCCTTGGCAGCGTTGCCTGCTAGTTCGAGCACTTCGGCGGTAAGGTACTCGAGGACAGCCGTCAGATAAATCGAGGCCTTGGCGCCGATGCGCGTCTTTTGGCGCGTGATGGTACGGAGGTGACGCTTTATACGGCCGCAAGGGAACTACATGAGAATGCAAAGTCAACGCGGTGACTCAGATCATGGATGCGAAGATCCGGCTGGCGGGGTAGGCGAATTGGGCATCGAAGAACGCGAAGTCGGGCTGCTACTGACCTGAAGGCCGGCTTTGGCGGAGTGCGACTTGGGTGTTTTGACGTGCGAGTCACCCTTTCCACCTGTCTTGCCTCCGGTTTTTCCTGCGCGTATTGTCAGCGACCTGGAAACCCGATGACGCGAGCTGTTGAGCCACGCGCGTACCTTTGCCGCCTGGCATTTTTGATAGCTATATCGGTATGGATGCCGATAGAAATATAGTCCGTAGGGGTGCGCGACCGTGTTGCCGGAGTTTGAAGGCGTGGACGATACTGTGACGTTGGCGGGAGGGGGGTGGTTGGTGTCGAGGATAGGTGAAGCCTTAGGCAAGGAAGCTAGAAGTTGTTGTGACAGGCGCGTTTAGCCGAATAGGAAGGAACGTCCGAGCGTCTGTGCACGAGCCGATCGTCCTGTGTAACAAGCAGCATTGGCGAGCAGCGCAAAGAAGAGCGCTGTGTTAGACATGCGAGCCCTAAATGGAGCTGCATGTGTTGTTGCCTGCTTGCTTATTGTACATCAGTAGGCAGAAATACCTGTGGTGAGCGGTGTCTGGCCAATACCATGGCGGTCTGCGCAGGTGCCAGGACGAGCGTCAATCTGTCCATAGCTCAGATGAGGAGCTAGGGAGACGGCTTAGATGCGAAGAAAAGAAATTTACCACCATGAGTTTGGGCTTGTCGTCGACCGTGGAAGATGAGAATAGAGGCGCTGGGAATGGGAAGTGTCCGCGAAATCGGCGCAACGATAGACGAGACGGAAAGAACAACAGAAAGGCAGCTAGACTTTGGAGCTGAGAGGAGAGGTCTTACATCTGCAGCTTTTGAGCTGAATGCTTACCGCTAGGAGTGTCATGTACTAGTGCACATTGCTCATGCTGTACGAGAGGTAGGGCTTGTTGGGTGGTGGGCAGCGTTGCACCTGTATGTCCACTACGGTCAAGATTGAGGTCGAAACGAAGGAAAAAAACCCATACAGGACGACTCCTCTTACTCTCCTGGACCTATCTCGCCTTGTGTACACGTCCCTACCGAAAGCTGCGTGGTCGTACAATAGAGAAGCTGGGAGAGCTTCAAGCCAGGACTGACGGCAGCTAGCGCTAGCGTCGCCAAGGCCCAGACCTCCAGCGCGCTGGAGAGGCCACAACTGACAGGTCCCCTAATAATGAAGGAAGTTTTGAGTGATGCAACTCTTCTACACGACCACGCAATAGTCCACAATAGTCACGGCCTCTTCTACAGGTCGTCACATCGCGCCTGGCCTTTCCCCGCCCGGTCGCGCGCTCGGACTGCGATTCCACAAATCATCCGAGCTTCTGAGGCCCGTCCTGAAGCTTCGACACGGGCATCGCGCTTGTTGGCCGACCCCCGACGTCGCATGCCCCATCCCCACGGCCCGTCCACCACACCGGCACATCACCGTACAGCAGGACCGCCATGGCATGGCAATCGCCGTCGGCCATGAACGCAGGCGGAGCGAACGGCGGAGGAGACGGCAATGCGCCGGCCGGGACAGAGTACACGCTGCAGGGTAGGGCGCCGCCTGGGGACACGAGGCATACGATGTCCGGCGATGCAGCCCGGCTAACAACGCTGCAGGAGTAATGCGCTTTCTACAACTCGAGTGGCACAACCACGAGCGCGCTAGGAATGCCTGGGACATTGAGCGGGCCGAGATGAAGGCCAAGATCGCAAAGCAGGAGGGCGAGGTGCGCAGCGCGAAGAAGCTGAACGACCAGCTGAACAAGCACATCCGGATGCTGGAGCATGCTCTGACGAACGAACGGAATAAGAACAAGATCGGCGGCGAAGCCCAGCCTTCAGACGACAAGAAGGAGGCCAAGGCCAAGAAGGGCGGCTTGAAGCGTGCGTTGAACAGTTCCCGCTTCGCTGCATGCTCAGGACGTGCTAACACTGTGCAGCCCAAAACAAGCACCACAACTCCTTCCTCGACGTCGACTCCGAGTTCCTCGACCGACCAGATGCAGACCGCGAGGGCTTGCGCGAGAAGTCCAAGCTGTACCTCACGAAATGCGTCGAAGAAATAACGTATCTGCTGACACCACCGCCGCAAGTCCCATCACACCAGCCTGGCATGCATGGTTTGGGCAACGGCGCTGGCTTTCTGAACCACGGCGATGCTTCTATGGATGAAATGTACATGCAGCAGCACCGCCAGAAGATGCAGTCGCAATTGCCCACACTGCCGAATAACTCGATACCAAATCACCAGCCACCTGTGAACTCCGACTACCAGAATATCGCTCACCACCCGCAAATGCACTCTGCGCCTCAGATGACCAGGGAGCCGTCCGGACAACAGCCCTTACCCCAGCACGCAGGCATTCCTGCTGAGTTTCTAGGGCAACAACAACAGTCGCAACCCCAGGCCCAGTCTCAACAACACCACTTCTCTTCTGTTCCTGAAGAGCAGGTAGAGAAGGTCACACACACCTACGACAACCACGGCCGTCAAATACCGAACCGCGAAGATGCCAACCAGAACGCCGGGCAACCCATTGCTGATGACTCGGAAAGCTGGAACTTCGAGGAGCCTATCAGCGAGATCCCTCAGGACAACTTTGGCCCGAGGAGACCGGACACAGAGATGTTCCCAAACGCAAATCAAATTCCGCCAAAATCGCCCCCACGAGTTGGAAAAGGCAGAAGGGCGAGCGCCGACTACAAGCGCAAAGCTAGCAGCGAATTGCAGAGCTTGAATGCGGTAGCGCCCGGTGCAAGGACGGATACTCAGAGTTTCAAGGTTCGATTCGCACTGCGCGGCCATCTTGATGTCGTTCGAGCAGTCATCTTCACTGGTGGTGGCAGCCCAGCCGAGCCGGAAATTTGCACCGCAGGCGACGATGGCATGATCAAGAGATGGATCATACCAGCGAGCTATGCCAATCAACACAGCATGAACAACGATCTGGACATTGCATCATTCTGGTCACACAGGGGTCACGAGGGTGCAGTAACATCTCTCGCCGCGTGTCCCGCTTCTGCCCATTTTGCGACTGGTGGTCGAGTATCAGGTGATGGATGGATATTCTCAGGTGGCCAGGATGCCACCATCCGTGTTTGGGAAAGAGGCCGGGTTGATCCCAAGGCTACTCTCAATGGTCACAAGGATGCTGTCTGGACAGTCTGCGTACTGCCCACAACATGTGCATCTGTGTTTGGCGCAGATTGCAGCAATTACGGTGGTCCTGACCGGATCTTGTTAGCTTCTGGCTCAGCGGACGGCACCATCAAGATCTGGGCTGTCAGCGCACCACCACAGCTGGTTTCGCCGCAGACTAACACACGCCGTGGCGGCAGTCGAAGACACTCGGTGACATCTGGATCCAACTACCCATCCTCGCCGCAACCCAGTGTTGCTACATCGACTCTCTTCCATCACATACTTGTCCACACCATTGAGCGAGCGACCCATCCATCTCCAACATGCATCAGTCCCCTATCGCTGAACGGAGAGAACTTTGTCGTGTCATTCACGGATGCATCAATCATGGTATACGACACACGGACAGGAGAGGAGCTTGTCGGCATGGCTAGTAATGAAACCTATGATGGCACACCTGCGACAGGTATCACCTCTGTGGTCACAAGCTCGCAGAACACCGAATCCACCACCCAGGATGCGGCAAGAGGGGAAGACGATGCTATTCATGGACCTACAGGGTCTAACAGTGGCGGTGGCCTTGAGGGTGTGATCATCAGTGGGCACGAAGACCAGTTCATCCGTTTCTTCGATGCAAACTCTGGTAAGCCACCACGACGAAAGATTCTGATAAAAGTAGCTGACAATTGCACCAGGTCAATGCACATATAGCATGCTGGCCCACCCTTCCGCCATCTCCTCCCTCTCGCTCAGCAAAGACGGTCGAGAAGCCGTTTCCGCCGGTCACGATGCATCGATCCGTTTCTGGTCGCTGGACAAGCGGATCTGCACACAGGAGATCACCGCCCACCGCATCATGCGTGGCGAGGGTGTCTGCAGCGTAGTCTGGAGTCAGGACGGCCGCCTTGTCGTCTCGGCGGGCGGTGACGGTATTGTGAAGGTTTTCGCAAGATAGCGTCTTCGCAGACCGCAGAACCCCACCTGTCACGACTCACTGAAGGGCACATAACGTCGTACGGCATTTCCTAGTCGATGCATTTCTAGCTGGATCATACCCCGCGCTTTTCTTTTCACTTGAAACTTGATGGCATCATGTAGCTGCACGATTGATGGAACCTGGCATGGATATGGTAATTTTACGCACTGGGTCGCGACATCACCTTGTTGAGATGGCATGGGCATTGTCAGGTGCATAGCTCACGGGTCGCTTCGCTTCAGCTGTACTATATATATTTGACTACAGCCCGAGGGCAACGCCTGCTGAAGTCACTCTGCATTTTCGAACGAAGATATGCTTCTCTTCTGATGACGAAGTTCACGGGTACGGTAACCAGTCAACGGACCGAGCACAATATTGAAGCCCACTACATCCTTTGTCGAATCCAGCCAGCGCATCGCGATGGGATGCTTTCGGGTGGAGTGCCGATGGGCTACACTGCTCGTCGATGTCCTGATTTTTTCCTGTCTCTCCTGATGCTGTGAATTGGGCATGGGAATCTCCGGACTGTTATCAACTTTTCCATGCTGGAGACCCGCCGTTGGCTTTTGGTGATGGTTCGGGATCGGGTTTTATGTGGTGATCGATGGCGTCACGGTGGATCCCCGTCTGACTCTCTGGGGTTTCTGTCTTTTTGGGTGACAAGTGCGCCTGCCCACGAGTCATGCAGTAGCGCGGTGGAATCGGCGCTTGTGGCCTGCGTCACATCTTTTGCGATATCAATGAATTCGTCCGTAACGCCCTCCCGCCCTTCTGTACATATTCTGGACGCCTACCCGTAGATGCCATACACACACCGTCACTATTGTGGCGACATGTCACGTTGACCGCATACGAATTTGGAAAGTGCCTGAAAGGTCGCCAATACCTTCTTTCGACATTGCGCAGGCCTCTCGCGGCGCTTCCGTCCTTCACCGTGGCTTTACAGAGCAACCGTTCTGAGACATCTGTATAGTTGCGCTCTTTGGAGTTCTTGTTCGCGTTCTTTGAGGAGCGCTCCGCCTGTTTGGACGCAATTATCATCGCGGTTTTACGGCACGGCAACAAGGACACAACAAGCCGGAAGGAGCGCATACATAGTCGTGGCTCGACCGCAACATCCGGAGCACCACCTACAATTCCAGTGTTTGTCGAGGGTCGCTCGCGCATCAGGAGCATAGGCGATCAAGGCAGGGACGAGCAAGGCCGATACAGGTCGCGAAAGAACAGATCATCCGGCTTTGTTGATTCACGGGTCTGACTCACGCCATCGCAAACTCACAGCACCAGCCAAGCTCGATACACGAACGGACTGCGCGAATGTCCACACGCAAGCGGCGTACTCCGGGCGCAGAACCACAAGTCACGATGCAGACGTACCCGCAGGACACCAGCGTGCCGGCCGATCAGTACATGAACTGGAACGATCCCTCAATGAACGCCGACATGGGCGCCTTCAACGACCCGACACTATTTGACAACTACGGCACGAACACAATGAACAGCGGACACAACCGGGTGATATCGCTGGATGGCATGGCGGACGCGCCGGACATGAGCTCGGGACAATTGGTCAGGCGCAATCCAAATCAGCAGCTTGCGCCTGCTCCGCGGCGGGGACAGTGGGACGGCTTCCCGAGCCCTCCACAGCAGTGGGAGAACATTGGTGACGACGATGAAGAGCTGGAGCAGAAAGCTGCGTTGGCAAAGAAGGATGCACAAGCAAAACGGAAACAGATCCCTCCGTTTGTGCAAAAGTTGAGCAGGTACGTGCGCAGCAGGCTTCTACTAAGCAGAACGAGCTCCTCGAGTTTGCTACCTGGGTTGAGACACCTACTGACTCGTCCGCAGCTTCCTTGACAACAACAAGAACGAGAACCTCATCCGGTGGTCAGACGACGGCAACTCGTTCATCGTACTGGACGAGGACGAATTCGCGCGCACGCTCATCCCAGAGCTCTTCAAACACAACAACTACGCCTCCTTTGTACGACAGCTGAACATGTACGGCTTCCACAAGAAGGTTGGGCTGTCCGATAACTCGATGAAAGCAAGCGAGACAAAGGCGAAAGCACCAAGCGAGTACTACAACAAGTACTTCAAGCGCGGACGACCAGAGCTGCTATGGCTGATCCAGAAGCCAAAGAACCCGACGGCCGGCCCGAAGCGGAAACGCGACGACGAGGCCAAGGGCGACAGCGACGAGGAGCGCAAGTACGTCCAGGACACAGGCGGCGGTGGCTACGTTGAAGACTTGACACCGGTGAGGAGAAACGACGATATGGCTATGATCCCACGATCAGAGTACAACAGCCTGCGGCACGAAGTCCGGGAGCTCCAGCAGCAGCAGAAGCTGATTTCGAATGTCCTGGGCCAGATCAAGAGGCAGAACGACGAGCTGTACTCACGGGCTACGTCTTTCCAAGCGCTGCACGACCGTCATGAGAACTCAATAAACGCCATCCTCACGTTCCTTGCTACGTTCTACAAGCGTGGCTTGGAAGGTCAAGCGGGGGGTCTCAATCTTGCAGACATGTTTCCTGGAGCGCGACAGCAGACACACGGGAATGTCGTCGATGTTGGGGATTATCAAGCTGCAGAGATGAACAGGTCGCCTTCATTCCAGCGGAAGAAGCAGCCTCTTGCTCTCCTGCCCGCTCCAGCATCCGGTAAGGACTATCTCTCACCACCCAGTGGCCGCGCAACCACGATGAGCCCTACGACCCGACCGATGCCCTCCCCCATCGCAAGACAAGGCGGCCAGCAAGCCGTCTTCCGCTCAACCTCTCAAAGCCGAACACCCTCCGCCATGCCAGCTCAAGGCCGAGAAAGCTCATCCGCGCCTCCTCTGAAAGTCGAGTCACAATCACCCCAAACCATGGACCCGCTCCCCGAAGCCGAAGAAATCCTTTCCGCAATCCAAAACGCAAACACCGCCTCAGGCCACTCCACCTCCCAAGCACCACAATTCGACTTTCCCGCCGCAGTCTCCAACTACCAGACCGCCGACGGCGCAGTCCCACTCACCGCACAACAGCGCTCTGATGTGCTCAGCCTGATGGCCAACAACAACGCCGCGGCGTCCAACACGAACAACGCGCTCACAAACCCCGATCCGCCCGAGATTAGCAATCTCTTGCACGACCTGAGCCGATACCGGGAGACGCAGCAGCAGCTCGAGCTGCTGCAGAAGATGAGCGACCAGCAGAACAGCCGCGTACAGAGCCTGCAGGAGCGTCTGCAGCCGCTGAGCCCGAGCGGCCAGATCCCCGGGCTCGCCGACGCCAATACGAATTACTTCGGCTCTCACGTGGGCGATCCGGGACAGTACGATTTGGACCTCGACAGCTTCGTGCAGGACCACGACTACTTCCCCAACGACGCGGGCGCGAACGAGGCCCCGGGCTTGCCGGACTTCAACTACGAGCTGCCCGACGCGAACGCGGTGCTCAACGGTGCGGGGTTTGGCGACACGGCGGACTTTGACTTCGAGCAGGACCATGGCTCGCTGAGGGTTCGAGATGGGGGCGAGGCGAGAGTCGAGAGCGTGAGCTCCAGCGGCACGAGCCCCGCGGCGACGGTCGAGGAGGTCGAGGACGAGAGTCGCAGGCGCAGTCCCAAACGGCGGAGGAAGTGAGTCGCTGGAGTCAGGGCGGATGAGTGTACAAAGCGAGGGGCATAACGAGGCGTATGGGTGGCGTACAGCTGGGATTGGGAGGCTTATGCGCGTTACGAAATCATGATATAAAAAGCACGCTGAGCGATGTCGTTCAGGATTTGTCTATGGTATTGCGTTTCTCGTGCACCGTCCAATAATGGTCCGGGTCATGCCACACCGGGCATGACTACTTCTTCAATGCCCGCCCGGCAATGTCCGTCCGGAACTGCATGCCCTCGAAGTGAATGCACTCGACGCCCTTGTACGCCTTGGCAACGGCTTCCTCCAGCGTCGCAGCCGTCGCCGTCGCTGCTATCACGCGCCCGCCAGCCGTCACAAGCTGCCCGTCCTTCACCGCCGTGCCGGCGTGGAACAGCACCGTATCCGCACCCACGGCGTCGAGCTGCATCGGCGTGCCCTTGGCGTAGCTCCCGGGGTATCCGCCCGCAGCGACGACGACCGTGGCCGCTGAGCGAGACGAGACTTTGACGTCAACGTCGGCGTCACTCAAGCGCCCCTCGGCACACGCCAGCATGACCTCGGCCAGATCGCCCTCCATCAGACACAGCAGCGACTGCGTCTCAGGATCGCCAAAGCGCACGTTGTACTCGAGCACCTTGGCGCCTTGCGGCGTCATCATCAGCCCCGTGAACAGCACGCCCTTGAATGTGAAGCCCTCGTTGCGCATGCCGTCGACCGTGGGCTGCAGCACGTCTCTGTCAATCTGCGCCAGCAGCTCTGGCGGCGCGATGCGCGTCGGCGCGTACGTGCCCATACCGCCTGTGTTAGGCCCCTGGTCGTGGTCGAAGATGCGCTTGTGGTCCTGCGCGGGCGGGAGGGACTTGATGGAGTGGCCGTCGCTGAAGGTGAGGATGGACAGCTCGTCGCCGGTGAGGAGTTCCTCGATGACGACCTCGTCGCCTGCGCTGCCGAATTCCTTGCTCAGCATCATGTCCTTGAGCGCGGCGTGTGCTTCTTCCTTGGTCTGCGGGATGATGACGCCCTTGCCGGCTGCGAGGCCCGAGGCCTTGATCACGACGGGGTGCGAGATGGAGTCGAGGTACTTTGTGGCGGCGTCGTACGAGGAGAAGTTTTCGTACGCCGCGGTCGGGATGTTGTGCCGCTTCATGAAGTCCTTGCTGAACGTCTTGCTGCCCTCCATTGTGGCGGCAGCCTGGCTGGGCCCGAAGGCCTTGACGTGCGGCGCATGCTGGGCGAAGTGGTCGACGATGCCCGCGACGAGGGGCGCCTCGGGGCCGGGGATGAGGAAATTGACGTTGTGTTCCTGGGCAAAGGCGACGAGGGCGGCGAAGTCCGTGTCCTTGACTGACGTGACGTTTGTGACTTTGGGGGAGATGGTTGCGGTGCCGCCGTTGCCGGGGCAGACGTAGATGTGCTCGATGCGCGGAGACTGGAGCAGTTTCCAGGCGATGGCGTGCTCGCGACCGCCGTTGCCGACGAGGAGGACTCGGAGTTGGTCAGCCATGGTGTGGTACGTCGATTGGTGGGGTTGCGCCGATTATTGCAGTGCTGAGAATTAAAAGTTTTGGAGGCCAAAAGCCCCGCGGAGGGGCAGGACTTGCAGGGATCTGTCTGCGGGAGTGCCGCCTAGCGGCCGCCTTGTGACGGTGTGCCTGGCGTGATTCGACATCTTTCAGAATTTAGTAGAGCACCGAGCGATCTTGCAGAAAAGGTTCTGGGGCGCCTTCGTAGATGCATGCATTGGATACGCTTTGAATCTACAAACGTCCGCGGTCGCCGTGCCCTGGCTTGCTTTGCTGTCCGAAGACTGTGGTGTGGGTTGCATGCAGAAGAGTCCAGCAGCTGTGAGCAGGTCTGGCTTCTGCCGCAAGAGTGCCATCATCCAGCTCTCCGTTCAGAGAAGGTGGTCGTGCGTTTGACCACGCAGCACAGCATAGTTTGCTGCAGTCAAGGGGACGCCCCGGTCAGCAGTTATGTTTCCCAATTCGCAAAGGTCTAGCTCGCGCAACAGGTTATGCTCATCGATGAGGCGGTCGTCGAGCAAAGCACCAGGTTGGTCTGTCCAGCTTCCCCTACTCGTGTCAGCCACCTCCGAGACAACGCCGCCTTCATGGCTGGAAGGATGTCTGAACCGGGAGAAGTGTGACGGGCCAGCACCGCGTGCGATGACTTGTTCTACTGTTTTAATCGGTTTCTTTGATGTCGTGGCTGACGGCGAGACAGGTGTAGGTGGGCCATTTGATGCACCCACTCGCCAAGCAGGCTGCTTTCTGAGCTGTTCGGTCCGTTGTCGAGAAGTTTCTGCCTTTAGCTTCTGATTGACACGTCTACGTTCCATTTTGGCCTACAACGTCATCAGCCAAGGCCACTGTAGTTCTGCTTTGCATTGAAGAACAACTGGCCAAGCACATCTTGCTGCGACATGCCAGGGTTGGGCGTTGGCGTATAGGACTGCTGCGGCGGGTGGGCCTGTTGAACGTGCTGGCTGTGGTGGTCGTGAATGCTGAATCCTGCATCTTGCTGACGCTGCTGGCCAAACAGCTCGCGAAGGGAGAGCTGGCGCCCCATTGGGGCAGATGGGGCAGTGTCTACCTCTGCTCTTGCCTTCTCTTTGGCCTCGCGACACAAGCGTGCCTTCTCTGCAGCCTGCATGATCTTGTTGGCGGTGTCGGTGCGGCAGTTGGCGGTAGACGCGGGCGGCGGGTCTGCGAACACCCAGATGCCGTACACCTGATCACCCTGAAGAATGACATAGGGGTCGGTGAACTCCATCTCCTCCTCGCTGGTGAGCTCCAGGTAGAAGTTGTCGAGGCCACGGCGGTTCAGTATGGCTACGCTGTAGCGGTCGGCGCCAATGGGCGACGGTGTGAGTCTGCAGAGGAAAAGGGTGCCCTCGACACCGAGCTTCTCCCACTGCTGCGTCTCAAGACTGAAGGTGTAGAGAGCAGCGTAGGGCGTGACGTGCTCTATGGCGGCCAGCTCGGGGTAGATGCGGCGCAGCACGGAGAAGTTGAGCTCTTCGTTGGACCGCGGAGGTGGGAGGGGTACGTCGACAGCAGGCGGCGCGTCTGTCTCGTAGTCAGATTGTGGTGGTGGCTGCGGGTGGTGCGCGCGGGCTTTGGACTTGTGAGGCGCCATAGCAATGGTCGTTGAGCGAGCGGCTCTTGGTGACTGCGAATGGTGTTGGCGTTGATCGACGTCGCGGCCGTCACGCCTGGGTGAGGCGCTCGGGAACTTAGCGTGCACAGCCAACCAGCCCAGCCAACCAGCCAACGGCAGCCACACAGAGCGTCATCAGGCTGAGCTGAAGCCCAAGGGAGCGGCGAATGCTCCGTCATCCTGTGTGCGCCGCCTTGGACATGGCAGGAATGACAACTGACACTATCACCGCCAACTTCGCCATGGCTCGCTAGCTATTCCCGTCCAACACTCTCCCTGCGGCCATCCCACCATGTCGACGACTTCGCGAAATGGCTCGGTCCGCTCGACCCACACCACGCAGTCATCTATCAACACTGCCGACCGGCTTGAGGCTCTGATTCCGGGCGCGTTTCCTGATCTGCGCTCCTCCACGAGCCAGGCATCGCTCACCACCCAGCAAGTCTCCCTCCAGCAGATACTGTACGACCGCCGAGCCGAGTACACCCGCTCCCGCAATGTCCGCATCAAGATTGGCGCGTGGAACGTTGCTTCTAACAAGGGGACCGAGCAAGATGTGGGAGCATGGTTCGTAAAGGGCAAAGGCGTCGAGAAGGCTCTAGCCGGCCTTGGGGTCTCTGAGCCAAGGCGCAAGGAAGGAAAGCTCAAGGAAACGGTCGACGACCAAGAGTCAAGATTCGACAAGCACGCGCCCTCAGTGCCTTGTGGCGACCTAGGCTCTGTGCCTGGTGACGATGAGATCGACTTGTATGTGCTTGGTCTGCAAGAGATAGTGGACATCACCTCTGCAGCTGAGGCGCTGAAGCCTTACACCGATCCCTCCGTGGCGAACAAGTGGAGGGCTTCTCTGGAGGCAGCTCTGCCCAAAGGCTATCGGGTCGTGGCAGAGCAACAACTGCTTGGTTTGTGGTTGGTCATCTACGCCTCGCCTGCACTCTTCCCGCAAGTCAAAAACGTCAGTACGACCAGCGTTGGTACCGGACTGATGGGCTACATGGCGAACAAAGGTGCTGTAACCGCGCGAATCGTTCTGGGCGAGACCACCCGCCTTGTCTTCATCAACTCGCACCTGGGTGCTGGAGCAGACAAGGCAGCTTTGGAGCGACGAATCTGGGACGTTGCCCAAATCACACAGCGGACGCGTTTTTCGCCGATCGTGGATGCCATGGGAACTTCTCAGAACCAGGGTGAAGGCCTTGGAGATGAGGAGTTTGCTTTCTGGTTTGGCGATCTGAACTTCCGCATCGAGGGCATGCCAGGCGACGATGTGCGTCGCCTGCTCACTGTGCACACGAAAGACATGGATAACGAGTCTTCCGCTTCTAGTGACTTGGGCTCTGCTACCGGGAATTCTTTGAACAATATGGATGATGCCGTTCCACTCCCGCCCGAGCTGGACCCTGCCTCGCTGCAGACGACCATATCCTGTTTGCTTCCTCACGACGAGCTGCATCAGCAAATGAAGTCAGGCAGGGCTTTCTACGACGGCTGGGAGGAAGGTCCAATCAGATTCCTGCCAACTTACAAGTACGACGTGGGCAAAGTCGGCGTTTTTGATAGCAGTGAAAAAGCCAGATGCCCAAGCTGGTGTGACCGTATCCTCTATCGGACACGAGCCTCAAAGCAACGGTACGATCAGAAAGTCAAACAAGACGCAGACGCTCGCAAGCGTGATGAGGAGATGAAGAAGTTGGGAATGGACATGCCGGGGACCAGCGATGTACTCTTTGACTATGATCCTGAAACGGACGGCTACAACGGCGACTACGACGAGAACGAAGACAACCAGCAGGACCCTGAGCCCGAACAGATCACCACCAAAGATGGTTTCTCCGAAGAACTTTTGCTCGAATACTACACGAACCACATGCGGGTGCTGTCATCGGATCACAAGCCGCTGGATGCCGTCTTCTCGCTGAAATTCGATGCTGTAGTAACAGAACTCAAGGCTGCAGTTCACAGCGAAGTGGCCCGAGAACTGGATCGTCAGGAGAACGAAGGACGGCCTTCCATCGCCGTCGTAGTTGAGCGTGCAACCGGCTCCTCGCCATCAGCCGACAAGGACGCGACAGACAGCAGCTTTGACGGGGTAGACTTTGGCGATGTCAAATTCGCCAAATCAAAACGAAGGAACATCACGATTGCAAACACAGGCCGTGTCCCTGCCACCTTTGGCTTTGCAGACCGGCCGATTGAGGAAGACCAAGACTCCGGCCCCTTCCCCTCCTGGTTGAGCGTCACCTTTGACAAGGAGCCAGATGCGCGTTCCAAGTCAGGCCCTGATGATATCCAACAACACTACACACTTCAGCCAGCCGAAGTCATCAACGCTGAGCTCAGACTCAAGCTCAAGGATGTTGGCTCCGTACGCAACCTGAACAACGAGACGCAAGGCCTCGATGAAGTCCTCGTCGTCCGCGTCGAGAATGGTCGCGACCACTTCCTCCCTCTCAAGGGCCACTGGCAGCCATCAGTTCTCGCACGCACAGTCGATAAGCTGATCAAGATCCCCGAAGGTGGAATCAGGAAGCTGCAAAACCAGAGCCCGAGCGCGAGCGAAACGGTAAAATGGTCGGTGCCGCGCGAAGTATTCAGGCTGACGGAGGCGATAGAAGACCTGACCGAGCGCGCGCTTGCGGAATGGGAGATGACCAAAGCCTCAGACGCCGACCGCGCGCCATGGATGGACAACGCGGGCTGGCCGTTCGTAATGTCACACACATACGGAACCGCCGCCTGGCAGGACGAGCATGAAGACGAGCTCGCCGTTCTCTATGACGCGCTGGACACCGACGCCCCTTTCACCCCGGCATTCAACCCACCCACCCCCGCGCCAGAAAGAGTCGAGCTCCTCGCCACCGTGCTGCTGACCTTCCTGACCAGCCTCGAAGACGGCGTCATCACGCCCGAGCTCTGGAAACACATCGAAACCAGTCTCGCCGCGCAGGAACGCTACAAACAGCCCCTCGACCGCGACGACCAGAAAATGAGCGTCTTGGAGATCATGGCCGCCCAGCCGCCTCACAACGCTACGTTCCTGCTGCTCCTGTCCTTCCTGCAGAACTTGATCGCCCAGCTCACCATCGCGAATGCACCTGCGCCCGACGCGCCGAGGAAGAGCGTGGAGATGCCGAGTAGTCCTCAGGCCAAGGTCAGGCGCAGGACGTTGAGTAAGGTCGCGGGCGAGGCGGTTAGGCAGTTAGTCGTGCGAAACTACTGTGTTGTGTTTGCAGATGCGATGTTCAAAGCCGAGGCGAAGAGGGAGAAGGAGAAGGATAGGTTAGTTAGGAAGGAGAGGATGGTCAGGGTGCTGGATTTGTTTCTGGGCAAGGAGTGATGCGAGCAAGGGGGGCGGATGATACCATGATTTCGTTTGAAGTGATAAGAATTGATAGTCTCGTATGGCTATCGGCCTTTCCCCGATCTTTCTCAGTGGAGTATGTGGTTGTAATGCCACTCAGAACAGCCTTTTGCGAACAGTGAAATGCGCGACCATCAGCGCCATCCACGTCCATATAAGCCCCAAGTGCATCTAATTGGAGTTGATAGTGAGATTTGTGAGGACTTTGGCGCGTTGAGAGTCAGGAGAAAACCTGGGGCGACAGTGGGTTCATCTTGGAGATCGAGCGGGATCGGCGCCATTTCCATGGTGATAGTGAGTTGTCGAAGTGAAGGTGAGAGACGTGGTGCGGAACATCGCAATGTGCCGGGCTCGGAAGATTTCTATGGCGGTCGTGCAGACTGAATTGAAATGACTTTTGGGTGCAGTTTAAATGTGTTTACATGTGTGCATTTCATAGCTATGCAATGCCTCAAATGTACCCAGGAGAACCTCCACGGCTCTTTAACGTCCTCCACAAGACGGCCCTTCTATGAATCACGTTGCGAACTGTGCGAACTAAATAGTAGCTACCATCAAGTCCAAGTTCTCGTAGCCCGAGAAACCATGCCATCGATGCTCACTCAAACTTCCTCATCGGCCTCCTCTTTGACGCCCTCCTCGCTCTTCACGTCACCGGCCTCCTCGTCATCGTCCTGAACAGTCTCCTCAAACTTGAGGGTCTTTTTAGCACGTGGGTTTTTGGCCTTTGAAGGGGTCTCCTCGCCGCCCTCCTCGTCACCGCCCTTGCGCTTCTTCGGCGTGGCAGGCGCCTTGGCCTTCGCAGTTGCCTCAGTGGTGAGCTCCCAGCCAAGGTCCTCGTACTTCTTCTTCTGCTCCATACGCAGCTTAGAGATGCGCTGGCGGACCCCTTGAAAGTTTGCGCCGGCTGTGGGACGATGTCAGTACCATTTCATTGGCAGGCTACTAAATGGTATCCTAAATAAGGGGAGATGAAGAAGACAGATTGTGTGAAGGTAACATACCAGGCAGAGCAGTGACAAACTTCACGTAGTCGGCTGGACCGATGTTGCGACCGAATGATAGGAGTAGGACCTGCGTTGATCATTAGTGCGACTCAGGTTGGGTCGGAAACGTGGACGTACAATGCGGTCGTTCTCTGGAGTCCAGCTGAACTTCTGCATGTTGTCAATCGATCGACTGCAAGTGTGGTGTGATGGCATACGGTCTCTCCACCCGAAGCGGCTGCTTCGGCGCCATCTGCAGTCTTTTTCTTAGGCGGCATATTGGCGAGGGATGAAGATGTGAGTGTAGTGCGTGTGTGTATCGAGAATTGTGTAATCGCAGTATTGACGAGGAGGTGGTAGATGATAGTGGCGGTTCGAATCTGTGCAAAGAGCCTTTAAGTCAGGTGGCCAGATACCGCGGGACCGGCCGCGTCTCCATGGTGATGGCGAGGGGAGACGAGGTGAAGGTGAGCTGCTCGACAGTCTGCAGTGTCGCCCTGCAACACAAGAGCGATCGAGCTCTCGCCTTCTCTTCACCGTCTTGAAGAATCTCCAAGACAGAGATTCGAGCAGATAGGCCTCATCTGCCCGCCTTCGAACTTCATCTTCCACACTGTCTACTCCCCAAGCTCGCGCAACGCACAACGGCTCACCACTTCCACTTTACCCAGCACCAACATACACAACGATCAGCATGCCTAAAAAGGCGGCAGCTAACGCCGGGCGTAAGTACTATTGTAACTTCCATGCTTACGCTGATGGCTGACTCTATTGTAGAAGTTCACCTGGTAAGGTGCCAACGAGAACAGGCTCCTCCTGATCATTCCGGGCCGTCACATCCAAACATCCGAGTTCGAGGAGGTCGCCAAGGCCTTTCCAGATAAGTCTTCTCTCAGTCCGATGGCTGGATACGGATCACTGACCACACCCAGGAGCCACTGGCGGCGCCATCCGCAACCGCATCGGCGTCCTTCGCGCTAAGCAGAAGGTGTACAAGGAGCTGGGTTGGGAACTTCCGAACGGCGCCGCCACTCCTGCAGGGAAGGGGAAGGCTAAGCCCGCTAAGCGCACTGCTGACGGCGAGGAGGTTGGCGAGCCTGAGACTCCCACCAAGAGGCCTCGTACCCCTCGCAAGAAGAAGGAGACCAGGTCCGCATCGCCCGAGAAGAAGGACAGCGCCGCTGAATACGACGTAGAGATGGGCGACGGTGCCAAGAACTAGGAGATGGAGGAGGTTTGAGCATGGGACTTGGTTTAGGTAGCCTCGACGCTGACTTTCATTGTCGATATTTCGGCATGGCATTTGGCGCGATCGCAACGCCATGCGGGCTTGGGTGGACTTGGTTACCACTGCATTTACTGTCAGCTCGAGAATCAGAATGGTTAAGAATGTGCAGTTGAGAATTGTGTGAATTTGGAATAGCTCGTAGGTATCCCAGAACGCCATATGCCATCTTTTGTGGCTGGCTCCCATTAGCGCCTTGCAATGCATCGTGATGTTTTCCGTCCAATATGACCAGCTGCCTATTTGTCGCCCTTCTTCTTTCGCAAAGTGTTGCCGGCGCCTTCGAAGTGCTTCGACTCCTTCTGCTCGCCTTCATCAGCCCCTTTCTTGTCCTTAACTGGCTTGATCTCGTAACCAAAGAATAGCTTGCCCGGTGGCAGTCTTAGTGGCTGAGGGCCGTTCGTGCGTCGTACGGTCTTGGGTGGGTTTGTAGACTCTCCTGCAATCGGTGTGGAAGCTTGAGGAGTGGGTGCCTTACTACCCTTCTTCGACAACTTGTGACCACCCGTGAGGAAATTTGAGGACACGGCCTTCGCACCAGCAGCTGCGCTCGTTGCGGAGGGTGCGATCGCAGCGTAGTTGATAGCCTGGGCCATGGTACCCTGAGAGTGCAGCGTTCCGCCCTTACCCGCCATGACACTGCGTGGCGTACTAGTACCGCTCGTCCTCTCTGGCTCCTTGTAGCCTACTGGTGGCGCAAAGTCGACAGACAAATCCGTCTCGATTGTGCATACCGCCTGACTAGGGTGATCTGGCTTGGCTTCAAGTACAGCAACGCTGTAGACACTCTCATTGTATGAAAAGGTGAAAATGTCGCCTTTCGTCAGACATGCGAAGTTCCGGAAAGCGTTCTCAAGAACGGCCTTGGGGTCTGAGATCTCTAAGAACGACGAATCCTGGGGTTGCAGCTTGATGAAGGTTCCGAGAGGAAGGTCGGTCGACTTGACTTGTAGAAGGTCGCCAGGCTCGAGAAGCAGTGTTTGCATGATCTGTAGAATGGTCAGTACACCATTGGTCGAGGAGTGTCCCGACAACGTACCCAGTATGGCAGGTAGATCTTGCCCTCTTCCGCAATGAACTCGAGTACACCAGCATGTGTCTTCTTGCCGTCTTGTACACCGTTGATCAGCTCGAAGAGCATAGGGTATGTGATGTGTAGTCGTGTGAGCTTGTCGAGTGCGCTGGGCGGGAGGAATACTTTGCCGCCGTGGTTTGCATCCTCACGATCTGGCCCAGGCAGCATAGCAACAGGATAGCAGCGGAAGTATTCATCGAAGCGCCGAGTGGGACCACCACGACGCATGGCTTGGTACGCAGCCATAGGGTCGTCTTCGCCGTAGAAGTTGGGGTTGAACTGCGGTTGTTAGGTGGTGGTAGCCTGGAGATGGTGGGGTAAAGCCTGCCATGATAGAAAACGTGCCACTTAAGCTGAAATACAGTAGCGGTTGGGTCACTGTAGCTTTCACTGTAGCTGGAAGAGGGCGCAAGGTATGAGGGAGTTCGGTGGCAGATCGTCAAAGTGATCGATAGGCGATGACGAACGGCAGGTGACGGTACGGCTGCCTTATCGATCCAGTCGCGCAAGCGCGTGAAAGCCCAAGCTTAAGCTCCAGACGTCACGGCCATTCCTCAGATTTAGACCACCGAATCCAAAAATATATTGCTAGACTTCCCCGATGGCGAGTTCCAGCGGGAGATATAACCCTGCGCGGCCAAAGCGCGACGGCGACCACTTCACACGCACGCACCATCTGGATGCTGGCGAGCCTTCGACGAAGAAGCCTCGATTCGACCCACGTAACCCCTCCACGCTCGTGCAAGATGCAGATGAAGAGGAGGACCCTGCACTAGAAGCAGATGTGATCGGCAAAGGCGCTGGTATCAAGCGCAATGCAGTCAATATCGACGGCTACGACTCTGACAGCTCTACTGAGAACTTCGATGCGCGCGCAGAGGCCAAGAGCAAGAAAGTCGCACCATCAGAAGAGGATGATGACGATATGTTCGCCGAGGATGACAAGAATAATGAGGAAGACGAGGATACCCGCAGAGATCAGACAAAGAAGAAGCAACTCAGGTTTTTGGATAACGAAGAGATCGAAGGACAAGAGGCTGATAGCAAAGCTGGAGGTCATGTCGCGGTAGACTTCACCAGCAAAGGCAAGGACACAGTAGATGTTGAGAGTAGCAGTGAGAGTGGCGATGACGAGGCGCGCGACCGCATTGATTCAGACATCGACGAGGAGGTCGGAGCTGGCGGCAAGAAGAAACATGCGCCTAAGCTCGATGCCTTCAACATGCGAGAAGAGCAAGAAGAGGGCCGTTTTGACGAGGCCGGCAATTTTGTGCGCAAGGCCTACGATCCAGAAGCGGCTCAAGATTCATGGCTGGAAGGCATATCGAAGAAAGACATGAAGCGAGCCAAGGAGGCGCAAGATATGAGGGACGCAGAGCAGAAAGCACGCGAGCGAGCAGAGGACGCCATCACTACCAGTGATGTGCTTTCTAGTCTCATTGCACGATTGGACGTGGGCGAAACACCCATGGAGGCTTTAGTGCGCTATGGCAAGGCGGCGCCTAGGAAACAGAAGCCTAGCCACAGCAAGAAGAAGAAGGGGCAGGATATGGAGGTCGACGAGGATCCCGCACAAGCGGCCGCGATGGCTAAGGCGAAGGAGGCCATTGATACCATCACCGAATGCGCGAGCCGCCTTGAAGACCGAGGTATGGAGGATATCTACGAGCTGGAGCGTGAAATGATAATGCGGCTGTACAAGCGGGACACCGGGGAGGACTGGAAGAATCCACACCCAGAAGTCGCGCAGTGGGAGTTCCACTGGCTCACTGCGCCAGAAGGAGACATCAACGGGCCCTACGACCAGGCTACTATGCAAGCTTGGGAAGCAGCAGGCCAGTTTGCTGCTGGTGCTGAGTTCCGTAAAGTCGGCGAGACTGAGTGGTCGCGACTCCTGGATTTTGACGATTGAGAACATAGCCACGTCCTTTGGAAAGGTGCTTCAGCACCTTCACGCTTCACATGCCACGACGATGTCAGTCGATCAAAACAACAAACCCACGCCACAAGGACAAGTTGCCTTGGGATGTCGCAGATGTACCGTTTTGTGCAACGTCGATGCAAGCTCCCACGACAGCGGAAGCGCCCGCTGCACTGTCAGCTACAACAATGCAGTACTCCCCACAGCAGATAACGTGACCTGTATGCAATGCAGCCAAGCGATCCTACCAGTGCATCTCCCATGCATACAGCCAGTCGGAAACAACAGAAAAGCGGACAGCCGTCGCTGATCGCTCGGAGCGGCTGCAAAGGCAGTTTCTGAACGGTATCCATCGAATGAAATGCAGTGTAGCATGCATGCAGTGCAACCAGAAACTCGGCTCACAATGTGACTCCTTTCGTCTACCTGTGCAGGTGGATCGGTAATGACCTCAGCATGATGAGCCACGGATCTGCAGCAAGCAGTCATCGCTTCACGAACAAGACGATACCTCTGTCAGCCTCGTAACGAGCAATCTTACTTGCCCCTTGGGCTGCACTGGAAATCAGAATGTGACTTGGACATTGCTCAGTGACGAGGGCAGCTGATGCCACCACCGTGGTGCTGGAGGCCGTCTCGTGCACCGGGCCAAGGTTCGCAGCACACCCTTACAGCAGATGATAGAACTGACAGCAGACACTGAACCAAAATGCGACCCTGGACAACAAGGAAACATGCTACGGAAAGAAGGTTGTGCAACTCGGCTTTGAAGCCACCAACAAAAGCAGCAGCGACGATGATAGGGTGCTGTCCACGTTCATGAGCGAGCTACAGATGACGGCGCGAGCCACGGCGGCCCGTTGACTTCCAGAAGCCAGGAGAACGATTCGGGCCGTCGGTGGCCTGGAGTCGAAACACGCTGTGAGCTGTTCTGTGCGCGCGCAGTGTGCCCTTCGACTCGCGAACCTGGTCAAAGTTGCAGGCTAGAGGCACTCAGTAGATGGCAGGGGCCCGTTGCGCAGGCAGAAGAGGGCCGCAATGTCCCAAAGTCAGGACACATGATGCTTGCACCGCAGGCGTCCAGCTGCACTGCAGCGCAGGCGTTTGATTAGAGTCATGTCGTGAGAGCCGAGAGCCAATAGTGCCCTTCACTGCGTGCCTCCGGCTGCAATGGCCCTCGCGCTGGCGCTGTCCCCGCAGGTTGAAACGAAACCTTCGCCGGCTCTCAAACGTGTGCGCCGGTGGTAGTGCAGCAGTGTGTCTAGCTCTGCTTGCCGTCTCCCCGCGTTACCTAGTTCGAACAGATTTCACAACGCACATGAACGTCCCTCCTTTTCCGTCGCCGTGAGCGTCTGACCCCCAACCAGTCACCAGCCCCTTGCGCCGTTGACTCGACGCGTGTTTGGCGTTGGCGAGCCTTCATTGCCCCTCTGACGTCTGCTTAGACCGCCGCCCACGCTCCACTTTGCAAGCGGCTCATTACCAGACATCGCTAGGAGAAGACGAGCTGGGCTCCGCAACCGGGCTCCGTCGCCAAAACACACTCCCGCCGACCACCGACACGCCCGCCAGCGCCCTGTGAGGCGTGGTTCCCCTATTCCCACAAAAGCGACACGGCCCTGAACGGCCCTTACCGGCCCTGGCAGACTCGCCCGCGCGCACCTCAATCTCGGACCCTGTCTGCTACGACTCGCGGCGCTTGGCGTTTCTGAGGTCCCTTGAGCCCTAATTATTTTCATCACTGCAGCCATCGCCGCTCCACGACACCACCCACCATGTACTCGGCCTACGAACAGCAGTCATCGCGGTCGCCCGGCTCGCACCGCAACCAGCCAGGCACGCTCAACAGGATGCCCTCGCGCCAGTTCGACGCCTACCAGCAGCAGCTCGGCCAGAGCGGCCTGTACCCGCAGCAGGACGACCACCAACGGGGCTACGACCAGCCTCGCAACTACAACGACCGTCTGAATAACACCATGCACGCCGGCTACGGCTACGACATGGGCGCTCAGCAGGGCTGGAACACGAACGCCTTCTCGCAGAACGGCTTGGGGTCGCTCGGCGGCGCCGCGGGACAGAGGATGAAGTCGCAGACGCGCGGTGGCGGACGGAGCGCGCTGCCTGCTGTAGGTTGCTCCGAAGAAGCACTGCATGGACGACAGACTAACATTCTGCAGGGCTGGATGGAGCCTCCACCGCAGCAGCCCCAGGGCCTGCCTAGCTTTGCCCTCCCCGGCCTGGGCAACGGAGCCTCGAGTGCCATGCTCAACACCAGCTACGGCCACCACGATGTCGACGAGGAGCTTATCCCCACCGCCATCGTCATCAAGAACATCCCCTTCGCCGTCAAGAAGGAGCAGCTCGTGCAGCTGATGACCGACCTGCGTCTGCCCCTGCCCTATGCCTTCAACTACCACTTCGACAACGGCGTTTTCAGGGGTCTTGCCTTTGCCAACTTCACCACCGCAGAGGAGACCGCTGCTGTCATTGAGTCGATGAACCACTTCGAGCTGAACGGCAGGAAGCTGCGTGTCGAGTACAAGAAGATGCTGCCCCTCGCCGAGCGCGAGCGAATCGAGCGTGAGAAGCGTGAGCGCCGTGGTCAACTCGAGGAGCAGCACCGGCCGCTGGGAGGACAGTTACACTCACAGCCCTCGTTCGGCTCGCTTGCTTCCCACTCCCATTCCCACATCCCAGCGGCATCTCCATCGCCTGTCTCTGCTATGCGCCAGCAGAAGCTTGGTATGTCCCACAACGGCGCACCAGAACGCGTCACTAATGGTCCTGTCGACGTTGACTTGAACGACCCTCAAATCTTGCAGTTCTACTCACAGCTTCTGCTTTTCAAGGAGTCCCCTGAACGCGACAGCATGACCTTCCCTCCTTCCTTGGCACCTCCTCAGCGCCGCATCATTCACACGCTTGCCCATCAGCTTGACTTGGCCCACGTATCGAAGGGCTCCGGCGACACCCGCCAGGTTCACATCTTCAAAGTTCACAACAACCAAGGCTTGAGCCCACCGATGCCCCAGATGCCCACCAGCCACCCCACCGAGCAGCCAGGACGTCGTGGTCTCAACCGTGCTGCGACCACAGACTTCAGTGATGTCCGTGCGTCCGAAGGTTTCTACAACGCTTTTGGTAGGCAGGCTTCGGGTCTGCTCGGTTTTCCGGATTCTCCCGGCGGTCTGAACGCAGTTCCCAACCTGCGAGGCGCCAAGTCATACGCTGATCTCCGCTCTTACACTCCTTCGCCGGCGCCCTCGACAGCGAGCCACCCGGTTGGACGTCCTGGAGGCATTTCTCTCGAAGGTCTTGGTTTCAGCGGCAGCAGCACAAACCCCAATGGCACACCTACTGCAAGCTCAATGTCACAGCGCAATGATGGCATGCTTGAGCGCGAGATGGAGCGCATGACACTGGGAGGAAACGCTTTCGGACAGAGCAGCAGCCCCCGTTCACTCCGCCAGATGACATCTTGGGAGAACCCCGGTCCCATTGGCGGTCACCGTGCTTTCAGCTCCAACTACGACGACCGCCCATCGAGGCAACCTCGCGGTCCACTCCCAGAGCGAGGTCAAGGCTTCAGTCGCCCACGACAAAACGGCCACCAAGGCCGCGGCAGCGACGAGCTTTCTTCGCAATCGAATGTTGAGATTCTAGTCGGTCAGTGAGCACCTTACACACAGCTTTTGCACCACGATCCGCGCCACGACAACGTAACGCACCTACCGCTCATTAAATCGACACGATTAGCGCACAACCCACTATGAAAGACGATGATGTTTACGGCCAGCACCTTCGGCACCCACAGCACAGGATTGACTTTACGACGTACGACGCATACGAAGAATGATGCTACGAGGGTAGAGAATCAGTTTACTACAGCTCGGCTTACAGCTACATTGGGCCCGCCGCCCCAATTCTATTTACCGGCATTTTCGCTGCAATTTGGTTACCGCAAATGGTTCAATGAAGAGGAGAAAAGCATTATGGATATATATCAATCGGATCACCTTGTCTGTCTTCAGCTTGTCTGTCCTCAGCCTTGCTCCGTATCTGCAAGTTCTTTTTCGACATTTGGGGTCTTTGGCTTGTTTTGAGATGCATTCTTCTGTATTATTTGTTATGGCATTCGACTGGCATTGGATACTCCCTCTCCCTTCTTCGATTGTTGTCTTAGGCTAGGTGGCACAGTCACGCTTTATAGCGTGTAAGTATTAATTAGGAATCGATTTCTCGAATGCAGAAATTGTCCCTCCTTTCATCATGTGTCGGACGTATCTGAAAGCAGCCTCGATCGCACCTACCCCGACGCAAGGTGGCTTGCGCTAAGGGTAATCAGGATACAACAAGCGAGCCCATGGCTACCTTTTGATGGTCTGCGGACGAATGTCGATGAGATGATGCACTCGAATAATGATGCATTCATCTACGATCGACTGCCTATTGCGGACGGCTACTTTCGATACCTTATTCTGAAGTCCGGTTCCAGCAGTGAGCCACTGGCCTGCAACATGAATCCTGCACTACATTCTGGACGTCGAAGAGGGTTGTTTTGACTGCATAGCAGCAACATCCGATGCTCTGGTCATCTGGATTACTCCACAATAGCACACTCTAAAATCATTGACACCTGGCAGTCAGTAACATCATCGAACAACGCACTGGTCTACGACTACACAAACCAGTTGACAGCATATGTTTTCGTTCTTAGCCGGGGTATGTCGCAGGTTCATCGATCTCTGTGGGAGCAGATGGTCTACAACCTCACGGCCGAACTCCAGTTTGCTATCGAACAATGTAGCGCGCACCGTAGATTTACACCAGCCATTGATGTAAACGGAGAGACGGCGAATACCACTTTCCAGAGCCTAAGAATTATCAGCCACAACCATAAACTCATCGTCACACAGCGTGGCTACTTGGGGCTGGCTCCTGCTGTAGCAGCTGTAGGAGATATATGTGCCATCATAGTCGGTAGTAAGACTACGTGCGTTCTTCAAGATACGGATCGTGCTGCTCATCGTACGTGTCTGGGATCTTCGTACATACTGAGCAGCCGGAAAAGAGGCGGGCTATTGGCCAACGGATAAGAGTTCGGATCTGAGGAAAGCAAACACTGGGCTGGACATGATGTTGAAGACCTTGACGAAGAGTCTTGTAGTCAAAAACCCCTACCCATTTAACTTCGAATACTCTCCACAGGCCATTGAACCTTGTGCGTCTGTACGTGCAAATCGCGGAGGTATCCGCGACCCACAACAAGAAGAAACGCAGACCTGCTTCGGCGCGAACGAGTACGACTTCACCTCCACGGAAGTGTTCGCACATCGAGGTGATCACGGCTGTCGGCGAGCTTCTGGCGGGTCGTGCGGACCCGCAAGTTGCGGACCCGCTGCGTATCGATCTCAAATGCGTGGTGACGTGGGGAATGTACCGCGTTTGCCTCAACTGGCGCGGTACTCGTTTGCGAGTATTTGCAGGACGAGGGCAGACCTTGCGTCGAAGGTGTGTGGCTTAGCAGGGCGAGTCACCTGGGTTGCTGGAGGCGCTCGAAGAAGCCATGATGTATGCTATGTGGTGAGATCGATTAGTTGCGCCGACTGTAGAAGACAGGGACATGCCGGGGTGAGAAAGGAAGGTGCTCAGGCAGGAGGGAGAGAGTTAAATAGTGAACGTCGAGTGCAATCCGGGTTTCGAAAGGCATGCAAGCGTGAGAATACAAAAAAAGGTTTCAGATTAGGAGAGCTATATCTAAGAGGGTATCTTGGTGTGAATAAGTAAACGAGAAGGAGATGCTGTAATGATCAAATAACAAAGAGATAGCTGCCCCTCGTTGATGAGGGTGAGTCGCGGCAAAAAGCGCCGCTCACTCAGCGCGACGCTCACTGAGCCGGTGCTTCAGTGGCCCAGCAATTCCTAGTCACCCGCCACACAACCAGCCCGCGGTCGCCAACTACTCTGCTCAGCGTCGGCCACACACCGTCGTCGTCGAAGTCCATATCGTCGAGGTTCAGGTGTTGTCGGTAGCTCCAGACTTCCTCAAGCTCGATTTCCTCGCGACGGGCAGGATTCTGGAATGGCTTCAGAAAGTAGGCAGATCTCGGCGCTACCAGGTATATTGCGCCTCGCCCTTCAATCTTTGGCGGTTTTCGTGTCCGGCAAGTTGGCAACGAGGCTTTGACAGTATCGAGCATTTCTGATCCCGGCATGCCCATCAAGTCGACGGTAGTAAGCTCTTCGTTCTTGCCATTCAGAAGCCAAGTTGGTGGGCTGTAAGTCTTCCACCAGAACGCGTGAGTGACGAATTCGGGTGTCTTGGCTATGTGGATTTGTACCGGTACGATGCCACCTTGGTGGTAGACGCCCATCAGCGTACCCAGACCCACGTTGAAGACGATCCAGGTTGCGGTCCAAAACTTCCTGACTTGGGGATTTTGGGGCAGTCGAATCGAGGAGAGGATCAGTGGCACCGCAGGAAGGAGGAAGCGAGCTTCTTGATGCGGGAAGATGCTCAAGAGGGCAACGCCTGATAGAGCTGACACGAGGATTGGGCTGATATGCGAGCCACGGAGGAGAAACAGCAGTGGAAATGCAGGTCCAAGAAGCTGTGGCAGGTTGACCAGGAAATGCTGGTACAATGGGTGTATGCCATGCTGAGCAAGGTTTGTCGAGTCGGAGTTGTAGAGGAAGTTATTGAGGGGTGTAATAACGGGGTTGCTGAAGACGCTCGAGAAAGTGAACTCGCCAGGCGTGTAGGATGCGGTGTCGACGCAGATGGCCACGAAAGCTGTAAAAAGGGCGGCTAAGGTGAGGAAGACTAAGGAGAGTGGCCTATGGTTATTAGTGCCATTGCTGTGTCTTGACGGGAAGGAGCAACTCACTTGCGCTTGAAGTGCGGCAACAGAAGTAACGAAGGAAGAATTAGGAAGGCAGGGAACGTAATGCGATTGAAAAGTCCCACAACGACCATAGCACCCAACATGGACGAGGCTAAGATACCGGAGCGTTTCTGCGGCTTGGGTTAGCTGCATATCTGACGGGAGCGGACCGAGATGGCGTACCTTATCTCCCACAATGCGCTGAACTAACACCAGACTCCAACACACAAGCAGCGTCTCGAGGCTGTTGGAGAAGGTGTGCGTCTGGAAGGTCCAAGTCACGTACGATGACGCGACCAGGGGCACGGCGACGCGTCGAGCGCGGGGCGACTCGACCAGCTCATGGACAGCCCAGTCCTCCATGACGATGCTTAGGGTCAGCATGAGGACTCGCAGCGTCCAGTACACGACCGACGGCGAGACCTCGTAACCGAAACCCTCCCACAGCCAGCGCAGAATGTACATGGGCCAGCCGTACGCGAGCCATAGCGGGAAGGCGCTGCGGATGGGGTGCTCCGAGGTGAACTCCCATGTTTCGTGGACGGGGTAGTCGAAAACGCGGCCTGGCAGTGCGGTCAGTCATTTGCCAACGCGCAGGAATGCAGTGCAACGCGGCCATACCTGCGATGACCTCGGGGCCCTGGAAGTTCTCGTCCGGGTGCAGGTAGCTCGGCGACAGCGCAAAGTAGATGCGCACCACGATCAGGAGGAAGTAGACTCGCCGCCACATGGTGCATGCAGATTAGATGCGCCGGTAGAGGAGAGGATGAGGCAGCGCAGGCGCATGTCTGTTGTCATGGAGTTGGAGTGGATATCTATAGCGCCAGCAGATCGTTTGCGATCGAGGCCAGTATTGACAGACGATAGGTGCCCAAACAACGCCGTTAGACCACGCGGAAAGGGGGTTGGGGGAGCAAAGTGATTCGACGAGCGGCACTCCAGACTTTGCTTGCTCACATCTTGCGAGACATCAGCTTGAGCTAAGAACAGTGTTCACGGGAGATAAGAGCTCGTCTGACTGCCGGGTCAGGCCGCATGCAACACCTGAGCTTCGCGGACAGCAGCGAAGCGCGACATCACGTGCGCGTTTCGTGTTACACAGCCTCGGAGCGTTGACCGGCGCTGTTCGCAGCCCTGATGTCATGCAGTCTTTGAGGCGTTCCAGCCACTGTTTGTCGACAACGCGTTGCACAGTCTTGCAGTGACCGCATTGAGTCCGACTCTGTGGGAGAGCCCTTTGGCATGGCACACACAACGCTATCGTTACCAGCGAGGCCTGTTTGTGCCACATCTTCAGACTTGACCAGCTCGGGTATGTACCCTTGAGTCCGGGATTCTGGCAGCTTCGAGCCGGGGTCCAGTTGAGGGACGATGCGGAGTCATCCTGCATCATGGTTCGCACTGAGTTCGCACTGTAGACCCCCAAGGCACGCAGATGTGAAGATTTGTGAACAACGCAAAAGACCAAAATTGTAGGCACACAAAGGCGATTGTTCGGTTCACCTGCGCCCTTGCTCGTGCACTGCGGGGACAAAGAACCTGTGAGGAAGCAGCAGCCTTAACGCTATTACCGCATTGGGTGTGCTGGCGCCTGAGCCTGTGCCGCAGAGTACAGCAAACCGCAGGTTGCCGTTACCCAGCTTCACCTTCACCAACAAGCCCGGTCAAATATAAATCCCCGAACCGCCCGTCCGCCTCGCTTCTCTCAAACTCACACCACTCGCAACTGCACGCAGATTAACCAGAACCGCACACCTACCCGTACACCACCGCTTACCCCACTTCAACCTACACAAACACCCGCCATGTCTACCGAAGCCGCCCCCGATGCGCAGCAGATCAAGATCATCACCAGCGACAACATCGACATGACTGTCGACCGTCAGGTCGCTGAGCGGTCCATCCTGATCAAGAACTTGCTCGAGGATCTTGGCGGCGACAATGAGGAGGCCATCCCCATCCCCAACGTACGTCTTTCCACATCCATCACCCTGATGAACACGCGCTAACACATTGCAGGTCAACGAGGCCGTCATGAAGAAGGTCCTCGAGTGGTGCACCCATCACCGCAACGACCCTCCCGCGTCCCAGGACGACGACTCGGACTCGCGCAAGAAGTCCACCGATATCGACGAGTGGGACCAGAAGTTCATGCAGGTCGACCAGGAGATGCTCTTTGAGATCATCCTTGTAAATTCACACTTTACCAAAATGTTCAGAGCATCTACTAATGCGCATTGCAGGCTGCCAACTACCTTGACATCAAGGCCCTCCTCGACGTCGGCTGCAAGACCGTCGCAAACATGATCAAGGGCAAGTCGCCCGACGAGATCCGTAAGACATTCAATATCCAAAACGACTTCACCCCGGAGGAGGAGGAGCAGATCCGCCGCGAGAACGAGTGGGCCGAGGACCGCTAAGCGGCTCTTCACTTTCGCTTGTCTTCTAAGCTCCACCTGTAGATACTTTCGTAATGATCTGACAGGGTTGTTTTCGGTGTTCGGGGTTACATTCGGGCATGCCTCTTTCTGCATGATATCGGATATTATTTGGTATATGATACGCGTCACGAAACGTACGGCTTGGGTTTCATGACGGTATATCGTTAATGGACTCGCATGATAGCCGCGCATTGAAAAGCATTCTAACTTCATCTCGCCTCCGCCATATTGTGATACCTGCGCACGGTATTACTGGGGCCTAAAGTGAGTCGTGATTCCAACTGACCGCCACTCTGCTCATGGCCAAGTAAATCCTTTGAAGTATCCCTTGGTGCCGTTGGCGCCAGCTTGGATGAAGGCAGTCAAAAACCTAAAGGTAGTCGAATAGGTGGCGCATGTCCAAGATGGCCAATTCGTTGTCTACGCAACTCATATTGCATTGAGAGAAGAGTACTGATGCTCAGTGTTGAAGCCGGCTTTTCTTACAGGTCCCTAACGCCTGTAAATGACGATGATCGTATCCACCATATCTGTCGTGTCTCGTCTCTCCGCCTGATCAAAACCGTTACCATCCACGCTTAGCAAGCTTCTCATCCTCGCCCATAGTGCCGCAGTTGATACCCACCATGGCCTCACCCAGGTCCATGCTGACCTCCATCAACACCTTGGGGTCCTTGTAGTGAGTGACCGCCTGCACAATAGCCTTCGCGCGCTTCGCCGCATCGCCGCTCTTGAAGATGCCAGACCCAACAAACACACCATCACAGCCGAGCTGCATCATAAGCGCAGCATCCGCGGGCGTAGCAACACCTCCCGCCGCAAAATTAACCACCGGCAACCGCCCCAGCTTCGCAGTCTCCTTGAGCAGCTCGTAATCGACCTGCAGCTCCTTGGCGTACACGCGCAGCTCCATCTCGTCCATACCCTGCGCCTTTTTGATCTCGGCCGTTACCGTGCGCATGTGCCGGACCGCCTCGATCACGTCGCCCGTCCCTGCTTCGCCCTTAGTCCGGATCATAGCTGCGCCTTCAGCGACACGGCGAAGGGCTTCACCGAGGTTACGGCACCCGCATACGAAGGGGGTCTTGAAGGGGTGCTTGGCCACGTGGTGGATGGCGTCGGCGGGCGTCAGGACTTCGGATTCGTCAATGTAATCTACGCCGAGGGCTTCAAGAATCTGTTTGACATGTCAGCGTACGATCTTGCGTGGTTCTTTCGGATGACGAGAACAGATTGGTGGAGCTCCTCCGAGGGGCTGATCGCGGAGGCTGTCTGGCTGGGTTTTGGGGGGACGTACCTGGCACTCGACAAAGTGGCCGATTCTTGCCTTGGCCATCACGGGGATAGTGACTGTGTCCATGATCTCCCTGATCATCTGCGGGTCGCTCATGCGCGCCACGCCGCCCTGCGCTCTGATGTCGGCGGGCACACGCTCGAGCGCCATGACTGCTGTGGCACCGGCCTCCTCTGCAATGCGTGCCTACGGTTATCATTAACTCACTGCTTCAAGCCATTGCTTCCAGCCTCAAACTGTTAAGCCTAGCGATGATGAAGCAAGGATCTGAGCGTACCTGCTCAGCGTTGACGACGTCCATGATGACGCCGCCCTTCAGCATGCGGGCGAGACCTGCCTTGACGGCGAAGTTGTTCTCGCCATCCTGGGCAGTGTGGCCATTTGTGGTGGGAAGTTCAGTTGCCATTGTGAATGCAGAAGAGGGGTATCAAAGGTGTAGAAAGAGAGCAATGTACAGAGATGATATCTCTACGAAGGCGAAAGTGTAGTGTGATTGTAGAGAGATGGTGACGGTCAATCGAACTGAAGTGAGAGAAGATTATGAAAGACGGAGTGATCTCGTGAGTGAGTCAGTTCTCGTCGATGCCCTTTACCAAGACAATGCGGCGGCATCGCAATAATTTTTTGCCCATCTAAGGGTCACTCATCCCGCCAAACGTCTGGTTCGGACACCACGGCTGATGTGGGGCAAGTCGCCGGACCTGCTGCCGAAGGTGTCGTGACGCTCTAGATCCCCGCGCCGCGCCCTTTGACACATCAGATCCAATCATGGCGGGTCGGATAGCGTTTGACCAGACCGCGAATTGCCGCAGCTTAGTCAGTAGATGCGTCTCTCACCTCGACAAGAGCGTGGTGAAAGCCGGGGTACGACTATACGACTCCCGATCTGTTGCAGATAGTCTCCAGAGGTTCTATCATATTGCAAAAGGCCCGCGAATCGATTGCGGGTACCTCCAATTTCTTTGCCTCGATCATGAGCATGGATTCCTGGAGAGCCTTTCTGCTAAGATTAAGAGTCAATTGTGGATGCAGGGACTCGCGGTTTATTTCCTACCAACGCCGAGAGTACCATGCTGTAAAACCGACGCCATGCAGTGCCATATCTTCTGAGCCGCCGTGTGCCGCCACGGGGTCGCCGCATTCGGCATCTCACTCCTACAAATCCATGATCTGTGCCTAGCAGCTTAGAGATAGCACCAATTGACTCACGTCCGCAGATCAACTTTGGACCCTGAAGATATCTAACAAAGCCAACAGAGCGCCGGCGTTGTTGAAGTTTCACACAACACAAGTACAGGCTCGTGAGATCCAACAAAGCTTCTTAATGCTATTGACACTGTTGATTGCTTCCAAGGTCTGATGTTGGCTCGGCTTAAGTGACTTCCATCAAGTTGCCTAGTAAGGTGCAGTCTCGCGCTTCAGCCACTTCAGAGTGAGAGGATCATTCTTGAAGTACTCGCTGGTCTTGTCGAATACCTCCTGGTGGTACTCGTTGATGAACTTCTTCTCCTCCTCTGTGAGCAGGCTGAAGTCTACAAGGTTTCTGCAGTGAGGCGTCATTGTGACATGCTCAAATCCAAGGTATGGCTTGTCACCGAACTGATGCTCGGTCTCGACTTCCTTTACCATGATCATGTTTTCGATACGAATGCCAAACTTGCCGTCCTCATAGTATCCAGGCTCGTCCGAGATTACATTACCAACAGCCAGTGCAACTTCAGAGTATTGAATCCTAGTACCAATACCAATGGGGCCTTCGTGTACGTTCAGGAACGAGCCAACTCCGTGTCCAGTGCCGTGCCGGTAGTCTAAGCCGTAATTCCAGAGGAACTGTCGGGCAAGCGCGTCAATAGCAAAGCCTGTTGTGCCCTTGGGGAACTTGATACGCTCGAGAGCAATGTTGCCCTTAAGCACGAGTGTGTATGCCTTGCGTTCCATCTCGGTCGGTTCGCCGAAATGCAGTGTCCGTGTGGTATCAGTTGTGCCGTCTTGGTACTGCGCACCGGAGTCGCAGAGATATATCGCCTTAGGATCAATGACTGCGCATTCGCCCTTCTCTGGCTTATAATGAATGATAGCTCCGTTGGGTCCGGTAGAAGAGATGGTGTCGAAGGAGAGTCCCATGAAGCCATTGTGCTTTGAACGCATGCTTTCCAGCTTGTCTGCACCATCGACCTCATCAAGTGTTGCCTTTTTGTTGATCAATTGGTCCTCCAGCCACGCGAAGTACTCGCTGAGGGCAGCACCATCGCGAATATGGCACTGGCGCATACCCTCCAACTCGACCTCGTTCTTGATAGCCTTCGCGTCCCCGATCGGGCTGCGCACTTCCTCGACCTTGTCTTCGCCGCCGAGAGCCTTGTTCAATGCCCAGGATGCCCGATTCGAGGTGAGGAACTTCCTCTTTGCCTCGGCCTCATCCTTGGCTCCCAGCGACGCCTTGCTCAGAGCTGTAATGTCTTCGAAGATAGCTTCGTAGGGGCGGATCTCTACCTTGTCGCCGAGGTGGTCCTTGACTTCTTGTGGCAGCTTACTTTCGTCAACGTATAGTGTGGCGGCGGACGGTGTAATGACAGCGTAGGAGAAGAGGACGGGGTTGTATGGGATGCTACAAGTGGTTAGGGCTGTTGCCAATGAATCGGTCTGTGTATACTTACTCGTTTCCACGAATGTTGAACAGCCAGGCGATCTCGTCAAGCATGGAGACAACAAAGCCTAGGCTCTTCCTCTTCTCCAGCTCTTTGCGCAGGTCCGCGATCTTGTCCTCGACGCTCTTGCCAGAGAACTCCATAGGCTGTACAATGACCTTCTCGCTAGGACGGCTTGGTCTTTCCTTCCACACCGCGTCCACGAGGTTCTCGTCGACCGCTTTGTATGCGCCGCCCTTCTTCTTGATCTTATCAGCGAGCTTCCTAGCATCGCTTGCTGTCACCACGCTGGGGTCCACGGCAACGACTTTGCCTCCTTCCACGCGGTCCACAGTCCATTCCTGGATGGTCGGCACATCCTGAATGCCCTGCTTAAGCAACTCCCAGTTGCTGTCCAGCTGCTTCTCGGCCTGGTTGAAATAGCGCCCATCGGTCGACAAGGCGGCCTTGTCGTGTGTGATGACTGCGTACCCAGCTGAGCCGGTAAATCCGCTGATGTATGCTGGAGGTAATCAATAGGTGTGCTGCGAGAGGCGGTGGGGCATCTGACCTCGACGGGCGTCGCAAGGGGCGATGTACTCGCTCTGATGGCTGTCTTCGGACGGTACCACTGCATCTGCATTAGCGAGCTGTCTGCGATGCTTGACCAGGGCTTGGTACTGTAGATATCGACATTGCGCTCCTTCATCAGCTTGCGGAGCTCCGCCAGCCGCTCGGTAGTGTCGACCTTTGCCATGTCGATGGCACGTAGGGTTGCAGATGCGTGGAAAGCTCTAAAGTATGTAGGTGATTTCCTGGCTACGTGCGCTGCAGCTTTCGCGTGTGTGCGCAACAAAGACCGTGGCAGAAGCATAGAGAGCGCCTACAATCGGTATGCAAGACACCCCACTACAATGGTACACCTGCATTGCGGCAATCACGCCGCGGGGGCTAGCGTCGTTCTCAGGACAGGTGCGAGCGAAAGCACGCCAAGGGCCATGTCAACCAATCTCTCTCGCCAGGCTGCTCCCAAATATAAACACGAAATCGAGCAGTTCAGCCTCCTGCAAATTTTGCAACTTATACCGCTTTCAACGCTGCAAAATATGCGATCGCAAGGTGACGAGTCACTAGCGAATTCATCAGACGATCGTGGGAGATAGACGGGCCCGGCCTTCACCCAAACAACAAAGCCCGAGCATCTCCATTCGCCCTGGACAGTCACGTTTCCTCCTGTCGCCTGAAGATCTTCTGGCAGCATACTTTCACTTGTGTTCTCGAGCTCATCTCTTGCAAACGTAAGTATCAGCGTTTTCTGCTAAACATGTTACTTTTCAAGTAAAGTCTTTTCTCCTTCGCTTCTGCGGTCCCGAGAGTGGGCTCTGGTTTGAAGCCACTCAAGGAAGGATTGCCGGTCTACCTTGCAGTGTAAATATAATTGGTTGACGAGGTCGAACATCATTTCAAGCAGCTGATTGAAAGCACACAGTGAGCCGAAAACATTATGGCTGCAAATGGAAACCAGCAGCAAGGCTTTCCCATGAGCTTCGCCGACATTGAGGGGCTAGTCAAATTGCTGTACGAACCTGGACACGCAAAGAAGATCACGCAGACAGAAGCGACCCTGCGAGTTTTACAACGCTCGCCTCAAGGCTGGGAGATTGCGAACACGCTTCTCAAAAGCGAAGATGAGCAGGTTCGGTTTTTCGGAGCGCTCACCTTGACTGTGAAACTCAATGCTGACTCGTGAGTGGGATCTACATTTCTTCCTGTCATCTGTCTGACCATTCATAGGAACGAATTGAGCGAGGAACATTCCGCACAGCTACTCTCCACCCTCATTGTACGATCTCTGACCATGCACCCGCATCGAAGCTGACGTATGTAAAGCACCATCTAGTTACACGGCCATATTCATCAATAGCAACGCGTAAAGTAAGCTCAACGTTAGCCCAGTACTTCACCAAGCCTATCTCAGTATGGAGCCTGTGCATCAGAAGCCTCGTCGTATCATTTGCCGCCCAGCAACCAGTACTAGACGACGCGTTGGAGGGTCACCCGGCTACGTGGGATATATTTCCTGGATTGTCTGATGATCAGCTTCTTGTTCTGCTAGACTTTGCCATGAATTTGGCAGACGAGGCAAAGAAGCTTTCCGCGAGCCCAAAGTAAGTTTGCCCGTACCAAACACTCATAATACCACCTGTGCTGACGTCAGGCAGCCGCAAAGTGCACCACGAGATGATCGCCAACGCCGAGAGTCTAGAGGCTCTCCTGCATACTGCCTTTGGACGTGGCTTCAAGTACCTATCCGTGCCAATCAATGATCCCAGCTACGATGGTTCAGTGCAACAAGGAGAGAAGATCTGTGTAGCTGCTTCCAAGTGCTTTATAGTGAGTTTGCATGAAGCGACAGAGGTCGATGCTAACCATTTAGGGCTGGATCTTCTACGCGCAATCCGAGTTCAAGCATGTACCAGAAAAGTTGCACTACCTGCGATCTGTCACCGAGCTCGCCTTGACATGCCTGGAGTATCATGTCGAAGATGCCATGGACCTTGTCGCTGAAGTCCTGGAGAACTATCCGGCGTTTTTCGAAGCAAAGCATCAAGAAATGCTATGGTCGGCTATTGCAGGTCCCTGGGGTCTGGAGATTCTGAGAGTGCAGGACGCCGAAACTGTCTCGCTCGCCAGGATCATTGTTGCGTACGGTCAAATTCTGCTAGACTCGAAGAGCCTGTATAGAGAGCACGAAATAGTGCAGAACCAACAAGTGATGTGTAAGTTTACTCCGACCGCAGTCTCACTGACATGCAAGCTGACTCCACGTAGCGTTCTTGCACGACCTCCTGAAATACCCAGAGACTGTAGGCGTGGACGACGATGTAGCGCCAGTTGTACTGGACTTCTGGAGCGGCTTCGTCAGCGCTATCGCCGAAGAATCGTTCGAGTATACCGAAGGTGTACTACCGCCCTCCTGGATGGAAGCGGCCAAGTCCAACGTCTTCCAGGGAATCTCCGAGCTTGCACAAAAGATCATATATCCGCCAGCTAGCGAGACCAAAGCATGGGACTCTGATACGAAGAAGACATTCAAGGTCTTCCGTATCGACGTACGGGACATCATCATGGAAGCGTATGAGTCACTACGCGACGCAATGACGGATCAGTTCATCAACTTCACCTTGCGTGCGCTTCAGACAGGGAACTGGCTGGAGCTTGAGGCTGGCCTATTCTGCCTGATATCTATCGCAGATGCCTTCCATGAGAATGTCGATGAGCGCCTCAATCGCCTTTTTGAGCAACCTCTTTTCTCGGCTATGTCTGATAATGCAGATATACCAGCAATCGCCCGCAGGTCTGCAGTGGAGCTGGTAGCCGCGCTCAATCAGTTCTTCTTGCGCAACCCACGCTTCTTACCCCAAGTGTTGCCTTTCCTGCTTAAAGCATTGGCTCAGCCTGCACTTGCTCACAGCGCAGCCAAGTCGTTTGCTTCCCTTTGTTCCGAGTGTAGAAAATCGCTCACGGGCGAGCTTCAGTCGTTCTTCCAGATGTACGAGCAGTTCCTCACGTACCAAACGGCGGAAGAATTTACGAAGAGCAAGGTACTCGAAGGCATTGCTGCTATTGTCCAGTCAGCAGACTCAGAAGAGAAGCAACTCGTCGGCGTCAGGCAGCTGTTTGGCTACATTGCAGGAGATGCCATGGACGCCATCAAGGTCACCAAAGAGGACAATGACCCGGAGCAAGGACAGGTGCTCGCATTGACCACTCTAAAGTGCCTGTCTAGCATCGGTCGTGCCCTTCAAGCTCTCGACGAAGAAGTCGTGGACCTAGAAGCAGACTCGAAAGCTGAATCTTCGACCTTCTGGTCAGATGGACCTGGAAAGGAGATCCAGAATCAGGTCATTAATATGATCAACTACATGACGCAAGTCTTCCCGGGGAACGACGAGATCATAGAATCGGCCTGCAATGTCCTGCGTACCGGCTTCAAAGAATCTATTCCCGGACCTTTTGTGTTACCACCGTCAGCTGCGGTCGACTTCATTACCAAGACGACTATGCAGACCCCACGACTGCCATTCGTGCTCGAAACAGCATGTAGCTGGCTCTCCTCTCATAAGCACAAGAGGCCGGCCGATTTCGCTGTACAGGCACAACGGCTGCTCCAACATGACCTGAGCATCATGCACGCACTGCAGCATCCTCGTAACGATCCAGAGATCGCCGTCAGTTGCATTGAGCTCATCCAACAATTCGTGAACACGGACCTGAGCCTTCTCACGCAAGAACATCCAGATACCCTGCAAGGCATGCTCAACTTCTGTGTCGAATCAATAAAATCGCCAGAAGTACTGCCGAAGCGTGCGTCTGCAAAACTCTGGAAGGACATCTTCGAATCAACCGGAAACTCTCATGGGCAAAACCAAGGCACTTCGCAGGATATCGTCAACCACTTTGGATACGCAGTGACGTGTGCACTGATAACCAATGTCTGTGGTGAAGTCGACTTCACAAGTCTTGAGCACATTGTTGCACCACTCCGCGCACTGATCCGGTCTGACAAGAATGCACGAGCATACATCACAAATTCCCTTGCAGAGCAGCCGCTCCTCCAGCGTTTCCAACAGGATGCAGCGGTGCAGGAGCTGGTGCGGAAGTTTATCGAAAGCTCTATGAGGTACGCAATCACTCGTTTGTAACGTTGGCTCAAGACTAACGTATATACAGGAACGCAAAGAGCTCGACTGGTTTCAAAGACACAGTCAAGGGATTTTGGCAGAGCTGTAAACAACTCCAGATGCAGCTGCAGCCGCAGATGATGGCTCAGGGCCACGGTCGATTCGCTTAGTACGGCAGCGACTACGAGCTCACCCAGCAGCACGCGCTGCTCACATGCAACTCAGTAGACTAAAATTCAGCAAACGCAGCCAACGCAAAAGTCAAGCCGAACGATAGCTTGAACGCAACGTTGTCCTGCACCAGCGACCGTACGTTCATCGACTTGAAGCGGCGCTGCAGGAACGAGTAGGGGATGATGTGGATGCCTCTCGACTCAATCATCTAGAACACAAATTAGCATAGGTCTGCGCAGAATCATGACCTCGCAGTTTAGAAACCTCCCCCATTTTTGCGACTCCTTCCTCTCTAGTGGCATAACTTACTTGCAGCGCGACAATTCCCAAACCAAGCAGAATCGCCAATGGCTTACTGAACACACTAATCCCCAGACCGCCAATCACACCCAGTATACTCCCCATGCTAATCTGTCGCACAGCCTTCGGATTCGGTGCCCCCGACTGCGTGATCACAGGTGTCTGCGCATCGCGTGCGTACGTATTTCGCAAATCGCCCAGCTTGGCGAGCGGGTCTGCCGAATCACAGCGAATAGCCTGCGCGTTCCTGAAGTTGTGCACAAGTAGAGGTGTAGAGAGGATGAGCGGCATTGCAAGGAGTGCACCGCGACGCAGACCTGGGAGGAGGAACGACATGTGTGGAGTGGAAAAGCGTTGGTGCTGGAGGTATGCTGAGAGCTGGCGTTCGAGTGGTGCGTTGCTGGGGACGATGAGCGGTGTTTTGGATGCTGATCGGAAAGCGCGCGAGGCCAATTGACTGCGTGGATGCATGGATGGTGCTGGGACGCGAGCCTTCAGATGGAGAAGTGACGATGATGTCACTTATTGGTTGCGCTTGCCGAGCCTGGTGGACCCTGATCGCCCAAGCTCAACGTCGCGTCGCGATCTGGCACCGTGATGGGCCCACGGTGATTTCGTTACAACTTCATGTCGCTCCTTTGACTGTCTTTTTAGTATAAATCTCAAACTATTCCATAAGGTTTGAAACTACGCTCAGCACAATGGCGCCACGAAAGGCGCCGCTCGTGCTCGCGAATTTACTGATTCCAATCGCGATCCTTGTCTTCGCGACTGGCTTCTTCCCGTACAAACCCTTCATGCAAGGACTTGCCGAGTACGAAGATGTGTCCTGGCTTTCTCAGCAAGAAGGGAGCCGGGGAGAGTTGCAACCCCCTGAAGCACCATTCGACAAGCTCGTGTTCATGGTCGTGGACGCGCTGCGAAGCGACTTCGTCTACAGTGAGCAGAGCGGGATGAGCTTTGTGCAGAGGTACGTATTTCCTCTCATACATAGCCCAGTTGCTAATAGTTTTGTAGCCTCATCCGCGACGGCACCGCACTCCCCTTTACAGCTCATGCGACATCCCCCACCATTACCATGCCACGCGTAAAAGCCATCACTACAGGTTCCATCCCTTCCTTCCTCGACGTCATTCTCAACTTCGCCGAATCCGATACAACCTCCACGCTTGCAGCGCAAGATACCTGGCTGGCACAGATCAAAGCCAAGCGCTTTGGAGATAAGCAGGGCAAGCTGGTCATGTACGGCGACGACACATGGTTGAAGCTCTTCCCAGACTTCTTTGAGCGGGCGGACGGAACGAGCAGTTTCTTTGTTTCGGTCAGTTTCTTGTACTTGCACATACGTAGATGGAATGCAGTGTTGATTCTCAGTGTGCAGGACTTCACCGAGGTGGATAACAACGTGACGAGACATGTTCCAAACGAGTTGCTGAACGATGACTGGAATGCTATGATCATACACTATCTGGGCTTGGACCATATCGGACACAAGGCTGGTCCCAAGAGGTAGGCCGCGCTTGTGTTGACACTGCATCGCTAACATGTAGCAGCCCCAACATGGTCCCAAAACAGAAAGAGATGGATGATATTGTGCGCATCATCTACTCTGCCATCGAGAACGAAGATCATTTATCCAACACACTATTTGTGCTATGCGGCGACCATGGCATGAACGAAGGTGGGAATCACGGAGGATCGTCACCCGGCGAAACTTCACCCGCGCTTGTCTTCATGAGCCCAAAACTTACGAAGATTACTCGAAAGCAAGCGAACGTCCAAAGCCCCGTGAAACCCAAGACAGAAGGCGAGTTCGACTACTATAGGACAGTCGAACAGAGCGATATCGCACCGACACTGGCCGGTCTGCTTGGGTTCCCAGTATCGAGGAATAATCTCGGCGTTTTTCTCAGTGACTTCATAGGCTTTTGGGATAAAGGTAAGACCACTTTGGCTGTTGGAATTCAATTGAAGCTGATCGATCAGGCTCGGACCGCAACCAGCTTCTGTACAGGAACGCAAAGCAAATCAAGCGCATTGTGCAAGCCACCTATACCAGCCAGAGTTTCGAAGACGTGGATACTACCTCCAGACATACAGAGACCTTGAGGTGCCAGGACCTGGAGAGCAGCGAGAAGCTCGCTTGTCTTTGGAACCGAGCTGTGACACGCATGATTAGCAACGATGCTGATAGTGCAAAGCAAGAGCATCTCAATAAGGTGAGCTTCCGCACATTCGAATGCTCATATTGGGAGCAGCTAACAACAAATAGTTCATGCATGAGGCTCAAGATGTCATGTCCAGTGCAGCGTCCAACTACGATGTACCCCGACTGTTCCTTGGGACTGGTCTCGCCATTCTTATTTGTATCCTGAGCTTCTTCACTATTCCATCTCTGCGTCCTATATCGTCTGCTGGAATTTACTACTCTATCACTCTCGCACTGTACGCCGTGCTCATGTTCGCATCCTCATACGTTGAGGAGGAGCACAATTTCTGGTACTGGATCACATCAGGCTGGTTCTTCTACCTCTACTTAGGTAACATGCGAGACAAGAGAACCACATCGTGGCTCCTTCATCCCGCTCTCATGCTACTGGTCATCCACAGGATCATCAGACGCTGGAACCAGACGGGCCAAAAGTTCGCCGGCGCAGACGACATCGTCACAAGCGGCATCTTCCACGGCAACAACTCCATCTTGTTGTGGGTTTCGATCGGTGCTACCTACCTGGACATTACGAACCGGATTTCGCGACACATCGCCCGCTCGGTGGTCACACTGGACAAGCCTATTTCCTCGTCTCAGCTGGACTTGGAGCCAGAGCAGCAACACCGCATGATGGGCGCGCTCATAGCGACACCCCTCTGCGTTGCGGCAGTTATCTTCAAACTCGCATTCACCGCTAAAGACGCTCCGGAGCTCACGTACGGCATCACATCGGGCGTAATGGAGCGTGTCGAGATGCTGGATCTTGTTGATCTGGCACGCATGGTGTTTGGCGGTATTGCGCTTGTCTACACGTGGATCGTTTTCTCGGAGTATCAGCGCTCGACTCGCCGGGCGAAGCAGAACGTCAAGGGAACTGGTGGTATGTTGCCCTGTCCCTTCATTGAGATTGCGGCGAGCTGACAAAATAGACCTAGCAACGGCCTTCTTCGATATGTTCACACTCTTCCTCCTCACACAAACCAAATCACAGAACATCCCCCTCTACCTGCTCTTCAGAATCCAATACTTCATGCTGTGTAAGCCCCCGCTCCTTCCTCATATTGCCTTTACATCCCTGCCCTTTTGAGCCATCGTTCAAGCTAACACATCCAGCACTCCTCTCCCCCACCCCAATTCAAACCACCCTAACATCCCTCCTGCTGAGTCAAACATCATTCTTCGCCCTCGGTCTCAACAACAGTATATCCAGCATCGACCTTTCCAACGCCTACAACGGGATCAGCGGATACAACATCCTGGCCGTGGGGCTCCTCGTATTCCTCTCAAACTGGGCGGGGCCGGTATACTGGAGCATCGCAGGCGTGCGTCTGCTCAACAGCCGCGGAAAATCCAACTCCGGCGGCGCTCAACGCCGTGACGCAAGGCCCGAAGACGCCAAGCCAACGCGCAGCTGGGTCGCAGCTGAGCACGCTCATCTGCACTCTCTCGCCACACCGCGGCCCGACATAAACAGTGAGCGGAAGTGTGAGGGAGATGTCTGGACCGTGCACGTCGCGCTGCTGACGCTGTTCACGGGCGTCATGCTCACGAGCGTCATGGCGGCGTGTACGGCGCTGCGGACGCATCTTTTCATCTGGACGGTATTTAGTCCCAAGTACCTGTTCGCGATGGCGTGGGGACTTGCGTGGCATTTGGGCGTTTCGGTTGGACTGGGGGGACTGGTGTGGTGGATGGGGAAGTGGTAGGTCTGTTTTTGTCCAGGAGTGAGGATAGTCAGGGGACCATGGCAAAACATTTAGATCGAATCGTCGCAGCTCGGAGAAGGGTGGACACGGATGGATGGATGGATCGAGAGGGTACGTGTACTTGATATCAAACGATGATCGAGGATATTATGCATCAGCGTCAGCAACTTGATAATGACTTGTAACTTTTGCGTTACTGTCTCGCTATATTTCGTGTACTGTACAATGCATGCTGAATCAAAATACCGCCCACATCCCCACATCCAAGACGCAGCAAAAAGAGAAGAACGCGAACTACGCTCAGCAACGTCCCCATCAACATCCTTTCTATATCCATCACGACATTGAGCACTGCGCGGCCATCTAAGCCGTTGCTGCCTTTTTCTTAGCATCCATCGCCTCCTTCGCCGTCTTCGTAAGACCCTCCAGCTCACCACTCGTCTCACACATACTCCTAAAGCTGCCCCCTTCCTTGGTGATAAGGCTATGCGGATCGCCAAACTCGATAACCTCGCCCTTATCCAGGACAAGCACTTTATCGTAATCGATGATCGTCTGGAGACGATGCGCGATCGTAACGGTAGTGTTCTTGATCAAGCGGATAGTCTCCTGGATTTTGTTGTCGGTCGCGTAGTCGATGCTCGCCGTGGCTTCGTCCATGAGCAGCACCTTGGGCGCCTTGAGAAGCGCGCGCGCAAGACAGAGGAGTTGGCGTTGACCCTGGGAGAGATTGGATCCGGACTCGCTGACGGGCGAGTTGAGGTTGCGGAAGGGGTTTTTGTTGTCGGCTTGCAGGGCGGTAGCAGCGGTGACTTCGGCGTCGACGATGGTGCCGTTGGGCACCACGACGATGGTGTCTTCGCCTGTTTCGCCGTGCGACCATTCGCGGTTCGCGAGAATGGAGCCTGGGTTTACGGTCGAGGAGCCAGTGTAGCTGGCGTTGACGTCGGCTACGACAGCGCCACTGGTGGGCTTTGGGATCTCGATGGCGTTGGGAGGGGTGGCAGTATCTGTGGGCGTCACTGTACCGGATGTCGTTGCTGAAGCCGAGGTGATGAGGTGGACTTCGCGGAGTGCAGTGAAGATCTCTTCGTCGGTGAAGATTGAGAAGGGATCGAGATTGCTGCGGATGGTTCCAGTGAATAATGTCGGGTCCTGAGGCACCATCACGATGTTCTCACGCAAGTCTTGAAGGCCGATCAATCCAACATCGACATCGTCGATGAGGATCTTGCCGTTCTCTGCCTCCAAAGCACGGAAGAGAGCGAGAGCCAAAGAACTCTTGCCAGCACCCGTCCTGCCAACAACACCAACCTTCTCGCCTGGCAGAATCTTGAATGTGACATTCTTGAGAACAGGATCGAAGTCAGGCCTGTAGCGAGTGCTGTAGTTGATGAACTCCACAGACCCCTTGCTTGGCCAGTTGGATGGAGGGCGTGTCTCAGGGATGACAGCCGGGGCTTCCTGGTCCACATCCAGATACTCCTTGACACGTTCGACGGAGTTCATATTCTGCTCGTTGGCCGAGTAAAGACGCACAAACCACAGTACGTTCTCTGTAAAAGTGACAGCATAGGTAAGCGCCAGACCGGCAGCACCTGCGTCAATCTTTCCGACGCTCAAGACCACGAATGTACCCGCAAAGAAGGCCACGAGTGCACCAACAACATCCACCCGGAAAGCGAGCCATCTGTTAGCGGCCCAGAGGTAGATGAAGGGACGATGCTGGGTGTTGATCTTCATAAGGTTCTCGCGAATGAAGCGACGCTCGTCTCCGTATGCTCGGATCGTTGTCATTCCAGAAAGTGTCTCGCCGAACTGCTGGTACAAAGGACTGCGGTGCACGGACTCCAGACGCTTGAGGTCACGAGAAGAGTTGATATAGAAGCGACCGATGAGGAAGTAAAGGACCGAGATGAAGGCACCGGCAATGAGGAAAGCAGGCGTGATGACCGAGATCAGTATGACAATAGTGATGATCGAAGCCAAGCAGTGAACCACACCGATGGCGACAGGTGCGACTTCTTGGTCAACAGATTCGATGTCCTTCGAGAACCTGTTCATGAGCTGACCCAGGGGAGTTTGATCGAAGAAACGGAACTTGGCGTGGGTGACCCTCTGGATGAGACGCTCGTGAACGCGTCGTGACGCAGCGAGCGAACCACCGAACAGGAATCCTTCGCGGAGGAAAGTGATGAACATGAAAATCAGGCCAAGAATAGCATAGACGACAAGGAAGTAGGTCGAATCGACACCTGAACCATCCGAGCTTCCGAACGTTGTCTGTATGGACGAGCTGTAGATGTACGACTTCTCCTCAGGTTGGTTGAAGAACGGGACGTTCCAGCTGCAAGCGCCTCTGGTGAGGCAAGTGCTGGATCCAAACATCGTCGGCGCGTGAGCGACAGGCGAGCGGTTGTGATGGCCCATTGTTGAGAAACCTTTATCTGCGTACGCATTTGCCCATGTCCGGATCCAGAGGTTTGTCGATACGGACGAGATCTGCTGTGCGACAAAGGCGATAGAAGCACCAACCCAGTAGTACCACGGACCCATAGCCTTCAAATACATCAAGATGATGCTCAGCTTCACGCCACCTTCTGCCTTGGTCTCCTCCAAAGGGTTGCTGACTCCCTTCTTAGAGGCCTTGCCATTCGCCTTTCCATTGGCGGTACCGTTCGCGTGACTAACCTCGCTGTCAGCCTCCTCGCCGCCGACCTCTGAGGGTACTTGGGAAGGTGGCTTCGAAGCACCTCGAGAAGCGGGCCTAGATTTAGATACTTCCTCGGTGAGCTTGCCGGAGTCGATGACCTCGTCAGCAGATCCTTGGGCAACGACCCGACCGTTCTCAAGAACAACGGCGAAATCGGCATACGGAAGGCACAAGCTGACGTTGTGTGTTACCAGGATGCATGTACGGTCGAGCATAAGCTGACCGTTGAGGGCGTAATCGAAGATCCACTTGGCGGTGTGCGAGTCGACGGCGCTGAGGACATCGTCCAGAAGGACGTGGCGTGCTTTGCTGTACATGGCACGGGCAAGAGAGATACGTTGCTTCTGACCACCAGAGAGGGTCACGCCTTTCTCACCAACAATGGTCTCGTCACCGCCGTCAAGGATTTCAATATCGCGCTTCAGCGAGCAAGCCACGATGACATCCTCGTATCGCTGTGCGTCCCAGTCACCTGCGAAGACGATATTTTCCTTGACTGTACCGTTGACCAGCCAAGCCTGCTGTGCGCAATAGGCTACACTTTCGATGAGGCCTGTCTCGGGGTCAGGGCGGAGATCTTCGCGACTGACGCCTCCGGGGAGATAGACATCGCCCTTCAGCTTTGTCATCTCCCCTAGTAGAGCCATGAGCAGAGAGGTCTTTCCGGAACCGGTTGGTCCAGCAACCACATTGAGCTGACCAGTCTTGAACTTGACATCGATGTCCATGAGCTTGAAAGCATCAGCAGAAGCCTGATCCTTCATATTCTTGCCGCCCCAGCTGAACGTGCCCTTGTGGAAACCAATAATGCTCTGACCATTCTCATCCTTCTCGTTAGTTGTCAATTGCGAGTACTTTTCAGTCTCAGGCTCGTTCAGATATTCTTCAATACGGTCAACAGAAACTCTCGATTCTTGAACGTGGGCGACCATATCAGCCAATTGGTCCAGTGGGATTCTGAGGATTTGGAAGAGCGAAAGCGCAGTGAAAGCGACCGAGGGTATAAGAGCCTTGTGTTCGACATTGGTGTAGACGAAGAAGGAGAGGAAGGTGATAAAGACTGGCGATCCAGACCAGATGGTCGCTGCTACTGCCCACAGGATGTATCGCCGGCGGAGATGCTTCAGCTCAACGTAACGCTTCTCGTTGACAAGCCCAATGAACCGCCGTTCCCAAGCGAAGTACTTGATGATGCGGATATTGGTCAGAACTTCGTTCGTGGTGTGGATGCGAGCGTCGGTGGCCGCCAAGATGAGCTTTTGGATCTTGGAGAACTGGCTTGCAACGTACATGTTGATCGGGAGGAGGATGATCATCATGCCAATACCAGCAATACTACTGTATCCAAGGATCCGGTAGAGCAGGACAATTGCGACCACGACTTGGACGGGGGTATTGGCCCACAGGAAATGCAGATAGGCACAAATCTCACTGACTTTGAAGGCGTCGACAGCCATGAGATTGATGATAGCTCCGGTAGTGACTTGGGCATCGGATTCGGGCTTGGTGTTGTCCTCCTGGTTCTGCTTTGGCCCTTCGGTCGGTATCTTCTTCTTCTTCCGACCCCAGGTCATCATCCTCTTGATCGTGCCTTGCTTCTTGGGGTCTTCTTCCTTGTCGTTGTCCTTTTTCTTCTCCTCGCCCAAAACCTTGTCTGTGGTAGCAGCGGCTCTGCGCTTCAACGCCTTGGCATAGATTTCTCCGATGATGACCGCGCGCAGGCGGATGCAGATCTTGCGGCCAATCCACAACGCTTGACCGTCAGCGAGCGCAGAAAGGCAGCCAGAGACGAAGAGCAAGAGGACGTAAAACCATGCGGCATTCTGTGGCGTCAGATCCGGAGCCTCAACGTATTCGAGGATAGCCTTCAGCAGTAACGTGGGAGCGAATGTGAGAAAGCCAGAGATCGCAGCCCAGCCAGCCTGGATCAGTAGACCGCGTTTGAAGTAGCCCAAAAGGTGGTAGGCCAACTGAGATGTACGCTTTACTTGGCGGTAGTTGGAGATAACTGCTGCTGCCTTGTCCCTGGGCGCAAGGTTCCAGACGTCTGATAGCTCGTATGTCTTTTTGTAACCAACCCAGACGATTGAGTCTACCCAGCTGAACGTCGCTAGCGAGAAAACGCTGGCTGTGGGTTCCCTAGCCGGCAGAATGTCTCCCTCATACTCCAGCTCCACAGCCTTGTTTCCTTTTCGTGACCCTAGCGAGATGAAGAAGAGCAGCGAAGTCAGGGCGAAGTCAGCGACGGCGAGCTTTTGCTGAAGATCGGATTGCGGGTGGATGATTGCCGAGCGGAACAGTAGAGTCGTGAAGAGCCATTGGAAGCCGTAAATGAATGCAGTGTGATACCACAGCTTCGGGAAGGACCATTTGCTCGTGCTAGAAAACAGGAGGCGAAGCGAGGCGAGTGTGGCAATGTACGACCAGACGGCAATGTTTGCGATTGCCGCGATTCTTCCGTGACGACCCCACGCGCCTGTGAAGAAGATGGCGACGTGCACTGCAAGCTGTGCCAGAACGGCAGCCTCTTCAAGCACTACTATGCTAACTTCGCCGCGCGGCTTGTTGACGGCGGTCGTGGACATGGTCTGGCGGCTCATCGTGGGTTGGAGCAGCGCGCTCTGCTCGTTGCGGTCGAATTCATCTTCGGAATCAGTGTCTGCCGCATCGCCATTGTAGTTGGGACTTCGGAAGGACCATACGTGTCGTGGGTCCTCAAGCGCAGAGTATGCGTGGTGGTACGATGTCGCGGTGGCGGCGAAGTATAGCTGTATTAGGAGATAAATGACGGACACGCCGCAAACGAATAGAGGAAACAATGTCGAGAGATAGCTGTGAGACGGTCAGCACGCTGTTCGACCTTGTTGCGAGGCACTGCGCCAGTCGAGCATGCGACTGGAATTCGCCTTGCATTTCACACAAACAACTTCGGCAAGGTGCCATTGTCTGCGCTGGAAATACTCACTCTAATTCGAAGCACCTCGAAAAGTCGTCCGCGCCCCAGATTGGGCCTCTGCAACGGGCGAACATGATGCTCTGCACTCTGTGAACGGCCGGCGGAGGTGTTCGTAGAGACTCCGGCGGCAGCTCCCAAACCCTACACTGGCAACCGGCAGCTATGTATGAACTCGCATTGAAGGAGCTCGGCGGGCGCGTTGGAGAGGATACCCAGAGGGAAACTGCACGGTAAACAAACACTTCTCTGAGTACCTGGGTGATCGCTGTTCGTGGAAAGGTAAGCGTTGCCGACTTTCACTAGCGGAGCAAGAGCCTTTCGCGCTGATGTTCACGTGCCGAATGCAGCGTGATGTAATCTTCAATTCGCCGCCCGTCGTGCCGAAACCGTTGATGCACGGGCTTCGATCTGATTAGATACCGTCTGTCAGATCAGTGAGACGTACGATTGTGGTGATGAAGGTTGAGACAGCTGGGCCTGAGTAACGTTTGTGTAGGAGCGTATTTGATATCGAGCACCGAGTCGTTCACGCCCTTCTGGCTAGGGACCCAGGGACCCACTGGGTGTTCACCGCTCTGAGTCACGAACATGGTAGTGGTTGACCGTTGTGCAGACGCGGCTGCACGAGCGCTTCAGCAATCGTCCATCTCAAGTTAGAAGCCTACCATACGCGCGTAGCTTGCCGTCGATCAATGGTGCGAAGCTTTCCCGCGAGCACGCTATTGAGCAAACACGGTAGACACCAGGGTAAATTGAGTGTGGCAGTCTTGACAATGCAGTTCAAGGAACAAGCTCACCGACTGGACGCGTAACAGCATGTCGCGTATCGTGAGGATTGCAAAGTGTCCAATAGTAATGGCTGCAATATGCTGATTGTGGATCCGGGGTAAGCCAGCATCTGCTCTGAGCGGCGCCGAACATTCACGGCCATCGTAAGAGGAAGCTCGTAGATAACAGTGGATCACGCTGCCGCATAGCTGCCATGCCTCTAACCTTACTTCTCGTGGTGCAGCAGCACGTGTCAGCCGCGCTCGGGTTCATTTCCTCTTGACAGCGTGCAAGCTTGTACTATGTAGGGTGTAACCCTGGAACCATGGGTTTGCTGCTGTGCGCTGCTCATTCTTTGGTCTGCCTCCGCCCTTTTCGCCGACTTGCGCAAGATAGCACGCATCCATGTTTGGCACGCTCAGCAATGATTGTGCAGTGCAACTTGAGCTCACGCACTCGCATACACCGGTCTCACTTTGCACTACACCTTAAAAATTGCGACTCTCATACGATTCCTAACATGTCTGCGCCTTGAGGCTTTCAGAAGGACTCCTGTTATCGTGCATGGTACTAGAATACCTTTTCGTAATCCCTCAGACAACCGGACCGAAAGGAAAATGTAAGTGCATGTCGACTGACAGGTTGGTTATGAAGACCAGATCGGCCTACATTTTTCAATTATCCCTCTGACTAGTCGTGCAAGCGCTAGTGCGCCGTGAGCATGCCAAGGTCTGAGTATATGATGAGTTATTCTGAGTAGCAGCGTATATCCTTCCGGGTTACTTCTTCGAAGTCTGAGCTGCTCTGGGATCGGCCTACACTTTCCAATTGCCCCTTTGAATAGACAAAACGCTTGCGAGCGTCGTAAGTGCTAGTACGTCTGAACGACCTATGAACGGTGAATAACGATGGCTGAGAAACGAGCTATGATTCACGAATGGTGGCAGCGATTCTATCTCGAATGCCACACGGATCTTTTCCTACATCAATTTCCAGATGTGCGTCTGCGAGGGGCTGGGAAGGTGGGTTGATTTGGTGAACGCCCTGGGACCCGTCTTTCTGCTTGTCGCATTCATCTTCTCGTTCTTCCCCATGACGTTTGACACATGACTGTGGGCATGGGCTGCGCTGATACTTGGCGCATGGGCAGTCATGGCTACAGCCAACTATTTCGTAAGCGCGCAGGAGAGCTACATGGCGCCTGTCTTTGTCAAGCAGCACTAGTTAGAGCGTAGGAGATGTTTCAACAGACAACGACGACGAGTTGCCTACTATCGTTCGGAACTGATGCTGAACTTGCCAGCTTTGTCGCGCCCTGCAGGTTCTGTGCCGCACTAGTCTATATATGGTTAGTCTCTTTCCTGTTTGATCCTCCCCATACGACTCCACACAGCTAACATCGAGGTCGACATTTCGGGCAACATGGATTCTCCAGAGACAATGACTACAGCTCGCTAGCCGTGTTATCATTATAGACACTCGTGGAGTATCAAGACATACGCGCAGCTTTGCCGCAACCCGTACAACCAAACTCCTCCACACCCTCTCTGATCATCGTCAGCTCGGACTTGCGTTCACAAGGATAAGGAATCATGGGTCAGCCTCTCACCGAGTCCGAAATTATATTCCCACACCTGTCGAACACTCCAAACTTCTCCACTACCCTGTCGTCGCTCAAACGCTCAGCATTGTCCATCACCAACCGGCTCAACTCTATCACAAGAGACAGCGACTTCGTCGCCAACGTAGCCGCCGCATATGACCTGCCACTTGTCGCAAACGAGCGTTGTGGGAGTTGGTACATCTCACCGCACCTGAAAGTTTCGAGCGTCTACTTCAAGAGCACGGACGGTCACATGGGCGAATGGGCGTTCAGCCTGCGCAGGCTCAACCTGCAGCTCTTAGACGTTGTCAGCCAGCATGGCGGGTGTGTGATTGTTGATTCGACGAGAAGAGGGAAGAGCATGCCTGATGCTCTCAGCAAGACGGTGCCGTTCTGGTGTTGCGTGATGAATAGGGCAATCTTCGGCACCGAGAAGAGGGGAGATGAAGCGTTGAATCTGTTCACTCCTCCGAGCACTGTCTCTGAAAGCGAGAGCACGCAAATGGAGAGAAGGATGAATGGCTTCGTGCAGCAGTTCCTGGTATAACACCCTGCTGCATGAACATAAAGAGACTTCACCAGCTCACCAAAGCGCCAGGATATTTGCAGACCAGACGTTGCAGCGCTCCGATCCAAACTGCAAAAGCCTCTGCGTCCACTCTGGGTAACTCAAGCCTCGACTCTTCCACCCCTCACACCAGACTTCCCCGACTTCCACCCCGTCATTCTCTGCACGGCATCTCGACGCGTCCGCGGCGCCGAAGCATCAGAAGGCGGTTACATCCAAGGCGCAGCCGACGACCACGAGGCATGGTCGCACGGCCTCACCCCAGCGCTATTCTGGAGCAACAAAGACGCTCTCCTGCGGACGAACGAGGAAGATCTGCCGACCAAGATTGCCGCGCTCGTCAGCCAGGACCGAGGAGCTGATGCCGTCCCCACCATGATCATGCCGACCAGCAATCTCCACGTGTCTGCGAGCGAGAAAGTCAATTTCACGTCTTTCGACACGGTGATAAGCTGCACGCCTACACCACTCCCGCAGTCCCTACTGAAAGACGCGCGAGTGAAGGCGTATCTGCATCTCCCGTGCCAGACTGGCAAACTCGGCTCCCGCGACCTGCGCAACCAACTAGCCGCCTTACGGTCCTTGACACCGACCACGTCTGGGAAGACGTTGATATGCTGTCCCACCGGCAAAGATCTCTCTGTTGGAACAGCGCTCGCATACCTGTGTCTATACGTCACGGACGACGGCACGGTGGACCTGGAGAAGCCCCGTGAAGCTCGGGCGATAGACAAGCCCCTGATCAAGCAGCGGCTCAGCTGGATCACAACGAGCAACCCGGCACTGAACCCGAGCCGCGCGACGCTGCAGAGCGTGAACAGCGTGCTGATGTCCAGCGAGGCGGGCAAAAGCACCAAGCTGCCAGAGGTGAGAAATCCAGCTGCTCTCGATGCAGACTGGAAACCGGTCTCTCCATCAACGGCCTCTTCCCCGCAGCACCTCTTCACAACCCTATCAAGCACCCCCTGGGAATTCACACGCACCCTCACCTCCACTCTCCCTGCGCACCCCTCGGGCACCGTAACAGGGCTTGCCGAATTTACACCGCTCTCGCCAAACCCATCGTCCGCAGATCCGTCATCCGTAACCCCGTCCGCAGAGCTGCTGTACACAGAAACCGGCACCTTCACCACCTCCACCGGATTCAGCAGCCCCGTGCGGCGACGCTACGTGTACCAGCTCATCACCCCCCTCTCGGGGTGTGAGTCTGACGCGCCGTTTGTGCGGGTGAGGTTCTTCGATGAGGCGGGGGTGGGGGGTGTGTTTGTCGAGATGGGGGGTTTGAGTTTTGAGGAGAATGTTGACGAGGGCGGTGACGAGGGCGTGCTGAGCGCGAGGAACCGCGCGCCGCATGTTTGCGGCGCGGATGTGTACGCGGCGCGTTGGCGGTTTGCGCGGGGCGTGGTGGGTGCGGAGACTGGAGGGGATGGGGGGGAGATGTGGTGGGAGGTGCGGTGTGATGTGCAAGGGCCGCGGAAGGCGTATGTGAGCACGACGCGGTACACGGGGCCGGGGGAGGGGAGGCAGAGGGGAGCATTGGAGTAGGGTGCGTGAATGGCATCGTGCTGAGTTTGTGTGTCATGGATATGGATATGTGGGTATCGTCATCGCTCTCTCTTGGTCGCTCGGTCATTGCTGGCCCCAGTTCGGATCGTCGTCGACGTCGCCGAGGATCTCGACGCCCTCCTCGTGGAACGAGACCGTCTTGTCCTTGACCCGCTTCTTCTTCTTGCCCCTGCCGTCCTTCTCAGTACCGTCGCGGTCCTCGGTCACGCCCGCTAGTTTCTTCTGGTGCTCGCGCTCTGCCTTGTCTGCAAGCGCCTGATCAATCTGCTCGCGCATGCGGGCCTCCTCCTCGCCGAGATCTCTCTTGATGCGGTCCGCGTCGGCGAAGCTGTCGTCCTGTCGCTGGCTGGCCTCGAGAAACGCGCCCCAGTGGGACGCCAGGGTCGACTCGCCGCGCAGACAGTCGCGGACGAGGTCGGGGTTCTCGCGCTCCTCGCGAGTGAACTTTGTCTTGATGGAGCGCCGCGTCATGCCGGGGAACATGTGCGCGATCATCTGGAAGTCGGTGCCAAAGGAGCGCAGGCCCTGGTAGAACAAGTCCGTCGACTGGGGGTTCCAGCGCTTGCCCTGGCCGGGGAGAACAAAGTCGTTGGGGAAGCGCTTGTTGTTCTTCATGAAGCTGCGGGAGGTGATGCGGGTGGTCAGGTCGTCTTCCTCGGTGATGGTCATGAGTTCGATTTCGCGGTCGGCGTCGCGCTCGCGGTCGATGGTGCCCGAGTCTTGCACGAGCTCGATGCGGCCGTCGACGACGTGGTAGCGCGGGCCGGTGGGGGTTTGTTCGACTTGGCCGGACTCGAGGAGCTTGTCGACGGCGGCCTGGGCTTCTTTGGTGGTGATGTGGCGGGCGTCTTCCTCGCGGCGGCGCTGCTTGACGGCGTCCCAGTCGATTTTGCGCATCTCCCTCTCGCGGCGTGAGAGCTTGCCCACGCGGATGTTGCGCGAGGCGAGGTCGTCCATGCACATTGCGTCCGGGTCGATGACGTGGTCTTCGGCGTCCGAGGGGGTGTCTTCGCGGGGTGGGCGGCCTCGGCGCTTGGGCTCGACGGAGCCGTCCTCGCCTTCGGGTGGTGTTGACTTGTTGCTCTTGGCGCGCGGCTTGCGTTTGGGTTTGGCAGCGGCATCGCTCTCGACCGTCTCGGTCTCGTCCTCGAGCGCCGGCTGTTTGCCCTTGCCCTTCTTAGGTTTCGGCGGCTTCTTTGGTGGTGGCTCCACTGGTTCGCCGTCCTCGCCTATTTCTGGGGGTTCCGCACGACGCCTGCGCCTTGATCTTGCGCTGGGCCGTCTTTGTGTTGGCTCAGCGTCTTCCCCGTCTCCGTTCTCCGGCTGCTCTCCGTCTCCGTTCTCCGACTGCTCTGCGTCTCCATTCTCCGGCTGCTCCCCGTCTCCATTCTCCGGCTGCTCCCCGTCTCCATTCTCCGGCTGCTCCCCGTCTCCATTCTCCGGCTGCTCTCCGTCTCCGTTCTCTGGCTGCTCTCCGTCTTCTGTGACGTCAGCTGCCTTCTTCTTCCCTCGAGGCTTCGGCGCTGCCCGTATCTTCTTCGCAGGCGGGTCAATCGAGCCACTGGCCTCACCGCCGTCCTCGTGTGGGTGGTTGACAGCGGTCCACGCGAGCGTCCGCCGTCTGGGCTTCAGCTGCGCGGGCGCCTCGGCCTCGGCCTCGGTCGGTGGCGTGGGGCCTGCGCTGGCACTGGGCGCTCCAGGCTTGGCAGACGGGGCGGAGGGTGTGACAGCTAGAGGTGCTGGCTGGTGGGGTGCCACTTGGCCAGTGTGTGCGTGCTGCGGGGGAACCATGACGGCCACTGGCACCATGGGCGTGCTCTGTCGCGGGGGCGACTCGATGCGCCGCCGCTTGGGCGACCTCCCGCCCTCGATGTCATGCTGCAATGTCTCGACGGGCTGTGCCGGTGGCTGGGGGGCATCCTGGAACTCTGGCGGTGGCTGCGGCGCTGTGGCTGGTGGGGGGGCAGCGGGCGTGGGCTCTGGCGCGGCGGTGGGCACGAGGGCCTCGGGAGTGACAGCAGGGTGTGAGGGTTCAGTGGGCGCTGTAGACGGTGGGCAGGCGGCGGCGGCGGCAGCTGGTCGTCGGCGTGCGGCCTTGGGCGCAAACTTCTTGCCCGACGTGTTCTTGTTGATGAAAGAACTGAATGTCGCGGGCGCCTGAGTTGCGCTGTCGGCGGCCTGCGCGGGCGGCTGGGTCGCGCTGTCGGCGGCCATGGGCGCGGTGTGCTGTTATGTCGACATGCGAGCGTTTTGTCGACTCGGAGTCTCGCGCAGGCGCGTCCATGGATCGTCGGCGGCGGACCCACCTGCAGCCCGCAGTCGATAGATCACGTGCTAGCGCTGCTCGCGACTTGGCGTCTGTCTTCGTTTTGTCGTCCAAGGCCACTCACTCTCCTCCTCGCTCGCTCTGTCCGGGCTCACACGACACCCCGCCCGCTTGCTCTGCCGGCCCACCGCCCGCCGCCCACCGCCATCCGCCATCCGCCATCCGCCATCCGCCCTCACTCCGCTCATTCATCTCCTGGCCACCAGCTCGAGTAGCGCGCTGCCCCCTGCGCCACTCGCCTGCGTCGCCTGTCCGATGAGGCTCGAGGCCAGAACCGTCGCACCCCCATCGCTTGACCACGTCAAGATGGAGGACCGCAAGAGGCCCAGTGCGCACGACGACTCGGCCCCGCCTGCGAAAAGGCAAGCTGTGACCGTCAACGGTGCTCGCTCGCATCCAGACGCTGACATGCCATGGAAAGATGATATCGAGGTTCGCACCCCCGACCTGGCTCGCACCCTCTGCCTCGGCAGCCCCAGCCCACGCTAATCCCGCATTGATGTGCAGGCCTACCAGAAAGATGCCATCCTGCGCCAGATGCGCGAGTACAAGCGGGAGAAGGCTACCCTCGAGGCCCACCTGCACGAGGTGGAAGCCCGCTCGAGCTATCACGACGACGAGCTGCGGACTATCGATGCATGGTTCGACCAGGTCAGTACACCCGGCCCCATCGACCACATCGGCGCTGACCATGTGCCAGCTTGTTGACGAGATCAAAATCTTGAGTGGGGAGACCCTGTCAGGTGACTCTTCATCTCGAGCCGTCCCTGCCGCGCTCCTGTTTGAAGACAGCGAGACGTTCAGAAGACACCTTTCGAAACGGAAAGAAACAATCCTGTCGTCGCTGTCCGGCCTCTTCGCCAAGTATCCCCCCAGGAGCCCGGATGTTGCTCATCTCGAGCGCCAGTTGTCTGAGCTGCTGGCTGCGCAGAAGCAGCATGTTGCACAGTCCCAGAAGATGATGACGGAGAAGGAGCAGCTCTCCGACCGCCTGGACACTGCCACCCACCGCTATCTGGTAGCCGAGAAGAAGATGGACAGGTTCAAGAGCCAGCAGGTACAGAAACTCGAGCAGTCTGCAGTAGCATCCACAGGAAAGGACGAGACGCCGTCTGCCGGCGTCAAGAAGGAGGCCACCAACGGCACCACCCCAGAACCAGCCGTCACCGAGGAACTGGAGACGGCAAAGGCTCAGGCTGTAGCCGAAGCCTCCAAGCGGAAAGCACAGCTCGACGATGTCGAGAAGGAGAATAGGAGACTGACCGAGGAGCTGTCAGCTCTGAAAGTAAAGCTGACAGGCCTCTCTGACGACGACTACGCCAAGACCGATCTGTTCAAGGCATTGAAGTCTCAGCACGAGGACGTCATCAAGAGGATCAATAACCTGGAGGCAACCAACATTCAACTACGGGAAGAGGCACAGAAGTACCAGGCCGAGCGAACTGCATACCGGATAAAGATCGACGACGAATCGCGGTCCTCGCTGGCTGAGTCTGAGAGCGCCGTGTCACAGGCTGAAGCGAATCTTGCACGCATCCGACACGCGCGAGACGAGCTGATAGCCAGGAACAACACTCTCGAGGCTAGTCACAAGGACAGCGAAGCCTCAAACGCCCAGACCAAGGAGCTCGTGGGTGCTTGCGAGAGCCGTATTGCAGCACTGGAGTCTGAATGCGAACGGCTGCGCCTGCAGATTGCCCAAATCCAACCAGGAGAACGTGTGGAGACGGACGAGTCAAGACCCGAGCAGTCGCCGAGTAAAATCGCCAACCTGGAGAACCAGCTCAGGCTTCTAAGCGGCGAGCTGCCGTCGATGGAGTCTGCTTGGAAAAAGGCGCAGGCGGTCGCAGGAAAGAAGATTGCCGACCTGGCAGCCTGGGAGGAAAACATGGCAAGAGCAAACGCAGACAAGGCCAAGGCCGACCAGAAGTTCTTCGCCGCCATGAAGGCAAAGGGCGAGATGGAGCAGCAGACGCGCATCCTGCGCCTCCAAGCCTCCAAGTCGACCGAGGTCGTCGCGCAGCTGAAGGAAGCCGACTCCCTCAGCCGCTCGCTCGTCGACAAGCTCGAGAAGCAAACGGCCGAGATGCGGTCCCAAATGGACGACCTCTCGGCGACGCACCGCCAGCTCCAGCAGAAAATCGCCGACAACGCGCTCGCCTCGGCAGCCCACAGCGCCCAAGTCGCCGAGCTGAAGAAGCTCGTCGACGCAAAGGACGCCGCGTACCTGGCGGCGCGCCACTCGCAGCGCGAAGCGTGCACGGCCCGCGACGGGCTCGCCGCGCAGGTCGACGGACTCACGGAGCAGATCAAGGTGTGGAAGAAGAAGAGCAAGGGCGAGCAGAGCGTCGAGGCCGCCCTCATGGAGTCGATGCTGCAGTGCCAGATCTGCAAGAGCCGCGTCAAGAACACGTGCATCAAGACGTGCGGCCACCTCTTCTGCCACGACTGCGTCCAGGACCGCCTCACCAACCGCGCCCGCAAGTGCCCCAACTGCGGCAAGGCCTTTGGCAGCAACGACACCATGCGCGTCCATCTGTAGCCCGCCCGCCCGCCCGCCTGCGCGGCTTCTCTTCTTGTACAATACGCAGATTCTTTCCAATGAGCGACGGGTGCGGCGTTTTGGTTTTCGGCATCCCCGCTCGCGGCACCCCCGCTCGCAGCACATCACCAATACCCAGGGGCAGGCGAACGGCGTACGAGATGTGCTGTCATGTTTTATTAGATGTTTGTTTTTTTGGGCGGACAAATGGGCACAACATGGGCTGGGGCGTGGCAGAACAGCGATGGGCTACGAGTCTGCTCCTATTGATGCGAATAATGCAAGCCATGCCAACAGCGTAAGCAACGTCTCATGTGTGGTGATGGTTGAGCATAAAAGAAAACCTGAAAACCGAATTAAGAACATTTTCACCCGACAGAACAAACAACACATCGAGAGCAACGCCAGAAGTCAATCGCAGTACATTCATAGCAAAAGCTCAGCAAAGAAAACAGACCAACACTCAACAAGTTGACACCTCCAGCAGACCCCCTCAAACCATATCTCGAGCCCGCACCGGCAAACGACCAGCACCATCAAGCGTGTAAACCGGCGGCGGATCAGCGACACTGCTGCCAGACGGAGGATCCGACGTCGGTTTGACAATCTCGATCCTAAGCTCCAGGCCGTCATCTCGATTGGCGTCCATGCGCTCCATGCCCGCGCCAGAGAGGTCGTGCACCTTGATCTGGTCGAGCTCGATGTCGTCCGACTTGCGGGCTGCCTTCAGCTTCTTGTCCCGTCGTCGCATCTCGGCGAAGCCCATCAGCGCGTACCACACGAGCGTGCCAGCGATCATGCCGCATGCCATGCCCAGCATCATGCACCGGAAGTAGTAGATGTCGGCGTAGGGTGTGTTGTCGCGGAGGATGGCCTCGACGCGTTCGAGGGTCAAGTGGCGAGGCCTGATACTGGTGTAGGGTGGGATGACCTGTCTTGGTGCGGCTTTGAGTGACGAGGCGTCTCCGGCGTGGAGCGAGGAGGTATTCAGGAAGGCCGGGTTGCGCTTCCAGCCGACTGTGCCGTGTCTTCTGCCGTCGACGACGACCGGTTTCTCGATGTGCCAGCCGCATAGCCAGTCAGCTGTCGCGCGAGACTTGGTGAGGACGTCGAACTCCCTCTCCTCCAGCCACTTGGCCAGCGTGGCGGGATAGAACTTCACGTGGCTCGTCACGATAGTGAAGTTGTACTCTGGCTCGGCTGGGTCGTTGAAGAATACGTAGTTGTATGACGCATAGAAGTAGGTTGTGAACCGTTCTATGCATATGGAAGCCGGGGAGGTAGACGATTGTAGGGCGAGTAGGGAATTGGATGGCCGGGGAGAGCTGGAGACCTCCAGCGCAGACGATAGAGTAGCGAGGATGAAGAGAAAAGCGGTAATACAAGAATGCATGGTTAGTTATGGATGAGTGAGTGGATGCTGGATAATGCAGCGTGCGGCTGTGTGATACTGGAGAGAGAGAGCAGATCAGCGTGGAAAGCGACGTTTTGAGCCTTGCTGGGCGACCGCTCTTGCTCCTTAATTCATAGCAGGTGGCAACGCTGGAGAGGAAGGTGCTTTTGACCCTGGGGAGGACGAACACGTGATCTGTCTGGTAGTTGCAGAGCACCCAAGGTAAGAGCAGATGAGATGATGGAATCAGTCGTTCCTGTGCGCAAATAAACGCCATCCATGCTACGCCAATATTACACACTCTGATAATACACATCACTACTTGACTTCGCCAAGGACGTGCTTGCTGTTCATGGATCCTGGTCCCCAAACGGATAGTTGAACTTCAGCAATGCGTTTAGCCCGCCAACCCAGTGATCCTCGGTCTGCTCGTCCCGCCCACCCGTGGCTCTTACAATACAAGGCACTCCGCCGTGCCACTCGCCCGTCTTCGTCCTCACATCCTCACCCATGACTCTCACCTCCATGCCCGAGCCCAGGCCTTCAGTGACGGTGCTGCCATCAATGCTGACCTCGACCTGCTTGCCCCTGTTCTTCTCGCCGAGCTTCAGCGTGATGGGCGTCTCGGCAGGCAGCACAAGCGGCCTGAACGACAACGATCGCGGACAGATGGGCGTGAGCAGCAGAGATGGGACGAGTGGGTGCACGATGCTGCCGCCGCTGGAGAGACTGTACGCGGTACTGCCGGTGGGCGAGCTGATGATCATGCCGTCGGCGACGGCCTCGGTGAGGAAGCGGTTGTTGATGTAGACGTCGATGATCTTGAGGTGCGGGCTGGAGCCGCGGTGCAGGGTGACTTCGTTCAGGGCGTAGGTGTCTGCCGGGCCGGTTCCGCCGATGCGCGTCCCGTCTGGGGCGAAGATGCCAACCTTGAGGCGGTTGCGCAGCAGGACTCTTGCGCTGCGCTGGACGCCCATGGCTTTCCCGCGGATGTCGGCGTACGAGAGCGGCTTGTCGAGCGGGTCGTCCGGCGACGTGGGAGGAGTGGACGGGCTCGCCCCCAGGGAGTCGGACAGCGTCGAGTACGTGTCGGGCGCACCGCTCATGTACATCTCCCTGAAGGCGCGCTTGTACTCGTTGAACTTCCACTCGCCGAGGAAGCCTATGGTGCCCATGGCGAAGCTCAGCACGGGCGGCACGCTCTCGACGTGGCTGAACAGGCTGCTGGCCCTCAGCAGGGTGCCGTCTCCCCCCAACGTGCAGACCAGGTCGGTTTTATCTGAGAGGGCCTGCACGGCGCCATGGTAGGTGTAGACAGGGAAGCTCAGCTGCTCGTGTATCTCGCCCGCGGACTCGCTGTCCAGAATGACGTTGATGGACGGGTACGTCGAGTGCACGTGCAACGCAAACTCGACGACGGACTCGGTGATGTTGGGCGTGCGCTTCTTCTTCGTAATGAGGATGTTGCGCGGCGGCGACGGCCACTGCAGGCTGAGCAGCGTGTTCGCGGGCGACTGCACGTACGCCGGCTTGATGCGCGCGGGCAGCTCTGAGATGTGCCTGATGTCCAGGCAGGACCACGAGGTGGAGAAGTGCCGCCCGCGCGGTGCCTGGGAGAGCCGCCGCCATGGCAGAACTCGGTGCTGGAGCTTCATGAGCGCCCGGAGACGATATTCACATGGCGACCGGCACCAACTGCCTGTAACGCAGAGGCACCGAATCGACAAAAGTTCCGCGTGTCTGGGCCTTGGCAGGCATCCCGCGTGGCCATCCCTGCAGGGTGGGGCGCTTGGTGTCATTTATCACCATCACATGCAAAGACGGGGATGCCTGCGCGCCGGAAGGAGCCACAAAAGCTCTCTCTTCAGCCTCTTGCGTACCGATCAGGACCAGATGGATACGGCGAGCTGGGCTGACGGCTTCGCACTGATTCTCTCGCGGCTAGCACCTGTACATAGCCCCGAGCCTGCGTGACTACTGCCACTGCCGCAATGTTCATGTGCTCCTCCACCACTCCACACTCATCCGCCCACTCCACCTCAGACCTCAGCACGCCCACGTCCGCCTCCTCCGCACTCGTGCCCTCCGCCATACCCTCAAAACCATAGGGATCGCCCAGTATGGACATCGCACCAGACGCGGGGCCGAGGCAGCGGCAGCGGCATCCGCCTGCATCCGTATCGACCCAAGAGACGCAGCAAAACGACCGCCCTAAGCTGTCTTCACGGCGGTCGTCGAACCACCCGGGCGGAAAAGTCAAGCATGGCGCCTTCATGCAGTTCCTGCGCATGTGTGCCTTTGCTGCCTACTTCAACGGCAGCATCATCGGGTATGCATCGACCTACATCCAGTCGAGAGGTTGACTGACACGCCTCAGCATCTTCGTGACCCAAGCCATCGGCGCTCCGCTCTACCTTTACAGCAAGGACATCTTCTACGCCTGGATGGCCATGACCAAGCAGCACTTCGGCGTCGTCGTGACGACCATGACATACTGGTGGGCGCCCGTCAAGATGCGCATCAGCGGCGACGCCAGCGTGCGCGGCCAACTGCGCAAAACGGCAGACGGGCGCATCGAGACCGATTTTCCGGAGCGCCTCGTGCTGATCTCCAACCACCAGGTTGTTCCCTACCCATCCTCTATGGTGCGTCTACTGACCGAGCCAGATCTACACCGACTGGATCTATCTGTGGTGGATCGCCTACACCTCCAGCATGCACGGGCACCTCTACATCATCCTCAAAGAGAGCATAAAATACATCCCCATCCTCGGCACCGGCATGATGTTCTACGGCTTCATCTTCCTCTCACGCAAATGGGCCACCGACAAGCAGCGCTTCCAGTACCGTCTGAAGAAACTCAGCACCTCGAGCCCGGACGCCATGACGCCCGACAACCCGCGCGGCCTGAACCCAATGTGGCTGCTCATCTTCCCTGAGGGCACGAACCTGAGCGACAACGGCCGCAACGCCTCGGGCAAATGGGCCGCCAAGAACAACATCCCAGACCTTAAGCACGCCCTGCTTCCCCGCTCAACGGGGCTGTCGTACTGTCTCCAGGAACTGCGGGATTCCGTCGACTACATGTACGACTGCACCCTCGCCTACGAAGGCGTGCCCGCGGGCCAGTACGGCCAGGACCTGTTCTCGCTCCGGGGGAGCTATTTCCAAGGCCGTCCGCCGAAGAGCGTCAACATGCACTGGCGGCGTTTCGCCACCAAGGACATCCCCCTCGGCGACGAAAAAGTGTTCGGCGACTGGCTACTCGAGCGGTGGCGGGAGAAAGACGAGCTGCTGCAGTACTACCTGGACCACGGCAGATTCCCCGCCGACGAGGGCGTCGGTGCTGATGCCAAGGGCGAGCAGGTGAAAGGCGCGGGCTGGATCGAGACAGAGGTCAGACCCCGGTTTTGGTGGGAGTTTGCGACTGTTTTCGTCCCGCTCGCTGCGGTGCTCTTGCTGCTGAGAGTGCTTGCGCAGTTGGTAATTATGGTTCTGAGGGTTCTCCGCCTACTGTAGGCGGTCCATCTTGCTGACATACTTAGCGCGCGAGGTTTGGGTAGTAGAAGGCAGGGTTGGATGTGATTGGGAGGATCTGCAAGAGGAAGATGTGCCATGGTAGTAGTCTTGGGTTTTTAGACGCTGGGTAGGATCGTAGATGGCTTTATACCCTAATCGTTCTCCTTAGCGAGACGAGCTGGCTAGCCCGTCACTGCCCTGTCGCTTGATGCGAGTCCAGCACTGGTCCTCCTGTTCTGAACGGTGTCCTTGAGAGGGCGACGCTGCCAGCCTAGCGTGAGATCGGGACTGGTAGAACACCAGGTATTACGTTGGTTTGCAGTCTGTACTGCGGCCGGACTGACATTGGAGAACTGAGCGTGGGCAGAGACGCAGGAGAGGACAGCGGATGCGGCGAGAAAGCTGAAACGGACAGAGGCCAAAGCCACCCACAACAAGGAGACAGCAAGAGAAGAATTGCGCATCCCCGCACACAAATGCGCGCTCAAATCGCCCTCCTCACCCGTAGATCGTAGCTCCTTCCCCATCCTCCGTCATGCTCTAGTACCATCCCACAGCAGGTGTCAGGTGATCCAAGAAGCAAGAGCGAAACCACTATCAAACGAAGATTCCGTTCTAGTTTGCTCTTCCCCTTCTCCACTCCAGAAAGTCGAGCTTTTCATTGCACTCGTCCGCAGTGCGAGGGCGTCCTTTGACGCAGTACGCTGCGCTTAGCCGCCGCTCCGGTAACACAGCCGGGGAACGAGGCTACGAGCGTGGTCACCGTGGTGTGCGTTCTTGCTGTCTGCATCGTTCCTACAGACAGCGGAGCCGTCTGTCCTCAGACCCAGATTAGCGGGTTTTCGGTGCGCGTGTTTAGCAACGACCTGCTCTGAGATGCGAGCGAAGACTGAGCGTACTGTACGTGATTGCGTTCTCACCAGCACCGGGCGAGAAGACGACGGTTGGCTTCTGTAATGCGGCCTTGCCTTGCTCGCTGTGTCGAGAGGCGGGGCTCTGTGGGCGTTCCATCTCGTAAGGCTTTGGAGTGAGGGATTAGCGAAGCGTCGCGTCACTCCGTAGCGAGGCCGTCGTGGGATCAAGGTCCCCCGCTGTGTTGACCCGAGGCACGTGTGTTGTTGGTGTTGGGTGGTAGATGGTCGCTAGTATACATATATTGTTGAAATCTTCGTATCTGGTACTAGCCACACGGATAAAGCAAGATATGAGCGGTTGATTAGCAGTGATTTGAATGAGGTTCCAGTAACGCGAATTGCACAGAGCACATCTCTCAAACCAGACATCCTGGGTCTTCTCTGCTCTTGCATCCCGCAACCCCACCAGCACTATGATGTGTTCAACATGCTCATTACGAAAAGGGTGGGATGTGAATCTCAATCCGGGGCACACGGGGACTGTGTTGATGCAAGTCACCATCCCGTTCATCCAGATTGGTCGGTCGGCAGTGTCACAGCATCTGCGAGTACTTTCCGAATTCAGCACGGAGTCTAGCTACTGGCTCGAGCGATCTGGGTATGCTCTGCTTTCGGTTGTCGCGAGGCGCAGATCCGAACGCAAACACAGATGGCGGAATTATATTGCGCTGTGAAGCAAGGGGCGGCAATATCTTCCATACCCCTGCTTGAGGCTCTGCTCAACGCTGGAGCGGAAACCAAACGGCCATCTTGGCTTTCAAAGGCAGCAAACTGGGGCAGGTCGGGTGTTGTTGCGATTTCGCTAGATCGCGGGTGACTATCGATGAAGGTCCTGAAAACGACGACTTGCAGTTGGATGCGTGGGAGTTGGAGGCCAAAATTGCACCATGTACGGCTGCATGGCGGGGAACTGCAGAGGTGGTGAAGTTTCTGCTTGACCGGAGTGCAGGTGCTGGCGTTAAAGATTCCATCGTTAGTTCTGCGCTGAAGCTCGCGGGAGCAGAAGAGAATAAGGCTTGCATCCATCTCCCAGAGAAGCATATTGGTTCAAGTGTCGATGAGTCGTCGTTCATGTAGCAGCTATCGAGAGCACTATCGGGCCTACAAGAGGACTATTTCTCTGCTGCAGCAGCAAGATCAGCTTCCGCTTGAGGATTGATCCCTATTAATAAACATAAGACGTATGAAATTCTTCTACGGTGGTAGTTGGTGAAAAATATTATTGTTGAGTGTGAGGTTATTTGCACCATGAGGGATGAATTTTTCAAGACATTGTCAGTGATATCACATTTGTAGATTCTGTACAATGTTCCTGTCTGCTAGGGCTCTTTCTTTCCGTATAGTCTCATTGATGATACGCTGCTCAAATATCCTGTCAAATTCGGCACCGCAATCTGTTGTAGACTGGAACCAGTCATCTGTAAGTGTTATTGTGATTCAGTTTTATAAGAAACGAAGCGGTGTTTGTCTTCCGCATTGATTGCAGTTTGAAAGTAGTTATGGATATGATCGTCCATGGTTGGTGAGGGATCCACAGCATCTCAGACGTAGAAAGGCTGGCAGCATCCTGAATCTGACGAATGTTGTAAACCATCTCATATTGAGCTTTCTTGAGACCTAGAACGACTGGATGTGAACAAGTGCAGGCGGAGAAGGTGCGTAGGTTGACAAGGAAACAAGTGTTGAAAGCATAACTTGTTGAAGACAGGAACGCTGTCAAGGTTACAAATTAAAGTCTTGTATTACTTAGATGTTCATGCGGCGAGATAAGAGAGTTGGCAAATCTGAAAGAAGCCTAGAGAGCAGGAAGGCGCATACCAGGCTTCTCTAGACCATACGATAGCCGACGGAAGGGTGGACAGAAGAAGTTGTTTTCAACTTGTCGTGATCAGATGTGATAGTCGGAGTGATGTTTTTACAATGTATCTCAAATTGTCATGTCAACGCGGCGAAAGGTGCGTCCATCACCTTCCTTTCCCAGCTGCATATCCTGACGCCTTTGTTAGGTGAACCTGACTCATACCGCATCAATATATGGGCAAATAAAGACGCAAAATGCATGAAATCTTCTCCAAGAACCAGGTTGATGCCGCAACGGGATTTATTTCGATTTCTAAGATCTTGATTTGTTGACTATATTTGCGTCCGAGAATCGTTCAGGAATCCCAAAACGAATCTACCAGATCTTCAAGTCTCTTAAAGATGAGTGAGCTACTTATGTTCAAACAAAAATAGTGAGCCTTATGAAAGATTGCTGTCCTCATGAAGTGGCCGAGACAAAGAAAGATTCGCGAACCCTTCTTGTGGCTGTACACCCCCACTAAAGGTTCGTACCTAGATACGTTTGGTATTAATTCCATTGAGACGTTCAAGTTGAAAAAAACTGCCCTCGACAACACTCAAATACTTCAACCCAATCACTACCGCTGAACACGGAACCGCGCGTCGCGTAAGATCGTCCATTGTTTCTGCAGAATATTGGAGGACTCTTATAATAGAGGAATCTGACTTGCGCCGACAGTTGAATGCTGGATAATGGTGGATTTCACTTTTGACTGGAAGGAGGCGGAGAAGGGAGGGCGCCCGATGTTGAGTCTGTTTTTAGGAAGTGGCAGAAAACGCAGCGACGAGGTGACTAGATGGTTGCAGCGAACGACTTCGATATCTCATGCATGTCAAGCAGGTTCGGCTGTGATGTATACGAGTGCGGACGGCCTCTCAGCCAGCCTATTTGATTTGTCCGCTTTCGCCGCTCGTAAGCCTACGCCATCACACCCGCGTCATCTCAGCTCTTTCATGGCGGGTGTTGGTCTAGGATACGAGAGGTTTGCAGTGTCTGTGTTTGTATATGTATGAGATGATTGACGTATAAAGTCATATCCACTGCGACCGGCTGATGCTGCCAGCAGTTGCGAGGGCTCAGCGGTACAGTTGAACGTAATTGATGGTTCAGTCAATCCTGTTGACTGGACAGCAGGCCATCACTGTCGAACGTTGAATTCAACGGCTCACTTGATCACAAAATGTGATCATTTCTCGTATCTAGAATACGAATCCTCGTAATATCGAGATCACTGTGGTTACGTTCAAGGTCCGTATAACGAGATTGGAGAGTCGCTATGTTCAAAGTGCCTTGCTTCAAAGCTCGAAATGGATCGATAATTTGGAGCGATGGATATTCTCACTGCACGGCGCTTTTCTAAGTGATCATGGAACGAGACCGAACTGTCTCTCTGTCCTGACTAGGAGCTTTACGTGCAGGATGGCGCTGCCCTTACCAAAATCAGAACACCCTACCAGCCGTGAGTTGGCTTGTTATTGCGAGCGCTGGTCAAACTTTGGTGAAATACTGGTCAGCGGGGACGTCTGCACCGTCTGTGTAGGTCGAAGTTCCCTAGCAGTGGCAAGCTCAAATAGCTTTATTATGAGGCAGACCTGTAGTGAAAGCTCGATGCGGATGATGACCCCAGTATTGATGCGAACGTATGGTGCCTCATAACGACGTGGGCTATGCGCCCTGCGAATTGATGTGGGCTGCTCTCTTGCAAGGCTTGCCATGTGTGGCGGGTGGGAGATCATCTAACGTCGAGCCGGCCTGGCAGTGCAGCATCTCGGCTTGTCGCGGCGCCTGGAAGCCTCATTCTCACGACCTTGTGTCTGAGCTTGTGAATTCACGCTCTCCAGGCGCCTGTGGCCCGCTGCCGCGTAAAGTGATCATCTGTTACAAGGTTCACAAGACGTTGATCTGGACTTTGTAAACCGCAGTGCGCTGTTTTTGGCATACGCAACCGCTTCCCCGCGGATGATTCTACTGTGACCCCAGGTGGCAAAGCACTGAAACGGTGAAACGTTGCTCAGATCGCAGCTTCCGCGCCAGGAGGTATGCATGACGGTCTACCTAGATTCATGTTGTTGACCTCAGAAGAGGTTCGCGTGTCGATGTTAGCTCATGATTAACTTCAACACATAAGAGACGGACTAAATTGCTGCAGCAGGAATAGTCTGGCTCATCTCGCGGGTGATGATCGCGTGCTCGAGCTGAGATGTTGTTCCGACTATCTTGGCACAACGGCCGGCTCCGTGGGTCGGAAATTGGCTGACTGCTCACTTCACGATCCTGTTCAGCAGCGGGCGGATGCTTCCAAGGTGCTGCAGACGAAGCCACGATCGCAAAGAGGCTCAGGTACAAGCTCAACTTTTGGAAGTGTGTTGTAAATCTCGTCGTGGCCTCCGGAAGCCACGACTGGAACCGCCACTGTTACCTTGCGTTGAGAGTAGGCTTCGTTTCTCGTATTCGACGCTCGCACCACGTGGAAAGTTTCCACTTGATCAAGAGGGGAAGTCTACGTGCACTCTGATCAGAGATCGCATGCGGATGCGGATTGCCGGTGGCGTGAAACGGCGCTGGTTGCGTGTGTCGTGCATTAAGGTGACACCAGGTCAACGTCTTCGGATGAGAGCGCAGAGTGAGGCTTGAAGTTAGTTAGCAGACGACAGATAGATCGGAGGCATCGCCGCTGATATCTATAGGTACGTGACTTCTTTCAATGCGCTCCCGACCGGTTTGACTAGACTAGGAATGGATGTGGTTAGTGAAACTGTTGGCTGGCAAGATGTTGTTCACCAGTATAGTGGATCATTATTGTCCCTGAGTCGCACGGCATGGCAAACCGCCAAGTGTGTGCGGAATTCGCGTCGAGGTGCAGATTCTGAAGTCACAGGGTCTCATAAATGCAGGTCCGTGGAAGCAGAACAGTGGTTTCCGTTTGCACAATCGCGGTCCAAATCGGCAGGACATCTCAAATGGCCGTGCTTCACATTAGAGGCATCTACGGCAGTGCTAAACGATCGGTTCTGGCACTAAGCGCTAAGGTACCAGCTTTCGCGCATTCGATCAACATTGGCAGTCAAGTTTGAGAACGTGCTGGCACAAGCTTTCGTCTATGCCATCCCGTAATAGTAGCCCAAGGAGCGACCGTTTGTCGGTTCTGTCATCCGTAGTGAGTATTGATGGGCGTAGCTAGTCCTGAAAAACTATCCACAAACGAAAACTCCACAAAGGGTGCATGAACGGCGAAAGGATGATTCTCGATAGTCATATGACGTGAAACTGCTCTGTTTGGAGACATGTCTGCGAGCTTTATGCATGTTTCCCGGGCCGAAATGCTCTAATCCTCCGCAAGTGCCTTTATTCTCCTGAACATTATTCTGAAATTCTCCGAGCGGTACTGCAACCCTGACGGCAGACGAACTGTACTGCAGTTCTGTTGGTAATCAACAACGATGCCCAGGTTTCTTGTTACGTGGCGTCCGCAATTACGCTTTCAGCTACAGTGCGGCCCGGGCACCCATCGCGACGTGACAAATGGACTGGTCCAGGCCTTTCCGAACCTGAAATAGTTTGTGATTCCTGAGAAGAAGACTGATTTCATAGTGTGCAAAGCAGTGATTACGTGCATACAATTGCTAATGCATGTGGAGAGACTAGAAGAACACCTTTCGCCTCTTCTAAGACTCCATCGGCCGAACTGCCCAAGTGGATGATGATAGACGGCCCTGTCAGATGGATGGCGCAATAATGCACGGAAGATATGGTTATCACATGCTGCTATCTCGATAGCGTAATGTTCATGATGTCCGACACCGCATGACGATGACGATCTGCAGTGTTCGTAAGAGTTGAGATGGGTCTTGCAAGTGGGTCTGGAGATGCGAACAAGGTCGAGCAGATATTCCGGTGCTGCACCAGTAGCAATCTGATACTATTCAATACAGATATTCGGAAAGTGAATAGTGCAGAAACCGGGGAAGGGTCGGGACTGACTCGACCGTTTGGTCGCGCTAATGACGACAGTTCAGAGGGTTGCCTTTGCATCGTGAGGACTGCGGCATGCGCCGAGACTTGTGGTGAAGCAATTGGCGGCGGCCGAGATAATGTGGAATCAGATGTGCGAGACTGATCCATAGCATACAACAAAGTCTTCCAGCCCTTGACAATGTGCATGCCAAAGGCTCACTCTGGAGCCGCGAGCCTGGACAACCACACCACAGACGAAGGGCTGAAGACTTCGACAGTGAATATGGAGTAGCCTATAGACTGGTCAGTTGCGATAGCTGCCGAACGGAAACAAGACTCAATCGGGCCGCATTCGTGACTATTCTACGAGGAGCTACCGCTGTAGGATGGGCGACTTCTGCGCCTGACGTGAAGCAGCAACACTTCGTCGATGCCGTGCCGTCAGAACGATGCCTTTGACAAATCCTGTGCAATACTAGTATCATCGTTGTGCATAACACTTACAATAGCGAGACCGAGGGAACCAGCCGCTGTGTGACGCCTAATGTAGTCGTCAATAGCGTCCGCGGTGCTACACATGAGTCGTCTTGAAACTGTTGTCAAAGTATCTGGTCGCTGGGTTAGCACTGAAGGACTTTGCGGGGAGCTATTGGAAGAAATAATATGCGCACATCAAAGGCAACGAACGAGAATTGACCATAGCCTGGAACAGTGGTCTGTCATCATACGTGTCGTCGTACATGATCAACGCAAGAGGTCAAGTGGTGGGCAACAGGCCGAATGGCCACAGCGGGGAAATGTAGACGAGCAGGAACAGCATCCTTGAGAGTGATCTTCTACCCGAATCGAGTTGAGTACTTACCAGTCAATAGTTTCATGTCAATGGACTTTCAGCGTGAGCACAGATCATGTACTTATATGCGTACCGACCCTATAATTGCTTTGTTAAGAGCCAAGGAGCAACGATACTCCTAGCAATGACGACGCCTGGCGAATGCAAACTCCAGGTCGTGTCGCGCCTCGACTGTGTTAGCACATCCGACCTGTTGGCACCTCTCCGCCTCCCGAGCATCAAACAGAAGTCTATCTCAACGTCCATCTTGACGTCCACATTATCGTTCAAAAGTTGTTATTATTTCGCGGGCATCGTGACACGAATAAGTGTCTAAAGGCCAGAGTTGATCGGATTGAGAAGCGGTCGCTGCTACGACGAACCTGGCTGACATTGGCTTGGGAGGGGCAGGCGAGTAGGCTGATTAACCAAGTTGGGAATCGTTTGCCAGCCGCAAAAGGAAGAGTCTCTCGCTACGGGGGCGGGGATAACCCTGGAAGCACATCCTCGTCCGACTCGCGAGTCAGTGAGGTTTCCGGCCGATACAATCTTTCTTTCTGGCCCAAGCCACAAATCGCAGACTGGCACTAGACCGCTTTTGACGGCATCATGACGGATTGTTATCACTGTCTGCGAGATTTCTGTGCCTGAGCGATTGTCGCAGTTCTAACTCAACTGCTTCTGTATTTTGATGACGACGTTGAAGGCAGACAAAGTGCAGCTCTACCATCCCTGTCGTTCTAATCCTGGCCCCCGATCCTCAACGGCCAAGGATGCTGGGGTGATCAATCGGCCGATCCTGGGACCTGTGCAGCAGACTTGCTTGGTGATGCGGCTGCAGCTCCAGGCACAATCTTCCCATCCACATCATTGTCGCCACTCAAAGACTACAGACAGCCTTGTCAACAACCAAGTCACATCACGCGCTTACCCAACACGATAGGAACTAACCCTATGCGGGTAACTGCTAGGCTCTAACAGATAGTTAACCAAGCCGATCCGAGGTCGCTGGGCCCCATTAAATTGATTGTTGACAACTGTGGTCCCAGACTAATTGGCCTGTCATAGGCCGAGCCTGCATGCACGCTGCTGTGTCGCGAATCGGCCTTGAAATGTTGCTCATGCCCTCAGGGCAGTCCAGGGCCGAATAGAATGGGAGGACTGATGTGCGGGGCCGCTGATCATGTATGGATGGCATCTACCACCATCCATGAACGTGCACACCGCCGCGACTGTGCATTACACAAAGCGTGGTAGCCACATCTGCGCATTTTGGGCAGCAAGATGCGAGTTCCGCGGTATCAACGTTGTTCACGGCTCACATCACGCTGAAAATTGCTCGACAATTTGTATGATAGCCTGCATGTACTAATGACATCGGTACGCCCGAGCTGGATGGCACGTGCCCGCTAGCCGTCTTCGGCGTCTTCTCGATCCAAGATCGATGGCGGCGCATGTAAAGCGCGCGTTCCAGAGCGCGGAACGCTATCGCTGCGCTCAGAACATCGAGAGCATGCAGGCCGCTCGGAAGTTTGTTCAACACAAGACGCTGACGAACGTGGGGAAAGCGTTTCCGCAGCGCAGCAGACGATGGGGTCAACAAGCCGGGAAGTAGATGCGAGCGGGTGAAACATAGCGCATCGTCCCGGCTCCGCGAGTGTTGGCCCTATCGGCGCTGACCGTCGCATCCTATCGCGCTGAAAACAGGCCGCGCTTGTCCGGGAGCGGAATCACATCCCAGCTCGCCATGCTTGTCGTCTTTTCTAATGGGGTGCCTCGTCCCGCGCACATCATTTCCGTGGCTTTCTCCGCATCGCTATGCCTTGACCGTCCGAATCCGAACTCGAAGCCTGGGAGTAGCCACACGGTGCCATACTACGGCCATGTGGTGGGTCACTTTCCGTTTCTCATACACACAGCACGATGTGCACTGCTAGAGCAATTCCCGGATGCAGTGTCACAGCTGGAGGGGTTCAGGGGAGTGCATCGTCTGCGGCCGCCGTCCAGGAACGTGAAGCTTACGCTGTTTTCGTAGTCGTCAAAGCCCGGCGGGCGTGGAATCATGCGTGACTAGCTAGCCGTGTATGGTGCGGTTACGGAAGTGGAGAGCGCATAGGAAGCGTCCCTGAGCTGCGTCGATCGTCTCAAGGGCCAGAACCCATGAACGGGCAGACGGGGCTGGCGGCGAACATCCCCAGCAGAGCTGCCTCATGTTCAAAAAGTCTCTCCTTCATGTGCTAGCAGGGTGCTCAGCAGGGGCGATCGTTACGCTACTTCTCGCCAGCAACTGTCGGCCAGCCCAAGCAGGTAAGGCCTTCCCAAGCCGCAAGAATATAGCGTGGCGTACGCGCAAAGACGGCTGCATTTCCCCTTAAGCACCTCACCACTACGTACAGTGTTCGTTCACTACTGTCGCATCTCGTGCATCCCTCACGCTTCACCTGCCACAAACATTCTCACCTAGTCAGGAAACGTCAGACTCCTCTGACCCTCTTATCCCAGGCTGTCAAGGCTGATAGTAGCGCCTTTTCGCATGGTTCAGGACTATGCCTGCTCGTTAAAGCCGCCGTTCCCGTTGCCACTACTTCTTCCCCTTTCATTATATTTATTACATCGTCAAGGACCCGCCTGCTTGCAAAGTCAGGTAGCCTCGCAATTCGCCGACACCATCATATAACCCACCGACCCAACTTGATCACTCCGTGGCACATCCGCTCCCGCCCCTCTATCCTGTCAACTCTCGGTACGTGCGCTGTCCTACTATCACACCAAGCAGATTGCCCGCCTCATTGAAAAAGTATCTGACTCCCCACCCAGTCTCACTCAATACATTGATTCAAGAAAATCGTCTGGATCAGTCAGTTGAATCATCAACGTTCAACTTCCATCTTATTACCCCGTGTCAAGCTTCCTTACTGTTCGGAACTGCAAGTACTCAAGTCAGACTCTGGTGAGGTCCATTGCTAACTCAACTCAAGCCCTTGATCAATTCAAAAACATCAACATACTAAATGTACCCGGACCCTGCTACTATCTAACCGAACATCGACAGAACCAGCTTATCAGCAATTAAGCTTGACTGGACTAATCCAAGGACGCACTCACATTCTCATTCCTCATGTTGCAAGGAATCAGGGCACCGACATTAACGATGCCACCTTTCGGACACGATATGTCCATTGGTGGGGTATCGAAGGTGGAGAACTATGGTGATAACTGGGCTTGGTCGCAGCAGCCATCCACGTATCAGCCGACGTACACGAGCACGTTCGATCCCTCCATTTACGCGAACACAAACTTCACACCTCATCTGCAGCCGCAATCTCGTCCGCAACTGCGTCATCACTCGATTGCAACGTCCCGTGTTCTCTCTACTGGAACTGCGACGCCCCCACCACCGAGGCATCAGGCTACCGGAAACATGGTCAAAGCGCAACCTGCTTTCAAGCCCACCTGGACAGGGTTCCTCGACACCACTAAAGATGCGATGACAGTTGTAGAGGCCGCATTGCAGGGACGTCTGAACCACATCAGCCGTCGGCCCCACGACAAAGAAAGGGCAGAGATGCTCACCTCTGGAACAGTCCTCGTGTACGAAGAGAACGCGTCTGGCATCAAACGCTGGACCGACGCTGTGCACTGGTCGCCAAGTCGAGTCATGAACAATTGTCTTATCTATCGACAACTGATGCGCGCCCTGAAGCCCGAAGAGAAGAAGACTGCCTTGAACCCATCTTGCGGTACAAAGCGTAAACGCAAGGAGACTGCCGGAACATCGATCACCAAGAATGGTGACAACGTCAACAACTCCGACGACGAGTACGAGAACCCCTCACTTGAGGGGTCTTTCTCGGGCGAGCACGATTCAGCTGGCAAGGTCTATGCCAACTTCGCACAAAACCTTACACCGGATCAACAGCGCCGGTTTTGTGGATCTCTTATCGACAGCTATGAGTTCAAGGAAGGGGGATTGATGAAGAAAACCATCTCGGTCAAATACCAGGGCACACACCACCACGTCATCTCATACTATAGCCTGGAAGATGTTGTAAGTGGCAAGCTCAAGCGGCCGTTCCAGGATCCAAGGCTTGAGCACATACAGGCACGACCAGAGCTGCTTACTGGCTGGAAGGTCAGCTTAGAAGACGAAGAGAGCAAGGACATGCCGCTCATTGCGGGCTACCCTCACCACATACAGCCTAGCCACGTGCAGCACCACGCTATCAGTGCCGTGACACAATCGGTCGGCACACATGGAATGATCCAGAGTCACGGCCCGCCCCACCTGCAAGTGCCAGAGTATTGGCATGGCGGACACGTTCAGCAGTACCCACCGAGCCATCAAAGCCCACACCACTACGCGTCACCTCAGTCAGCAGCAACAAACAGTGCGCCTCGCCACCCATATCAGTATATCACCCAGCAAGCACCGCAAACACAGCAGTACATCCAGCCTCCTTCGCCTCAGCCGTACCCATCGCCTCAATCTTCCAATCAATCCTTCCCCGCGCCGGCGAACCCATCACAGCAATATGCGCAAGCCAGTCGACATTACTCCATCGATCAACAGCAGCCGACGATGGGTTCTCAGTATTCTCCTCAGGTAGCTGCGCCAATCTACGCGGCTTCTCATCATTCACAAAGCACCCCTCCACCATCTGTGCCCCAGTATGCAGTATCCTCGGCACCGAGCTTCGATGTCCAAGTTCCTGTTCCTCAGAGCGCAACCTCCACACAGCCGCCCCCACCTGGCTCAGTTTCGCAGCACGATCCCCAAAGGAGGGCGTCAGCTCCTGTTGCACTTCAGCCGTACACCCAGACATACCACCCAGCACCTCCCCACCCAGCAGCGTACTATGTGGAAGACGCCAAATATCCACCCAACACTCATCACGGCTACTAGGCCTGAGCGCTTTTCTTGTAAACAGGACTTTCCTTGCTGCTCATCATTCTAATTGAAATAACGTAACTCATACGAAGGCAGTCACGGTGGTCATTTCTGGTTGCGATACCCCTTGAGCTCAGCTATGGTTCGCCGAAGGTGAAGTCGGTGCCCTGTTACCATTACGCATTGATTTCTCTAGCACATTGTTCGTCATGCATGTTTGGAGCTGGCAGTTCTCGCACTGCTATTCACTCTAATGACTTCTCCATCTTTACCACTTGTTTGTGTAAGCGGCATGGCTATGGTTTTTATGAAGAGCATCTTTCACAGCGTGCGTCAGCTTGCTTGGCTTCGGCCTTCTTTCGTTCACCTCCGATCATGTTACGAAATGCCTTCATTTGCCTAATTCTTCTGTATAAATATGAGACTTGTACCTACATCATTGCGACATGTTCCTGCACCAGTGGGACGATACTTGCATGCGCATTGCATGCGCGTCGAGCTAGTACATGCCTACCCAATCCTGCGCTATATGCGGCTGCAGTCCTAATATCTCTATATGCCATCCGTGTCTTAATTTAGATAGAGGTGCAGCGCGATAATGTACAGCAAATCTCCGGTCCGTTCTAATTGGCAGTGATTGCCGAGAGATTGGGCTGGAGCGACGGCTTTCGCAGCCTGACGTGAGGTGAGGAGACATGCAGAGCATCAAGGACAGCTCACATCGGTGGTTGCCGATATCCCCACAAAGTCAAATCCTACCGATCTCGAAGACCCAGACCACTGTGACCTTAAAATCTGCTTCTCGGTTGCCGTACTCCAACCCTGTCTTCTCTCTTTGGGCTACATGCGCACCCTAGGAAGCAGATCACCCACCCGGAAGACCAAGCGAATCTGTCTCATAGTCAGTGGAATGGAGTCCTCTAATTTGTGGAATCCAAGGACTGTTGGATAGGGCCGCCCAGCCAGCGCGCGATCATCGTCGACTGGGCTGTCGAAGATCATATGTATGCATCCCTGTCACATCACACCTCACTCCGGTTCCCCTATCGCACCGACTTCTGCGGACTCAGAATCCAGGTACCTCTGAGACACCTCTGCTCATCGTACACAGCAAGCCAAACATTTGTTTCGTCACGGAAGGCTGGTTCATCGGTAGCGGCAAGCGCATTATCGGCAGCAGCGTTGCTGCTGTGCTTTCAGTTGCCGGTTGACGCGCCTGCCAACGTCACCAGAAAATGCCATCTCTCCTCATCGCCCCTCGCAGCACATGCAGACTCAAGTTTCCCGGATGACATGATGATAGATAACAGCAATGCGCCACTGACCGCAATCCCTCGAGACGTTGAGCGCTAGATTCCCTGCTTCGACGTTGCTTGCTAACGTTATCTTAAGGATCTGCGGGAGTTCCTCCGCACTCCCGCGTGCCGCACCGGCTGCGTACAGCCTATAGTAACGGCATAATTGCATTTTTGGCCCTCCAAAAATCCCTTGCTTGAACAGACAATCTTTTCTCACCGCCGCTCCGAGTCGTGTTGGACGCTATTAGTGAGTGCCGTGGCGCCTGGTGTGTCAAGGTCAAGGGCAGCACCGAAAAGTCATGGGCAGTAACGAAAAAGTCATGGACGATCACCAATCACCGTCTTTTCAGTGGTCTCCTCCGATGGCTCCGATGCTCCAGCCACACACGTTGTCACACCTTGCGCTCTGACATCCCAAATGTCGGACCCTGACCAGGAACGAGTGTAGTCGCCCCGCCGCACTCCGCGTCTGTGGGCCCCTCTCCGATTTCTGTAGCGATGTAGCGTTCAGGTAATTCGTTTAGTCGCACATGGATGCAATCCTTCCAGTGCACAGCTCCGTTGCGTCCTTATGCGAACGCGAAAGCGCTTCGTCAACATATCAAAATCAGGAGCACTCCTCGGCCGACACCGGCACCACGATCTTGCACTTTGACTCTGGCCGTGCAATGGAAATACCTCAGATGCTGTAAATCTCCCCTTCTCCAATATAGTTGACACTGGTCCGCTAACAGCGGCTCTTTCATCACGAGCATCGCCGCGGAGGACTACTACCTTCATCACAGATACTTGTGCAGAGCTTGATACCGCTCGAACGACCAAAGAGACAATTGCGGTATCGGGAACAACTACAGTCCCATGATATGCGGACGATCACTCACGTCAGCCGCGGACTGGTCAAGTTTGCCCCTTCAAGATCCTGCACGCTGCGCAGCAACGTAAACACGTCTCATGTCGAGAACGATGGTGTCAATATACTTTAGAGTAGCTGATGCAAAGTGACCACTACAGAAATTCTAGTATAACTCGACGTCGCACAAACTACCAGTGAGTGCGGCAGTCACGGTCATGGCTGCCACGGCCTTTTGACCGAGAGTTTCCTGAACACGGCGCCCTCCTTCTGCTCGGGTTATACCGCGAAGTCTTTGAGACTCACACCATCCTCTCCCAACAAGCTCTCCACCTTGGAATCCTTCTTATCCTTGCCCTTCGGTGAGTAAGTGGCCGCCATGTCACTGCCGGGCCTGGCAGTGTCCTGTGTTTTTGGGACTACGTCGAGGGCCTTCTCCAATGCAAATGGATCACCATCGGTCGAGACAGATGTGTTGTCCTCCTGCTCGCGAGTGCGCCTGTTAATCTCTTGCAGTGTTTTCGTGGATGGACCTGGTCCTTGGTTCTGCGGTTCAGGAAGTTCGGTCAGAGCAGGTGGTGTCAGTGAATGATTCGACAAGGCGGTTGCCTCTTCAGCCGGCGGTGGTGTGCCTGGCAGACTCCGTTCCTCCTGGTACTCCCACCGTATTCTCTTGATCAACTCGAATGGGTCACGCTCTCTAAAGGAAGGGTCAACTTCCAGCGAATTCTCAAGTTCCTCACACTCTCGGTCGATACCTGTCCTCCACCTGTGTCTTCGCATCTCACACCATTTCCTGCTATATTCGGGCACGCTCTGGCCTATTCTGACAAGCTCTATGCGTGCCTTGTAGGCCTTTTGACTCGTCTTCAGCTTGGCGAGGTCTCGCTCTAACTCCAACGCATCAGCTTTGGCTTTGGACGCTGTCTCGATATCGCCGAGACTCAGCCGCTTGTCACAGCTGGCCGCGATAAGTGCTGTCAGCGCAGCGTCCCTGTTGGCGCGGTACAGATTGACCCGTTGTCTGACAGCTTCGGAGTGCTGCCTGAAGACTTTGTCGTTGATCAGTCTGTCCATGATTTCTGTGTCACCAGGAGCGCTTTCCACTAAGAATCTGGTAATGGTACGAGACAGACCATGCTGCCCTTTCTTGGTATCCAGCGTGCTTTCGATGCTACCGACTTCGTTGAGCGCATTTCTCAACAGTCCCTCGTTTGAGACTGCAGTCACTGCAATGTACACTTGACCAGGCGAAGACGATTCGTGTCCCCAGGCCGACACGCTAACCAAATTATCGAAGGTCGGCCCATCTTGCACTCCCGGTGCGGTCGATCTCCCCATAATGAGCTTTGGAATCGTATGTTCTAACCTCTGAAGCCGCTGTCTCTTGTCTTCACAAGGGAGCTCGGGATCCGCCCTCGTGGTCTCTATCGCCTCGCACAGGAAGCACTTGTCATGCCGTGCCGAGACTTGTTTGCCAAAGCGCGCTTCTCCGAAACTCGCAACTTTCTCTTGCTTTGGCTTTGCTGCGGGCACAAAGTCGCGCCATCCAGTGACGAAGTCCGGTAAGGGCGGTGCTCCTTCATCAGAACGTGAGGCAAGCCATTTGCGCCAAGCCTTGTGGGACTCTTCCCGCTCAGCGCTCGTGGACTTGTAGCGCTGCCTGAGGTCTGCTATTACCTTGGCAGCCGCTTCGGCTTCGAGAGCGGCCTTGCGTTCGGCTTCATCTAAGTCACTTGTTAGAGTGTTTTGTCTCGCCGTTGGGGCGGAGAGTGCGGCTTGTTACCTCGTATTCTGAGGAGAGACTTGTTCAAGTGCCACGCCTGGATGGTTCGGGTATTACCGCGCACGGCGAAACGGTCTTCGTCTGCCATTGTAGGGGCTGTACCGATGGCTTTGTCGAGCATCTGTTGGTGGGTGTCCAGCCTGTTGTTTGCCCTTCAGTGCGGCATAAACGTTGTAGAAAGACTCAAGAGGGTTTGCTAAACCTAAAGTCTTTTGAATTTCTCTTTCTCTTTCGGTGAATCGCTTGGGAATGTGCGTCGAAGGGTAAGGGTCTTGCAAAAGAGGGCACCCTATCACCGTCGGCAGGGGTTCTATACAATGCGTCGTGAATCACCAAATACCACCGGGGTAAGATTAGGCTCCCCACATATATTGCGTGCAGGGGAGGATTGGGGATCTATAGTTAACGTCATTGGTTGTTCATTGCTGGCGACAAAGTCCAGTCTCGTTCTCCAAACGACTACAAACGACCCTTTACTACCAACGAAATTCACAGAGAAACGCTGAGGCACTTCAGGGTATCCAGAGATTTACGTACAAGAAGAAAAAGCCGTCATGTATTTCCTCACAAGACCACGCTGTCTGCGCTTCCGATGGGACCGTATGCATCATCATCGCTCTCACCGTCGCCATCAACATCACTTCGCCCCTGAGTTCCAGCCTCTTCGTCACTCTCAGAACGCACCTTGGCTTCTGCCAAATATCCTAGGACCATGGAGGTGGCGTAAGAGTCGAACTCTATCTCCTGGGCATCAGGATCTTTGGCAGAAGCCGAGGACTCGAGAGAGGACAGACTAGGGAGGAGCTCAGAGGGTGTCGGGGAAGTGCGGCGCGGCGGGAAGAGGGCCTGCAGGCTTTCAGAGGACGATTGCGAGGAGGCTCGGGCGAGGTGGATCCGAAGACGAATGCCGACTGCGAAACTGGTCTCGCGTCGAATCCTTACGGTATCTACGGCACCCTGCCGCTTTCAGGCATAGCGAACTGGAAGGCTGGTGGAGACGCCTTGAGGTCTCCAGTGCTGACGGCGGGCGCCGTGACCTCTTCAATAGGTGCCGACAGAGCCGCACCGTACTACTGAGCGACTTCTGCAGGCGGCGATGAGGGTGCTCGGAAGTCTTCAGAAGTTGCAGTATCGTCGAGCGAGACGATCTCGCCGGTGCTGTTGGTTTCGCCGTTGGCTGCGTTGTCCTCCTCAATGTTACTGTATTGAGGTGCTTCGATGTCCAGCAAATGCTCGCATTCGAACACACGGCCTTCGAGTCTTCTGACACTCTTGTTGTCTTGTCTGAACCAGCGGTTGTGCTTCTCGAGCTCATCTTCATCCCGTTTCAGCCAGCGCCCATGGTCCAAGATGTCCCGGATGGCCGAGTCTAGCTTACCCTACATCTCAGATACGTCCCCTTGGAGCTTTTCGATGGCATCAATCGCTATGTTCAATTTGATTTGCTCGTCAGGGGTGATTGTGCGAAGCTCTTCCATGTGCTTGTTGAGGCTATCCAGATCGGTAGGGACATGCGCCAAGTGCTTGAAGTCATCCGTGTGTTGATGGACGTCGACTTCGAGTGCCTTGGTAAGGCTCTGGAGTTCTTCAATTTGTGCGGGAACGCTTGCTTGTTTGTTTACCGACATCGCGATGCATTCTATCTGACCATGTAGTTCTGCAATCTTCGCGTCAATTTTCTTCTGGACTTCAACGACTGGCTCTCCATCATCCTTGACTTCTTACTCCATGAGAACGTTCACTGATGTATCAAGGCCGGAGAGCTTGGTGGTAATTTGCTGAAGCTTGCTTTGAATCGCGGGGATGGTAGCTGCGACAATCTGCTGCTGTCTGTTTAAACCGATGAACGACTCGAAGTCGGCTTTCAGCTTATTTATTGTGGCCAAAGCCTCGTTGAGACGTGAACTTTGGACGTCGTATTCGTCTTGCAACTTGGACAAGTGCTCGGTGTTATTGCCTGTGTGCGCCAGGGTGGCTGGAGTCGTGACGGGGACCGTGATAGAATCTTCCTGCTGTTTCATTGCGGAGTTGAGTTGATGAGTCTCATGCTACATCCTGGTTTGTATATCCGCGCGACCTTGGTCGGGAGCTTGACGAACTCTTTAGAGAGGTCCTTGATAGCGCCTACTTGCTCTAGCACTCTGCCGTTCAAATCCTCCAAACGACCATCATAGGTGAGAAGCGTCAAGCGCGCACTTGCGAGTCTCTGAACGGTCGCAGGCGATGTCTTGACGGAGTTCGGCAAGAATCTCTGCGCGCATTGACTCTCGGATAGAGTTGAGTTGAGCTTGGGGCGGTACCACCACATTGTTCGTGGCATCCTCCTTTTTGGCAGTGGATAACTGGGCAGTAACAGCGGCGAGCTCACTCTTTAGAGTAGTGAGGTCAGCCTTATATGTCTGTTGATTGTTGACGATGGCCTCGAGCTTGGCAAAGCGTTTGAGCATACCAGTCTTCTCAGCATGCGATGCGTCTTTGCCTTGAGTGAGCACGCTGATCGTGTTGGCCTGACTACTGACTTTAGACTCGAGCTGGTCGATGCGTTGCTTCGTCGCAGTGTCTAGCCCCTCGACGTGATTTCTCACCTTGTTGGACAGCCAGACCATCCATTTGTCGTGATCCTTGATTCGCTTTCTTAAGTCACGCCATTGACCTTTAGTGATGGAACTCAGGAAAACCACGGCGAGACCTTCCTGAATAGCTTTGCCGACGGCATCTTTGTTCGCACGCGTGACGGCATTGATGATGGCCGTGCGGAGAGGTGCATCAAGCTTGCCCTTGAGCCTCGAAGTCAGAGTGAATACACGGTCTTCGACACGCGTCACAGACTCTTCATATATGTAGTGTCTCATTTTGACGCGAGATAGCTCTTCTTTGAGCTGGGAGAGTTCGGTGCGAGAACCGGTAGAGCCAGTAGCGAGAGCATGCTCTTGACTCATGTATTAAAGCTTGCTCGTGATGATCTGATAGAGTGCGTGGTCTGGGTCCGAAATAGCATCAACAATATCTATGAAGCTGAGCGCCTGCTCAACGCACGCTTGAACCCATACAAGTAATGCGAAGATCATCGAATAGACCTCGAAAGACGGGTGCTGATAATTGTAGACGACAAAGCGTAGACGGAGTGAACCGGGAGTGAATTGTTGCGGGCGCAGGCCAATCCGACAGTGTGTGCGGTGTCGGAAAGGCTTTGTTGTGGGTGGAAGACAAACGGAAGGCGCACGTAGGTATGGCTTGGCACGACGGTAAAGTGAAGACAAAGACAGTGGAGCCTGGTATGCGACAACGCTACGAGATGTTTTCACTCGCCATCTTAAAACATCGAGATGAATGCCCCAAGAGATGATGGTGAAAAAAGATGCGCAGTGCATGAAGCTTGAAGCGTAAACCGCAAAGTCGAACTACATAGCGCAGCCAGCTGCATCATCTCCTGTGCCCACGAAATATAGAGTCTGGAAATGAAGTTTTCACCCAAAATTTTAAGACAAAACGTGTAAGCCCGCCACGAGACGTACGCAAAACGCACCACGTAAAATACCGCTCAGGCCATGGCCAGCACCAACAAACAAAACAACCCCAAGAGTCAGTCCAGATCCAGCACCCATTACAACACCACCTGTACACCAGCCTTCAAATCGAAAGAACAATCACCCGCCAGCATCAGACCCTATTCGAAGCCCCCTACACACCCCTCCGGTCTCAGACCCAAGCCACCGCGCCATCCATACCTCTCCCACACCAGCAATCCGCAAATGCCATCTAACTCAGCCCGGGTATGACAATCAACAGCCACTCAGACCTGCCGAACAGTGCACATCACGCCATACGTCACTCAAGACGAAGCTAGACAGGGAACCGGCGAGATACGGGGTGGTGGACGATGGGCGATGGACAGATAGAGACAGTGAGAAGTGAGAATTGAGAAGTGGGAAGGGAGAAGTGAACTACACGGATTTGAAAGGTGTGAGGCGCGTGATCGATGGTGATGGTGTGGGATGAGTAAATGAGAGGGTGCGCGGGAGCTGTGGGTGGGTTGATGACAGCTGGAGGGGGGATGAGTATGAAGAATATCTGGTAGTAGCCCGATGGCCCAGAGGCGCAAGACAGGAAACGGTGCACACGCAGGCGCCATGCAGCAAGAGCCCAGATCAATAAATTCCGCTCTGCCATGTCTATATGCTGACCTTCCCATCCCGCAGTGCCTGCAGATCCTCCAGCGTGAACCTGACGTAGCGATCCGCCCCCGGTTTCGCCCAGAGCACCACATCGCCCTGCCCACCCGGCACCTTCTCGCCATACTTGTCGATCTCAATGCCCTCCAGTCGCAGTGGGCCCTTGTTCTGCTTCTGGTTATCCGTATTACTCCCGCTCTGCACCAGCCGCAGGAACACCGGCACCGCGTAGCGCGGCAGCTTGCTACGCGCATACGCCAGCAACGCCTTCCAGTCGAACGTCTCAGCGCCGACGCCGTCGGCGAGTCGAAGCGCTACGCAGCCAGCGCGCCCGTCGTGCCGCGGCACCAGCGTGCCGTACACGATCGCCTCGCCCACGCCCGGGTATTTCCCGAGTGCCTCTGCGACTTCGGCTGTGGAGACGTTTTCGCTCTTCCAGCGGTACGTGTCGCCCAATCTGTCCACGAAGAACCAACGACCATCCTCATCGCGGCGCAGCGCGTCACCGGAGCGGTAGTACAGGTCGCCCTTCTTGAACACATCGCGTTCGAACTTCTTCGCTGTCGCAGACGGGTTGTTGTAGTATCCCGCGAACGCGTCTGTGCTGGGGACGCCGACGAGGATCTCGCCGCCCTCGTCGTACGTGTTGCGCTTGACGAAGCCAGTGCGTGGGTCGCGCACGAGGTCTCCCGTTTCCGCGTTGACGGAGACGGGGACGTATACATTCTTCAGCGCCTGGCGGATAATTGCGCCGTGGTGGCCCACCGAGGTTTCGGCGAAGGGGCCCTTGGAGTGGACTACCATGGCCAGCACGCCCTCGGTCGAGTTGAAGAACTCGATGACCTCGGGCACGTTGAAGCGCTGCTTGAAACGCGTCCACACGTCGGGTCGCAAGCCGTTGCCGTACATGCCGCGCAGGCGGTGGTCGCGCTCGCGCGGGTGCGGTGGCGCCATGAGCAGGTACCGCGCCGCTTCGCCCACGTACACAAAAATGGAGGCCTGTGAGTCGTGGATGTCGTCCCAGAACCCGCTGGTGCTGAATTTCTTGCCGATGGCGACGGACATACCGCCTGTGAGGGCGGCCATGGTGGCTAGTCCGCCCGTGCCGTGGAAGAGCGGCATGCAGCAGTACCAGCGGTCACCGCCTGGGCCAGCGGTTTGGTCGAATGGGAGTGTGCCCGGGTTGCTGCGCTCGTGGTAGCGGCTGACCAAAAATTTGCCTGCTTTGGGGAGCCCCGTGGTGCCCGAGGTGTAGAGTAGACAGGCTGGGTCGAAGCCAGAGACGTGCTCGCGATGGTCGTCACCGGGCACGTCTGTGCGGCCCGAGTAGATTTTCTCGAGCAGCGAGGCGTTGACAGTGAAGGGCGTGACGCCCAGCTCATCGACTTTGGCCCCTGCTTCTTCAAAGCGCTCGGCGCACTCGGGATCCGCGTCGACCAGCACGAGCTTCACGTTCGCGATTTTGAGACAGTGGATCATCGCGTCACCGCGCAGATTGTAGTTCAGCATCGCCGGCGCGCAGCCGATGCACCACAGGCCCAGCCAGATGACGATGAAGTCAGCCGAGTTTGTGAGGTACGTAGCCACCATGTCGCCGGGCTTGACGCCCTGCTCGAGGAAAAAGTGCGCCCACTGCACGGCTTTGTCGTGGACCTCTTGCCATGTGTACGTCTTCTCACGGGACCAGATGCAGAGGTCGTTTGCGTATTTTGGGACGTGGGGAATGAACGAGTACCAGAGGCATTGGCGTTTTGTTCGTACTGTGCAGAGTCAGCGGAGGAGTAGGCGATGGCGTTAAGGATAGGCGACGTCAAGGAGCCGTAGTGAAGGCAGGTCTCGTGCGCGTGGTCTCCCTAACCAAAGCAACATACCAAGCTCCTTATAATGTCTCTCAGCGCCCTTCATATACCGCAACGCCGTGATATCCTGCTTAATATGATACTTAGCATTGATCCATGCCGCCAGTCCGCTAATCGCAGCCACCGAGGCCGCAGTCGCAGCGGCCGTCATTATTGTTCGTGGAAGAGGCGCTTCAGCTTTTGGAGATGCTGCGTTGGTGGACGGGTGTAGTTAGGAGATGTAGATGGTAAAACGCTGCAAGGCAAGAATGAAGAAACCAGTCTCAATGATCCGGGCACGAAAAGTACAAGACAGTAAATCGTAGAAGACAGAAAAAGGAACACGACAGCACCGAAAGACGTCAAAAGGAGAGCCGACGCAGCGACCGCCTGCAGCGCACCTAGTCCCCCCGAAAGCTAAAAGATGCCGAGGTCGAGTCGTACGCGCTAATTTGCGTATGCGGGGATGCGCGCGCCGATCGTGGCGTCTGGGGAGCGGGTAAAGTGTTCCCGAGGCCGCTCGGTAACGGATAGGCTGTCCAACCTCGACGCCACCCCCTTTGGGGGATGCATCGAGGACTACAGCTGGGCGAGTGCTGTGGGTTGTGTTCTTGACACGGTAGGGTCAGGTTTGGATTGATGTAATTCTGGCAACGGGTGTGGGTGTGTGAATGCGCTGCACTTGTGTACACTGAGCAGCTTTTGATCTCTACAAAGGTTGCAGGTATATCCCGGCACCTCTTCATCCCTTACAGCTCCTTCGCGACAGCCTTCTTGGGCTTCTTACCAGTGTTCTCCGTACCCGGCGGTACCTTCAGCGCACCGAAAACAAGGGCGGCTACAGCAACCATGCCTGCCGCGCCAGTTGCGTAGGCGGTCTCGCGGCCTGCCCACCAGTACAGCGAGCAGAAGATGAGGGGCCCGAGGGCACGACCAACTTGTCCTGCGAGATGTTAGTTCGAAGTTGATGTCAAGGGCCATGAACTACTCACCGAAACTCCGGTGATTTCCTAGCTTGTTTCCTCTCTCGCCTGCGCTCGCCTCGAAACTGCTCAGACTATTCAGGCCTGTGACTACTGTCGCGCTTGTCACCGCGAGCAATGCCGCAGCGCCGTATAGACCGCCTTGGGTCTGTACGCGGCCGAGCAGGACGAATGCGATTGTGCAGGCGACAACGCCCATCTGCACGACTTTCAGCGGGTGCATGCGCCTGACAACCGAGCCCTGGAGCAACGACGCGATGAGTCCGATGAAGCCGAGGAGGCGACCGGTGTCTTTGGCTTCGTAGGAGAAGAGGTCGTATGTCATGAACGGCAGGCTGAACTCCATGCCGCTGAAGAACAGAATAAAGAAGAAGTGCGTGGCGTTGAGGAGGGTGTGCGAGTTTGTCCGCACCTGCGGTTTGTGAGCCTCCTTTGCGTGGCCGTTGGCTTTGCCGTTCGCAGCGGGAGCGGGCGCCGAAGGGAGGGTCTCGGGGAGGCAGCAGTAGAGGTAGACGGTTTCTGTGACGACCAAGAACAGGGAGAAGCCCGCAGCCATGGCGAAGGGGTTCTTGGCCATGACGTGCAGAGTCGAGAGATATGCGCCCAGGGCAGGCCCGAACGTGAAGGCGATGCTGAAGCACACTCCAACGAGCGCCATGGTAGCGCCACGCTGGCTCTCGTCGCTGATGTCTGTCGCGATTGCCATGGCGAGCTGCACATTGCCCTCGCTCAGCCCTCCAACGACGCGACTCGCGAGGAACGTGCGGAAGTCAGTGGCGGCGACCCAGAGCGCGACGCTGAGCACATTGCCCACCATGGACCACAGCAGCGCCGTTCGCCGTCCATACTTGTCCGAGAGCGTGCCAATCACCGGCGAAGCAACGGCCTGGCACAGCGAGAAGAGCGAGCCGAGGGCTCCACCGAGCAGGACAATGTCGTAGCGCGAGATGATGGGTTTCGCAAACGCGTTCTTGTACGCGTTGAGGCCAGCGAGGATCTTGGAGAGGACCGTGTTCGGGTCGCCGGTCTCGTGGTTGCGGTAGAACTCGAGGAGCTTGGGGAAGAGCGGGAGGATGAACGTGAACGAGATCTGGCGCACTTGTTAGCGAGCATCGAGTGACACAAAGCACATGACGTACCAGATCAAGCAGCAGCGAGATGAACAACACCTTCAACACTCTCTTGCGCAGCGCTGGAGACACTGGAGCGGCGTCTGCTCCCATCTTGAAAATAAGCTTGCGTGTCCGATGCGAGGGGACTAAGAAGTTGACAGCGTGGAGGGCAGCCGGGTGAAGTACTATCCACTGCAATATCGAGCGAGAAGGGGAAATACAGAAGCAGCTGCGTAAAGCACTACCCACTGCAATATTGAGCGGGAGAGGGAGATACAGAAGCAGCTGCGTAAAGTACTATCCAATACGAAGTACGATATCGAGAGGAAAGAGGGAAACACAGACGCAGCCTCAAAGATCCCAAGCAGGCACAAGTGTCAAAGTAGGTACACCGTCGAGCAAGCGGCGAGCCATCAAAGTGTGTCAGGTCATGACGCAAGTGGAACCGCGGCGAGCCCGCGAGCTGATGGCCATGAAACGAGGGTGGAGAGCCAATGATCGCCACGGCTGTTTGCGGCTGTCAGGCACCACTTCGCATGTTTCAAGACGCTCGTTTTCGCCGACACGAGGCAGCTAGGTAAGGCAGATGCACCGAACGTGCTCAGGGCTATTGTTATGAGCATCGGAAAGGACGGGCGAGTGTGCTCCGAGCCCGTTCGCAGTACATATCTACAAAGTGATGCACGCGACTCGTTCGTGATTGCAGGGCGGGTGGAGCCGAGGCAATAGATCCTCAGATCCCCGCCGTCTATCGAATCATAACGCCGACCATGTCAGCTGTAAGTAGCAGCCAGCCCTGACTATCGAATGCAGTTCTGAGTGCGAAGCCCGTGTAGTCACAATTGCATTGTGGCGATTTTGAGGAACCATGAGCGCGGACGAAGGCAAAAGGAGAGCCAGAGCGGCCGTCCAGGCCATGTTTGACAGGTACAAGCTGCTGGCTTCGAAGCGGCCCGAGGATCACGTTGTAAGTGTTCAAATTTGGTATCAAAGTCGGTCAATGCTGATTGTTTCAGGACTTCGACAATGTGGTCATGAATAACATGAAGCTGGTGGATGCTGGACCCGAAGGCTCTGTCGAGTATGAGCTCTACATGGCACCGGGCTTCTCCAACCTGAACAGTAAGGTCTATGACTTTGCATCGATCATTGAACCTGTCTGATTCGCGTCAGATGTCATGCACGGCGGCGCAGCTGGAGTCATCTTCGACATGTCAACCACGACTGCCCTGTGCCCTCTTGCGCGTCCAGGATTCTGGGAGTTCATGGGCGGCGTGACGCGCACACTCAACATCTCATACCTGAAAGCGGTACCGATAGGAGTAACAGTACGACTGGTCAGCAGGGTAGTGAGCGTGGGAAAACAGATGGCCATGATCAGGGGTGAGATGACAAGTCTCGATGGAAAGATTACCTATTGCTCAGTCGAGCACCACAAGGTCAACGTCCCTGTGCTGTCAGATCACGTGAGCGTGAGGATACCCTGGGACGATGAGTTTGAGAAGGAGCATGGGGTTGTGAAGAGCAAGACAGAGATAGGCTTGAAGAGCAAGATATAGTCCAAGACGGTCTTCTGGCCCTGAGGCACCTGCGTGTGTGGATGATCGATATGATTGTATTTCTGAGACTCGCACATCTGCCGCGTGCCAATTCCGGATAAACGGCGTCTATTGCTCTCTTGTACAGTATACATACAGCGTCCCATGGTGGGTATCTCGTGGCGGACGTCGGCCTATCTCCTCTTGTTGTACTTTTTCGATTCTGCGGCTTGTCAGCGGCCGATCCTGATACTTGGGTCTTCACAAACATACCAGCAGCCGTCCTCTTCTTCTTCGGCACTGCCTTGCCGCGCGACCTCGCCACGTTGAGGTGCTCAAGCCAGTCCTCCTCGGCGTCATCTTGAAGCTCATGCTGGGGATACAGCGACCGCAGCTGAGCAATGGTGCCTATCCTCGGCGGGTAGTACGAGGCGACCGCGGCACCCTTGAGGCGCCGATGCATGATGTGGGAGCCAATGCGGACGCGCTCGGGGTTGTAGGTGGTGTTGAAGACGCGGCAGGACGCCTGTGAGGGTTAGAACTGCGTCCGTCTGGATTTCACAACGCTGCTTGCCTTCATCAGGTCCAGTACTCTTGCCCGTGGGACCGCCATCGTTGCGCAGAGCGTGTTGCCCTTGGTGGTGTTGCCGACTGGGATTCATCGAAGATTTGGCTTGGCGCGCTAGAAATTGCGGATCGCCGAACGATGTCATCAGATGCAATGATTTCTGCAGCTGCACTCACCACACCCAACCACGTCCAACATGTCGCAGAAGCGGGGTGGCTCGTTCAACCACTGCGACAACCGCGACCGCTTCGACAAGCGCAGCCGCCCGAACCAGAGCCCGTACAACTCGGGACACGGCAGCCAAAGCAACCGTGATCAGCGATACGGGCACCCGCAGCAGCGCAATAGCAATGGCATCCAGCAGCCCCGCGCCGGCCAGGCCGCGGGCTTCACGGGCGAGCTGTCCCGAGACGACATGCACACAGGGCTCGTAGCGCTGCTCGACCGCTTTGTCGCAGAGGAGACAAGGCCCGACGCCGATCGAGACATTCTCTACCACGCCAGCCAGCTGCGGCATCTCCTTGCCCGCAAGCAAAATCCGGCGTCTGCAGGCCCACTGCGCGAGCTCGAAGAGAAGCGGCCCAGTACAGCGCCGAAGACTGCCATCCCCCCATACGTTCACCGTAAAGTCCAGGAAGCGAAAGATCTGCCGCCACTCCCGCCCATCGACGAGCCTCACCTGCACGATGCAGCCTTCACCCACCGCTCCTTCATCACGAGAGCAGGCGAGAAGGGTACCTACACCGATCTTGATCTTGACTACGAACGCCTTGAGTTCCTCGGCGACGCCTACATAGAGCTCATTGCCTCGCACGCCCTCTACAGCCGCTTTCCCCACGTCGACGTACCCCAGCTGTGCTCTTGGCGCGAACGCCTCGTCGAGAACTCTATGCTCGGCAAGTTCTCCGAAGCGTACGGCTTCACCGACCGCTTACGGCACCACAACCAGTGGGATCGCAATTCAAAGGCATGGAAGAAGGTCGTTGCCGACGTCTTCGAGGCGTACGTCGCAGGCGTCGTGCTCTCAAACCCGCAGCACGGCTACGAGACGGCGGACAAGTGGCTCACAGAGCTCTGGGCACCGCAGCTGTTGAGCTTCAAGGAGAAGATCATCGAAGATCCCCACGCGAAGAACAAGCTCGCCGCGCTGGTTGTCGTCAACGACATCAAGCTCGAGTACCGAGAGGAGCGGCCCATGATCTACGAGAAGGGCAGCAATTTACAGAAGTACTTCATGGGCGTGTACCTGACCGGCTGGGGCTACAGAGATGAGTGGCTCGGAAGCGGCGAGGGGCAGAACAAGGCCAACGCTTCCTCTGCGGCTGCGGCCGATGCGATCAGGAAGAACAGCTCCGCGACGCAGGATGCAGCCAAGCAGAAGGCCGAGCTGGTCGCGAAGAGGAGGGAAGAAAAGGCAAAGGCAGAGGCAGAGGCAGAGGCGGCTGCTAAGGCGCCTGAAGAGGGCACGGCAGAGGGCGGACAGCCACCTGCAGATGCTGCGGAGACCAGTAAAGACAAGAAGAGGGAGCGGGAGGCAACAGAGGCCGAGGAGCCTTCCAAGAAGAAACACAAGAAAGATGATAAAGGAAACATGCGCAAGCGCTCGACTAGCAGCGAGCCATCGGAGTAGCACTCTCCTCTCGCACTCTAGCACTACCACAACACACCCACTCCAAACAACTCTGTATGACGCCGCGTCGATACCCCCGCCAAGCCGTCTTCAGCAGCACGCTACGCTTCGGCGTCATTACAGCAACCTATAGCTCCTCGTTCCCTGCCTGATACCCAGGTGTTTCAATCACGTGTAGGTATCCAACGAGCTCCGCATTTCATCACTTCCCCGGCCACCAGGCTTCGTTGCAGGACGAGCAATGTCGCCGTAGCCTTGAACAGCGGCTCTCCATCGCGAGAGCTGACGTGCAAGACTATCCCGCTCGTAGTCTCGATCTTTGCGCTCCGCCGCGACGCTAATCCGTGTGTGCTAATCGCTGATGCAGGGCCCGCTGCAGTGAAATCGCTCTTGTTGGTCTCAACAACCACGGCGTTGCGTCGCGGCTTTCATTAGACGGCTCTGACTCTGCCCACTGCGTAGCCCGGAGTTGCCATTACTGCCGCAATACAGAGAGGCATTAGATACGGAATCGTGACATTGGATCTGCATCATACGTCTCGCCCTCTCAATTGGGTTCTCCAGTGCTGAGAGTCCATGGGTCTCTCTCAGACACCACGGAGTTGTGCGCGGTTTCGGGACCGCCTCGCAGCCCTAGCATTATGGCGTTCGAAAGTACTGCTGTCAAGTGGGAAGAGCCTTTTCGCTGTCCGTGCTTGTGGATCAGAGCGCATGATGCGAGTTCAAATCTAACCAGACTTATCTCCTCAGCGCGCACAAGGGTAGCCACGCAGGATCAGCAACCTTACAGCCAAGACATCATGCACCTACGTCCTATATGTTAGAAGCAACGTCGGCTGAAGGCTTCAACCAGCGTTGGGGCAGGACGGAGATTCCCGCTCCTTCCCATAAGTCAAGTCTGCGTCACCTTTTCTCTCAGGAACGGGTCGATCCTCATTCCATCAATCTTAAACAGAGTGCCAACGCTCTCGTTGCGCCACTCGAACGAATTGTATCCACTACCAATACAAGGTTCGCAGACAAAATTAGAAGTCAGAATTCGTCATTCCCAAAAAGAACATTCAACTCTAGCTACAGTCGCGCTAGCGCTTTAATGATTAGGTTAATAGAGCTTCGTAATGCTGGTAAAGGGTGTCACATCCCTGCAAGCATCACGGACGACCGTAGTACGCATCAGCCAGCCGATGTCCCGGCCTCAAGATCTAGCGCTCAGGCTAAGACAAATAAAAGTAGTATTACAGCGTCCACTACTTCCGCGATGCAAGGGCAGCAGGGATGCACCCACGCACAGATTCTCAAAAAGCACACTTCCTCTCCAAACAATCCTACGTGGACAGCTCGTCCAGACTTTGATCCTGAAACCTACGGGGTGGAGCAGAGACCACCAGATCCTGCATTCAGATGACGTTGAACCTATGGCGATCGTGCAACATCTTGGATACTGTTCTCTCGGTGTGGTGCACTAGGTACGCCGCGCCAACACGTCGTTACTAACTTCTGTACGTAAGCGTGTGAGACTACCAGCTCAGAAACGGTTCGTAAAGAAGATTACTGACATCATCCAAGAGGAGATCGTGGACTGGAGGCAACCTCTATATACCTCATATTGTCTACTCATGCTTCCTGTGGGAGATAGTGACTTGGAGAGCTTTCTGGTCTTAGCAAGTGAACCACATCTCGACCCTGACGTTAAATTTCAATACAACAACTGGATCCAGCCGTGGTGTGTTATTCTAGCGTCCGCCTTATCGTATATGCATGGCAGTAGCGTTCGTCACTAGGATATCAAGCCTTCGGACATCATACACATGGGAAGTCAAGTCTTTTTCACAGACTTCAGCTCGTGCAGCAGCTTTCAAGTTGGTTAGGCGATGTTGGACGCCAATCCCGCACGCTCGAATGCAATATACACGGCGCCTGAAGCAGACATATCCAAGGATAGTTGGCACTGGCAAGCTTTTGACGTATTCAGTTCAGGCTGTATCTTTTGTGACATGCTGTTGCAGCCAAAATAGAGGCAAAATGTACATACTTTTGCACCCCTGAATTGGCTGGTAAATAGGCATGATATCTGCTGCGACACACCCCCTCACGTCCAACCAGGACAGCATGATTGGAGGTGACACAACGTAGCAGAGTGCCTAATGTGCTGAGTAATAGATGAATCCTTCTTCGTGATGCTCTATTGCTGCAGATAGCACGCCAACAGAGCAGGTACCATGCCAAGACCCTCGGCTATGGTCACCCATGGAACACGAAAATCCATTCAACCTCTGCTTGCGCAGTTTCAGCGTCTGGGCTCATAACTGTGGAAGCTGAGTGGTCTCTGATCGTTGATCAAGTGTGAAGAAAGTCATCAAGTTCCTTGTTCTATCTATGGTGCTGAATGAGCAGAATGTATACACCGATACTCATCCAGCTATACCCTAATTGGAGCCCTAGTCACGGCTCCAAGCTGTACCCGATTCCGCTCACCATGGCGTGATAGATCGCCAGTGTCTGATCGGTCCAATATCCAGATGCGGATCACGTGATATGCACCATCACCTCGATCCTTGCTGCGACACATGCTTATCGTCGAACACTGTCGCCTAGTGTCGACTTTCCACAAATTCCTCCTAGGAAGCACTGATAGATCAAGGCTTTGCTACAGCGAGCACCCGATTTCCATGCAGCAATGAATCGTTTGAGGATTTAACGTGGAAGCCGAATAGTTTTGTTCAGAAGTTATTTCAGGCATGCTGCTCGAAGATTGACACTCAAGACCATCAGCTGCCCAAGTGTTGACTGGATGCGAGCAACGATTTCGGGTCTCGTACTCGACAAACACCCGCCGACCCTCCCCAGCGCATCGTCACAAGAAGTATTTATTGCAGGAGTTGAAAGAAGAGGGATTCTAGGGGCAGGATTTCCATCGTATCTCTGCATGACCCTGACCTAGACGATCATCTTGCAGTTCGACCTGCGAGTCGCAAAACAAGATGAGAACAAGTTCACTGCACCTTAGCGTCGCCGATGAGCCACGTCCATGCACTTCACATCTTTTCTTACCAACACCGTACGCTCAATTTCTTAGGAATATACACTACTTAAAAGTTCAGCATATATCTGCGTATAGAAATTTACGGGTTCTTAGCTGTGCGTTGGTGTTTGCACGGAGTGTTGGTGTTGAGGTGTGAATGCCAAGTGGCTCATCGGAGACGCTCAGGTGCAGCATGCCGATCGGTGGTAAAACAAACCCTGTTAAACACAGTCGGGAAACCACCAGACGTATTTAGGAAGCGTGATATTTTTTTCAATCAACAAATGTATTTCATGTAGAAAGCAGCAACTTCAATTTGGACCTCCCGCAACTCCAGTTAAGCAACGGACTATATAGATATGGAACAGAGCAGAATCGAGATCAGGTGCTCTCAGAATGAAACCCAGCCTTTGCGCACAGGCTCCCCTTGAAAGCCTCCACGACTAGCTCCTAGTCGCATCCATACTTACACGCCCGTACGAGGATGGAACTTCATGTTCATAACTGGCTTCTGCCAAAGCAGATACGACATGTTGTCCCGCTCCCAATCCAGCTCCTTGCTCAACAACTCAAAATCATACTTCCACACCATCTTGGCGAGGATAATCCTCATTTCCATATACGCGAGATTGATGCCAATGCACGCTCGTGCGCCAAGCGAGAAAGGCTGGAACGCGTCCTTATTATCGCCAAAGCCTTCGCCCACCCATCGCTCGGGTCTGTACGAGTTGGGATCTTTCCAGTAGCGGGCGTCGCGCATCAGTGTCCAATTGTGACTCGACACTTCGACACCTGCAGGTATCCAGTGGCCGTCTATGGTTGCGCCGTGCGAGACTCGAGGGAGCCCTATGGCTACGGGCGGGTACATGCGTAGAGATTCTTCGATGCAGGCGTGCAGGTACGGTAGCTTCTGAGTTGTGTCCCCGTCGATAAGGTCAGGCGAGTCGAAAGCATTACGGACTTCGTGCTGTAGCTTGGCCAGGCATTTGTCGTCGTGCGTCAGGTAATACATGCAACCTGAGAGGGCAGTTGCAGTTGTCTCCGACCCGGCGACAATGAGGAGGTTAGCGTTCTCTGTGAGCAGCGCCTCTTCCATCATTCCGTGTTCCAGAATGTGCTGGAAAAAGTCTGTCCGTTTGATTGTATCTTTCTTCGCGATGCGCTTCTTGGTCATTTCAAGAACAAAAGCCCAATGCGCAGCAAATTTCGCAGCAAGACCTCTAGGGACTAGAAAGGGAAGGAGCAAGGTCAAGATTGGAATGCGCTTGCGCAAGCCGATCAAGTTTAGCTCCATGACTGAGTCGATGAGGAGTGAGACCCAGGGATGTGTCTTGCCTGCTTCGACTGCTTTGAATGATTCGCCAAACGCTAGTTCGCCGATAATATCAAATGTGATCCAGTTTAGAGACTCAGCAATGTTGATGCCGTTAGGCCGCAAGCTCCATGTACCTAACTGATTATTGAACATGTTGACATAGTGCTGTACAACATCCTCTTGATCGCGGAGCGCTTTCGCACTGAACGCATTTGACAGGGCTTTCCTCTGATTTCTGTGGTCTTGGCCTTTGGAATCGATTATGGATAGGTGCTTCTTGTCACGATGGTAGAACTGTCCTTTCTCAAAAGGGCGACGAGTCTTGCTTGCATGGCCGTAGATGTCACGGTAGGAGTTGACCGAAGCGAAGGAGAGCTCGTTGGGCGCTATACGGACGACATCGCCGTAAGTCTTGTGTAGCTCGCGGATAATGAAAGGCCGTCGTCCGCTTGCGAAGAGGCATGCATCCCAGATCTCATGTTCGTTAGTCAGGGCTCAGGCATGCCACAGGATCGTTGTTCGCTCACCTCTGTTACAGCTGCAAGTTTCGGTCCTGGGTAGCGTGCCAATGGATGTAGATAGATATTGTAGAAAGCCGAAGTGATGATATACGCGAGTAGCTGCCGCCTGATATGAGCTCTTGTTGAGTGCGGAAGCTCAGGGTACCTACCAGTAATGCGAGCGTACCAGCCAGTCCGCCAGCTGTATGCGGAATGCTGTCGAGGATGCCCATGGCTAATGTTCAGGTCTCTGCGTGTCTGCTCTTCCAGCTTCCTGAGCAGTGGCTGCCCTTTATAACTTCCTGCTGCGCATACCTGCAAAATATTGGCGCGTGCTGGGTTTCGTACATGCTGCCATAAAGTGGAGTCAAAGATACGTCTGGCTGCGTATGAAGAAACGATTTGATTAGGGCTGCGTCCCTTGGAGATGGGTGTGAAAGTGTACCGGATGAAAAGTTTCCCGCTCCGTGGCGCTCAAGCAGAGGCCAACACGGCCCTATTCCAGAAGGCTTGACCTTAAAAAACGGGCTGATCTGGGGTTCGACGCATGATCTCAGCCAATGAGTGCCCAACGGAGAATTAAACCTCTCCGATTCCCGAAGTCCCGCGCGGTTACTTAGGTGCGCCGCACCCGTAGCGACGACGGGTACTGTGGCACACCGCCCGATAGCGTTAATCGTCGACCGACCAGCACATTAGGGCCTGATCCGGCCCTATAGGTACTGGTAAAGAACTTCGTTCCTTAATAACAAAACAACGCTTCAACGTGAAATTTCAATAGCCATGTTCTCTGCGCGCTGCTCCCTGACATGGTGTTACAGAAATAAAATCTGTAGGAGAATAAGAGAGATATTGTGTGGGGGAAAATCCTCTAGGGCGCCGGCCTGGTCGGTCGACGATTATCGGGTGCGGTATATAAGATATTCCAGCACTCACTTGCATCCTAGTAGAGCCTGCTCCTGTATCAATGCCAAAGATATGCCAGACGATGAAAGGTCGAGCGTTATGCAACAACGATGTCCAGCAGTGTGCAAGCTCGTTCAAACGCATCCTTGCAAAGCGTATCTCGTCTCTTATGCTGCGATGAGAAGACCTCGCCAACGTTGCCGGCTAATCGAAACCATTGAATCCTGTTCTGTGTGTCTGTGATGAAAATAGTCAGCCTCGTCACCAAAAAGTCAATTTCGACCTCACATTCACGCGTTTACCCAACAAGTTAGGAATCAAGCCTATGCAGGTAACTGCTAGGCTCGAACAGGTCATCAAAAAAAGTCAATCCGAGGTCGCTGGGTCCCACTTAATTGATTGTTGACAACTGTGGAAACAGTGCCTCGATCTCCATTGTGTAGTTGGATGTCTTGGCTAACACCGGGACTCGTGAAGGCAACTGCCATTTTCCGAAGTTGAACAACTCAGCAATCCCGGCGCCGCAGCCATACTAGCTGGCATTGTGAATTGATTCCGAGAGCTCAACAGTCGGTGCTGGAAGAAGGGTGTGGAGGTGTGGAGCGAGGGCTCGGTGCTCCGGCGGGATCACAACGGATCTTGTGGCGTTCCGGCTCCCGGCCCTGAGCAACTAAGAACGGACTTTCTCCCTCTGCGTCTTGAACGGGCAAACGACACAACGTTAACTGACTCTCCCAAAATATACTTAGTCGTGCAATCCCACCAATTTGATATCTCAGGTCCTACCGAACACCAGTGCCTGTTGACTCTTGAGGTCCAGGTAGGAGCTTTGCCTCTTTGTGCCGACCACTTCTCTCACTCAGCCGATCCGCTAACTCTAGTCAACTACAGAAAACTACAGCAAGCTCTGTTAAACTCTAGCAGCCAATAATATCAGCGGCTACAACTATTCAAGCACTGTTGATATAAAGGGAGAGGCCACGTCAAATCGTACACCTCTGGGTCTCAATACCTTCGTAGCAAGTATATAAGGTCCCCACTGTGCACCGTCAAACTCGCTGCACCAGGAAACCGTCAGCGTTCTGGCACGCAACAACATCAACATTTATAGGTGAAGATACTCTCGGGATATCTTTCTTAGTGCCTGGGATTGTCATCCCGTGTGATGAAATAACCATAGGTCGCTAACACTCTAAATCACTACAGTAGCTATATATACCTACGCAAAATGTACACGGCTCCTACAGCGCATCTAGTGCCAACATTGTGACCTAACGCTCAGCTTCAATTCTTTGTGAATACCTTTATACTTGGCAGAAGTTTGTGCCAAGTATATCAGGGTCTGGCTGATTCCGAGGCTGTCCAAGGCTGGGCTGGTTGGTGTAGCGATGGAGGGATACAGATGTACTGTTGTGGTATCAAGGGCAAATGTATAAACGAGTGTAATGTGTTGTTCTGTGTTCTTGTTCTGCTTGTATCTTTTCTCTCCAAGGCTTGCTGCGGGGTCTGTTTTGATGACGTGTTTGTGATGCAGCTGAGGTAAGAGGTGCTCAACAACATGAGGAAGCAGCATCAGACCACCGCCAACAACACGTGATCTGCTTCTCCTCTCAATCGTTGCATGTACAGGCCAAGCAGACTTCCCTTCTCCCCATTAATTAAATTTGCCTCAAATCTAGGGTGTGAAGTAATTGCTACGAACGTTGGCAATGCTTTTGATAAATGTAGATTGTATTGCGACAACAAGGAGGGTGGGTTTTCCGCCCCATGGGAAGGGACGTTAGGAGTTGCTCCAGAAGCTAAATAGTTGGCACACAGTTTTAGTAACCGTACAACAGGACCGGGTTGTACGAGCCGAGCCGATTCGTGCAAGGCAGCAAGCGCGGCGCATACGCAGTCGCTTATCATTGGCTGCTAGAGCTCGCTTCCGCTGACTAGAGCCTATCAGAGCTGACTAGAGGTGGCTAGAGGTGGCTAGAGGCGGCTATATTGACGCTAAGGATATATTAGGACAAGATAATCGACCACTACCGATCGGTGTCGGTTTGTCGTCACCCACAACACAAAGGACGTATAACCCCCGGTCATCATCAATAATGAAATGTTTCGGTCTTTAGCCCTGAACGGTCCCGTACAACAGAAATAAATAAGAGAAAAACAGCCATAGTGGTACATCATTCTGTTCCCGTTAGCTTGTTCCAATCGTTGGCATGTCGCAAATCACGTCTTCTCTCCAGTCGGTAGCTCTGATCCTCAGCATTCCTCCTCGGCTATTATGGACACTAATCGAAGTCTCAGCGAGACAAGCACTGGGCCAAAGTCCGACAGGAACATGGTCCGAAAATATTGAAGAGGCATTGGTTATGTTGTATGTTGCATGTTAGTACCCGTTGCTTGACGGCACACTCATCAATCACAGTGCTGGCGCACATGCATCGCTACCTTTTCTTCGAAGCATGCTCCCAGTCGATCCTAATAAAATAAGAAACTCCAATCGTTACTCAGGTCTTGGAGACCAACTGCTCACCCACGTACGCCAATCAACATTTGAGGGATACTGGATATGCCGTGGTCTGAAGAACACACCAATCGAACCGAAAGACGCGGATCTGGTAATCTTCTACCTTCACGGGGGTGGCTATGTGCTCGGGCACCCAATCTTGGAGGCACCAAACCTGCTCTTCATCGCCGAATGCCTGGCGAAGGAAGGTCTCACAACAGCGATCTTCGCGTCTCGCTATAGCTTGTCGCCAGAAGCTCACTTTCCTCAGCAAATCAATGAGGTAGCCTCTGCATACCACTGGCTGGTGCGAGACCTCGGTGTGACACCTTCTAGAGTTGCACTCATGGGCGAGTCAGCTGGTGGACATTTGGCCCTGTCTTTTCTCCTTGACCATCATTTGAAGACCCAGCAGAGTGGGTCATCAGCAGCTGGAATTGCGAAACCAGCAAGTGTCTTCTTGTTGAGTCCATGGTGCGACCTTCACAACTCAAACTCGAAAGCGATGAATATTCGCCCAAATGAAGTTGTCTTCAAGCGGACGCTCACGAAATGGGGAGATCTCGCGTTGGGAGATCTCGACCCGCCACAACGAGACATGTTCATGAATTTCGCTAGGAGAGATGCCAAACGTGGGTCGCTGAGGGATATTCTGCCTTCGTCTTCCTGGATTTCGGCCGGGGATGATGAAGTCATATTCGTGCACGACATCATTGACTTCGTGAGTGCCGCACGGGACGATGGAACCAATATCACCCTGGAGATCGAACCTGGTGGACGACATGCCTGGCAATCAGCGGCTGCAAGACCTGAGCATGCAGCTGTTCTTCAAGCGGAGCTAGGCACGGATTCGGATGGGCCAATGACTGCTTGGAAGAGGCTGGCTACATCCATTGCTGTAACAGTCAAAAGCACGTCTTCGCTCGACGAGAGGCTATGAGTGCTTAGCCGTGACGCTCCTGTCGTGTGCAGCATGAGGAAATGCGTCAACGCGAAACAAGTTGCGTTCCGAACCCTGAAGTTTCGGAGTAATTCTCGTTCGAGTACAGTTTACCCCATAAACTCACGTTCCATCGGAACCCACTTCGTATCTCTTGACCCTGCAACTTCTGGAGCGTGGCCGTGAGCTTGCTACCAACAGTATGCCGACAACGACCCCGATGGTATGCTGTAACTGCGTGAGCAGTGTCGGTCGGAGACTGTGATTAGCGAGTGTATTGCCATCTGTTGTTGTGTTGTGATATTTTATTGTTCAAGCTCTCAGCTCTCAAGTAAGTGCACTTGCCCACCGGGCAGTGCCTGCTACAATAGTATATCATGTGATCTGAGCCACGTGGTTACATATGCAGACGATTGGAAACCACAGGTTCGCTGGATATTTTACGAAATTGCAGGAAGTGAACAACGATACCTGCACCTCCACTAGTGATCCCCGTATGAGCTTTCCCTCAGGGTTCATCTGGTAGTACTCACGTGTGTAACTCCGCATCGAGCAAGTTTTGACTCCAGTACTCTCCATCATCACTTTTACCGACGATATGCCGAGAAACACTCCTTTGATCAGCGCACAAACATAGGGCATACCCCACGTCAAGATTGCCATGATCAGTCAGGGAGCGATTGGTCCAAAGTCATGCGGATGCTGTCCTGAATGTGCCCTGGACTGCGCTGGCGTGTATTCTGGACCATCATCCCCCAGCAGCGGAGGGCGCTGCAAAGTACAAATGCCCTGTCTTCACGTCTGTGGAGGCCATGCTCGAAGACAACAGTGTCAAGTTGATGCAGCCATCGTATGCACTCCGAATCAGACCCTCGTCCCCATCTCCAAGGAGCTATTGCATGCTGGCAAGCATTTCTTGTGCGAGAAGCCCATCTGTGCCGATGTGGCCAGTGGGCGTGTACTGGTATGATCGCGTCCAAGCATATTTTACAGTCGGCTGGCTAAGACCTGCATATCGAATGCGCGGAAGATAGCAAGTGGAAGCTTCTGACAGGTCACCATCGTTGTTTCAATCGCTACCCAGTAGCAGTCAAGCAGCACATCCTATCTCTTGGACGTGTCATTCCCACCAGCGGCCTCTGGAATATTTACAATCGGCTCTCATATTTCGGTCTACCAATAGAGTGGCGCCACCTGGACTCGGCTCGGCCCGTTTTCATCAACATAATCCACGAGATTGACCTTCTCCACTACTGGTATGGTCCGATCACACGCTTTTTAGCGGAGCAGACTATCTTCCAGAGACGGTTCGATGCTGAGGAGGGCGCGGCGATTATGCTTAGATTTGCAAGTGGCCTGGCGGGGACCTTTCTCCTGTCTGATGCGGTAGTGTCGCAACACAATTTCGGGGGCGGCACGGGCGAAAACCCAATCATTCCATGCACCAGACAAGACTTTCACAGTTTATTCGGCTCAGAGGGAAGCCTCAGTGTATCGGACATGACTCGGTGGGACTATGGAAACGGTGAGAACAGTCGGAACAGAGAGCTGTTGGAGATCATGCTGGAGGTGCCGGATCTGAAGATTCCATTTGCGTCCCCGATTGAGCTCTTTATGAAGGTCATCAAAGATGAAGAGTCGGCTAGCTGCGATGGTGCCGAGGGGCTGAGGGCTGTCGTAGTGTGTAAGGCTTTCAAAAGGTCAATGAAGGAGCATTGCCCAGTAGAGATAGATTGGGGCGGCCAGTACTAGGCTAAGCGGAGCTGAAGAGGTGATCTATTGTAACTGCGTGAGCAGTGTGGGTCGGAGACTGTGATCAACAATTGTATTGCTATCTGTTGTCGTGTTGTGTGATGTTGTTCTCCAGAAGCTCTCAGCTCTCGGGTAAGCGCACCTGCCCACCAGGCAGTACCTGCTACAATAGGATATCATATGATCTAAGCCACGTGGTTACATCTATTGACCAATTGACATTAGCTAAGTCTATGTACGTTGCGGAGGCCCTGATTTGTCTAGACGTAGATGTAGCAGAAGGGTCCTGCCATCGTGCTAGACGCATCCTCGATAGTGATGTCACCGGGGTAGGCAGTACCCATTGTGGGCTTATCTTGCAGGCTAGCAGCGGGCGAGGTGAAATCTGATATGAAAGTAGGGCCGTAGAGGGCCTTCGTACGTTCAGCAGGCTCGAGATTCTGCCAGATCCAGTAGAGGCGGTCAATCGAGGCGTAGTGGACTGTACGGTATTAGCCTTTAGACGGTGTCGGAGTAGTTTGAAACTAACAGAAAAAGAATGGGTGTCCAGGAGAAGACATGAAGTCACCCCCTGGGTCACCACCAATGACGAAGTGACCATAAGTGTGAACGCCAATGAAGTTCATGAAGCTGTCGGTCGCGCCACCTTGAAGACTGCTCCAGAAAGACTGGTGGTCGGTACTTTCTAGGAGAGAAACAACGCCGTCGTCTTTCAGTCATGCTTCGCTAGTGAAGTTGGTGATGTCTCGAGTGAGACAGGGAGGGTTGTACGCAAGACCGTAGTCTGGCACTGAAGTTTTGGTTGGAGTTGAGTGTCGCACAGTCAGAGCCAGGAAACTGAGAAAGTCATCAGGGAACTGTGCTCAACACAGGATCAACTTACGAGAGGTCCCAGGTTCACTTACCAGTCCTTGAAAGGCTCCGTAGTTACGCAACCACCACCGGGTCCATGTGGGATCTTGATCAAGGGTTGCGTGTTGAGCGGAATGCCTGTCAACGTTTGGTTCTTACAACCTGGTGCACCTTGACCAGAAATTGACGTATCGGAACCATCGAGTAGTGGCGACTTCGTTGGGTCTTTAGTCCACCTTGAGTAGCTGTAGTAGGGCTGACTGCCCCTGTAGCCGCATTCGTTGCGCAATGTCTGCTCGTAGGACCAGGTGAAGGAACGATGCTATTGGATAGTAGAAACTCCTGGTCTTTGGTAAGTTGTCCGGTTTCAACCTACCCATGTGAGGAAATTGCCTGTGACGTGAATACTGAATGACTGTTGGATGTGGACCACAACGAAGTCATCGTAACGGTTCCTGCAACCAGGACACACCGCTTTTGATATCTCGGGAGGAAGCCTGGCCAGGCACTGAACAGAACTGATATACGCCTTCTTCTCATCTGTGGAAAAGGTTGTGGACACTTGGGTTTTACCTACCTTGACGCACGGGGCGGCGAAAGAAACGGAAAGTGCGCCCAGTCGGCGATCACCCATCATCGCCAGTTCGCAAACAACACATTAGCAGTCGACAGCTTCCAAGTCCATCAAATCCGTCGTTCCTTTCTCGTGGGCATGTCTGGCACTAGGTCAATGGTAGTCACTGAAGAGGTGAACCGCGCCTTCGGCACTCCCTGTAGGCACGGCAGATCTGCACACCCCGACCCTTTGGAGCTGCAGAGTGTAGACGAGATTGCAATTATCCCGCTCCCTGCGCGAGGTGGTATTCGACACTCGTTGCTGACTGCATATATCAAGCATGGGCTTCGGACAGGTATTCTGTATCCTTCGATCCTTCGTCTGCCTGCAAGAACTGCTCTATGGTTCGCCGCCTCGGTCACGAGACTCATAACGATTGGGACTAATTTGCTGCATATCCTGGATCATTCGACTGCAATTCATCCTGGCGGCCGCCTACCTTAGTTGACGGAAAAGGAGTCTTGTTGGTATGGCGGATGAGAAGACGGGGTGATTGGGGAGATCTCCAGATCCCCACAACTCCACCGAAAATCCCCGAACAACGTCATGCCAAGAGCCTCATCTCGGCCCGACTTTCCTCTTCACATTATGAAAGGTGCAGTTGAACGTGTGCGAAGCCAGAGTACTTTGCGCTCTTGCCTCTTCACGATGCGCGGAATGTACAAACACGCCTCGGTGGCTTTGTTCGCAAAGCTGGCTACTGGACACATCATCTCTCATCAGGCGTCCATCGATTATGCAGGCGCTCCACCCAATCTCTCGACATTGGCCAATTTCTCTCTGTTTCAAACATGGCGTCCGAGATCGCACGTGCTCCCTGCCTTTGGGCAAATTGGTGACCCGTGCATGCATTACACAGACCCACAGACAGGCTTGTTTCACGTTGGATACCTATACAATGGCACGGGGGCTTCCGGTGCGACGACCGAGGACTTCGTCACTTACACCGACCTAAACAACAAGTCGGCAAACTTCATCGTCGCAGGCGGCAAGAACGATCCAGTAGCAGTATTCGATGGCTCCGTGATCGAACGCGGGATCAACGGAACTCCAACATTACTTTACACCAGCGTCAGCTATCTGCCTATCCAATGGACTGTTGCCTACGTTAAGGGCAGTGAGACGCAGTCACTGGCGATCGCGAGGGACGATGGCCGCAACTTTACAAAATTGGAGCATGGCCCGGTTATTCCGAGTCCACCGTTCGCGGTGAATGTCACTGGGTTCCGCGATCCATTCGTGTTCCAGAACCCTCAGGTTGACAGCCTCCTAAAGAAGACCAATGGTACCGAATACACGATCATCTCTGGAGGTACGCACGGCGGTGGACCAAGTCTTTTCTTGTACGCCCACTATGGCGACGAATCCGACAACTTCAAGACTTGGGAGTACATTGGCGAGTGGTGGCATGAGAAGGCGAACACGACCTGGACCGAAGCTGGTTGGGCCGGACGCTGGGGCTTCAATTTCGAGGTCGGCAACTACTTCGCCCTGGACAAGGATGGTTACAATCCTCAAGGCGAGATTTTCACCACCGTAGGCGCAGAGTGGAGCTTTGATCCTATCGTACCGCAAGTGTCTGACAACCGAGAGATGCTTTGGGCTGCAGGCAAACAGTCGATTGTAAACGGTTCCATCAAGTTCGAGCCAACCATGGCAGGAAGCTTGGACGCTGGACGGTCTGCATATGCTGCTGCGGGCAAAGCTGTTGCATCGTCCTCACGAGCCAGCCAGAAGAGCGGTGCACCAGACCGGTTTCTGACGTACCTTTGGCTGACGGGAGACTTTTACGGGACTTTGAACACACCAAAGGCACAGCAGAACTGGACCGGCTCACTCCTTCTTCCCAGGGAGCTGCGTGTAGGCTGCCTTAATGTCATCGATAACGAGCTTGCGCGAGAGAGGGGTGCATGGAGGATCGATGCTGAGCACGACAATGGCACAGTGACACTCGCCACGCTACACCAGAAGATCGCCCGCGAGCCCTTGGCCGCTTTCAAGTCGAACGCCAACGCTGTCATCACGCAGGCTGGAGGCCTCCGATCGTCCGGTGCGACGTTTGACCGCAGTCCAAGCAGCAAGCACTACGTCCTGTCGGCCTCGATCACTTTCCCTTCGCGTTCTAATTGTACCATGGCTGGGCTTGAGATACTGTCCGGTGACCTCGAGACAACGCGCATTTACTACCAATTCTCGAACGAGAGTCTAATCGTTGATCGATCCAGATCATCGGCAGCCGTAGCGACCAACGACTGGGTTATGACTGAGACCGAAAGTGGAAAGTTGCGCTTGTTCGATGTGCCCGGCGTGATTGGCACAAAAGTCGAGACCTTGGATCTTACGATCGTTGTTGATGGTGGTATCGTGGAGGTACATGTGAATGATCGGTTTGCGCTGAGTACCTGGATCTGGAGCTGGTATGAAGACAGCAAGAATATCCGCTTTATTGCAGAAGGTAGCGAGGTCGAATTCGGGAATGTGACGATCTGGGAGGGCCTGATCGATGCCTGGCCGGAGCGCAGCACATGAGATGTTCCCAAATGGGTACGCCAAACCAAAAGTTTTGTCAATTTTAATACGATTATGTCCCTGGTGATGCTGTACCGCAATGTTAACGAGTATGATTTGCAAGGACCTACTAGCGTTATTGTGATTTAAGCAGAATATTAAACATAGGCAACGGAGCATGACCTCTGATCGGTGGTTTCTGTGAGGTCCGAAAAGTGACCCAGGAGCTGTAGGAACGCTCGGACGTGCCGCCAGTCTCCGGCGTTTTCAGCAATTCCGAATGCCATGCATCGAGGAGCCCTCAATTTTCGACCGTCTGCCTTCCGAGAGCTTCCGCGCAATAATTTTTCCGTCTCGCATCTATGTCGTAGCTACACCTAGTGAAGGCAGTAACCAGAAGTCCCGGTTGGAAGTGCAGGCGCGTCAGGGTGAGAACGTAGCGTGCCTTCCAACCATCTGCTACAGCAAGATCTGTTGGGCCTGCAAATACAGTTCCTTTCCGGTGCTCACATATAGGATGCATGGGATTGTTGTACGCGCAGCGCTCGAAAGCGAGCAGAGATGTACGAAGGGACTGAGGTTGCTCTTTCCCCAGACGCGCCCCACGCTTCCCCGGTGTGCGCTGGCCTCACTGACCCACTCAACTCCATCCCGTCCACCTCGCACCTTGATGTCTCTTTGTTTGCACAGCTCAATTCTCCATGTCATTCGTGGAAAAAACTGGCAATGCATCTGGGGTAGGGGCGCCGGCAACACACGCGGCTGAGTGTCCCGTGGGTCTGGTTTCTGCACCACTCACAAGCATGCCGAGACGCCTTGACACCTCTTCTCCTATCTTAGCGGTCGGAGCTAAGCTGGTAGCGGTTCTAGACTAAGCTTATTTTACCATGGCGGTGCTGACATCACGACGAACACCACCAACAACTCGTCGCACGAAACGTCGGTTTCCACTGTGGAGATAAACAGGGGCGAGATCCTGCAATTCGTGGGTTCGGATACCCCGACAAAATGGCTCGGTGTGATCACAATGATCGCAGCATGTTCCCAGTAGCCTGTGCGGCTTCAATAATGCCTGCGCGTGATCTGGCCAGTCGGACCGGCTCAAATCATACTTATTAGCCATACCCCAGACAACCTGGCCCAGCTTTTCCCCAGATCATCTCACTTCTGTATTCTTTCTTTCAGCTCAAAGCCATCCGACCAGATGGCTTCAACAGAGGAGAAGACCACGACGGCTCACGTTGAGCACTCTTCCAACAGCTCTTCCGAAGATGCCTCTGACCTTGCAAAAGCTTTCGAAGAGGGCAAGGACCCTGGATTGAGCGATGCCCATCTCTGCAGCGAAGCCGACAACAAGCGCATCTTGCGCAGGACCGACTTCTACATGCTTTCACTCCTCTGTATGGTCTACTTCTTGCAGTCTGCGGATAAGGGAATCATCGGTTTGACAGCTGTCTACGGCCTTAAGAAGGACGCAAAACTCAAGGGAAACGACTACTCAAACATTGGTAACATCGGTTACTATGCCCAACTTGGTGTACAGCCACTTGCTGCCTATATGTTGGTCAAGGCAAGGTACCGTCAAGTTCTCCCCGTCATCATCACTTGCTGGGGAATCTCCGTCGCCGGAGGTCTTGGTGGATCAAGGAATTATGCCGGTCTTCTCGCTTCTCGATTCTTCTTAGGTGCTTTCGAGGCCGCTGTCATCCCGCTCTTCTCAATCATCACCATCGCATTCTACAGGCGTTCTGAGCAGCCTTTCCGCGTTGCGTGCTGGTACAGCTGCTACGGCCTCAGCACACTGATCAGCGCTCCCATCGTCTACGGCTTCGGTCGCGTACACTCACACAGCCTCTATCGATACCAGGTGATCTACCTCTTCTTTGGTCTTCTGACTATCGTTGTCGGTGTATGCACATACTGGTGGGCAAATGACAGCCCTGGAGAGGCGCGTTTCCTTACACCGGAGGACCGTCTCAAGGCTGTCGATCGCCTTAAGGCCAACCAGCAGGGTATTGTCTCACACAAGTTTAATTGGAAGCAGGTTTGGGAGGCTTGGTCTGAGCCAAAGTACTGGCTTTACATGAGTAAGCGTTCTCTCGCCGTGACTAGAAAACAGAACGATTACTAACGTTCTAACAGTCATGGTCATTGCCGTCAACGCTGGTGCATCTGTTTCTTCGGTCTTCGGATCGATCATTCTGCAGAATCTGGCTGGCTTCACCCCTGACGAGGCTGTGCTCCTCAACATGCCATTCGGTGCTCTTCAGTTCATCTCTATCTTGCTCGCTTCCTGGTTGGCGTATCGCTTCAAGAGGAAGTCGCCCTTCCTCCTTGGCCTTGTCGCGATCGTTATCGTCGGAGTCGCCCTGCTGGTTGCTTTGCCCAAGACCAAGGCCAACAAGGGTGGACTTCTTGCCGGATACTACCTCATCGCTTTCGTCTTCGCCATCAACCCTCTGCTCATCTCCTGGATGGGTGCAAACTGTGCTGGACAGACGAAGAAGGCCATTTACTACACATCATTCAACGCGGGTAACTCGATCGGTAACATTATCACCCCCTACATCTTCGATTCGAAGTTCGCTCCTCAATACGTAAGTTCGGTTCCCGTATCTTTTCGTACTTCCATTCTGACAACCTGTAGGTCAACGCTCTTAAGGGCATCATGATCATCTGGTGCATTCTTTTCGGTGTAGTCGTCCTCCAAATCGTCAACATTACCTGGCTGCAGAAGAAGAAGGGCAATCAGCGTGAAGCTGCCGGTCTTCCCAGGGACTTCATCGATTACTCGATGGACGGCGACTTCCATGAGGCCGGTGCTGAGGTGCATGGTGAGAACGGTCTCACAGACATGACGGATCAGCAGAACTTGTACTTCCGCTATTTGTTGTAGTAGCACCTGCTTTGCGTGTGTCTCACAGGATTGCTGTATCCAAAGTATTGGGTTTTGAATAGGACAATGATTATGGTAATATCACTATTGTCAGAGTCACATCGGCGTTGCATGCTTGGGCCCTGTGTATTGATCAAGATCGCCGCCCAACGGGGCTGTGCCAGAAGTCATATTTCCGAAATAATCCACTGAGAACCTTCGGCTAATGGAATGCGACCTACGGAACCCCCCTGCTGGCGAGATTTGGGCGCAATGACTATCTGTCAAAGCTAAAAGAAAAAAAAGTGGCAAATATAGACTATACTTTGCCCCCCCCCCCCCCCCAATTGGACTGCCTATATAAGACTAGTTCTCTGCGACATCATCCCAGTAGCTCAAGATTGTGCAGCTCAATCTTCTTTGACTCAGCATGAATTCGGCCATCTCTTCGGCGAGATCACACCCATGATCCCAGTATGCTAGGGAGGTAGCCGGCACACTGAGATAACGCTCTGCGCATCCGTTGCCCCCACTTGATAAAGTTTTATCGTCCTTTGCTGCGCACACAAATGCAGGGACCCCAGACACGAGATTTTCTGAATATCGGGGCTAGTCCATTGATCTGTCTTCGTGTCCTCCAGTCCGGACTACTGTGCCACTTTTGAAGACTTAAACATGTACGATCTCTACAACTGCACTGATGTCCAGTCAAATCTACTCCAGATGTTTAGCGATCGGAAACTCGAAGTCCAGGCAGCCCAACGAATTACCGTCTTCAGCGTAGTGCCAGCAATGAGTGACATCCTCGATGTCTCTCTCGATGTCTCTCTCCAGGTCCAGAGCATGTTACAAGGAATAGGTACGGACGAGTGAGCAGACTTTTGCAAGCTCTCCAGATGAAGATGGGCGAATCCACAATCGGCGAGATGATATACAGAATGCGTGCGAGCTCATTGGTAACTGTTCGCGTTTAGGTACGTACGAGCTAAGAAAAAGTTGTCGAAGAGGTCATGTTGGTATGACATACATCTGACAGCTATCAAGCAGCGCCGCGCATCGTGGGTCACAGAGGTCTAATGAGGGAAATATATGATGCTGGAAGTCTTATTTTCCCTTCCATCAGTGACTGAATCGACTCCTCTCTCCCTACATTATTTTGGCTAGATGATCTGACTAGCCGGAGTCACCTGTTGCAAGGCCCTTGCAGGTAGCACTCACTTGGACTTATTACCCGCTCGTCGCTTCCTTATAGTTCCACAGCATTTCCAGAGCGAACACTGCTTGTCGTGGTGCATCGTTTCAGCTCTCCCGTGGTCTCTTCGAGTACTTAACGCTTTCCCTGATTGGTGGGGGCATCCACATGGTAATCCTTTCTCTTCAATTAGGCCCGTGTTACCCACCACTCCCACTTTCCCAATCCACGGCTGGGCAACTCCTGAACGAGAACCAACGTCTGCACACTTTCATCCTTCATGCAGCCAGATGGAAAAATGCTTGAACTCAAAGAACTGACAAGGACGATAGGTCGCAAAAACCGAGGAGGAGTTGACACGATGACGATGCGTGACACAGAATACACAGACCCACTACCATAACTCCCTTGCTTGAGTTTTACTCCCGTATATCACTGCTCTTGGAGAGCTCGTGTGTTATAAGGAGAGGAGGTTCCAAATGAAAATCAAGCGTACACAGTCTGTACACCCCAACTACCAGGATCTCGCGATGAAGTCTGTTCTGTTTCTTGCCTTACCGTGTGCACACGCATTGAGCTCACTATTTGTCGATACCTCTTCGGGACTAGTTCAAGGCACCATCGATGCTATCACCCCAAATGTCGTACAATTTCTAGGAGTCCCGTACGCGGAACCGCCAGTTGGTGCAAGACGCTGGCTACCCTCGCTGCCACGAGTTCGAGAAGGCGGAAAGGTACTCAATGCCACGCACTTCGGCCCTTCATGCCCACAGTACTATACCAACAAGTCAACAACATGGCTCACCGATGCCTCGGAATTCAACATCGAACCCCGGGAATACCAATCAGAAGACTGTTTGTCGGTCAATATCTGGGTGCCATGGCTGCGTGAGACGGCTCCTGAACGCTCACCAAAACTGCCAGTGATTGTTTGGATTCATGGTGGATCTTTCCAAACTGGAGGAGCATCAGCACCATACCACAACCCAAGCCGGTGGGTCGAAAGGAGCAGAGAGCACATTGTAGTCGCTATTAAGTACGTCTTCATGCTAATACAGGAGCACCAATCACTGACAAAGTGAGCAGCTATCGACTGAACATATTTGGGTGGCCAAATGCAAAGGGTCTACGGTCTAATGAGCTGAACTTAGGCTACCTAGATCAGAGACTCGCTCTGGAGTGGGTACAGGGCAACATTCATGCGTTTGGGGGCGACTCCAACAGGATCACTCTCTGGGGTCAATCTGCAGGTGCAGTATCCGTCGACAGTTACAATTTCGCCTATCCTCATGATCCCATTATCTCTGGACTTATCCTGAGCTCCGGCACAGCCCAGTCAGTGGTGCAATTTGGGTCCCCAAATTTCACGGCTGTTGCGGAGAACTTTAATTGCGGGGACCAAAACGCTACTGCCGAGCTTAAATGTATGCAAGATGTGCCATTCCCAGACATCATCGCCTTTCTCAGGCAACGTCTCCACAACGGGACTATTCCGAGTTTTTCGTTCACGCCGGTCGTTGACAATCGCACGTCCTGGGCCAATCATACGACTCGAGTATTGTCTGGGAATTTCATTCGCAAGCCTGCCATCATCGGTACAACAGTGAATGAGTGGGGTCCGTTCCTTCCCTACAATCAGACATTTGGACCCAATCAGACACTGGCAGATGAAGGCACCTTGAGAGTGTTCCTGTGTCCTTCGGTTCTCACCACACACGAACGATTCGCGGGCGGTAATCAGACAACATTCAGATACCTGTATGGAGGCAATTTCTCCAACATCGCACCAAGATGGTGGCAGGGTGCATATCATTCGGCCGACTTGCCTTTGGTTTTCGGAACCCATGATATTGCAAGAGGTGACTCGACGCCTCTCGAAATAGCAGTCAGCCAGCAGATGCAGGACTACTGGTTAGCATTCGCAAAGGATCCCGAGAATGGATTACCAGAAAGAGGATGGCGGGGCTATAGTGGAAAGTCAGATGGTACGAGTGCACTTTTTGGATGGGATGATGAAGCCATTCAGCCTCTAGCAGACAGTGATTTGGAGTCGGCCTGCGATGAAGGGATTCCTAATGGGAAGCCAAAGCCTCCGAAAGCTTGAATACCTAGGATGCGTGCGAAGGATCTTCTGTAAACATTACGCGAGCTACTCTTATCAATTCCCTCTCCTACCGGCACGGCTAATTTCGGGGTATGTTCCTGTTGCGGCTAGACTATCTACTTCTCCGACCCTCCGTCGTCATTACAAGCATTTCCCTTGTGCATGGGGTAAAGAGCTTGGGCTTTCGAAGATACAATTATAAAGCCACGACTCTTCACTTGCGAAGAGGGCTCTCTTGAGACGCCTGTCTACCTTCTAACATGCTGCTGAAAGGTATCTTCCTCGCGGCGATCGCTCTCGGAGCGCGGGCTTCGCCCACAAGCCATGTCGAACGTGACTCCACGGCCAATCTGGACATCAAGCTCTCAATTGCTGATGGGCTGCTCACCTCAACTACCGATGGCCGAATTGTATTGATGTTCGCACCCAACGGGACCGACCCTCTCGATGACACAGATGTCACTTCCTCTCCCAACATGATCTTCGGCAAAAATGTGTACGGCTTCGGCCCGAACAAGACGGTCACAATTTCGGGAGGTAGCAACGATAGTACCGCGACTGGTGTCTTTGGATGGCCCAACGTCAGCATGAGCGACATCCAGCCGGGCAAATACAGCGTGCAGGCTTTCCTTACCAGATACGAAACAGTCACTCGCAGTGATGGTTCGAAAGTCAGTCTCCGATTTCCGTGCGGTGATGGGGGCTTGAATGTCGACGGGTTCGGTAGCCTGATAACCTCGATGATCGACATTAACATTACGGGCGGCTCGCAATCTGTCGATCTGGTCTTCAATAACATCACAGCCGTGGAAGCTTTCACCGGTAAAGAGATAGGTGGTTGTAACCAGGGCAACTACGAGGATACCGAACATTTGAAGTACATCAAGATCCGAAGCAAGAAGCTCAGCAAGTTCTGGGGTCGCGACATGTACGTCGGAGCCACCGTCGTTGTTCCTGCTGGCTACGATGCGAACGATACCCAGACGCGCTATCCCGTCATTTACAACCAAGGCCACTGGTCAGCCGATATTGGGGCCTACAACTACGGCGACGACCCAGATTTCACAGCGACTTGGAACGCAGGTGTCATTGCAGCGACCAACAAGACGGCAGAGCGACCAGTGCCAAAGTTCATTCTCGTCACCTTTCGTCATGAAGCACCTTACTATGACGACTCATACGCGGTCAACACAGCAAATCTCGGACCTTACGGGGATGCCGTCAACGAAGAATTGATACCGCACATTGAAGACATCTTCCACACCATTCAAGCTCCGTATGCACGCGTTCAAGACGGTGGTAGCACCGGGGGCTGGGAGAGTATCGCAAATGTCATCTATCGACCCGACCTCTTCGGTGTCTGCTTCTCGTCATACCCAGACTCACTCGATTTCCATCGTCACCAGGACATTGAACTGTACACAGCCAAGAATGCATACCAGCGCGCAGATGGCAGCGACGTACCTAGCATCCGGGAATTTGTGAATGGAATCCAAAAGGTGCTCGCCACCACGGCTCAAGAGAATCACTGGGAACTTACCTTTGGCACGGCATCGCGTTCGTTCAACCAGTGGGACGTCTGGAACGCCGTGTTCGGTGTCCAGGGATACAACGGCTATCCCCTCGAGCCGTGGGACAAAGTCACAGGCGAGATCTACCCAGAAGCTGTACAGTACTGGAAGCCATTCGATCTGAGCGACTACGTCGTGACAAACTTCAACTCGACCCGCAACCTCGGCGCCGCACTTGCTGGACGCATCTTCATCTATGTTGGTACTTGGGACACCTACTTTCTAAACGAGGGTGTAATGGAGTTTCAAAAACGCACTGACGCCGCCGGTGGGCCGGGATGGGCAAACGTCACTATTATTCCAGAGAAAATCCACGGTGGTAACTTTCGGCTTCTGAACATCTGGGACTATCTTGATTTGGTGGAGCAGTGGGTCAAAGATCATGCGCCGGACGGTCCGAAGCCACTTTCGCCATCTTCTGTCGCCCCAGTCACACGTGGTAACAAATGGGAAGAGGTCATCTCATACGGTGGGCATGAAGCGGCTGTGAAGCGTCAAGCAGACCCTGAGATTAAGGGCAATAAAGCAAAAGTTGGCCAAAACGTCACTGCCAGCGTTGGCCGATGGGATCCGGGTGTGAAGCTAACGGCGCAGTGGATCCTCAACAGTAAGCCCGCTGGCCAGCCATTCAGCGCAGAACAAGGTGGCAGTATTATGTACGCACCCACGGCAAAGGGCCACGTGCAGCTTCTCGTCACTGGCGAGAAGCGTAACTACGTTACGGAGACGAGGAAGAGTCAGAGTGTGCTTGTCGAAAGGTAAGTGACTCGGTCTTCGGTACTTTGCGGTTGTGATTATGTGCCAATTCTATAACGTGTTTTATAAGCGAGTCGTCAATACAAGCGAGTCGTCAGCCCCACCAACTTTGATCACCTCTTCCATCTCAACGTGCAATGGCTCCACGCTACGCTTCTCAAGCGCCTTTAAATGAAGCTGATATTCAGCTTGCTATTAATTCTATCGAAGCCCAGCAAATCAGGTCTGAAAGCCGCGCTGCTGTAGTCTATAATGTCCCTCGTATGACAATGCGCGACCGACGCGCTGGCAAGCCTGCACGACGCGATTGCCAACCCAACTTAAAGAAGCTTACTGAGCTAGAAAAGGAGGTAATTGTAGTCTATATACTTGATCTGGATCAACGTGGTTTTGCGCCTACGTACGCAGCAGTGCGTGATATGGCTAATAAGCTGCTGGCTGCGCGCGGTATTGGTCACGTCGGCGTCCACTGGCCACGCAACTTTGTTAAGCGATCAGACAAGCTTACAACGCGTTTCAATCGAGCGTACGATAGGCAGAGAGCCTTGTGTGAGGATCCTGCGTTAGTCAGCAGCTGGTTTGAGCTTGTAGAGGAGACAAAGGCGAAGTGGGGGATCTGTGATGATGACGTCTACAACTTTGACGAGGCTGGCTTTATGATGGGCAAGATCACGACTCAGCTTGTTGTGACAGGGTCAGAGAGGAGAGGCAGGCCAAAGGCTGTTCAGCCTGGCAATCGCGAGTGGGTGACAGTTATCGCTGCGATCAACGCTGCTGGCTGGACAATCCCACCCTTCCTCATCTTTGCTGGCCAATACCACTTGTCTGCCTGGTACGAAGAGGCAGAGATCCCACGCGACTGGGCGATCGCAGTCAGCGACAACGGCTGGACGAACAACGAGCTTGGAGTTGAGTGGCTGAAGCACTTCGACGCTCACACGAAGACTCGTAGTGTGGGTGCGCGTCGCCTGCTTGTCCTTGATGGCCATGAGAGCCACCACTCTCTTGAATTTCAAGAGCTTTGCAAGGAGAACAATATCTTCACGCTCTGTATGCCGCCTCACTCATCTCATCTGCTGCAGCCGCTTGACGTTGGCTGCTTCTCGCCGTTGAAGCGCGCGTACAGCCGTGAGATTGAGGCTCTGATCCGCCACCACATCAACCACATCACCAAGCTTGAATTCCTGCCAGCCTTTAAGGCAGCCTTTGATCGCACCTTCACGACAGCTAATATCTGCTCAGCCTTTCTAGGCGCAGGCCTTGTCCCTTACTAGCCAGATGCCGTCTTGTCAAAGCTGAACGTGAAGCTGCGTACACCTCCTTTGGCTGCTCTACCAGAGGCTGCCTGGCAGGCTCAAACACCAAGTAACGTACGTGAGCTTAAGGCTCAATCAACGTTAATTTGTGAGCGCGTAAGAAAGCATAAGAGCTCCTCACCTGCCTCAATTATTGAAGTGATTGATCAGCTTAAGAAAGGAGCTGAGGTGATGATGCTCTCTGCTGAGCTTATGCGCGATCGGATTGCCAGCCTTGAGAGAGCCAACGAGGCAGCCTCGGCGCGTAAACAGCGCAAGAAAAAGCGACTCCAGAAGCAAGGAGTCTTGACAAAGGGAGCTGGAGAGGATATACTCGCTCAGCGTAAGGCTGATCAGCAGGTTGCCCGTGTAGAGCCTCAAAGTGGAGAGCAAGCAGGCCTCAGCCGCCAGGCTCTTGCGCGCTGCAGCAGGTGTAGAGAGACTGGGCATAACGCAAGAACGTGTAAAAAGGACTTTATAGATCCTGCTTGAACTAGTATATTAATATATATATACTGCCTTACAACGTGGTTGAGTTATACGCTTAAAGAGGTGATTAAAGTTGGTGGGGCTGACGACTCGTTTGTATTGACGACTCGCTTGTAAAACACGTTATCGGAGCTTGGGTTGATGTATAGAGAAATGCTCCACATCTCGCATTATGTGAACTGCAACTATCGCCATGTCTGAAATGCCCGGGACGATGTATCATTGCCTATGCCTAATGAGAAAGGTTGAGGAGCCTGGTTTCTAACTTTTAGCACATGTAGCACGTGGGCCTGACCTTAAGCGCTCTCCTACTTGCCACGCCTTTCCGAGTTCCTGCACGATGCTACGCGCAGAGACCGTGGTGCTAACAGACTGTACAGCTTGAAAGCTGGTCTTGGTGGCTGTGTATCAGACGGTCGAGTATCATGAGCTGGGCTGGAAGGTGTTTGCGTATTGTCCAGGGTGAATATTCACAGCTACTGTCTTGCTTCTTCATGCAGGATGGTCTGGTACTTCCCAGACGGGCGCCAGACGCAGGCCGCCCTTCAAAATGCTCAAAAGCCTGAATCATGATCTCGATCGCATTCGTATTATCGAAAAAAAAAAAAAATGTTTGCAATGCCATTGATGTGGCTGGTGTTGTAGGAGAAGTGCATGAATCACATCCCATCGCACGCCGACGACGCTCACAAACCCTGCACATCACATCACCCTAACCATACCCATGTATAAAAGAAACTAAGCTCTCATCGCAAGTCCATCCCTCACGGCCTGAGCATCCACTCATCTGCGCTCTTATTTCCAGTACTGTCTCGCACCTCCTCGTCGAGATGCACCTCGCGGAACACAACGACACCAATGGGTTCGCTGTCGCACCGTCTTTGAGGTTCTTTGGACGCCCATGCCTGTGCCGTGAAGACCTCGGTCACAGTCTGCACCGCGCCCGTCTCGGCAGCGGTCCCGGTTGTCGTTGAGCGCTGCGTGAACAAGGGCAGGATGGTCGTAGGACGGGTGGTGTGGGAGAAGAGACGCTTGAGCATCGAGGGGTTGGAGGCAGTAGAATCGCGGTCTGGAAAGACAGACGCAGTGCTCAAGACCTGGCGGACGGTTGCATCCATGCTGTCCATGTCGACCGAGTTGTTGCGGGTGCTGGCGAAGGTGCTGCCTCCGAACGAGCTGAACGTCGAGCCACCCTTCGAGAAATAGCTCTTTGCCTTGCCAACACATGACGATGTCCACGTGCGTGCTGAGACGTAGCTGCTCGGCGTGCTCGAGCCACTCTCACACATGACGTACAGGCTGGGAAAGATCTTGCCCAGACCAATCGCAAGCAGCATCTTCTTGTAGGTATTGTACGCATCTGTGCCGGTGCCGAAGAGCAGAGCGGCGACGTAACCCATAACGATCTGGCCCCATTTGTCGATATGTATTTGGCCTCCGGAGGGGAAGGGAAAGATTGTACCTGGGGTGTATTCGTAATCACCGCCGTTCAAGACCATCTCATTGCAGTAGTACCAGAACGGATACATCGAGTAGGGCACCACGATGACAAGGAACACCATACACATCAGGAAAAGGCGGAGGAAGCGTGATCGGGTGGTGTTACGGGCCGTCATGAGACGGGAGAACTCACGTCGATAGCGGTAGAGGCGAACAAGGAGCAAGACTGGACACATGGTCAGCAAATGTCCGTATCGACGACACATTCATTGCTCACCTGCGTAGAAGAACACCGCCAGCATGGTGACCGGCATCCAAATGACAACTAGGAACAGACTGTGCATGTTCGGGCGGTATGCGGAAATGCAGCCTTCGATGCCCCAGATGTTGAATCGGGCAGATTGGACGGGGATATAAAGCAAGATGATCACTAGAGGATAGCCCCAGCACCATCCAGCCTCGATGAGTTGACCCCTCAGCTTGCTGCTTCTGCTGAGTGAGACGGTAATATTGCGTGTGTCCATGACTTTGGCGAGTCTGCGAAGGATCATGGCGATAGACGCGCCCAAGGCGACCTGTGCCCCAATCTGGATGCGAACGTTGATGTCACACCATACTTTACCGTCCCACCACTGGGCGATGTCGTCGTGACCCCAGATGAGAGGGTTGATACCTAGGGAGATGTTGGTGAGGATGATCCAGAGCATGAGCGAGCCAGCTGCAACATTCCGCTGGGTGGCGTGCCAAATGAGTGGTGCTACGCAGAGCAGCCATGAGCCCCAGGCGAGGGTCGAGAAGAAGATGGCTATGGGGTAGATCTCCCCAGAGGAACTGTACTCGCCCAGATACTCTGGAACCGCAACATGCATGTTTGCTGAAGTCAAGCTGTCGAACGGGGATCTTGAGACGATCAAGTTGATGCCGGCTACACCAGCTGTGAGGCTAGAGGCGTAAGCTGCAGTGGACTTCTGACTGCAAAAAGCCGCTAATTACTGGACTCCAAAAGCTTGATGAGAAAACTGGGTTGCGAATTGACTTGATCATTCAACAGTCGAAGAAGTGCGTTGACAGAAGATAAGGAAATACGTCGTTGACAGGCGCGACTGCCCCCGCTTTCCCATAACTTCGCTTCATCATTGAAGCTGTCTTGACTGAATAGCTGTCTCAGTTATCAATACAAGTCAATAGCAGCAGCGTTTGTGCGCGCGGCACAGGTAGGTGAAAGTCACATCGAAATCGAGCATGCTCGCCGATAAGAACAGCACTAACAGCAGTGACAGCAGCGTTGTATGGGAGATGTTCCACCGCATGGCCACAGTCTTACCCAGCGCCATGGTTATCGTGTATTGCGGACTGGCGATGGAGACGAGATGGCCTAGCGTGGGTCCGCCAGAATAGGTACTCAATAGGCCTTCAATACAACTTTGTAGATGCGCCCGCCGACATCAAACGAGAAAGTCAAACGGAATTTCCACTGATCTAGAATAATGAGATGATGAGGTCTACCCTACATGGGCACGGCAGTCAAATCATGCTGCAAGTCGGTGCAAGAGCCAATTCTGCGACCCATGTCGAGATGACGCCACCGAAAACGCAGGTGGTGACTGGGCCGGGATGTTTAGGCATGAAGATGCAAGCCAAGTATTGGTGCACTAAAGTGGACCGACCTGTCCCTGTCCGCGCACGCTGGAGCACGTCCGGTTGGTTGGAGGCAGGCATTCAGGCTCACCGGGCATTACGAGGGCCGGTGCACGAGAGGGGACCTGGAAAATTCCGAGGGTGGCTTGAGGCATAAGAGAAACATGCTCAATTGGCAGCATGGGGCGATGAAAGAGACGACGTGGAGGATGAAGATGTTCGGATGCTGGAACGGGGTATACAATTGCCCAGAAGCGGCAAGCGCGGTGACGTAAACGTAAGTGTGCGCTCGAGGTACACGCGACGGCACGCACTGCCGTCCCCTACGAAATGTAGACATCACTTCGACACTACGCGTCACCAATGGTCGCGCCGACCAGCTCCGACCGTTCCACTGCTGCCAACGTCCACGCCCGCGGGAAGATTGATGTCAGAGCGCATTAGGCTCCCACAATTGGCCGTCGCGCGTCTTCAGCACGATGGAGCGCGCACCTGCTGCGGGCAATGCCGCTGACGCCCAGATCCCTTCGCAGCTTCGCCAAAGAATGTTGAGTCGCGCAGCAACGTTTGCTGAAGGCACGCAGCCGTCTCCCACGCGCCTGCTGCGCCGTCGCAGCTCTGTGCTCTCCGATCTGTCAGACACGCGACACTCAACCCGATCCTCGACCGACAACCTTCTCAGAAACACCGATGCGTTTGACAAGGTCACATCGCTAGAAGAAGGCCCTCATTGGCTGTCCAGCCCGGTCATCTTCGCCATCTTCCCTGCAGTCGCCGGGCTCCTCTATCAGAATGGCGCGGCAGTCCTGACCGATTTCTTCACCCTGGCGCTGGCGGCCTGGCTTCTGCACTGGTGTTGCACGTGGCCGTGGTAAGCTTCGCGGGCTCCAAGCTTCGTGACATGTGGCTGACGAGACGTCTAGGACTTGGTATCACTCCGCGCAGCAACGGCGCTACGTTGATCCTGAGGAAGCCCTGTTTGATGACACTCTTTACGAGGAAGAGGACGAAGATAGTATCATCGAGTCGAATGAAAATCCAGATCCGACTCGGAGTGACACGAAAGGGACAGGGCGTTTGGCTGAACCGACTGCCACCGCCGCACAGCTCGGAGCCAGCCAGGCGCTGAAGAGACAGGAACGCATGGCGTTTGTGACTTGCTTTACTGCCCCACTCGTCGGCGCATACCTCCTGCACATCATTCGTGGGCAGCTCAGGGTCGCAGAGGGCCTTGTGTCTGACTTCAATCTCAACTTATTCGTTATGGTTGCAGAGGTCCGGCCCATCATGTGTCTCATGAAGATGCAGCAGGAGCGCATGTTCCACTTACAGCGCATCGTCAAGACCGACCCTCAAGACCTGATCAATCCTCACAACGCGCAGGCTATAGTACAGCGACTGGCAACATTGGAAGGTAGATTGGACGACCCAGCGGCAAACAGCCATCTCGAGTCGGCGCGAATCGCGGCCGAGGTGCGAGACGGTCTTCAAACACAACTGGACTCGATTGTTCGGGCAATTCGCAAGTACGAGAAGAAGTCGGTTGCGCAAACAATGCAGATTGAGGCACGCTTCCAGGAAGTCGACGTACGTCTAAAGGATACCTTGTCTCTGGCGGCAGCAGCGGCACGAACTGGCCAGCGCCCTGGCCTCATATCAAGTTTTCTCGGCTGGACCGTCAACACTGTCAACAGCGTCTTGCAGACCATGTGGGATATGGCGCTGTATCCTCTACGCACTGCCCTGGCCGTAGTGGTTGAGATGAAGTCGTACCTGGTCAAGGACGAAGACCGGCAGTCGCGAAGACGAGTCAGGGGACAGACGAACGGGCACACATCAATGTCGACGTCTAGGATGCAGTCGAAGGGTATACGTTGACACGACGTGTCCTGCTACCTAATACACCTATTTCTCTCCGCAAACCTCTCCAATCTTTTCCCCTTAACCTCATGAGCCTGGCTCCTTGAAGTTGCACCAAAGTGGTAGTCAAGAGTCATCCACGATGTGTAGGTTGCATTCACGCCCAGCCTATCTAAGACCCACTGTCTACGTAGCCTTGCATGACTTCATACTCGGCTTTATCGCATCCAGTAATTCCGACCCAAACAATGACAAGCTACCGCTCGTTATTGCCCCGCCCCCACCATAGCTAGGGATGGCAGCGTCGCGTGCTAGATACCTCGACTTCTTGTTGCTTTTGCAGATTCTCTCTACCGCGGTCTCTTGAGATTCACGCGTTTTCGCCATGTCGCTCAAGTCAGACCTCACCGTGGACGCGTCCAAGTTCGAGCGCAAGCTTGCAGACAAACAAACCGAGGAGTTCAATGAGAAGCTGATTAAGATCTGGGCAGATGGGCCAAGATGGTATGAAGTATGCTGCTTGAGAATGTAGAAGGGGAGCGTAGCTGATGGCACAGGTTGGCGCAGAAGAGTACCGTAGGCTTCGATGGGAAGGCAAGACACCACTACCCAAGCCCGTTGTGCTGCCAGAGGGAATCAACGGAACGATACCGTCGCGCGAAGCCGGGCGCGAGATCCCGTATCGCGTGTTCAAGCCTGCGGGCGGCGTGAGCAAAGGCATCCATCTGCACATCCACGGCGGAGGCTGGGTGCTGCAATCCGAGCACTAGTACGCGCCTCGCCGCTCCATTCGAGGAGTCGCACTTGACTTACTCTCCCCAGCCAGGACACTTATCTCAAGTACATGGCCGACCACTACGAGCTGACAGTCTTCTCGGTCGGCTACAGACTCGCGCCCGAGCACCCGTGGCCCGCAGGCGGAGAGGACTGCTACGACGCAGCGGAATGGCTCGTCGAGAACGGCCCCTCGTCTTTCGGCGGCGAGCTGATGTTCACCGGCGGCGAAGCAAGTCCCACCCCCCTCTTCCCCTCCTCCCCCTCCCCCTCGCAACGGCATAATCACTAACGCACGCAGTCCGCCGGCGGCCACCTCGCGTGCCTCGTAGCCTTCCACCTACTCGAAACAAAGCCCAGCTTCGCGTTCCGCGGGCTGCTGCTGCACTTTGGCTGCTACGACCTTTCGGGCTTCCTCCCGCACGTCGCGCACCACGAGAAGCACCTCGTGATCGACCACGACGTCATGTCCGCCTACATCGCAGCGCTGCTGCCCAACACAACCATGGAGCAGCGGCGCGACCCGTCCATTTCGCCGTTCTTCAAGGACGTGCGCGGACTGAATCTGCCGCCGGCGCTGTTCACGTGCGGCAGCGAGGATCCGCTGCTCGATGATACAGTGTTTATGGGCGCGAAGTGGATGATGTGGGGGAATGAGGCGGTGGTCAAGATTTATAATGGTGCCCCGCACGGGTTCATTGGGAATCCGGTTGGGACTATTAGGAGTGTGGAGGAGGGGTTGCTGGATAGCGTTGCGTTTGTGAAGGCGAAGATGAAGATGGGGCAGTGAGCTTGTTCGAGGACGTGCTTCTGTTGCAGGGGGTGCGGGAGCATGTTCAAGGGCTTGCTCTCTTTCATCGTCTGCTGGGGACGATGTGAGCTGTCATGTGTGAGCTGTCATGTGTGAGCTGTCATGTGTACGCTGTCACGTGTACGCTATCACGTGTGCACTGTCACGTGTACGCTGTCACGTGTGAGCTGTCACGTGGGCAGTTGAAATACCAGTCGTTGCGAGTAGCCGTGTTCACTAACGTCGTCGAATAATTACCTCCGCAGTGATGTCTTGTCTCGATGGGTGGATGCTCCGCGGCACGCTACCGTAGTCGACCCCTGCACGGGGGAACGTTAGCTTTGCAGCACATGTCATGGCTCGTGAATTATCTGTGCGGCGATGCGGCGATGCGACGATACTCTCGACAGCACCACCGCGCGCGTGATCCAGGATGGCAGCAAATGGCAGCCCCGAGCGACGGCGCAGGAGCATGGGCATGTACCGGCGCGAGTCGAACATGAGCGAGTGCGTCCAATGCCGCGCCCAACACCGAGAGAGAGGTGCATAGACGGCTGGCTAACTCTGCCGCAGCGCGCCCAGCTTCATGGAAGACGTTGACATGGCGCACGACGAGGTAGAGCTGGCCCCCCTGCCCGCGCCCCGCGCCCGCTCTGGCACAACTGACGCCAGAATCCAGATCTTCGCCGGCCCGGGCATGAGCGAGAGCGTCCCAACAAGCGTCTCGGCCTTTTCGCACCGCCGCCGGGCACGCGCCGATAGCAGCGCCAGCCTGACGAGCTTCGCGTACTACGACGAGGAGCAGGACAGCGACCCAGCCGACGATGACGTCGAGGGCGACGAGGACGGCTCGGAGGAGGCCATTGTCGACGCGGACGGCGAAGACATTGAACATTATGGCTATACGACCCGGGACCTCGACGACATGGACCACGACCGCGACCTCGAGGCCGGCCGGAGCCCGTCCTCCTTCCCCTCCCCCTCCCCCTCCCCCAGCCCGAGTCCCAGCCCGTCGCGGCGCAGGAGCAGCGCCAGCCGCAGCCGCCGCAGTGTCGACCGTCCGCTGCTGCGTCGCCACTCCAGCGCCAGCAGCGCGGGCTCGGGCAGCTGGCGCGGCCGCCGCACCTCCCAGAAGCTCTACATGGCCACCGAGGACCTGACCATGGTCGTCGCCGGTTTCCGCACCTCGCCCGCCGGGTTCGCCGTCTACGCGCTGCTCTGCGCCGCCTCGCTCGGCCTCGCCTGGCTGGTGCTGCGCTGGATGCCGCGCTGGCACGTCGCGCTGACGGGCCGCCCGACGCCGCTCAAGGACGCCGACTGGGTCGTCATTGAAAACCAGTGGGGCGAGGTCGCCGTGCAGCCCGTCGCCCGCCACGCGTACGGGCGCGCCCTGACGACCGTCTTTGGCGACGCCGAGAAGAAGCGCCGCGGCGACTGGGACGAGGACGAGGACCCGCTGATGACGCACCTGCACTGCCTCGACTACCGCTACATCCGCTTTATCTACCACCCGCTCAAGGACAAGTTCGTCCTGGCCAACACGTGGAAGGACCCGGCCTGGACTGACGTCACCGCCCTGCGCGACGGGCTCGACAATGAGGAGCGCGACTACCGCGAGCTCGTCTTCGGCACCAACCAGATCGACATCGCCGAGAAGACGCTCGCGCAGCTGCTCGTCGACGAGGTCTTCCACCCCTTCTACGTCTTCCAGATGGCCAGTCTGTTCCTGTGGTCCGTCGACGAGTACTACTATTACGCCGCCGCCATCTTCCTCATCTCCGTCATCAGCATCGCCACCACGCTCGTCGAGACCAAGGCCACGATGAAGCGCCTGCGCGAAGTGGCCAAGTTTGAGTGCGAGATCCGCGTCCTGCGCAACCGCTTCTGGACGCACGTCGATTCCAGCGAGCTTGTGCCCGGCGATGTCTACGAAGTCACCGATCCCGCCCTCGCGCAGTTCCCATGCGACAGTCTGCTGCTCTCCGGTGACTGCATCGTCAACGAGAGCATGCTGACGGGCGAGTCGATCCCCGTCTCCAAGATCCCCGTCACCAACCACGCGCTGGACCTCCTCGACCTCAGCGCTTCCGCCGTGCACCCCGAGATTGCCCGCCACATGCTCTTCTCAGGCACCAAGATCATCCGCGCTCGCCGCCCGCACGAGGACCACATTGACGACGAAGCCGCCGCGCTGGCCATGGTCGTTCGCACTGGCTTCAACACGACCAAGGGCGCCCTGGTGCGCTCCATGCTCTTCCCCAAGCCGTCTGGCTTCAAGTTCTACCGCGACTCGTTCCGCTACATCTCCGTCATGGCCATGATTGCCATGGTCGGCTTCGTTGCTTCCTTTATCAACTTTGTCCACCTCGGCCTGGCCTGGCATCTGATCGTCGTCCGCGCCCTCGACTTGATCACAATCGTCGTCCCGCCCGCACTGCCCGCCACCCTCACCATCGGTACCTCCTTCGCCCTGTCGCGTCTCAAGCAGAAGCAGATTTTCTGCATCAGCCCACAACGCGTGAACGTCGGCGGCAAGCTCGACGTGGTCTGCTTCGACAAGACCGGCACCCTCACCGAGGAGGGCCTCGATGTGTTGGGCGTGCGTGTCGTCGAACGACCGAGGAACAGGTTCAGCGAGATCCTGGCCGACCCCTACGACATCCTTCCCGCATCGCACCACGACCGCGATCCGACCGTCGAGTACGTCGCCCACAAGACTATTCTCTACACCATGGCTACGTGCCACTCGCTGCGCAAGATCGACGATGAGCTTGTCGGCGATCCTCTCGATGTCAAGATGTTCGACTTCACTGGCTGGAGCTACGAAGAGGGCGAGGGGTCAGGCAGCAACGACGAAGACCCGGAGCAGAAGCTCTCACCGTCTGTCGCCCGCCCGCCTCCTGGACGCGAATACGACCTCGACGATGCCGACGACAGCAGCAACCGCAAGCCTGTGGAGCTCGGCGTGCTGAGGCAGTTTGAGTTTGTCTCTCAACTCCGCCGAGCAAGCGTCATTGTGCGCCGCTTCGGCTCCAAGAGCGGCGACATCTACGTCAAGGGCGCGCCGGAGGTCATGAAGGAGATTTGCCATCCAGACAGCTTTCCCACCGACTACGACGAGCTGCTGGCTTTTTACACGCACCGCGGATTCCGTGTCATCGCGTGCGCAGCCAAGTCCATCCCCAAGCTCAACTGGGTCAAGGTGCAGAAGATGAAGCGCGAAGAGGCAGAGAGCAATCTCGACTTCATCGGCTTCATCGTCTTTGAGAACAAGCTCAAGGACAGCACGGCGCCCGTCATCGAGGAGTTGGAGCGCGCAAACATCCGCAAAGTCATGTGCACGGGCGACAACATCCTGACCGCCATCAGCGTCGCGCGTGAATGCGGGCTCATCAACAAGACGGCGCACTGCTTCGTCCCGCATTTCGCAGAGGGCGACAGTCGCAACCCCCTGTCCAAGTTGAGCTGGGAATCCGTCGATGACGCCGTCTTCAAGCTCGACGAGAACAGCCTCAAACCTCTCCCGCCGCCGCCCGAAGCAGACGTCTCGCTCCCGTACGACGTGTCGAATCTGAGGAACTACTCGCTGGCTGTATCCGGCGACGTGTTCCGCTGGATCGTCGACTTCGCCTCCGAAGCCGTGCTGCGCGAGATGCTCGTCGCAGGCCAAGTCTTTGCGCGCATGTCGCCGGACGAAAAACACGAACTCGTCGAGAAACTGCAGTCCATCGACTACTGCGTGGGCTTCTGCGGCGACGGCGCAAACGACTGCGGTGCCCTCAAGGCCGCAGACGTTGGCATCTCGCTGTCCGAGGCAGAAGCCAGCGTCGCCGCGCCCTTTACATCTCGCCAATTCGACATCAGCTGCGTCCCGCAGGTCATCAAGGAAGGCCGCGCCGCGCTCGTCACGAGCTTCAGCTGCTTCAAGTACATGTCGCTGTACTCGGCGATCCAGTTCTGCTCCGTCTCGTTCCTGTACGCCAGCGCCAGCAACCTCGGAGACTTCCAGTTCCTCTTCATCGATCTCGCGCTCATTCTGCCCATTGCAATCTTCATGGGCTGGTCCGCCGCATACCCCATTTTATCGCGCAAACGCCCGACCGCCAACCTCGTCAGCCGCAAAGTCCTCACCCCGCTGCTCGGCCAGATGGTGCTGTGCATCCTCACCCAGTACCTCGCGTTCCACTTCGTGCAGCAGCAGCCCTGGTACGCGCCGCCCGTCCTCGACCCGGAGCACTCCAACTCGCTCAACTCGCAGAACACGGCGCTCTTCCTCGTCAGCTGCTTCCAGTACATCCTCTCCGCCATGGTGCTCAGCATCGGCCGTCCGTACCGCGAGCCCATGAGCCGCAACACGCCCTTCATCACGACCATCTTCCTCGCGCTCGCGCTGAGCACGTACATGCTCTTCGACCCCGCGGACTGGGTCATGGACGCCATGGAGCTGACGCCCATGGATGTCCCGTTCAAGGCCTTCCTGCTCGTGCTGGGCGTGGGCAATTTCGCCGTCGCCTATCTCGCGGAGCATTTCTTGTTCCCCGGGCTCGCAAAGTGGATCGGCGTTGCCAAGGTCAAGGTTGGCGGGCGCAAGTGGGCGAAGAAACGAAAGGAGTACAAGGTCATCCAGCAGAGCATGATGATGTAGCCGAACAGAGCGGAGCGAGGCTTGTGCCGGTTCTACTGTACGTTGAGTGGTAAGCCGGACCAGACGTTCCAGACGAGGACGTACACAGCTGCGACCAACACGACTCGACACGTCCCTCCACACCCCACCGTCTTGTCTGAGCAGACTCAGCGCGCGCCCGGCACCCACAGAGACGTCCCAACAGCGCGACCACACGACTCGTCATAGCGAGAGAAGGTGAATCGAAGCCGCACTCTCCCCCAGCACAACGGCGCACATGGGCCTGCATCTGCGCCACCCACCTGTTCATCGCGACCGTGTTGCGTCCCGAAACACTTCAACGCCGCGCGGCCCGCTGCCTACGCTCTCTACGAGGGCCAGGCTGCGTGCGTCCTTTAGCCCCGTAGAAACACACCAGCAGGCCAGGCGAGGATTCGGTGTGTAACCGCGCGAAGAGCACGGGGTTCGCTTGCACGAGTATCTGGTTGGTGGAGCACGATGGAAGGTCAGGTCTGAATCGGACGCGCAGGCGTGCTTGAGGCGATGTTGTGCATCGCAATCTCATGTAAATACGATTCTACCCTGTCTATACTACTCGCATTCCACATGCCACAGCTTCAATCTATACTGCTAAACCACCATCTTCCGAGATACCGCATCTAGCTCGCCTCATCATACACAATAGTCAGATTCCTACTCTTCACGTGCCGCGTGTACACGCTCCCATAGCTCTGCTCGCGGAATGTCTGCTCCATGGAACCGAACGAGTAGCTGGCGTTGGGCGCGTTCGAATACGCCGCACGCCCGATTTGCTGCGTATCCAGCGCCACAGGCCCAGCTGCGAAGCTAAACGTCGACAGATCCGGACGCCCGGAGGTCTCGATCTGCAGCCCGCGATCCAGCGTTGCGGCGATGGTCGTGTTGGCGCCGGAGAAGGTGTATGTCGTGTTGACTGTGATGGGGTAAGTGTACCGCAGCGTGCTGCTGAAGCGCGGCGCGCTCTTGAGCACTGCCGCTGCGGTTCCCTCTGTGTGCTGCGTGTTGAGCTGCGTTAGCCCCGCGTTGCGAAGCGAGCCTGTGTTGCTGTACGATAGGCTCTGGGTCCAGGTGCCGAACGCGGAGGAGACGGTGTGCACGCGCGACGCCGTCACGCCGTACTCGAGCGTCTCGTTCGTGCCGTTGCGGGCGCGCACCACTGACGACGTGTCGATCGCGGGCGCGCCCGTGATCAGCGGCGCGTCGTGCGGGCCTGTGTACGCCTCGTCGCCGTGGAATAGGAAGAGCTTGCCCGACACTAGCCAGTAGCTGTTGATGCTCTGTTCGGAGAGCGTGGCGGCGCCGTTGCCGCCGTTGTCGTCGACGCCTACTACCTTGATGGTGAAGGCGTGCGGCGCGCCGTCGAGCAGATGGGGCAGGAAGGGCGTGATATCGATCTCATAGTCGCGGAGATCGTACGCGTCGAGGCCCGCCACGGGGCGCCAGAACCCCGGTGCGATGCCGCCTGTGAAGATACTCGGGAACGGCCACGCGACGCCGGCCAGCTGGTCGTCGATGAAGAGCTGCACCTCCCGGAACGGACCGTAGCCGAGGAGTGCGCCGACGGTGGGGTCGAAGGTGTCAATGTCGGATTGGAGCGCGTTCGTGTACCAGAACTCCTCGTTGCTCTGGCCCGTGGCTGCGATGGAGACCGACGCGTGGGTAACGTTCAGCGGGAGGATGTGCTCGACCGTTGCCACGTCGCCAGGGAGAGTGAAGATACTGGGTGCACCGCTCGAGCCCAGCTGTGGCGAGATGGGTAAGATGCTATCAGCATGCGCGGGCTCGGTCGAGTCATAAAAGAAAGTCGCGACCAGAGTAGTGTTGAACGCGCCGGTATACGTGGAATCGAAGACATTGTTCAGGCTGAAGATCACGTCCTGCGGAGTCTTCCAGAGGCTGAGGTACATGCTCAGGTCTTTCTGGTATCTAAACACAATCCCCGAGGCCGTGGGCTCGGCGGTCGACGTCCGCCACACTTCTATGTCGCCGAGATACATCTCAGCAAGCCTGTCGAATTGACGACCTGCAACGGTAACCGTCCATTCGATGATGACGCTGTTGAAGTCGCAGCCGGGCGGCGTGTACTTTCCAACATACGGGACGCCGTAGGAGCTGGCGAACGTGTGTTGCATCAGCGTCTGCTGGACGTTGCATCTTGTCGACTCAGGAATAGACACAGGTTTGTAGAGCTGGATGACTTCCAAGGGTCCCGCAGGACTCAACGCAGCGTGGGTGACATATAACGACTCAAGCGGCTTTCTCGGAAGCGAGTGGTGCGCGCTTGCTGCGTGCAACAGCAGAGCCACGGCGGGAAATGATGGGAACTGCATCACTAGGTACTCTGCAACTCGAGAAGAGAAACAGCGAGCTTGGCAGTTGTGAAACTGACTTGGCCAACGTTGGACTGTAAAGCGACAGCAATCGTTAGGTAGGTAGGTGTTGCGACCAACCTCGACTCTTCCCCCGCGGCTGCATGTTTCGGTCAATATATGAATGATTACACGATCACCAATGAGGAAGGCGACTACACACAACAAGCTAAGTCACCCTGACCCCTTGGAACAAGTGCAATCAGAACGTCTGGTCTTGCGTGACAACTGCAACGCATGTGAATTGTTCATGCTTCGCGACCATGCACAAGGCCCCATTCAAACATCTCAGCGCTTTGTTGAAGAAGAAATCAAAAGAAGCAGCGTGCTGCAACACCCCGGTATACCTCGGCGTAAACATAGATGCTGCGATCTAACCATCCATAGCAAGCGTGATGAGTGGTGCACCATCGCTTGACGATCGCGGCTCGCAGGCGACCGCTATCTCTCTATCATTCGCACACGTGCATTGCATTCCCCCTGCGCTATCGCTATTGCAGAAGGTAACTTCTCTGGCATAGCGAATCAAGCATGCAGCGCACATATACCTTCCGTTGAGAGCTCGGCCGCCGACATGATCATATACCAGAAGCGATGTTATCGCGATGATCCACGGGCACAACCTCTTTGAGGCGGCTAAGGGTCTATATAAGAAGAGTAAGCTCCAGCCAAGAAAGTCAAGCTTTGATCTACAGCATCCTTCATGGCTTCTACCGTCTCTTCTCTGATCGCCCTCGGCTCCCTTGTCGGCTCGGCCGTTGCTGCCGCGTCGGCATGTTCGGCATCTGCACCGCTTAGCTGCTCGAGCACAACCAGTTCGAACACATGCTGCACCGAGTCCCAGGGACAGGTCTTGCAGGTTCAGTTCTGGGACTCCAGCCCTGCTACCGGTCCGGCCAACTCCTGGACCATTCACGGCTTGTGGTAGGTATTCCTGGCAGTTACCAGTCTTCCGCAAACATACTGACCACACTTGCAGGCCTGATAACTGCGACGGCACGTTCAAGTCGTCGTGTGACAGCTCAAGAGCATACACCGACATCAGCTGCACGCTCGCGGACAGGGGAGCTACTGACATGCTCGAGTACATGGAGACCTATTGGAAGGACTTCCAGGGCAATGACGAATCATTCTGGTAAGCTTCTGCTCGGAACCTAGCCCAATACATGCTAACTTCTTTCAAAGGGAGCATGAGTGGAGCAAACATGGAACTTGTTACTCGACACTCGAACCGAGCTGCTACACCAACTACAATGCTGAGGACGAACTGATCGACTTCCTGAACACCACCATCACCCTGTTCAAAGATCTGCCCACCTACCAGGTACGCATTGCGCATCTTGACAGATCCGCCACCAGCTAACACCCCACAGTGGCTCTCCAACGCCGGCATCACCCCCAGCTCCAGCAAAACATACACCAACGCCGCCATCACCAGCGCCCTCAAGGCCAAGACCGGCGCCACCCCGATTCTGACCTGCACAAGTGGCGAGCTCAGCCAGGTCCAGTATGCGTTCAACGTCCGCGGCAGTGTTGCTAATGGCAACTTCGTCCCTGTGGAGCCCACCGGCACCTCTGGAAACTGCCCGAAGACGGGTATCAAGTACCTGCCCAAGGATCTTAGCACCACTCCCAGTGCCGATGAGGGTAGCTGCGGTTGAGAAGTGTGATGGGAGAGGGATAGGAATGGTTGTTCAAGATGCTGCAACATAGTCGATGCGATGCTAGCCTATTCATTATGTCCCGTTGACTCGCTTCTTTATATCGTGCTTACGTTCCAGTGCGTTGTCACAGCAATGATCTCGTGTTGCCGAGTATGGCTCATAATCTTGCGTGCACTAACGTGGTCCACCACCGAGCGAATCACCCCACCGAGCGAATCACTCTGCCAAGACCACAACGCTTTCTACTATTAATTACAATGGCTCAACAACCTGATCTTGAATTACTTTCCTGTGCAGATAGAGTTATACTTGCTACCCAAGCAATAAAATCTAACGCGTCACTAAGCCAGCGACGCGCTGCTGCTATCTACAGGGTTCCTCAAAGTACACTTAGCCATCAAGGCGCTGGAAGAACCCCACGACGCGATACCCACCCTAACTCATCTAAGCTTCAGAAG